TTTTGTAATGTAACTGCCTTAGGTTCCTTAGGGCCTTTAATAGCTAGGCCTTCCCTGTAGACAGGATAGCTAAGCTTAGCTCCTTTGGGTGCTTTCTTCTAGAGAAGGCAACAGGATAGAGCTTGTCTTTATTATTATACTAATACAGAGCAGCCCTAATAGCCTACTCTAAAGCATCTGTCTTAATAATAAAAGGTTTAGAAGTGTTTGGGGCTATTAAGACTAGGTAGGACTAGAGCTTTCTAAGAGTCTTAAAAGCAATTATATATTATGTATTCCACCTAATAGGCGTTTCTTGTTTTCCTTTTCGTTTCTTTAAGTTAGCATTATCTTCCTTCTTTAAAAAGGTTAGATAGAGGTGCAGCTAACTTAGTAAAGCTACGAATAAAAGCGTCTATAGTACCTAGTAAGTCCCAAGAACTGTAATGGATCTTATTACATTAGTTAGTGTAGTTACAGAGATAACACCCTTGTCTCTACATTAGTTTAACTATGTTCTTAGTGACCTTATAGCTATAGAAGGTAACAGTCTTAACCTTAAAAATACACTTCTCTACTAAGTAGAATAGGTCTGCTCATTTAGCCTCTAAACACTTTTGCAAAAGCAACATGTTCCTTTTTATATCCTTTAGAGTATATAAGAATATTATCTGAAGTAAAAATTTGATATCTCTTCATAGGAGGTCCCTAATATTATTTATTAGGATTAGAAGGAAGCTAGAGTATTAGTAAGCCTAAATAGTATTACTACAACCTTATACTTCCTATCCTCTTAGTATTAAATATAGTCTTGTAGGTATACTTAGGTTTAATTAAGAGTTAAAATCTAGAGACAAGGTCCAGTTTAGTAACATATTCACCCTAGTAATAGTATCTAAGCTATTCAGATCCTTAGAGGGGAAGCTATTCTTATATAGCATTAGTTAAGGGCCCTATAGTTAATATACATTCTCTATTGCCTATTAGGCTTTAGGAACAAAGAGCATAGGACTCTAGGACTACTAGAAGGCTTAATTAGGCCCCTCTCTAGTAGCTTTTTTAGATCTATGGCCTCGTTCTCATTGTTTTAGGGGTCCCAACTATAGGCCCAGAGGTTGCATTAGGGTAGCATCTCTAGTTTCAAATTGTATAATTAAAAGCTCTCTCTCCTGGTAGGAGCTTTAGCTGTGGAGGAATCTCTCTCTAGAGGTTAGAAACTAGTTTACTAACTTCTAGATTTCTAGATTACTATATAGGGGAGGTTTATCTTAGGTATAGTCTCTGTCTTAGTAGTAGCATTTAGGCCTTTCCAAATGTTATCCCTTACCCTAGAGAGCCTTTCGTAGTATATATAGGGCAGTGGTCAGGGACTAGATGTATGCTTAACTGCTTCCCTACTAAAATAGGAGGAGTTAAAGACTTCAAAATCTAGGTTTTATCCTTTAGCTGCTAAAGATCTTAGAGTTGGACTTAATAGAGTAGCCTTTTACTATCCCTTGTCCTAAAGACTAAGCTTTTGCTTAGCTTACTAGTTTACTATTAGGTTGTACTGCCTAAAACTATTAGAGACTACAATCACTATAATTTTAGGATGTTCAGACTCTAGTAGGGATTTAGTCCTACTAGGATCCAATCTAGTAGTAAAATAACTCTACAGAATCTAATATAATGCTCTACCCTATTAGAAGGAGTATCCTTACAGGGGGCATAGATATATAAAGTTTTTAGAGTTCTTTGCTACTGCAGTAGGAGATGTGAAACTCCCAAAAGCAGTGAAAAGAGCCCTGGGTATAAAGTAGGCTCAGTTATTTGTTTCAGGTCTAATTACACCTTTTAACAGTAAACAAGTTCTTATTAATAGAGGCAAGCCTTTCTAGGGTGTAGTCTTTCCTCCTCTAAGTCCTCCCCTGGCATAGCTAGCTTCTTTGGCCCTTAGGAAGAATCCTGTGAGAGGTAGAGGCATTCAAACGCTTGAAGTACTAAGCCTCTTTAGGCATCTTATAAGCTAGTTTTTTAACATGTACTTATTTCTCTAGTAACTAGTCTTCCTTATACTTAAAGTGCAGCACAAGGACTGTTACTCCTAGTTTTCCTATTATGGTCTCCTTACCTCTCTTTACCCTTACTATTCCTCCCCTTTATGCCTTTGTCTTTCTTCCCTTGGGAACCTTAGGAGGTTCCTAGGGTTGCTAATTGTTTAGTATTTTGTTATAGTAGCATTTATAGGATGTTCCTAGGCCTTCCTAGTACTATATAGAGTTTTTGTCTATATTAATAAATGCCTGCCTGTGGGAGGGTCCCCTAGTGGGTGTTTGATATATATACTCCTCTCTAGTCCAGTCTATCTCTAATATTCCCTGTTTGAGGCTAGCCTAGAACCTCAATAAAGACAAAATCATTAGGTTTAGAATTATAAAGCTTGTTCTTACAAGCCTTTTAAATATCAATAAAGTTATGTACTCCCTCCTATCTAGGTATATGCTTAATTTCCTACGAATAGACTCGTGTGGTCTAAAGTCTATATTTGCTTGTGATCTTCTTGTGAGTTTATGTGTAGTATTCTTAAAAGCCCTCTAAGTAAGTTCTTTACTTTCTAGGCTTTAGTAATAGCTACTGCCTAGTTAATAAGAGTATCCCTAGTAAGGTAAGTTAATAGTTACATTTCCTTTCTAAAGATTATTAAGTAAAATTTAAACATAAAGATCTTATTCTAAAGTAATCTAATTTTGGACCTTAGTTAATCTAGTCTAAGACATTATTATTTCTCTAGCTAGTTATTATATAGTACTGATGTCTAATCTAGATCCTTCCTATTAGTCTAGCTATAGAAGTAGTAGTGTTTAGAGCTTAGTTAATAGTAGTATCGTTGTTTAAGGAGTAGCTACCATAGCTTCTTATATAGTGGTCTTGAAGTTCTTAGGAGAAGCTGTAGAGGAGCTCGCTAAAGGGCTGTAATTGCTTCTAGGTCGGCCCTCATAATTTAAAAATGTAGAGGCTCAGGGAATCTAAGTAGAAAGTCTCGGTTAGTAAAAAGTTATAGTGTTAGGTAGGTTAGGTTAGTCGGCTATAGTAGTAGTTATTGGCTATAGTTAAAACTTGGATGTGGGCTATAGTTAATTAGGCAACCTAGAGTTTATATAGAGGGCTTTAATCTATCTATTCTTAGAAGAAAAGATAGAAGGTATCTTAGCTACTAGATATAAGAGCTTTAACTAACAAAGAAGGTTCATAGCCCGGCTATCTATATAAGGTTTTAAGGTGTTTTTATATCCCCTCTACTTAGCTGCTAAGACTAGAGTTTTTCACACTTAGGCATAACACCACTTTAGCAAGTGTGGTGTAATTCCTTGGCATGCAGGCCAAGGATCTCACAAGTAATCCAAATGCTAGTCACGTGATCTGGATCAATATTTATCCGGACTTGGGCTGCTGAAATGAATTTTTTCAATTCAGCCGCTGCGTGCAGAAGTGTAGGCGAAGAGGAGCTGAGACTCTTCACGAAATGGAATCGTGCGGCTTGGGTGCAGCTGATTGTGGTGACGATCCATGAGCATAAGGTCTTTGAAGAAATGCAGTATAGCTGTATTTTTCCGTGCGTGGTGATGTCCAGTGATAAGGTCAAACGCGATTTACTTGAACCACCAGAGTCAAATTGACGGATCGAGAAGCGTCGGAGTCGCGCGGCGCTATCAGATACCACGCATCAATAGACATGATATCAACCATATCGGATTTTGACAATTTGCTTCTTGCCCCTTCGCCCTTTGACCTCTGCCCTCACGGTCTGCAGGAGTCAGATATTTTACATTTATATACGTTTTTGGCAATCCTCCTTCAATGTCACATGCTAAGCGACGTGCCAACACGTTGTTCCTCACCTTAGCTCACCTGGCAGAGCGCCAGACTGTAATTGTCTCTTTCCAGCTACACTGGATTAACTGCTGCCGATCTGGAGGTACCTGGTTCGATCCCGGGAGGTGAGAGTACGCACGCAATACTCGCCGTTCTTTTTGTCTTTTTGTGGTGGTGGTGGTGTATCATATCGTCCAGAAGCTGTTTTTCACGTGCCAAGCCAAAACTCGCCTCAGGCAACGTTTTCGTGCGCAGAACCGTTTCAGACCTGAATACAATCGACGGACAACGTTCCTGTACCCTCTACATGCCCCTCAAACGATTTGTAGCGTGCAATAACGATGTCTGGATAATTCTGATGATCTCCCTGAATTTTTGTGTGTGGCCCGATTGGGAAGGTGAAAGTGGCCCGAGCTTCGGCACCACTATCTTGGCAAGCCGAAATGCCATACCGTCCTGCAGACCACGCCCACTTTCAACTTCCTCTTCTGCACAAAACATTGAGGCTTCAGGGCACGGGAAAAGGGGAAAGAATGTGCGCTTCACAAAAATCAAAATCTGCGCTTGAGTAAGATCGCATCTGAATGATGTGAGACCAGGTAACACCGGAGCGAAAAGTAGAAAGGGTCGCAACGCGAATCATTCTTAGTCGTATTCATTCTTGCCATGTCATCGGGCAATTGATATCGCTACTTTATAGTACAGTAAACTCGAGAAAAGTGAGGTGGTGAGAATCTCGGACCGCCCGCAACACGGGCAAGGTCACACTGATCCATCTCGCTCCTTCCTCACGCATCGCCTTTGTTCAGTTGCTCATTTTGGTCATGGAAGCGGTCAGCCTCATATTCGCATACCAGGGTGTTTAACACCTTCAGTTCGAGGAGAACCTTTCCATGACGGTGTCGATGATCCATAATCCCATGAAAATGCTTCCACCGCCAAAGTCCGGAACGCCGAAGTGCTGTTGCAGTTGAATGTCGTAGTCGTAGTAGGCAAGTCGAGAGGAAGGCTGCTCAGAGCTAGTAATGCAGAGGACTACTCGTGCCATCGTGCTTGATTCGCACCTCATCGAAGTCCTTCCGTCGCTTCAAGGGAGAAGGTAGTGGCACCTGTCCTCGCATCAGCAGCTGAACATCCAAATCACGCAGAACCCAAGAAATTCACCTTACCTAGCCACCTCCCCTCGCATACGGATGGAATCCACCCCGCCTGCCTCCTCGTCCGCCACCACGGTAGTTGGCACCAGGCATCCCAGCATTCTTCGGTCCGGTTGGAGCGTTAGCGGGAGCCTGTCCAGAAGGCGGACCACCACCACCTCTACCTCTACCGCCGCGGAAGCCACCGCCACCTCGAGCGCCGCCCATACCCTGGGGTCCAGGCGACATACCCGCAGGAGCAGGAACATCATCATACATTCCATCCCACGTATTCTGTCCTCCAAACTGGCCCTGTTGCATACGCGCCATCTGTGCACGTTCGTACTTCTGCTGCTCGAACATCTGCTGTTGCTGCGCAGACATGCCTGCTGTTCCTCCGCTTGCGGATCCTCCAGGCGATTGGCCACCTCCCATACCGCCGTTCATGGGAGAGCCGCCTCCCTGCATCTGCTGCATCGTCTGCTGCATCATTTGCGGGTTCATGCCACGCTGGGCCATCATTTGCTGCATCATTTGTGGGTTCTGCATACCGCCCATCATGCCCATGTTGTTTCCCGCGGTCATCATCATGAAGTATTGTTGCATGCGTTGCCAGTACTGGGCCATCATGGCAGGAGTCATGTTGTTCGGGTTGCCGTCGCCGCCGCCGCCGCCGTTCTGTGCCATGGCGTTCGCGTTGAAGCCGTTGCTGTTTCCAGCTCCCCACTGCTGAGCTCCAGGCTTGCCACCACGACCGAACTTGTTCTGCCCGCCAGCCTCTTCCTCGCCCATCTTGCCTCGCGGCTGAGCTCGCTTCACTTCAATTGGCTTGCCAAGGATGGCAAGAGGACCCTGGAGTGTCCGCTCGACGGCGATCTCGTTGTCGAAAGTAACGAATCCAAAACCACGCGGTCTACCGGTGTCCTTGTCCATCATGAGAGTTGCATCCAGCACGCGCCCGAACTTCTCAAAGAACTCCTTGAAGTTGGTCTCGGTTGCATCCTGACTGACACCGCCGACGAAGATCTTGGCCGTCCGCTCTTGCTCTTCTCGCGGGATGGCGCGCTTTGGATCGATCTATGGGAGAGGGTCAGAGACTGCTGCGGTGCTGCGGGTGAGAAATTGAACTCACGAGCTTGTTGTCAAGTTGGTGCTCCTTGACCATGACAGTGTTGACCACTTTGGGATCCTTGAAGGTCAGGAATCCAAATCCGCGGGATCGACCGGTCTGCCCATCGCGCATGACGGTGCACTCAACGACCTCGCCGAACTGTGAGAAGTAGTTCTTGAGAGATTCTAGCGCATACGTTAATAGGTGTAGTTTAGCGCTTTGTGAGTGAATGGTAAGCTTACCGTCTGTCGTCTCCCAATTGAGACCTCCGATGAACATCTTACTGTGAGCAGCATGTTAGCAATGACGCTTCAGGCAATTGTCTACCTTAGCGTGACATGAGCGTGAAGGAGCGTGACCTTCTTAGTACTTCGTCACTCCAGCGTTGCCGTGTTGGCCAGGACCCTGGCTGCCCTGCGATGTTGATCTGCCACGGAGTGGTCAGACCCCAAACCGACCAAGAGCGGTAGTATCGTCGGCCACAAAGCATGGGTAATGTGTGGTCGATCGATAACGCTTGCTTCCTTGCCATTGTCAAGCAGTCTGCCAGACATTGCCGCGGATTACTGATCGGAGTGTATAGCTGATCGGATTTGTCGCCCAGATAAGCCCTTGAGCACTTCATACCAGCAGAGTGTGGGGTCGCAGTAACGACCGCCGCACTCTGAAATTCCACAAGGAACAGCCCCATCGGCAGACTCGGACGAAGAGAGACGATCTCGCGCAGTGCTCTTTTGCGGGTATATCAAGCTGATTTGCATGCTTATGATCGCTGGCTCACGTCCGTCCAAAGACACGACGTGCGGCTCAGCAGCATGGCTACATCGGCTATCTCTCTCCTCTCTGCTCTGATCTGCTCTGCTATGTCGCTATGGCCGAGATATCGAGTTCAAACTATGTGGGCGCTCTTGCTCTGCGTTTGACTTGTGCTCCTGTCAGGTTTGCCAGATCTCAAGAATACAGCAGGCAGATTGGTAGTAGAACCATGTAGAATGAGGGTCCAGATCAACCGTGACCCAATTCATTTCTTCTCCCAGAAATGCAACAATGTGCTTGTGGTATCCATCGCCAAATCGCAAGGTACAAGTGAAGTTGTCCAAACCACTGGCCGCTCTCATGTCCATCCTCCATCCTGACATACACTGCGGAGGGATGTCGCTCTCTCAAACGAGATGAAGGGGTCTCCCATATCCGAGATACCCATTGTTCATATTCGGAGCGCGAGATCCTTGTTGGTGGCTTCTCGTACGGCGCAGCGTGCAACTGCAACCAACAAGTGGCCGAAGGGGGCAGCTTCAGGGTTGCCAACGAGATTCGGGCCATATTGAGCGTTCGCTCACGCTCATGTCACGTGTTTGTAGATTGTTATCGGCTGTACTTACCCATCCTCCTTCATGCCTATGCCACGCTCTTCTTGCGGTGGGCTCATGTAGTCATCGTGCTCTGGCATACCCTCCACGCCTTCCATTCCCTGCTCATGCTTGAACTCTTGCCTGAACTCTTGCTTGGCTGGCGAGTACCCCGAATCCGCGCCGCCATTGCTTCCAGCCGCGATCAGGGGCATGGAGTCGGCGTCTGGCTCTGTCTTCACAGCGTGTGCAGCAGCGGGCGCCTCAGGCTCGGACTTGACTGCTGCTGCGGGCGCAACATCAGCGTCGTCATTCTCGTACCTATAGATCATTAGCGCATGATCGCAAAGCGCGTTTTTGCAAGCGTCGTGGCCGCATTGTCGTCGGTCTTCACTTACAGGTCGGCGAAGAGGTCATCCTCGTTCTCTTGGTCCGCCATGGCAGCGGTATTCGTGAGCCGGGGGTGACAGGGAGCGAAAGAAACAGTGATGTGTGCGAAAAGTGTGGTGCGAAGGGAATGGATGGTGGAGTGGTGGAAGGTGTTGGCGGTGGTTGCTGTGAGCTGCGAGGAAAGCGGAAAGCCGACCAGCCCTGCGGGACCACCCGCAGCTGAGCCGCGCGTGGCGTCATTCATGCCTCAGGCTGTAGATTCCTCCCGCCGCATTCACCTCCTCTCATCATTGAATGCTGCTTCTACTACTGCTGTGCCTCGGTAGCGATACTTGTTGAGCAGCCGCAATGAGCTTCCATAAGCCCTCTCACCAGGTATTAACTCTTCATTCTGCTAGCAAGATACAAAGGCTAACCTCTAAACACAGGAAATGCGTCAGGTTGGTAGGAAGACCCTCACAACACCAGCTTCGGTCTACTCGCACTACAACGCGCACGCTACAGAGCACGGCAGCTAATATGGATATCTGGGCCTTCATAGACCGGAACGAGTGTGTATACAACGTAATAGAAGCCACAGACGTGTACATTGCTGACAGCTTGCTGCAGCACTGCTTCACCTTTCTGGCGAGCGGCATCGGCCAACAGCCAACGTAGCCACGACCAGAACCAGGACCGGACCAACACCACGGAGCGCAAAGTCATTGGAGCGTCCTATTCGCATGCTGACATTCTGGACTTCAACAATCTGTAAATCTGCCTTTCTCGCGACCAACATTGGTAACGTAGTGCTGATACATTGGGAAGATCTGTTTCTGGTGACTCGAGACCTCGAACTCCTCCTACGACCTTGACGCAGACTAAGAGCACACCGCCACCGACGAGCAATCGATCACCGCCAACGAGAAGAACATATTCGAGCTTCCTCTCGCAACCTTCCGACAATGCTTGGGAACAGGAAGAGGACCAGTTTGGAGTGGACGAGGATGAAGACGAGTTCGGGCTACCCAGTATAGCGAGCATGCGCAGGAAGGGCAAGCGGATATCAGACAAGAAGGGCAAAGATCCTGGAGGAGGCGGGGGCGGTGGATATGGACTTGGACAGGTCAACAGCAAGGAGAGTGCTTTTAGAAATGGAACCGCCACACAATCCACCAGCCTAGTCAACTGGGCATTGAACGACGGTGATGTAGCTTCAGAGCGCGCAATACCGGCATATCCATCTCTCAAGAAGACAACCGAAGGCCAGAAGATCCTACGACCGCAATACAAGGACATTCTACGGGATCCGGCAAACAGTCTGCACCTGATATCACATCCTTCGGTACCTACTGGCGCTTCCGCAAAAGAGATCGAGGCCCATTCAGCTAGGATAACAAGGATCAACAAGTTCAAGAAGATACTACAGGCATCATCTATTTCCTTACCTGAATTGCGGGAAGCAGCATGGTCTGGCTTACCGAGTGAAGTGCGCGCCATGACCTGGCAAATACTCCTTGGATACCTCCCCACAAGCTCAGAACGGCGCGTAGCCACACTCGAGCGAAAACGAAAAGAATACCTTGACGGCGTGCGGCAAGCCTTTGAGCGCGGAACCATGGGCGCCGAAAAGCCAGTGGAAACATCGGGCATGGGATCTTCCTCTTCATCCCCCGTCTCCAATCGCGGCCGTGGCAGAGGGTTGGATGAGGCAATATGGCATCAAATCAGCATCGACGTACCCCGAACCAATCCCCACTTGCAGCTCTACAACTACGGTGCAACCCAACGCTCACTCGAACGAATTCTCTATGTCTGGGCTATCCGGCATCCAGCATCGGGCTACGTACAAGGAATCAATGACCTCGTAACACCCTTTTGGCAGGTCTTTCTGGGCCAGTACATCACCGATCCCGACATAGAATTCGGAATGGATCCCGGTCAACTCCCCAAACCAGTCCTCGATGCCGTGGAGGCGGATAGTTTTTGGTGTTTGAGCAAGCTCTTGGATGGAATTCAGGACAATTACATCCACGCACAACCGGGAATTCAAAGGCAGGTCGGTGCGCTGAGGGATCTGACGAAGAGGATAGACGGGAGCCTCAGCAAACATATGGAAGAGGAAGGGGTTGAGTTTATCCAGTTTTCTTTTCGGTGGATGAATTGTCTCTTGATGCGGGAGATCAGTGTCAAGAACACGGTCCGCATGTGGGATACTTACTTGGTACGCCTCTCCTTTCCCCTCTGCTCTGTCTCCCTACCTACTTACTTACTCATGCTCGCGCAGGCCGAAGACCAGGGCTTCAGCGAATTCCACCTCTACGTCTGCGCCGCTTTCCTCGTCAAATGGTCCGAGAAACTGCAGAAGATGGATTTTCAAGAGATTATGATGTTTCTGCAGTCTCTGCCTACGAAGGAATGGACGGAAAAGGACATTGAATTGCTTTTGTCGGAAGCTTTTATTTGGCAGAGTCTGTTCAAAGGAAGCAAGGCGCATGTCAGGCAAGTTTCTAGTGGGAGCATTCCTGCTGGAGGGTTGAACCTTTGAGGCAGGTGGATGGGAGATGGTTTGCTGTTAAATGAGCTCCAGGGCGGCTAGCTACATTTGCAGAAGCCGACACCACCGAGACGGTGACGGTCTTCTCCTGCTGAGACAGGAAGGAAGCTGGGCTTTCAAAGCGGAGCCTTTCTACGATCCCATGATACCCCCATTTCATTGTCTGGATAAGACATCTCCCAAACATGAGCGTCCGCTTGCTCTTCTGTGAGTGGTATTTGAGGTCTCCTTCCCTGAGAATCCCGCGGCGGATGCCGGTCTACATGCCATAGACGATCTTTGTCTACTGGAAAAGTTTCGCGGCAGAGTCTACATCTTGAACTCGAGTGGACAGCTATCCGATGCGATCGGACGTCGACAAGACTCTTGAAAATATGCGCTGTGGTTCCGATGTCGTGTTTTCGTGCATCGCTGCTGGCGTCTCTTCATCCTCACCTGCATCTTGCTGCTGCTGCTGCTCTTTGTGCTGCCGACTAAGATTGTGATTGGAATTGAGAGCTTAGCTCCTCCCCAGTTATATGGACTCCGAAACGTTCGCGGCGGCAAGGTGTGTTCTGCAGACGGGAGCAAGGAATTATGATGAAGATTTCGGCTGGATGCGGACTCATGACCACCCTCTCATTCGACTGCACGGTCTGGTCTGAAGATTTCTTTGTGCCGACGGGATGAGAAAACACGTTTGAGGCGTTCGGCGAGTATTGGTCTGTGTTGTAGTTCGTGGTTGGCGGAAGTCGGACAAGTGGCTTCAGTTTCTGAAGATCGAAGTCGTCCTTACTGTCTGTAAGGGAAGGCGTGAAGATCTCGTTCCAATCGTCGCAAGGGAACGACATTTTGAGCACTGGCGATGGAAGTGGTATGTTTGGCCTGCCTAAGATGCGGACTTGGAGTGTCCATTCGGCATCGGAGGGAGGTGCTCTTCGCCAAGGAGGTTGACGAGACCTTCCTTCGGTGGAGAGAATTGGCGGAGTTTGACACCGGCCTCCTGCAAAAGTGGTATCAGCATGTATGTATATGTATCTTAGACGGAGGTCGAGAGTGATAAAAGTGTCTCTGCAAGTCGGCTCGTCACCTGAACAACGGTTGCTAGCCGAGCCGCTGCCGCCTTCTGTGCGATGTGGAGGGCGCGATGCAGGGACATTGGGAAGAACATACCTTGAATATCTTGGCCGCTTCTGCATCCATGTAGTAGCTCTGACTATAGACCACCTCGGTGATGCCCACTTGCACGATCTTGATGGTGCACGTCAAACACGGACAAGTGTTGCAGTATAGCACACCTCCATCCCCAACACGCTCCCGACCGGCTTCCAATAGTGCATTCTCTTCGGCGTGGATACATAAGCAGGTACTCAGGTCAGCGCCGCCTATGCCTCCACCGTTACAACGTGGACAGCCGCCTTCGTTGCAGTTGGAGACGTTTCGAGGCGTGCCGTTGTAGCCAGTTGCCATGACACGCTTGTTTCGTACAAGGACGCAGCCAACTTGACGTCTCATGCAGTTGCTCCGGCGGGCAGCCAGAGACGCGAGCGTCATGAAGTACTGATCCCAAGTTGGCCGGATTCTTGCATCATCTGGAAGGTTCAGCGCATCCAGCGAAGCCCAGAATTTCGGGATGGAAGAAGTCGAGTTTAGAAGCTTAATCTGCGCTCTCGAAGCAAGAGTTGCTAGTCCAGTCGATGAGTATATGTGCTCATCATTCCGCAAGACAAATTGCTCTAAAGTCGGCGGCGTCATTGCAGCTTTTGCGCATCGGTCTCGGAATCGTTGCCAGCGCACAGATATTGGAGCATCGATGTGAAGGAGAATAAAGAATGGTCTCCGCGAGAGTACGTCCACGATCGATTCATCGTAAATAGAAGTCGTGACGAACCTCTCGCGCCAGTGCTTGGTAGCATAGTCCAGGAGCTCATTCGCATCGGGGAATGTCATTCCCTTGTCGTTGCTTTCATCTGCATCTGGCACGTGAGCCTCCGAAGCAGATTTCTCGATACTAGGTGTTGAAGCCGTTCGGGTGAGCTTGAGGATCTGGAAGTCGTGACGTTGGACCAAGTACTCTATACCGATGTTAGGGTATACACTAGATACAGCTGCGTTTCACTCTCCATACCGAGTACCGAGTACTTGCCAGCACAAATACCTGCAAAAGACTTCAGTAGCGGTAACGAGGCAGTCGTTCAAATGGCCTCACCTCCGCAGATGCCTATCAGCATGTTTGCTTCCTGGCTTTTTCGCTGCAAGACAGGGCCGCTTGAGGGACGTAAGATCGGTGATTTGCTCAACACTGGACAGGAGGAGTGGAAGACGCGAGGTCGCAGATAGAGTTTCACTAGCGCGTAGCGGACGTGAATGCCCCGCTAGATCCCTGCAGATGTGATACAGCAGCTCACAAGACATGCCACTTCACCATCTCGTGACACTTGCTTAGACACACTCACCACTGACGCCGACGGCATGACGAGATGAACGACATAATGAGCCAACGCCCCAAGTAATTCCTCCAATATACCCTATCTCAACCAAGCGAATACCACGACCACCATACCCTCCACGATATAGTCCTCTACGAGGGCATACCTACCGCAACGATGCTGCAACCTCTAATGTATGCGCCATGGATGACCGAGGCAGAGCTGGGCTTCTTCGCGGCGCTGGCGTCGCTCAAGATCAACCACGACAAACTCGACTCATCCGCCCGCAAAGTGCTCGGCTTGTACGAGTACAACCACAAGGATATTCCAGCTCAGAGTACGCGCATGCAGCTGCATGGGACAGCATTGACGAGCGATGAGCCGCCAAAACAATATTACCGAGCCGAAGGCTTGATCCGCAACTTCAACACGGTCGAGGAGTACAGGTCAGTGAACAAGACCGAACACCTAGAACGAGCTGCTCGTATGGTCTGGGATGCGATATGCGACGGAACGATATACTCCTGTCCCTCGTTACTCTGCTCCTTTTCGATCATCTCTTTCGCAGATCTGAAGAAGTACAAGTTCACCTACCACGCTGCGTACCCGGCCATACAATCGGATCCAGTATGGAGGCTCGTTGCGCCATACAATGACCCCGACGCTGCGGTAAGGAAACTTGAAGAGCAAGAAACCACAAACCTGGTGAACGAGATATCGAGTTGGCAATATCAACAGGATTCGAGGCAACGTGGCTTCTTCTTGGCCAAGAGGTTGCGAAGGCATGTACTGGAAGAAGAATGGCGGCAACATAGAGGAGAAATTGAGGAAGAGACGGTGGAGGATGGAAATCTCTGCACAAAGAAAAAGAAGACCGCACGCTCCTCAAGCTTGACTGAACTTGGCTTCCTCTGGTTCATCGGGCCGCTGGAGAGTTTCGAGAAAGGTTTCTTTGACAACGCTGCGCCAGAAGATCGATTCGTTTGCTTTGCAGATCCCTCGACGTATGAATCAAACCCTGGGTGGATGCTACGGAATCTGCTGGTATTGGTCCGACAAAGATGGAAACTGGACAAGGTCCAAGTTCTTTGCTACCGCGACACTCATACTCGACGAGACAAACCTACCTCACTCGTCATGACACTGCAATCATCCGAGCCTGTGTGGGACTTCTCACAACAAGACGCAATTCAACAAATGACGCAGATGAGCAGCTCCAGCGCGCTTGCACCGGGTCAAGTAGATCGGTTTGGAGAGTTGATCATTGAAAAGCCGAAGGAGGCCGATGGCAGAGAGCTACCGTATCGACCACCACCAGAAAAGGCTCTTAAGATGGGCAAGATCACAGGCTGGGAACGCGACACCGAACGAAGGACTCAACAGCGAACAGTGGACCTCGCGGCATATCTGGACCCCTCACGACTTGCAGAGCAAGCAGTTGATCTCAACCTGAAACTCATAAAATGGCGGATATCCCCTTCTATCGACCTGGAGACGATCAAGCAAACGAAGTGCTTGCTGTTGGGAGCCGGTACCTTGGGATCATACATTGCACGAAATCTTATGGGCTGGGGCGTTCGAAAGATTACATTCGTCGATAACGGTCGTGTGAGCTACTCAAACCCGGTACGTCAACCCCTCTACCTCTTTCAAGATTGCACAAATGGAGGCGCATGGAAGGCAGATCGAGCTGCTGCCGCTCTCAGCGAAATCTTCCCGGGCGTGGATGCCGAAGGAGTCGTGCTCAATGTTCCTATGGCGGGACATCCAATTGTTGGAGACGAGACCAGGGTGCAGAAGCAATTCGAGCAGCTGCAAAGACTCATAAAGGCGCACGATGCCATTTTTTTACTCATGGACACGAGAGAGGCAAGATGGCTTCCAACGGTGATGGCAAAGTCTGCCGGCAAGATCGTCATCAACACGGCTCTGGGCTTTGATACATATATGGTCATGCGACACGGCGTGCGTCCGCCTTTAGCGCCGTTACCGAAGACGTTGAGGAGATCAGAAGGCTTGGTCATGACACATCCAAAGGATGAGGAAGATCCATTACTAGCGGCTGCCTGGGACCCAATTGAGAATGAAGACGGAAAGAGAGGACAACCTGAAGAGCTTGGATGCTACTTCTGCCAGGACGTTGTCGCGCCTGCGGATAGCTTGAAGTCAGCTACACTGGATCAGCAGTGTACTGTCACAAGACCCGGCGCTGCGCCAATCGCTTCGGCTCTGGCTGTCGAACTTCTCGCCTCAATCACCCAGCACAAACTGAAAGGCCGAGCACCTGCTGCAGACGCACCAACAGCAACAGCTATCGCATCCGCACCACCTACAGACCCCGCAGAACCCGGCTCTCACCCTCTCGGCACCATCCCTCATCAATTGCGGGGATTCATGTCCACATGGCAGACTATTCAAGTCAAAGGCAAAGCATATGACTGCTGCGCGGCTTGTTCGCCGAAGATTCTGGGTGCTTATGAAAAAGATGGGTGGGAGTTCGTCAAGCGCGCGCTGAACGAGAAAGGGTTTGTGGAGGAAGTGAGTGGACTTGCAGAGGTGCAGAGAAAGGCCGAAGAAGCTGCTCAGGCGATGGAAGGGGACGAGGAAGAGGATTGGCCCGATGATGAGGGGGAGGGAGAGTTGATATGATTACGCTTGCTAAGAGATGAAGTACATTTGCAGATTCACCAAAGTCTCATCTGTCGTTATCCTTGTCTCCGTTTCTGTTGCTCCCATCCCGATCTCTCTAAACCTGGGCGCAAACGTCTTCATCAGTCTAAGTCGATCGTTGTGCCTCGCTGCCGCCGGCATGGCGATCCCAAAGAGCTCTAATGATGATGCTTACAGGGCCGATGCTACTCTCGGTGCCGATTCCACTCGATGGGCCTCCTATCTTCGAGCTCTACCATATTGCGACAGATCCGACCATGCCAGCGGCGATATTCGACTCGGAGGTAACGTAGTTGGGTCTGATCAAGCGCGCACGCCTTCAGGACATCGGTCTTGGTGATCCTGTCCAGCAAGGGAAAACTGCTAATGGTGATTTCCGGCGTAAACCCCTTGGCCTCAAGCGATGCCTTCGTCATGCTTCCAAGCTCATCTTTCGTTCTCATTATCCGAATGGTGAGGCTATTCACCATTGCCGCTTGCTGTTGGCCGATCGCATCGAGCCATTGCGCGACTGCAGTCTCTGGGACTGGTGTGTTCATCACGAAGACGAAGTGCTTGTTCCTGTAGTACATCGCCAGCGTTTCGGCTCGGACCTGTTGTGATGATTGAAGAAGGGCTGGAAGATGCGGCGATAGAGGGAAGTCTCCACAGCCCTCTAGGTCGTTCCCGTCGGCGTCACGGTACCGAAATTTCAATACCCTCAAACTCGCGGACGATTTATTCAGCATGATCTCCATCGCATCTTTGCCTTGTGGATTGAGCACTTCCTCGTAAATCCTGTTTCGCAGCTCGGCGGAGAGGGAGAAGAAGTTGGTGCGGGCTTTAGCAGCGGTCATTTCTGCCTCACTAATGTACATGTCAGTCGATTGCGAGTGTAGATTTGGGATCTGGCACGCTCACTTCTTCTTGAAGCCTTCGCTGAGATCCGTGGTGATGTTTTCCACGATAGCGGAGACTGCTGCCGTCTTCAGGTATGGAAAGGTGGTGCGAAGTCTCTCAGCCACGAAATTGTGCACCTCGGCGCTGAGCGTGTTGATTTCGTCGGACATTTTGTGTCGGCGGTGATGGAGTCGTAAGAGTGTTGGCTTACTTGCAAGTGGTCGTGTGTGCTGTTTGTGTCTGCGTTGCTGCGAAGATGGAAGAGAAAGCGGAGAATCGTGAAGAAGCTGAGCAGTTGGTCTGTGCTCTCGGCAGCTTAAAAAGTGGGTCTTTGCATGTGATAGCGCGCTAAAGTCAAAACGTTCTGATCACGCTCTTTGGCGATCATGTCACACATTCTTCACTCAAAGAAGAGTATGCAATCGATTAGGAGGCTAATTGGACAGAGTGTAACTCATCAACTCGCGTGAGATTGTGTTTTCAAGCCTACAAAGTGATCCTCAAACTACATCGTATTCATAAAGTGGCTGGGGGTCCTTTTGACCTGACTCAAGACTATGCTGTTGTATCTTCTCCATTCTCTCTTGAGCTATAAGCAGCACATCCACGTACTTGCCCTGTCTTAGCACGCCACTCTCCTGATTATTTGCTAGCTGGCTGTCGGTTCAGCACGACCGGAATTGATTGCTACATATGACAGCGCAGCAAAAGAAAGTAGGGTAGTATGATTTCTTATCTACAGCGTATCGGCAGCTTTCCGTATTGATAATGCATGCTTTCAATGTCCGACTTCCCTTGTACCGTTTGTCATTACTTCTCCGTACCGTTCGCCAATTGCGTTCATGTTCGAATATACTGATTTTGAATCGATGGGAACCACCAGCTTCCGTTGATTACTCAACGGCCACGCTCGCTTCGGGGAGTGTCCTTTCAGAAAAATACGGAACTGCAGCTGGACTTCGAACTCGAAAACGACCTTCTTCGTCTTCAGACTAGCTCAAAATACTCTTCTCCCTCCATGTTGTGCGGACCAGAAATCGAGATCATGTCGCTCTCCTTTAGCTCCACTATACGGCCATCGTGGTGCCTGTATTCAATCTTGAATAGATTCCGATCCAATTCGTCAAGACCACAAGCTTCGAGGATGTGCTCCTTTCGAATTTTAAAGAGCGGGACACTTCGAAAGAATGACATCCCTCGGAGCACTCTACAAACGCAAATCGCTAACCGTCCGGACGTCATTTGGAATCGCAGAATTACTTTCCGCACCATCGCCTTTTGGGTAGGACCGATCGCACGAAGCCAATCAGCAGCTTCGTTACGAAGTTGAGGAGTCGGGATCCGAAACGCAAAGTATTTGTCGCTGTAGAACAAGGCCATGGTCTCCGACCGCACTTGTCTTGAAGCATGGAGGAGGGCTGGAATCTTGTGACGCTGTTTGCGGGAGACTCGCAGATCATGCATGTTGTCTTTTCGGCAGGGTTTAAGCTTGGTGGCTGAGCACGTGCTCATAGATCCACATCCGCAGTACCTCTGACGAGGAACAGAGGCATCTTTGGGCTGAAGCGCGTACTCGTAGATTTGGTTTCGCAATTCCGCGGACAGAGAAAGGAAGTTTGTACCAGACCCGGTGATCTTCATCTTGTGCTCGCTGGCCAATCGTCAGCAGGCGCAGGTTCCCGCGAATGCATTTTGCACGTACTTCTCTTGGATGCTGGTCTTCATAGCGGCAACTGTCTGTTTCACGATGATGCTGAAGGTGTTCGATTCCATGTCAGGAAACGTGGCGTGTACACGCTTCGCAACATTGTCCCGGACAGCGTTAATGAGGGCCGCGATGTCGGTCTCCATTTTGGGGCGTGTTCCGATTTGCGTCTCCAGGCAAGTGCTTGTTGATTTTGACGATGTTTTGTTGCTGGAGCAAACCGGACTTGGGATGGGGTAGCGGTAGATCGGCATTCAGATTTGGCCAAGCTTTCACTATTTTCAGGCGCTCGCATAGGAAGTGGCAATGCCTGCCGGCACTGCCCTATCCTGATGCCATGCAACTGCCTTCGAGCAGCTGTCACTGCCTTCCATCAGCAAGGCCACTGCCTACACTATTCCATATCAATACTTAGCGGCAGGCGGCAGCATTTAGTATCAACCTATTCCGGATCAGGTTCTAGTAGGGCTCCAAACTTTTGTCGCGCGCTGGTTGGTTCGGATTGTGGTTGGCGCTAGAAGTCCCAGAGAATTGGGCGCTGACTAGTGAGTGAAGTTGAAGGAAGTCACGAGTGAAGGAAGGAAGGAAGGAAGGTACCTAGTCACGCAGAGCAACGAAGCGTGTGAAGCACCTGCCTTAGACTAAAGCGTGCGACAGTTTGAAGCCCTACAAGTCTGACACGGAGATAGTGATTACCGAACCTTATGGGAACAAGTGGGTCGCATTCATGTGACAGAGCGCTAAAAAAAAGCCAATCCTCGGTCGGCCAAAGAAATCTTAACGTACAATGTTTTTCCACTGCAACTACCTCACGAGCCTCGCAATTTTCCAGAGATGCGATTGACTTTGCTACAGACATGCATTGCAGATGTCCTGCGTTGCGCTACTTCCAACCTGACGTCTATCCGGCAATGCGAGCATGCACAGACAACCGTGGATCTCGATGAACGACTCGGGACAATGAGACTTGTCTGAATCTTCCTCCCGTCCGAAATGCCATGTCTGTAGCATCAAGCATTGCCGCTCTGTGCGGAACTGCAGGAAAGCCCTTGCATGCTGTCGGTCATTTGCCGGTTACAATCGTCTCGCCGACCAGAAACCAGCACCAAGTGAGCCCCACAAGTATCATCGTCAGTCCGAACTCTTCAAAGTCCCTCCCAGCTCATCTCCTCCCAAGACCTCATCGAGCCGCCGCCGACCGCACCAATGCCAGTGGAGTTGAGACTACTATAGTACTGGATCTTGAAAGCGTGGATGTAGACTCCAAGTCCATCCAATCCCATGACCCTCACAACATTGCCCTTCAACACTTTTTCTGACTGCTTTCCCACCACCACGACGTCGTCATCGTTGAGCCGGGATGCGGTGGAATGGAGGAGACGCGAAACGCTTCGACGAACGGTATCGAGTTTGCTTTCGGAGACTACAGGTGAGTCGAGTGATGAGGTCGAACGTCGTGCGCCTTTGTGATCGTTGATGTAGGTCTTGAGTTCGGAGGAGGTAGCGTGGAATCTACATGATGTTTCTTAGACAAATTACCAAGAAGCCTTGTTTGCTGCAGAATACAACTCACCTCAAGACCAGCCTCTTGATCAGAGCAGCATAACTTGGTCCAATCGCTCGAAGCCACTGCTTAATTACTTTGACCTGCGTCTCTGGTCCTTCGGCCAGAGAGAAGTATGCGATGAAAGTCCTGTTGGCGTAATGCATGGGCATAGTCTCCATGCGGACTGCTCTGTTCACGCGGAGTAGGTCCGGGCCGATGACGCTTTGGCGTACCTCCTTGGCCAGTTCGATAGACAACGAGGTCGCAGGTGCAGCAGGTGCAGCAGGTGCAGATGGTGTGGCAGCAGTGGCGTAAGCATGGCGCGCAATGCGAGCGTGGAAGCTGGCTACAGCCATTTGGTAGGGAGTATCGCAAACAACCACCTCTTGGGGTCCGGCGTCAGTGCCCAGCGCAAGCTCGTAGATCTTCTTGCGTAATTTCTCGCTGAGCCTGAAGAAGTCGGTGCGCTCTTTTGCGGAGGTCATTTCGTAGTCACTAGCAGGGTATCAGCAGTCTGGGCACATCTAAATTGTGTTTCTGGGCAACGCACCGAGCGATAATTCCCTTGCGGAGAGACTGGCAAGTCTTGTAGAGAATGCCGTTGAGGGCGACGTCAGGCATGTATGGAAACTTGCTGCGCAGCACTCTAGCGAGATACTCGCGAGCTTCCATGGTGACCTCCGTGGCCTCGACTACGGTCTTGCTGTCAGGATGCCACATGTTAGCGGGTGCTGCGGTGTTCATGGTGATTTGCGGCAGTGGTGGTGGACAAAGTATGAACAGTGACAGGAAGAGTCGGAAGCGAAGCTGCGTGTGCAGATTGAAATTCAATTGAAGTTCTGTTGTTGGCGGCCCCACAGCTCGTTCGCGACTTGACTTCCGGAGATTTGCCGAAACTGTATTACGTCATTGCATGTGAAAGTAGTCAGTAAGTGCTGCGGTCTTCACATACGGATGCAAGTCTCGCAATTCAGTCCTGATTGTGCTTTTCATGAGACGGTGGACTCGACGCTCTCCAGACCGCTCGTCCATGGTAACCAATGTTTGACGGTGGCGGGATCACTGGCTGCATTGGATCGGTTTTCGTGATGTGAATGAAGATGAAAGAAGTGTGATAAGAGAAAAAGTAGAAACCAGGCCAGTCTTCGACTTTGGGCTGTAGCCATGGGAGAGGGCAAGCGCGGCGTTTGAACAAGAAGGAACGATTCGGGCAGCCAGCTACCCTCGGAGCAGAGGGATTCAATCAAGGTAACACTGTACCTCATAGTACTTCGACGCACTTCGAGAATCCTTTCGTTCAAATGCAAAAGCGCAATCAGAGTTTCGTACAACATTGCTATCTCGCATGCCGTAGAGAGAGCTTTCTGCCATTCCCTGGGATGACTTGAATTGTAGCGCCAAACAAAGGTTACCAAAGGATGCTGTTACGGAGCAGCGGCCGATGTGATGGATGTAATGGTGGAGATCTTGCACACCCAGAATGAAACCAGCTCGAGCAGAAGTATGAAAAGCCGGCAGAGGACAGAACGTGCTTCTGGCCAGCTTGCTTGAGACCTTTACGCTATTTAGTTACACTTGGAGATGAGAGTGGCTGCATACGCTATAATGACTCGCTCTGCTATCATCATGTTGATGCTCATGTCGACATTTGCCAACGAGCATATTTTCTCCACAGATGACCTCGTTGAATTCCTCGAGAATCCAAAGGTTAACCATGATGCGTTCGCTCCAAGCGGAGCTCCTCGAACACCAAGTGCGCCCAGATCAGCAATACTGCCAACCATGAAGCCTTTCCTGGAGGCCTACAGTGCTCAGCGAAAGCACTGCATGATCGGCACTATCTCAGAGCCATATCCTCAAGCTGCTTTCCTTCTTTGACCATCTGATTGTAAATCTTGCCATTGACGACCTTAACAGCAGTCTTCGCCAGGCCCAATGCATCTGCACCGATCACTCTGCGGACCTCTTCGGTCGAATACCAGTTGTCGGCATTGCGCATTTTTGGAAAGAAGAAGACGAGGTCTCTGATCTTCTCGGCCTTCTCGCGTCCGATAGTCAGTAGCCAAATGTGGGTCTGCTTCATGACCGGATGGTACCATAAGTCGCGACCCGGCACAGCTTTGCAAAACAACGTGAACTTGTTTATGGCGTACCACACCGCCAAGCTCTCACTGCGAAGTTCTTTACAGACTTGAGTGAGTGGTGGCTCCGTCATGTATGGTGCCTGATCCAGCGGCGAGAAGTTCTCGTAGTACCGTATTTTGAACGATCCGGCGACATACAGTACCACCGTGCGCTCCCCGCAGTTCCGATAATATAGGTCGTCCTCCACGCTTTCTTGATCCGTGGATTGTGTCTCGCTGGCTCGGAGGGAAAGTGCAAAGATCCGGTTGCGAAGCTCAATAGGGATGCTGAGGAGAGTAGTCTTGCCTCGGGCGTCCTCCCTAGAGTATCACACATGTCATTAGCTTAAACGCGTTATAGGCCTCAATGTCACTTACTCGGACTGAACATCCTTGTCAATGATCTCGCCGCATTTCCTGGCCGCTTGCCGCAGCGACTCGGTGGGGAGCAGGGGGAACTGCTGTTTCAGAAAATTTTCCGTAATAGCTCGAGCACGTCCGACTGCGCGATCGTCGTTGATGACCTCTGCCATGTTTGCAGATGACCGTGGGGTGTGAAGTTGGGTTTGTTGGTGGCAGGAAATGGAAGAAATTGTGAAGTGACTCAAGCGAGAAGGAACCTCAGCATTGAAAGGGGAAGGCACTCCGAGCTTTGACCACCCAGTCCACTAGGAAATGGAAAGGGAAGGCACGATGGGCCGAGTTTAAGCGCCAATAGTCTTGTGTGCATATGACAGACTGGAGACATCGGAACAGGGACAGAATTGGACTAATCTTTGATTTCGCACAATCAGAAGCTACCGCCGTCTCTTGGGATACCATGTGCTCTCCTTCGTTCAGATTTCCCGCCCTGCTCCAAGACTTCTTGACAATCATGGCAATAGCATACCTTCGCAGCCTCCTTCGCTATATCATGTTGCTCAATGCGCAGTCTTTCGAAGATCTATCCTTCCGAGAAGCACCTGGTCAAGTTCATGTTCGGGAAGAAGAAGCACAATTCGCGTACCATCCCAGCTCTCTCCTCCCTAATCCTGCCCACCCACGCGTGTACATGATGTGAACGCCGCGAATGAACACAAGTCGACTTTCTGGCGGAGAGACTGCAAATTCTGTATTTTGAAACCGCCAAACATGATCGACATCGTCTCGCGGCGAATCTGTCGGGTGTTCCGTGTGATAGAAGGATGCTTTTGCAATGGAACACATGGCAAGTTTTGAACTCGAGGGACGACGAAGGTCCGCTCCCAGTATGAAGGACTATAGTGGTGATTTCGAGTCGGCCGTCTGGTTGCAACTCTTCAAGCGCCAGAGCAAATTCGCAGATCCGGTTGCGAAGCTCGGCAGAGAGATTCAGGAAAGAGATGCGGGCCTTGAGGTTGCTATGAGAGGTTGCCTAGTGCACGATCGCCAGTGCGGACAAAGTTTCGCAGGTGAAAGTGCTAGGGTACTCACTGCTCTTTGATGGTAGCGCTGATTACATCTTCACACTCCGCAGCAAGCTCGAGCAGCGCGGCCTCTTTGAGGAACGGAAAGCGCTGCCGCAGTGATGTCTGCAAGAAATGCTCCGTCAGCCGCAACGTCGGACGTCACGTCTGAATCGGCCATCTCGAGGTGGTCGTGGTGTTGTCGCAAAGCTTCTTGGAGTTGAAGTTCTGTAGATTGCTCGGGAGGAGGACCTGACTGTCTGCATGTGGATGACTAATAAGGCAGGGACTATATGCACGCACGAAGGAGAGAGCGAGTTATGCAGTAGGCGGATTAGGCTCCATTGGAACCTTGATATCATGCACATATCTTCTGTTATCTTAAATTGACCTTTCGAACCGCTAGGCGCCCGAGAACTCGAACGCCCAAGCGGTATACTGATCCTGACTCGTCTGATGGACCGCGATTGTAACACTATCCCCACTATACGTGTGCGCATAACTCCCTCGATCAGTAGGAGCATCCACCTCTCCATAATGTCCCTTATCCACAAATCCCAACGTATGGATTGTCAACGAGCCAGAAGGAGGCAATCCCACAGCACTCAGCTTATTAATGGTGATATACCAGGTCCCAGTAGCCAGACGAACGCCAGCAAGAACGCGAACCTTCATATCGGAGTCCACAGTAGCATAGACGTCCATTTTGCGGTCTCCGGTCCCGATGGTGCCGACTCGGGAGCCGGTCATCTCGCGGTTGTAGTATTTGTATACTTGCCATTCGCCGTTGGGATAGTAACCTTTTGCCTGATAATTATACTTGCTGTTGTCTGCGTTTGGCTTCCCTAGTAGGCTGGCGGCGAAATCGTGGAGTCGGTATCCACTCAACCAATTGCCTCTGATGCCGACGGCATCGTAGCGTTCTAGACGGGAGATCCACCATGCGGCTCCGGCGGCGACTTGTTCGGCGAAGGTAGCGTACTCGTTGATATTGACGATTTTGGGCTGCGCCATCTCGGCCTTGCTGAGCATGGAGGCGAAGGTTGCATTGTTGGTCTGGAGATCGTCGAGGGGGTTGTTGATGTCTCCTTCGATGTGCCAGGAGTATTGGTCGGGGATTGTGTCCTCGCTTTTAATTCGTTGGAGCCAGGCCGTCCACCAGGTATTGTCCGGAGCCGGCTGAGAGGCATGAGATGGGCCTGAGATTTGCACGCTGTTCATTTTGGAGTCGGATCTGGTGATGTCAGTACAGGAGCCAGCTAGATGTAGACGGGTTTCGATACTCACCGGATGCGCTTGTGCGTACGAGTGTACAGATTGATCCATTGTTCCTGCGGTCGTCCGCCGAAGAAAACACCATCTGCCTCGTTCCAAATATCCCAAACCAGACCCGCCTGCATCTCGTTGGCCTCAATATCACTAATAAGTTGATCCAGGAACTTGTCATAGTCCGCAAAGTTTCCATTGTCACCAGGCCAAATAGTGGAGGTATTGGCACGATCAGTGCCCCAGATGTCATGCGGCAAAATAACAAAGTTGCCACCGTACTTCCTTGTTAGTCGGTAGTTTTGGAGAGTTGACCGAAAGCGGCATTCGTATTCGTTGAGACCCCAGATCCAACCTCTGCATGGCACATCAAGCTGAGCGCCGCCAGCTCGAGCGTAGTTGAAGCCAATGTCTGTAAAGAAATAGTCGGGTATCTGGTTCGGGTCTGCCGGAACATCCAGAATACCATAGAGGAGGCCGGAGGCCAGGTGTTGTGGAGTTCCTCGGTTGTCGGAGAGATCGACAAGTGCGGTATTCGGAGAAGTCTGTCGTCGCTCTACAGAGGCAGCAACTGCGGCTGTCGAGGAGAGTATCGCTGAAACAATGGCCGGGAACAGCATTGTGGCTGTTTGTTCCTGCTGTTGTTTCTTGACGGAGTTGGAGAATTTTCGACATGCTAGCTTGGTATTATATAGTGAGTCCGGTAGCGGCTTCTCCGAATCGTCTCAGGACTGCCCATGTGGAAAATCGTGTAGCGTCTTCGCGAAGTTGTGCAAGTCCAGACAGTTTCATCCAAAGATAGCGCATATCGCCGGGATCTGTTGCGTAATAATGTAGCTTTTCCGGGGCAGAAAGAGGGTGAATCCTGGGGAGAATCAGCATGACTAAACGCTATCATGGCAGGGAAAATGTAAGGACTTGCGTAATTTGAATGCTATGGAGGCACTGAAATACCCTCTAGCATTCAGTACACAGAGGAAACACGTTCGTTGGAATATCTTGTGGGATGTCGGGTGCTTGTGGGGTCTCACTGAGAGCACGTGAGAGTTCCCTATTCTTTCACTCCATAGAGTTTCTCTGCTCCCTTCCGCAGAAGCTTCGTCTCCCGTTCCGCGTTTCAGCTGTTGTGGAAAGTTGTTCTCGAGGTTCGTATCATCTACATTCTCTCGCTTGCTCGGCGAGTTACTGCTCTCGTATCTCGCCAATCCCCCGAGTGGTCGACGCTCCAGAGTCTTGGGCATGGGACAGAGTGATGTACTCTTCCTGACAGTAAGCCTCACTCGAATTATTCATCCGCCTTGCTCCACGGGGGCCTTCCGCTCACCGCCTGTAGGCTGCTCGTCCGCCTGCCCATCGTCTTCTCCCACTCGCGAGAAGTCGTATTGCTTGAACATGTCCTTGAACATTTCCGCATCCGCAGTCTCCTCCTCAAGACTTTGATGACAATCCCGCCAGTGAGCGCGACGCTCTAGCCCGAGCAGCTTGCCCAAGACTCTCCGACCGAATTGGAGGTCAAATCGCATGCCTTTGTCCATTGGTAAGACAATGTCCTTTTGCTTCGACTCGGACCAGATCATTGCTTTGAAGTAGTCGCCTTTCTCCGCCTCTTGTATGTCTGAAGCCTTCTTCGCGAACTTGGGATAATGTAAATTCTCGGCCTCAACCTCGAAAGCGGCCTCCACCAGCCCCTTCTTGATCATGTTAACCGGAATTGGCATAATTTGCCAATGAAGATGAACTCCACTTCCTTTACTGATCTCCCATGTCACTGCGCCAAGTTGCGCCTCGTCCTCCGCACCTTTCGTGGACTTTGATGCGATCATGCTATGGATCGCTTCGCGATACCGTTGCATTTCTTTGAGCACTGGTTGTTGGAGTTCTGACTCGATCGCATTGAAGGTTGGAGCGTGCGATATCGGAATGATGAGCATATGGAGTGGGTGGCCGACAGAAGGAAAGGTGTCTCGAGTACTGAGAGCGCCCTTTGCGATTGTCATGTATGCATCATCTCCGATGGACGTAATCATGTGGGTTTCTGCGGTCCGATTCCCGAGACAGAAGAAGCACTCCTGTTGACGTGGCTCCTGTCTCCTTCCTCCACCCCGCCGCCGCTTGGACTCTCGATGCTGACCATCGTCGTCCCAGTCATGATAGCGATGACCATTTGAGAAGCGATAGCCATTCTGCCCGCCGTCGCCATCATGATCGAATCTCCGCTTCCGTGAGAACATAGTCGCGAATGGCGATGCGGTGCAACCGTCCAGGTTAGAGGGTGGCGGTGCCGATGGTTCCAGAGAGAAGGCGTAGAGGGCCTTGTACTTGTTTGGATTGTTGAGCGGTGCCAGACTGATGAACCGAGTTGTTGGTTGTGGTGGCTCTTGTGGATGGAAAAAAGGTTCTCGTTCGAAGACGGAAGAAGAAGTTGAGAAGTGGTAGCGAGGTTTAAGTATTGCGCAGAGCTCGCTTATGATCTCCACGCCTGTAGGTGGGTCCGCTGCATATGAAACATGTGAGCCATCTCGAACTTCAGCAGGCCAGTCGCTTGTGATGAGTAAATCTATGGAAGTGTCAGAACATGTGAAAAGCATTCACTCAGATGTGCGAGACGATATCTCGGCATGAGCCAACGTTGTAGCCGGGGTGAAGTCGGAGACCCTGGGGAGCCTTAGCTAGACGTACCTGCATCCTTGAAGTCTTTCGCGCTTTCTATATCCTTATCAGTATATACGGCGGCGTACTCGTCGATGGAGTCGTCCGTGGGTGGTGCGTAAGTTCCATCTATGGCCACGATCTTGAAACCTTCGGACGTCTTAAAACGTCGTCCCAATATACTGAGATTTGGACAAAGTTCGCCGTCGTTGCTTGTGAGCTTCTCAACAACAGCGGCTGAGAATGACCTTCCACGGGCGAAATATGTTGGCAGTGGAACTTCGATCTCGCCGCTCAGAAGCTTCTGAACTTCTTGACCTTGGTCGTTTGATAATGTGTCAGGGTTCGCAAAGAGGTTTCCGGCAATGACTGCGAAGGCGAAAGAGTTCTTGGCGTGGAGTTTGGCCAATTTCCCAAAGAGGTCGGAGAAATGTCCATTCACATCTCCAACGACGATGATCTTGGATGCCATGCCGCGATTGATCGAGGGGCCTAAGTCAGGCTTGCGGCTCGGATGCTGTCTGAGAGGCCAGATTGAGTCCTGTACTTATTGGAGATTCCGAATGTAGTGGTCGTGTACAGCAGGATAGGCCTGAGGAGGGAGGACTGATGCAGATGTTCACGTTAATGTCGGAAACATTCACTTCGCGTCGGCAGAAAAGGACCGCGGCGCACAAGCTTTCGGGGCGGACCGAGCTCCGCGCAGATCGCTGAACCCTGTCGCATCGCGGAAATCTTGGGGAACTTTTTCTCGACTTCGAGAACACAGACAACGACTTGGCATGCGATGTAGCGATGTCGTCCATCTCGAGAGGGAAGACCGCCAAGGCGCAGAAAGCCTACAAGATTGTAAAGCCGAAGAAAAATGCGAAAAAGACGACGATCTCTCAACGAAATCACCGATTCCAGTCCTTCAACGAACGCATCGCAACCTTGAGGATCGATCCCATCCGGCGCAAGAGACATGTTGATGCGGAAGAGAAGGCCCCAGAAGAGACGCACACGTACTTTGGACAAGCGCTGGAAGAATGGAAAGACACAAACCTTTCGCAGACCTTTAGTGCATTTGCGAAAGAAGCTTCGCCGCTTTGCGACAACCTGGCTGTCGTCCTATACAATGAGAACAACATCATGGAGTTGCTGTGTGCATACATCGAGAAGGGAGATGCGCTTGCCATGGAGCCTCTGTTGAACCTTCTGTCACATTTCGCGCATGATCTGGATACGAGATTCGAGCCGCATTTCCCTCGGGCCGTGGGCACAGTGACGGCTGTAGCAGCGAAGCACGCTGATTTCGCTGTGATCGAATGGAGCTTTACGTGCCTTGCATGGCTGTTCAAGTATCTCTCGCGACTCTTGACTCCGGATCTCCGACCACTGTACGATCTCATGGCACCCTACTTGGGCAGAGAAATGCAGAAACCATTCATCGTTCGCTTCACCGCCGAGTCCCTGAGCTTCTTGGTCAGGAAAGCGGCTGTCATATATGAGAGAGATCAAAAGCCTCTGGATTTGATAATTCAGCATATGCTGAAGGATAGCTTAACCATGGCTACCGAGGAAGACACGCCCAGCCTGCATCACCAGGGAATCATGACTTTGTTGACAGAGGCGATTAAAGGCGTGCAGAACGGAGTCAGCGCGAGCGGAATCTTGATACTGCAGAGTCTTTTCAAAATCTCGAGCGAAATGACAAGGGAAGATACAACCGCTTTGGAAAGCCTCGCATCAGGTGTCTTGACAAGCCTGGTACATCACTGCACAGCGGACACGTTTACCTCGATACTCGATACCATCATCGCATTTGTGGAAAGCTCGCTCAATGCCGCTCAGCCATCCAAGATTCGTTTCTGTAGTTCTCTGCTGTTCACAGTCATCTCAGTGCGGAAAGGCACCAGGGTCTCAGCCTGGAAGCGGACAGTGGATGCTGCTAAGAAGTTGGTGTCTGCATGCCATGATTTGCCGGACTTTGATGAAAAGGTTGCGGATGCCGTTCTTAGTCTACTGGCTGTAAGTATGCAGACTGCGACTATTGATACTGTTTTGGCCACAAGACAGACCTTGGACACATTACGAAGCGGCAACTGGGCTCCATACTTCCTCAGGTTCTGCGACATGTCCCTGCGTCTCGGCCCAGAGCGCTTCACTGACTTCGTCCTACCTCAATTTCAGAAGTCGCTTCTTGACATGGGCGGGGAGTTGAATTATGAAATCCTCATGCTCATTCCAAGAATAGCAAGCAGCAAACGGAACTTGAAGCTCAAGTGCCAGCCAGAAACAGCAGACGCTGTGGTCGGGGGTCTTCGTGACATTCTCGACAAAGACAGCGAAGACGTCGGAAAAATTGCACACGCCAACCTACAGCTCGCTGCCATGCCATTTTTGAGCACGTCAGGCAAGCATACGCATGATCTTGAGATCACTTTGGCCCAGATTGTCAACCGAGCGCTCGAGAGAGCTGCGGATGAAAACTCTGCCTTTCAAAACTTCGCCCTTGGAGTCGTATTAGAGCGGCTTTTACATCTTGAAGGTGACCCGACTGCGCTGCAAGATTTTTGGATTCCTCTGTGCAACGCTTCTCAACAATTCATCGCACTGCCTCGATTTTGCACCAACCTGCTGAATTTCACGAAACATTGTCAACCCACAGAGCTGGAAGGGGCGCACATGGAGCTGCTAGAGAGTGTCCTAATCTCGTCGTTGGCTCTCCCTTCGCACGCAGTCCGGCAGACGTGCCTGGACATTCTACAAGGGCTCTGCAGGTTGCGCGGATCAGAAATGTCCGCGGCCCTGGCCACCGCGATCACTATAGAGTCAATTCCGATCACAATGGAGACCACTCGATCCATCTCCATGAATATTCGAAAGCTTGCAACGGACTATAAGGTCGCCAGCGAAGACAAAGTTGCGGTAAAAGCGGTACCTACTTACTGCTTCGGTCTGCTACACCTCAATTTGGCACAGGCTTGGGACGATGCAATCAATACATTGTCTTCGATATCACAATCAAGGGCCGGCGAAGACGTTGTTGTCGATCTCGCGCAATCCTGGCTCGAGAAGAAGGCTGATCCAGACGGGGAGGGTGATATAACAACCGCAATTCTGGACGCTGAATCGGATGGCTTTAAGGTTTTCTCAGATTTCGAATGCCCTAATCTTGCCAAGATGTCAGCAATATCAAAGCAGGTCTTCGAGGAACCATCTGGTGGGTATCTTGCTCCAGCTGAAAAGCTAAAGTCTGATCAGAAGCGTGTGCCGACGGTCACTCCAACGGCAAGGGGCCAGGCACTGAAGGTGCTGAATAAGATTCCACAGATAGCAGAAAAACGGTCTCGTTTGCTTGTGCCTGTTCTTCTGCGATGGGCCAAAGCCGGTCCTGCCGAAGAAGACGCGGACCCTCCGGAAACTGATCGATGGGCGCGCAAAGATCAGAAGGCAATGCTCGCGATATTTGCTCAGTTCGTCAATCCCAAGGTGCTATACAAGTCAAACGAGGTGCACAAGGCATTGTTGTCCCTTTGCGCAAATGGAGATGTCGAAATTCAGCGATCCGCGCTGAAGGCGTTACTGGCGTGGAAGGAGGCGGCTCTAGTCAGATACGCAGAGCATCTGAACAATATTCTGGACGAGGCCAGGTTTCGCGAAGAGCTTTCTGTCTTTTTGAGAGACGATGCTGACGATGATAATGACGGTATCAGACAAGAAGATTACGAGGGGCTTATGCCGGTCTTGCTCCGTCTGCTGTACGGGAGAGCCGTAGCAGGCGGCAAAGAAGGCCAAACTGGTCGCCGCAAAGCAATATTCGTGGCTCTGTCTCGGTTTGGAGAGAGAAATTTAGAGCAATTCCTGGACATTGCACTCCCTCCGCTTACTGACCAAGGCGCCGGAGATCTGCAGCAGCCTAAGATGACACCGAGGCAGCAGTTTGGTATGCTCAACATGGTCAATGACATGGTCCAAACTCTGGGCGCCGAGTTGGAGCCGTTCGTCCGCAAACTTCTCAATGGGATGCTGTCCTGCACGATAAGTGCCTCGAAGAGACTGGACCAGGGTCAGCAGGAGAATGATCTCTCGTTACTTCGATCGATACGCCAATCAGGCATGCAGTGTCTTGTCAGGGTGTTCACACAAATGACGGACTTTGATGCATCATCTGCTGGGAAGCTGGTGGTCGACGAGCTCATACGACCTCGCCTGACCACGTTTGCAAACGAACATGCGCAATCTGTATCTGGGACTTTGCGACTTCTTGTCGCTTGGAGCGGACGCAACGAAACAGCGCAACTCTTTGACCAATCCGATGGTGCCCTGCTGGAAGCTGTGGCGGATTTGCTGCAAGCACAACACACCAAAGATGATGTGAGGCTTTTCGTCCTGCAGGAGATTGTCGGGAATCTCGTGAAAGACAATATCGATGAAGCGATTCTCAGATCTCATGTCTCCAGATTCGTTCGCGCCATTGGGGTTGTGATACGCCTGCGATCGTCAAAGGATGTTCTAGATGCCAGCGTGAGCTGCTTCTCTCAGCTGGCGGGACGTATTGCTTCGGGAGAAGAAGCAACTGGAGTTATCAAGATCTGTACAGAGCTACTCACCAAGCCGGGAAAGATGGTTTCGCCGGGTACCAAAGTTGGACTTCTACGTACACTGCTACCTCTTGTCGAGCGCTTCCCGGTGACCGAGAAAGAGGAACTATATGCTGCATTATGCGCACTTTTCTCACGCCTGCAAGAGCCGGAAGGCCGGTTGTTGCTCGCTGAGGTGGCCCGCGCCCTGATGGGAGCCGATCCTGAGCTGGTAAAGATATCTGAGATATGCGCGGACATGAACGCTATGGGAGGCCGTCTGGATGAGCCGGATCATGACCGCCGTGAGCGTGCTTTCGCTTTCATTTACGAGTCCGCTGGAACCCTGTCTCTCCAGCAGTGGATGCCTGTCGTTCACAACTGCCTTTTCTATGTTCGAGACGGCGAAGATCGGGTAAACCGATCCAGTGCTTCGCATGCCCTGCAACTCTTCATTGATTCAGCCGCGCAGCATGCTGATGAGCAGGTTTGGAAGACACTGCTGGAAGATGCTCTTTATTCCGGCGTTGAGCGCGGCATGCGCGAACGATCAGAACTTGTCCGGGCAGAGTACCTCGCCATTCTCGGCCATATCGTGGAAAAGATGTCAAGTTGGCCGAAAGTCAGCGGCATGGCATCTCTCGTTGTCGGTGGCGATGAAGAAGCTTCTTTCTTTACTAACATCCTGCATATTCAGCAGCACCGTCGTCTCCGTTCGCTCAGGAGACTGAGTGAAGAAGCTGCCGGACTGGGATCTCAGAATACTTCTCGGATCTTTCTACCGCTGCTTGAACATTTCGTGTTCGACCAAGCGGAAGGAGATGGAGGGAGAACTTTGGCCGATCAGACGGTACAGACTATTGGAGCTCTGGCCCAGACACTGAACAAGTCCGCGTTCAAAGCAACCTTCCAACGCTATACAAGCTACTTGAAAACCAAAGAAGAATTCGAAAAGACCGTGCTGAGGATGCTTGGTGCTCTCGTGGATGGGATGCAGAGCGCGCCGGAGAAGGAGCGTAGCAGTCAAGCCATCATCGAGGAACAGCTGCCGCCACTGTTGGAATACCTGCACCAGAAAGACGAATCAACGGTGGATCGACGAATGCCGGTCGCTGTGACTATCGTGAAGCTCATGAAGATGTTGCCAGAACAGGAGTTCATGTCCAGACTACCTGGCGTCTTGACAGACGTCTGTCACGTCCTGCGTAGCCGCAGCCAGGAAGCTCGTGACGAGACAAGAAAAGCATTGAAGGCTATCTCCTCCTTGGTCGGCCCACAATACTTCCGGTTCATTGTCAAAGAACTGCGAGGCGCGCTTAAGCGCGGCTATCAACTCCATGTACTGTCGTTCACGGTGCATGCGCTCCTCGTCGAAGCCCAGTTCGGGCCTGGCGATATCGACGAGTGCTTACCGGATCTGATGCTGGTCATTATGGATGACATATTCGGCATTACTGGACAGGAAAAGGATGCCGAAGAGTACAAAAGTGGTATGAAAGAAGTCAAAAGCAGCAAGAGCTTTGACACCATGGAGCTGCTTGCTCGTGTCACCCCAATCAACAAGCTCGGCGAACTCATCCGTCCTATACGGTCTCTGCTTTCAGAGAAAATCGACATGAAGAACCTCAAAAAGATCGATGAACTTCTGACACGTTTGCGGAAGGGATTGGACCAGAATGCGGCTTCTGACAGCAGAGATATGCTGAGCTTCTGCTGGGAGATTGTCAATCAAGTCTATGCAGAGCAAAACGCACCGAGAGCTGAGGTAGACAAGGTCGATGAGCGTCGCAGGCGGTATCTTGTGCAGCCTGAAGCTCCCAAAGGTGGACTCAAGAAAGGCGTCACGACGTCTTATCAGTTCAAGCTGATCAGTTTCGCACTCAACCTGCTTCGCAAAGTAATCAGGCGGCACGAGGACCTTCAAACTCCTCAGAACATGGTCGGCTTCTTGCCAATGGCTGGCGATGCGCTTGTGCAGGGCCAGGAAGAGGTCAAGCTTTCTGCTGTCAGGCTCCTCTCGACCATCATGCGCGTTCCGCACCCGCAATTTGACGTCGATGCACCAGTCTATGCTAAGGAAGCTGTCGCCATGATCAAAGGTACGGTAGATATGACAACCGATGCCGCCAAAGCTGCGCTTGAGCTCCTTACCTCAATTCTCCGAGAGAAACGATCTGCTGACATCAAAGAGAGAGACATTGCACTCGTACTTCAGCGCATCAAGGCCGACATCGATGAGCCTGATAGGCAAGGTATCACCTACAAGTTTCTGCGTGCTGTCCTCGGTCGCAAGATTGTCATCACGGAAGTCTACGAGACCATGGATGAGGTTGGTAAGACGATGGTTACGAATCCTGATCGTCAGGTCCGTGAGAGTGCCAGGAGTGCGTACTTGCAATTTGTCATGGAATATCCGCAAGGCAAGGATAGATGGCAGAAGCAAACTGCTTTCCTGGTTGGCAATCTTCAGTACGAACATGCTGGTGGTCGTCAAAGTGTCATGGAATTCTTGCATCAGATGCTGAGCAAGATTGGAGACGATGTGCTTGCAGAGATCGGATCGAAGATCTTCGTGTCTTTGCTTCCGGTTATTGTCAGCGATAGTGACGGCTCTTGTCGTGAGATGGCTCGGCTGTTGATCGGCAAGCTCTTCGAGAGAGTCGCTCCTGAACAGCTCACTAAGCTTCTCTCGCTCATGGAAACCTGGTTGAGGAAGGAAAAGAAAGCTTCCATCAAAGCTGGCGCTCTGCAGTGCTGGGCGATTCTCTTACGTGCGAGGTCGGCTCCACAGAAGCATTTGGAAGGCATTCGTGACAAGCTCGAGGATATCCTCTCCAGCTGTGCCGAAGAAGAGACAATCTCGGAGCCACGACTGGTACTAGATGCTCTACAAGCGTTCTCTGTACTCGTCGAGACTGCTCCGATTGTGGGTCTCGGACGAGATTCGGCAGACCTTTGGCAGGCCATACAGCAGCTTCCGTCCTCTGGCAATGCTGAAGTCCAGGAGCAAGTTGCCACTCTGCTCGGTATTTTCTTCACAGATGTCGCGAGTACTAGCTCGAAGACGGCGGATGGTCTTGCCGGTCTGCCCTTGCGAGGCTCTGGTGGACTCGAGATTGGCGCAGAAGATATGCGGCGTCTTTGTGGAGTCAATCTTCGAGCGCTCAGATCTGTGTCCCTCGGGACAGCTGAAAGCCTTACAATCCAAGTTGTACGCAATCTCGTCTTCCTTGGAAGATGCTTCGCTGCGAATGAGATGCCGTGGCGCGAGGACGTGAACAATGATGAAGCGTCCGACGAGGAGGATGCTGATGCAGCAGAAGACGGCCGAGTTGATCAAGAGATGAATGATTCCTCATCAGCATTGTCGAATATTCTCCGTCGTCTGGCCTCCATGTTGATGGCAGACAAGTTCTCTGTCATCTCTCGCACCGCTGCGCTCCAGTGCCTCTCCGCCACCATCAATCAGATCCCCACGATCCCAGGCATTCAGACGGTGTTACGTCCGCTGTATGCTTTGACTGATCCTTCTGTTCCCAAGCCTCCCGGCGATCTGTACAAAGCGCTCAGCGACAAGGCTTCGGAAGCGCTGGAGCTTATCCAGAAGAAAATGGGGAGCGAGAAATATGTGGCTGAGTTGGCGATCACTCGGGCTGCTGCCAAGACTAGAAGAGAGGAGAGAAGACAGAAACGACGGATTGAGGCTGTTGCGGATCCTGAGAGGTGGGCTGCTGGGAAGAAGAGGAAGTATGAGGGCAAAAGGGAGAAGCAGAAGGCGAAGGGTGCTGAGGCTAGGGGCAAGCGGAGAGGGTGGTAATCTACTTCTATCCTAAAAGCATAGTCATGAAGAGGGGCATAGGAGTATTGCAGGTAGTCTGTACCGCAGCAAATGCGTGCCTTCCGCATTCAGAATGAAACCTCACATGCGCGCCAACGGGCCGCTCCCGTAGCCGCGTTTACATAGACACGAAGCCATCTCACTCATCCCCACTTCGAAGGAACAACAACAACCAAGATGTCGGCACCAAACGCCACAGGCGAGTACAATCTCTGCGAGACACTGTGTCGAGAAAGCTGACTTTACCTGTAGAGATCAACGCCTTCATGGCACAAATTTCCACCAACCAAGAGCAGATCCGCGCCGCCAAGCGGCAGGAGGTGAGCAAGCACCGCTGGGACACCCCAGCACGAGAGGACTGGGGCGAGCAGCAGCAGCAGGCGATGCAGTCCCGCCTGCAGCAGCAAGCAGCAGCGGACTCGCTGGCGAAGCGCCGGCTCCAATGGCAAGGAGCCGAAGACCAGCTCCACCCCTGGCAGCGCGACCAGGAAGAACGCGCTCGCCTGCAGTGGATCGAACAGCAAGCGATCCGCATGCACCAGCAGCAACAGCAGCAGCGAGACGAGGCCGCTCGCCAAGAGCGCCTCCACCACCAACGCGAAGCCGCGCACGCCCTCTGCCGCGCTTCCTTCCATCTCTTCCAAGCCGGGCACGAGGAACAGGCGAACATGGCCTGGAGCCTGGGACAGATGCAGGTGGGAGACGCGGAGATGCGTCGGATGATGGCCATGGGCGGAAACCCAAGGCAGTGATGGACGGGCACACTCTTCTCCGCGCGGAAAATGATTACAACGGACTCGGAGGCAGAGGGTGGCTTTTTGTTTTGCGGCATTGCGGAGATACCCAGCATGAGGGGGGCTTGTCTGTTTTTTTGTTTCTTCTTTTTACATGCGCGAAATGGCGGTAATGGGCTTGGGGTGTTTTTGTTCTCTGGTGGCTTTGCGCTTTGCTGTAATGATGAGATACTGGTAATGGAAGCGAGCGAGATGGCAGACGGAAGATGCTCGAGACTGACCCTCCCACCATGCTGCTTACAGCAGTAACCTCAAAGTCCCCAATCCAGGACTAACACTCCCCTTACTCTTCAAACTCAGAACGGCCGCTCTCTGCGCCAAATCGACCAGATCTTCCACCCTTGCCGCCTTCCCCCTCTTCGAAAGCCCCGCAATCAAAGTCCCTATAAATGTATCTCCCACTCCATTCACGCTCACAATTGCTTCCGAGGGAATCTCCTCGACGCGCGGGAAAAGACGCATGTATACCCCACCGATCCGATCTGCCGTCTCAGCGCTCATGTTTCGAGATAGAATATAGGGAGCATAGTCTCCATTTGTTAGACGCTCATCGCCGGCTGGGATGATCTGCGTGAGCAGAACGCCTTGGGAGCCGAGCTTGGTGCAGATGGAAGGGATGAAGGGGAGTAGTTGCAGTGATTGCTGCGGAATGCCTTGATCGACAAGCTCACTGCTCGTTGAAAGGCATAGCTGTACTCGGGCGCCCGTATCCGGAATGCCGAAGGAGTTGATACATTCCCACCAGTCTTTGCGATCGAAGAAGTCCTTTTCGCGAGCAGCGGTGTACATTGCTGCTAGTTCGTGGGAATTGGGGGTTGCGAGATGGATAGATGGATTCGGAAAGACACCGAGTCTGTGATCCCTAGGAAGGCTGAACAAGCCGGTAGATTTGACATTGCTGACTGGCTCAAAGGAGACATGGGCATCAATGGCTTTTCCTGCTTCTAGCCAACGGGCGAGGAGATCCGGCGGCCAGTTTCCGTCTACAACGAGATGCGATGGTCGGAATTGGGTGAGTTGGGGAAGCCAAAAGTCCGTAAAGGCGCTTGAGATGGATGCCTGTTCAAGAATGCTCATATCTGCCATGGCCAGGACGAGATCTTTGTTCTTATCGTTGAAGGCGACGTATTGCGATGTGCGACTTTCGCTATCTTCTGACATCACCTTGATTCCGGAGATTGACATTTGTGCAGCGGTCAGGGCTTCTAATGCCGCTTTGCCGGTCAAGTCTGCACCCACAGCGCTACATAGACGAACGCTGGCTCCCATTAGGTGTGCTGCTCGAGCAACGTTGCTTCCGACGCCGCCAAGCGATTGCGCAATCTGCGCTGGATTCGAAGTATGTAATTCCGGCGATGACAAGGCTGTTCCAGATCTTGGTTCGTAGTCGCAAGCGAGGTCCACTGCAAGGCTGCCAGCAACAAATACGTCGGCTGAGGTGGTAATGGCATCCGCGCCGGAATCTTTTCTTGCTGATGATGACGCGGTTTTCGAAGCCCCAGTGGCAGTGGAGAAGCCTTTTGGAACGCCATCGCTTGTATAGTTCGACGCAGCTGGCCCAACGACAACTGCATTGGAATCGCTCTGATAGCTGCCTGTGACATAAGCAATTGCTCGAGAGGGCTTGGATCATCCACTTACTAGCTTCCAGTCTGCCCTTCCATCTCCAGCTTTTGCACAGCGACAGCCACTTTGGTTCCTCTGATCACATTAGCCTCCACCAAGGCCCGATTCGCTGCGACGCTCTTGCTGCCAGTCAGCTCCTTGATCTTGGCAAGAATATAAGGTGTGCTGGCAGCTCCCGTCGCACCCGCTGTAGAAGCTTCTCTGATAGCCTGCTCTATGGCCCTCTCCATATCTTCGAAAGGAAGAGAGTGTTCTTCCGGAATCGGATTGGCAAAGTGTAACCCAGACTGTAGTCCGAGCACACTTTGTGCATATATCACTCTCGCTGCGTCTTTTTCATGTTGTAGGACCTTGGGACTCTTGACGCCGCTCTCACGGGTGTAGAAAGCCGGAAAGTCCACATCGCCTGTGCGACCGTCGGCGAAAGTCGCTACAGCCACGCCTTGCGTTTCGAGGTACTCCAATGTTTTCGGTATGTCTAGAAAAGACTTACATCCCGAGCTGATGACGGTAATCGGTGTTTTTCCGAGCTCAGTGAGATCTGCAGAGATGTCCATCGTCTGCTCAGCTCCTCGATGAACTCCACCCAGCCCGCCCGTGGCAAAGACTTTGATCCCTGCCATATGAGCAAGGACTGAAGTACCCGAGATAGTCGTCCCTCCATTCAAAGGGTTTCCATCGGCACCTCTGAGGCCCAGTACAAATCCTAGGTCTCGCCTGGAGATCTTGAGCAGATTCGGTGAGCCCGCGGAAGAGACCAGTCGCACCAGCTCATCCGCGCCAAGACCAACTCGTGCTACGCCTTCCAAGATTCCAATCGTTGCTGGGACGCCGCCATTCAATCTCACCAGAGACTCCAATCGAGATGCTAGTGCGAGATTATCAGGGTATGGGAAGCCATGGGTGTAGATAGTACTCTCGAGCGCCACGACGGGCCGACGTTCTGAGATGGCTTGCTGGACCTCTTCCGAGACCCGAAAGAATTTCGAATTGGAGCTTATCGATCTCACAGTCCTTAGTCGATCGCTGTATCTCCTTGAAGCAATGGCATGTGAGCGACAAGCTCTACAGATCCAGGGAAGCGACATACTCGCATCAAGTAAGTCAACTCCGTATGTAGAGAGTCAGAGTGCCAGACAGCCCTGACCGTCGTAGTCTCACCCGTATTATACCGAAGAGCGACTCTTCTGATATACCGACTCGCCAGGGTGTGTGCGTTGATGTATCACATGCAAGTCGAGCTGAGGTGAAGTGACGAGACGGGTCTTGGCATTCTGAACCCCGGGAAGCTTGGACCGGGAAGCTGCCACGTTGAAGCTTGCGGACAGAGACGACGCGCATGCGCCAATTCCAATTCCTCCACCCAACAATCTCGATGCCAACAACATGAGATTACTATCATGGGCCTTGTTAGGCCTCTCAACATCAGCAGCAGCGGCTGATGTCAACACCACCCACGAATCGCGAAACATTCTCTCCTCCACATTCGCTCCCCCGAAGCACTTCCGCAATGTCAACCTGGTGCGGAATATCAATCTGGAGAAGAGCTATCCGCGGGAGACGCTGAATGTCGTGATTGAGAATGTGGATAAGGAAGCGCAGAGGGAATATTTCTTGCCTTTTGAGCAGGGCACACTGGGCAGGATTGGGGGCTTAGAGGTCAGGGATAAGAAGGAGGCTGAGAAGTCGGGTGTGTTTGGGGTTGAGATTGTTGGAATCGATCCGACGAGGTACGAAGAAGATGATGTTCGAATGCATGGTGGAATATACTGACAAAAGAGCTGTAGTTCAACGGAATTCTACAAGATCACACTCCCTAAAGCTCTTCCACCAAAGGAGCAATTGACACTCTCCATCACGTATTACATCCTCGCCGCCCTCGAACCTCTTCCAGCGCAGATCGGTCAGACGGAAAAGCAATATGTTCTACACAAGTTCTCCGCGTACACACCCAGCGCGTACACGACGATGAAGCAGAAGACGAAACTCAAGCTGCCTACGACCGATGTGCCCGATGTCGTCACTCTTCCCGCCTCTTTGAACGCCGAAGGAAAGGAGGATCCTCAAAAGCAGGGAACTTCTTTCACATACGGTCCATACGGACAGCTCGAGGCCGGCGCAGTTCAAGAAGTCAGCGTGCGATACGAGTTCACCAAGCCCCTCACGCACAGCAAGCTTCTGGAGAGAGACGTCGAGGTCTCGCACTGGGGAGGGAACGTTGCTACGGAGGAGCGTCACTGGCTCACCAACCGCGCTGCTACTTTGAAGGACCACTTTTCGCGGGTGACATACCAGCAGTCGAGCTACTACAACCCACCCACGAGCGCTCTGAAGGAGCTCAAGTTCCCTCTCAGCGTTGGCAGTGTAGACGCCTACTTCATCGACGATGTGGGTAACGTGTCGACCTCGAGATTCCGCACCAACTCTCGCGAAGCCAATCTCGAATTGAAGCCCCGCTACCCGGTCTTTGGCAACTGGAACTACTCCTTCAAGGTGGGCTGGAACGTGGATCTCACGAACTACCTTCGCATTTCCAAGGACAACCCGGAGAGCTTCGTGCTCAAGGTGCCTTTCTTCGAGGGGCCAAAGCAAGCTGAAGGGCTGGAATACGAACGGATTGTCACCCGCATTGTCCTGCCCGAAGGCGCAAAGTAAGTCTCCAATAAATTCGTTCTACCATGAAGCTCTATCTAACTTCTCTCCACCAGGAACGTCAAATACGAGACCAACATCCCCGTCATCTCCTCCGAAACCGGCTTCTACCGCACCTTCATGGACACGGTCGGCCGCACCACTCTCACACTCACCGCTATCAACCTTGTCGATGAGTTCCGCGACCGAGACCTCGTCGTCACTTACGATTACCCTTCAAGCGCCAAGTACTGGAAACCTTTGACCATCACGGCCGGTATGCTGTTGGTATTTGTGATTTCTTGGGTCGTCGGCAACCTCGATGTCAGCATTGGGAAGAAAAAGCAAGCATAGAATGTAGAGTTGAATGTATCATATATTTTATTATTGGTTTCTGGAATGAAAATGAGGATCACAAGGGTCACGCTGTGCTATGACTTTGTACGCTAGATAAGGGCGCACCAAACCCAGCAACACTCGCGTCTCCCATTCTCCTAAACCCTACACACCGGATCAACCACGATCTTCCCTCCTCAAACCTCCACTGGAAGCCTTCAATCCCATCAAGAGAATAGTGGAAGATTTAAGGGGCTGAGAGCATGTGGGTGTAATTGCGGTTGTTGCGGGCGGTTATGAGGTCTCATGTAGGCGGCTGTGAGTTTCCGGGTGTTTTGGCTGTAGGGATGGGGTGGTGTTGATGGTGTTGAGGTGGGTATTGTTGATTTGGCCATGAGTGGCAATCGCATCTGTTCCAGTGGTATCTCTTTCCTCGGACAGTCCGCGGAAACGCGTTGAAGGGACAGCGACCGCTCTTGATGCCGTCTAGCTATTACATTTATAAAGGCATCTTTCTTGGCTAAAATTTGAAGGGCTCGTTGCCGGTAGCTGAGAATGGCACAGCACGGCCACGGCATTTAATACCTTCGGTATAGGTCTGTTCGTGATGAGGCAGTAGGATACGGCGGCGGACAAGACCTTCCGTCCGTTCCAGTTGATGTTGACGGGATTGTTTTTCCTTCGGTCTCGTATCGGAGCTGAGGCCGCGGAATAGCCGTGGTGGGAGGCTAACTATAAGGTAAGGTAGGAGGAAGACCTCACGTCACCACCGCTTCGTGCACGGAAACAAACATCACATGCTCACATCATTCCACCAGCCGGCATCTTTCCGATCTGGCGCGATGCGATGCGATACGATGCGTCGGCAACGTGCGGAGATATCATCAGCTTCACAGCGACGAATGAAGGGAAAGAGCTGAAGCTTAATAATGCTGGCAGGCAGGTGACCACCTCATGTCAGAGTGAGGCAGCTCGGACCTCCCCTCATTCCATTCCATATCCATACATGTACTGACCATCACTGATACCTACGACTGATGGTCCTATTCCTCGAGAGCACGAAGAAGAGCTGGTTCTAGTCCCACCACCACCTCCTCCTCTCCTCCATCCATCTCACACCTTGCATCGACACAACAATGCGCTTCGTCTCTCTCCCCTCACCACCTACCATCTTCCCCACCTATCTCGTCCCCGCCCTCCCCTTCCGACGTCGGAAATCAAGTACAGACAGCAACACATCCGCCACCTCTACCAATTCAACAACTCCCGACTCCTCCTCCTCCTCCTCCTCCTCCTCCTCCTCAGAATCAGAAACCTACCTCACCTCCGCAACCTCCCACCTCCGCTGCTCCCGCTGCCTCTCCGACCTCGCCCTCTCCACCCAAATCATCTCCAAGGGCTTCACCGGCCGCCACGGACGCGCCTACCTCGTCGCTCCCTCTCCCTCATCCTCCTCCACCACATCCACCTCCACCACACCCACCCTCCCAAACCTCCCCAACACCTACACCTACAAACCCGTCCCCCGCCAACTCGTCACCGGCCCACACACCGTCGGCGACATTTCCTGCGCGCAATGCGGCTCCGTCCTTGGCTGGAAATACGTCGCCGCGGAGCACGAAGAGCAGAAATATAAAGTCGGCAAGTTCATTTTGGAAACGCGCAGGGTCTGTCGGAGTAGTATGTGGGAATCGACGAATGAACATGAAGCAGCGACTACGAGGACGGCGGCGGGTTTGAGGAACAAGGAGGTGGTGGATGACTTGGAATTCGATTCGCAGGATGAGGATGAATGCGATGCTCTGTTCGCGGGGCAGTGGACTCCGCAGTTCGCGAGGAGCGTGAGGAAGGAGAAGAAGGGGTTTCAGCATCATCACCATCATCATAAGAGTTTTGCGAGGTTGTCGGAGGTGTGAAGGAAACGGGAGACGGGCGGAAGACACAAGAGGGAGAGGGAGAGAGAAAGACGTGAGATTGGTTTGAACGAGAGGAATGATACCCCCCCTTCAGGATGATACACATGACTTTCGGGAATTCTCTGCATTGATTGATTGAATGGCGGTTGGCAACAGGAGTTGAAACGTTTGGAATGATACCCTGGGTAATTATTCAATCACGATGAAAGATATAACGTACAACAAACATACCTTATCTACCTTAGCACAAAGATGATGCATGCATGCATGACTGTCCTAATCTCCAAGACCAAGAAAGATGGCTGTAATTTTAATTTTTTTTTAATTGGAATTTCTGCATTTGAGTTCTTGTTCAATATCAACAAACAGCAGAGCCTTGCCCCTCTGTCCATCTACAAGATACGAAGACCAACACACAACAACGCCGCAGAAAATCCCGTCTCATCGAATCAATCAATGCCTCGTCGTCGAACCGTAATCCGTCTCACATGCCCATCGAATACGTTCCGCTCTGTCCACTGCCGTCAATGTTCGACGGAGCTAGCTGACTGACTGCCTACTTGTTCTAGTCGCAGCAAAAAAAAATCTCTGCCCACCAACGCCACCGCTAAAAAGAGTTTCAAATGCAATCCATCCCATAATCACACACATCGAACGAACGCCACGCCCGACGACCTTCCCGCCGCGCAAGCAGGAGGAAGGAAGGAAGGAAGGAGAACGACGGAGGGTCGTACCAACAGTCGTCGCTCTCACATCTGCTTGTAATCCACGCTGCGCTGTCTCTTCTGCTTGCCCTGGTGCCGATGCGGATTCACCGGCTGTCGGAAGTAGGCCCCATCGCCTCCACCATTCTGCTGTTGTGGCGTGCCGTTGCGCATCCATGGAGTCTGCTGCTGCTGCTGGTGATTGTTCTGGTTCTGGTTCCAATTCATGCCACCGCCATTCATCATGTTGTTGTTATTGTTGTTGTTGTTCATACCCATGCCGCCGCCGTTCATGCCGTTCATGTTCATGCCCGGAAATGGCATCCCGCCCATCATCATCGGGTTGAAGCCCGGCATCATGCCCGGCATCATCGGCATCCCCATGGGCATCCCCATCATGGGGTTGACGAAGGCGTTCATGCCGTTCTGAGATCCGGCCATCGAGTTCATCTGGTTGACAAAGTCGCTCATGCTCTTGGGCGCAGATGGGATCTTGGGGCCAGTCGGGGGCTGTGGGGTGCTTGATTGCGAGGTTTGAGATGCCGGGGTAGCCGTCTTCTTGATTTCCGCTGGATTGGCAGGTTGTCGGTTGTTTCCCAGCTCGTCCTCAGCAGGTCGCTTCTTCGAGTTCGAAGAGGGTGGCGAGTTGACCTTGGCATCCGGTGCTGGTGACTTGCCATCCTCGGCAACGGCCTTGGGTGTGTTGGCTTGCTCGGGCGTCTTGGTTCCTTCTTTGTCCTTCTTCGCCTTCTCGGCCTTCTTCTCCGCGTTGAAGTCGTCGAGGGCCTTCACGGTCTCTTGGTCAATTTCCAAATCATCAATCAGCTGCCGCTGATTGCAGTTCGGACATTGGAGATCAGAGTCGATCAGTGCATTCTCGAGACACTCCTTACAATACTTCGTGTCGCAGCACGTGGTCTTAACCGGGTCGACGAATGGGCGCTTGTCGAGAGGACATTCCAGTCCACGGTCACGAAGCTCCTGATCACCGTGAGCGGCCTCCTTGGCTCTCTCGGCGTTGGCCTTCTGCTGGTCCTGGATTTTCTGCCAGGTGGCCTCGTCCGTCTTGGCGCGAACCCAAGTGCCATCTCCAGTGTACATGACGCCCTTGCCAAGCTTGGTTGGGTCGACAACACCATCCTCGCCAATGGCATCTTGCACGTCAACGGCAACGTGGAAGGACTTCGGAATACCGGTAGTGCGCTTGAATTTGTGCTTACCATCGAAGTTCGGATCATTGTTGGTAGGACAGGCTTGAATCCAGTGGCCGGCCTTGCCACAGCGATGACACATGTAGCCCGGCGGCAGTGGCTTGTCAGGCACCGCGGCAGGCTTGTAGCTCTTGTTGAATACAGGCTTTCCAGACGAGTTTTTCAGGTCTGCTTGCATCTGATTATTGCTAGCATTCAATACAGCTTGTAGCTTCTCCTCCTCCGTCAACGCCTTCCCATCCCCCACGGCGGCACTCGAAGTCGAGGCCTTGGCCTTCTCGATGCGGTTCCTAGCATGCAGCGGCATCTGGCCAGTGACGTAGCGTGCGGCTCTACCAGCACCGGGTCTCTGCGCAGGCATTCGCTGGACAACGACTGTGGTCGACCGCGGTATCTGTGTGGTATCATCGTCGTAGACTGTAGTGCATGTTAGCCACTGTAATTGTTTATTGCGAGCGTACATGTCATTCCTAGCAAGCTCCACGGAGCGGCTGAGAACTGTATTATGTCGCGAAAATCATGAAAACTCACTCTCGTTGGTGTCGGAGGCATAGATGTCCAGGTCGAAGTCCTTGCCGTCACCGAGTCGGGCGAGGCTCATGATCTCGCGCTTCACCTCGAATACAGACAGACTGGTGCCGTCGAAGTTGATTTGCGACGGGTCCTTTTGGGACTTGAAGCGGAAGAAGATAGACGAAGACATGGTTGCGGATGAGGTGTGTGAGTTCTGAATCGGTCTCTGAGACGTGTTGCTGCGGAGAAACTCCGACCGCGGTCTTGAACGGCTATGTGGAAAGTTGCAAAAGGCGAGAGCAAGAAGGCTTCTCTACAACTTTGGAAAGCAGTTTTGTATTTCAGCGTGGCAAACAAGCCACCAAGACGCTATGCAACAGAACTCTGTAGACAATGCAAAGGTGTGTGTGCGGGTGTTTGAGGGGAGAGACAAGGGTATTGTGCGATCCGGAATATCTCAAAAAAGTCTCAAGGTGTGTTTCTCTCCGACTCCTGACAACCAGTAGTCTGCTATTTTACCCAGCCTCAGCTGGTCGTGTCGCAGCAGGCACGCAGAGCAGAAGCGGAACCGACTCGGGCGGCGTCGGGAGGGGGCGCGGGAAGTGTGAGGTGATGGGATTTGGCGTTCGCTATACTGGCGCGATGGAGGCGATGATGGGGGTGATAAAAGAGGAGGGCGAAGATGTGGTGTCGCGGTGAGGTGTGGAAGAGGAGGAAGGTAGACAAAGAAGCGAAGCCGGTCTTGATTGCGGCGCAGCGTGACTAACGCGGCTGTCCAGCGGGCCGCTCCGACACGTGAAAGCGGCATCCAACGAAATTTCCAGCTCACGTCACCTCTTGCACCTTTGTCTTGGCGAGACGACGTAGTGCTCCGGGCCTCCATACAATGGAACCAGACTTCGACAGGTCCACCTCTTCTTGTCGTCAGCATGATGGTGAAGACACGGAGCTCTTTTACGGCGTCCTGGTGCAGCGGAACGTTACTGCCTTCTCGAGAATGCTAGTAGGAACCAGAGCAATGGCGAGTCGAACGGCGCAATATCAATGATATTATCCTTGGACGTGACGTCCTGGATGCGAGTAGACTGTACCAATCAAAGGCATGAGATATTCTGCGGAACAACTACTGGGAACTCACGAGTGGGAATTCGCTGATTGACGGGTCTTCTAGCACCTGGATTTATACACTGGATTCTCTGCTTGGATCTCTAATTCGCAATCCGGTGCATCTCGCCAGAAAGAGGTAGGCTTGTTTTCTGCAGTGTTCTCGCTTCCATGGTGCCCGTCTCTCAATAGCCAGTTCTAGCCCGCCGGAGCCCTACCAGATTCGAGGCGCTGCAGCTAACGTTTCGATTCTCTTCCTCCTCTTCGTACTTCTCTTCACCCGACTCTTCACCCGGCTCTTCACCCGACCCTTGGCCAAACGTGACATTTATTTTAGGATAGTGACTGCTTCTGAATAGGCTGTCTGCGACGATCTTGCGTTCGGCGGAGCGCAGCGCCAAGACGCGCATGTGACGGAACGATCCGTGCGCAGCGTCGCGAGACAGCTGGTGCCCCGACCACTTACACTACGCAAGGTCAGATGTCTAGCTCAGGCGTTTGAGTCTGATGTTATTGCAGATGACGAGGCAGCCAGACTTACCAAGCTGGTACTTGAATAGCGCGGGAGAAAACAAAGACTTAGTGATCCAGCCCCCACGTTTTTGCCAAGCCTTCCTTGGTAGGACCTGATATGCTTTCTTTGTGGTACTCGACATCACAAAGCGTGCGCTCTGATATGGGCGCTATTGACCTGCGAGGATGGCATACTCAAATCTCATTGTCGTATGTTGTCCCAATTGGACCAACGGCTGAGAGCAGGTCACGCATAGTTCACTTACTGTTCAACACAATCCCGGAGTCACAAGCAGGATGTGGGGTTTCAAGCCTATACGGCATCTCTCTGCGACGAAATTGGACGCCAATACTGAGAACGCACGGCAATACCAGCCAATCTTGGATGAAAGGCCCGAGAATGAGAAGGAACTAGTTGAGGGGGAAGAGCCATACTTCTCGCAAGGCAGAGATCGCCGTCTGGGGTCATTTGCGTCAAATACCGCCAAACTTACACTTTTGGCAATATGCGCAATTCTGATATGCTGGATCGTACAGCCACTAGTCTTGCCTCAGCATTGCGAAAACGGCAAAACTCCAACGGTCCGCCGTGAATGGCGCAGTCTGGCACTTGAGCGACGGAAAAACTACATCTCCGCTCTCGAATGCCTCGTCAATAAGCCTTCCAAACTCCAGCCCGATCATCTCTCAGCTAGCCGCTTCTACGACTTCGCATGGACACACGCACACACCGGCAGCGTTGCTCATGAATCAGCCGCCTTCCTCTCTTGGCACCGTTGGCTAGTTCAATTGTTTGAAAATACTCTGCGCGACGAATGCGGCTATAGCGATCCACTTCCCTACTGGGACTGGACGAAGGACTGGAAACACATCGAACAAGCTCCGGTCTTCTCCATCGAGAATGGATTCGGAGGAAATGGAGACCCGAATAGAGGATGGTGTCTGCACGAAGGACCATTCGCAGGCGCAAAACTCCCTTTTGAAAATTCATCGCTGTGTCTCTCTCGTAAATTCGCCCAAGGAACAACCTTCAACGCCTCGCATCTGAGTTCTAGATATGTCTCCGTGACGCTTTCCAAAAAGACATATGCCGACTTCCTACTAGCTATGGAAGATGGCCCTCACGATGATATCCCACAGGGTGTAAGGGGGACTTTCATGTCCTTCTATGCTCCTGCAGATCCTCTGTTCTTTCTTCACCATGCACAACTGGATCGAATCTGGTGGATGTGGCAACGCAAGAGCGCGGCAAATGCAAGAGCGTACGAGAGGATTCCGGGAAAGCATGGCATAAAAGCCGCCCTTGGGAGTCTCACCGATGTTTTGCCTTTTGCAGGCTTGGGGGACAATGTTGTTGTGGAAGAGATAATGAACACGGAGAAGGGGAGGTTGTGTTATCGGTATGGATGAGGCAAGACTCGGCTCGAAGAATCCTTGGAGCAACAGTCGTATTGGTGCCACGGCGGAAGAAACCGTAGTCTGACTGGTACTCAACTCTCTAGTTTTTTGGCCTTTCATGGTCTTGATCAGTGCAGGTCCCCTGCAATACCTCCGGGCAACACAAGATATTATAAGGTACACGCGAGCAACCGAAGCCACGGTCGGGCACTTGACACCGGACTTGTGAACACTGGCTCAATATCGATGCTCTTCACCACTCTACTCGCCGTTCTGTTCTCGGCTAGCCACCCGCGCTCTTCTCTACAATCCTTCAGGTCGCTTTCCAATGCGCGATCAATTGCTTCTACTTTCATCCCGCGCGTTCTCTACGATGGTGAGATTGTGGGACTACGAGCCACCACTCGAAGCAAATATCAGCCCATGTCTCAGTCCTCATCAGCCCACTGCATCAGGCTGGCGGTAGATAGCTTCCAAGCTTCCAGAGTCTTCTCAATGTTCTCCCAAGCTACCAGTCCCTTTAGGTTGCTGACGATTTCGAAAGCTTTCGTAGCAACGTGGAAGCTGTCGTTCGGGTCGAATGTCGTGCCCTCGAGCTCGCACGCTTCAACGTCCCCCGTGTAGAAGCTCTTCAGGAAGGCGAGAAAGACAGACCATCTTGGCTGGACAATGTCGGTGTCGCTTGATAAGTTCTTGACAGTCTTGCTCCCAATGCAAGTGTTCCATCGGCGCGTGAAAGTGATGAGGGTGTACGGATTGAATCCGATGGCCTCGACATTGAATATGTTGTCGAGGTAGTAGATTGGAGCAGCCTCTGCACGGATTTGCTTGCAAGTTAGGAAAAGTGGTGGCTGCGCGAAGTTTTTGGAGTCGATAAGGATATCTTACCTACTACATAAGGTGTCATAGCAGAACTTTGCCCCCTCGCGGCTCGTCTCATCCAGACTTTCCCCTCTTCTTCTTTCCAAGTCACCCAGAAGCATTCTTTCGAAGATGGAGATTTCGATCTGTACGCTCCCGTCACAAATCTTGGCATGGCGGAGGTTATCGATCTGGACGGAAGCTCGCAAAATATTCTTCATCCAGGGAATATAAGCGATCGTAGGTTACGAGGAATGACGGCGGCAAATGTCCCGATGAATAATTTTGCTTGTGGATTGACGCTCAGAAGATAGCGGAGGAAGTGCCATGATGGCTGTGGTGTATGAAGACTTTCCATTAGCTTCTCAGACAGGTTCTATTGAAACACACGAGGGGAATAATACAGCCACACCATGAACGCCTCTTTCGCAGACATCTACCTTTCAGCCCGTCATCTCCACGTCCTCATCGTCATCCAAATCTCCAATCAGCCCGCCTGCCTGATCATCTGTATCTTCACGTTGAAGCGGCAGCAAGACATCAAATCCACCAGTTCCCACACCGTTGACTTTGCCAGCAACAATTCTCGCACTGGGTCCTCTTAGATCGTCCTCATCTCCTTCCAAAACCGCATCTCTCAAGAACCCAAGCGTAGTCTCGAAACTCATCTTCATGAACGGTGAAGGATTGTTCCTGTAGCCCATACGATTGAAAGGCTCATACCTGCCTCCACGGGTCATGTAATCGGCAATGAGCATGAGATGTCTCGGGTCCACGGAGATACCGTGACCTCCAAAGACGCCCTTCAATTCACGCACAATGGCGTTACGAGCGGCTTCAACACCGTAATGCCGCAGGATGTCGGCCACGCTGTTCGTGTAGATGTAGTACGGATGGACGACGTGCTGATGTTCCCACATGGCAGCAATATTGACACCGGAGGCGGCGAGGACAGGGACGTCGCCTGCTTCTTTGCTCGCTTCGTGATCTAGCATGACCGCACTGATACCAGTGACGGACTGGATGAGAGCCTGATGCAGCGCTGTTTCGAGGAAATGCAGCATGAGAATCTTCGCTGAAGAGGAGTCATATTCCATCGTGAACTTGCAGTAGGCTCCCTTCTTATCGTCAAATTCGAATCGGACGATATCGTTAGTCTTCGTTTCGCCCTTGATGCGATTTTCGCGATCCTTTGCAGCAGACTTCTGAAGCTTGCCAGCGTCACCCGGTTCAGGGGAGGATGGAGGTGAGCCACCATAGGTCTCGTCCTCTTCTTCAGGTCCGTCTTCGGGCTCTGGTGTCGCTTGACGTTTCCGCATATCTTGCTCCTCTTCGTCTTCGTACGCTTCGTAGCCGGATTGCTGCTTGTTGCTCTTCGCTTTGTCGCGGGTGGCGTCATCGTCGCCTTCACCATCGGAGTCATCGTCGCCGCCAGCACGCTCGCCTTCCAGTCGGCCACGCTCCTCCTCAACACGGCCGGCAGATTTGCCGACTTCGGGTAAGGCGTCGTCCTTGGCGGCTGACTTCAAAGACTTTGCGTCTCCGCGCTTCTTCAACTCTTTCCTGGTCGCAGCTTGCAGTCGCGGCAGTAGTCGATGCTCGATGGTGGCTACGACATCTTGGATGGTGATGGCATACTCCTTCTGATACTCCTCGCTCGGGAAGAAATCCAGCCTAATTTCGTACTTCTTCGACTCGGCGTACGCAATGCCCTTGCCAGTTGTTTCCGTAACGCTCACTTTGTCGACAAGCTCTGCGAGGGACAGTTTGCTAATACCCTTTGCGAACTTCTTGCCCTCCTCTGCTGTAATGTCGTCGTTCAGGCGGAGAGTCATAGTTGGCGTCGCAATATTCGCAGCCGCTGTCATGACAATTTCTCGCAAACGAGGGATACCGAGAGTGACGTTCTTTGCGGCGTGTCCAGCCAAATGAAAGGTGTTCAGTGTCATCTGCGTACTCGGCTCTCCGACTGACTGGCCAGCCACCACGCCGACTGCCTCACCCGCCTCCACGACTGATCTCAGGTACCGCATGTCGAGGAGGGCATTGAAGTTCTTCTTTCCAATAAGACCATCGGGGTTCTTCTTCTTGTCTCTCATCAGACGATCTTGGTCCTTTTCAGCCCATTCGCGAGCAGATTGATAGAGCTTCTCACTTATGCTGCCCGCGTACTTTGCAGGATTGTATAATGATAGGGTCGGGTCAGAAGCACCGAGGTCTCTCCTCTTATTGAACTTCTTTACCGCAGCCTTGACGTGCTCGTGTGCCTCCTCACTTCGCACAACGGGGAATTGCTCTTGCATGCGGTATTCGTTCGCCAAAGAAGTGTTGTTCTCAGCAAGAAACTTGAACTCGCCCATGTACTTGGCCTTGCCAACATCGAGTCCGTCTTCGCCGTACAAGAATTGAACAACGCTTCCATCTTCGGTGTGGCGCACAGACGTGTCATGCTCAACTTTAAGACCCTCCATACCCTTGATCAGACAGCGTTGCAGATATCCTGAGCGTGAGGTCTTGACAGCCGTATCAATAAGACCTTCTCTACCGGCCATAGCGTGGAAGTAGTATTCTTGAGGTCGGATACCGGTCAAGAAACGATCAACAATGTACCCACCAGCACGTACACTCGATTCGAAGGGCTTGAAGCAAGGCAAGGACTTTCCACTAACCATGATCGGAACTCTTCGTCCTTCCAGAACCTGCTGACCAAGATTACACGAGATGAGGTTGACGTTGACCTTCGAACCCTTGGCACCAGAAGTCGTCATCGTCTGCATCTGGTTCTTAGGGAATGGTTTCGCAAGACCAGCAGGCATACATTGCTTGGAGACATCTCCACTGAGATCTTTGGTGGCTCCGTTTGTAAGCTGGTCGAGACCCTGCTGCTTGGCATCATCACGAAGCACATCTTCAAGACGCCTCTGGAGCTCCCGATCATCGCTCTTTGGCTTTTGGTCGGCCAAGGAGACGTACTTGGCGGCGACCTCCAGTCCTACCGAGCTCGCCCCTGCAAGTGCGTTCCTGCGGTCTTCTTCTCCCTTACGCGTGAAGATCAAGTCTTCGACACCACAAGAGAAGGCTCGCATATGCAGAAGTTTTGTTAGGAGACGGCCCAGAACACTCAAAAATTTCCCGGTGATGGTGTGGCCATAGCACTCGTAAATTGCGTTTACGATGCCTTGCGAGGTCGGTCCGATTTGTTTCTTGTCAAGAATGCCTTGTAGCAGCTCACCCTTCTGGAATATCACTTCCCCTTCCTCCTTACCAGCATCACCCCACATGGACTTGTCAGTCGTACTCTTCCCAGTCATAGTAAGACCACTTGAGCCTTCGGGCTTGAGGTTCTTCAGCACAGTGCTGATGACTTGTTTTCCTGTCCACAGGGGCTTGGGCTTGATGATGGTTGGAGGCAAAGTCTCGACCTTACCTCTGGCACAATGACCGTGTTCTGGCCGGAGCGCGGCGTATAGAAGGTTCATGTAATCGCCTCTTTCCAGGAACAGATCTCGGTTCGTGAGCCAGACGCACATAGAAATGTGGTCCTGAATCAGACCACGCAAAGGATTACCGGCTGTACCAGAAATGTACTGGTGATCTGTGTCGGCGATCATGACTGCCTCGGCTCTCGCAAGCTCATTTTGAGGGAAATGCATGTTCATCTCGTCTCCGTCAAAATCCGCATTGTAGGTATTGCAGTTGGCATAGTGCATGCGCAACGTCTTCTCTCCTGGCAAAACTCGAGCGCGATGACACATCATACTCGGTTTATGCAATGTTGGTTGTCGGTTCATAATAACTATATCGCCATTCGTGAGATGTCGATGTACCTTCTTCGGGCGCGCTCCGCGCGTATGAGCGGTTGACGGTGCCAAGAGAGAATTTGCCAACGCTGTTCGCTCTTCGGCACTCTTTCGATCCAAGTTGAGGACTGATCCTGTCTCACTCTCGATCGCAACAGCGCCAGGCCAAATGTAAGGACCATTACGCACAGCCTGTTGCATCTCTTCGATGTTCCATTGTGTGACTGGTTCAGGATATGTGAGCTTCACAGCGAACACAGGAGGTACACCAATCTCATTCGTCTCGATGTTTGGATCCGGAGAGATGACAGTACGCGCGGCAAAGTTCACACGTTTCCCCATCATATACTTCCTGAACATGCCCTCTTTCTTTTCAAGCTTCTGCTTAACGCCATCTGGATTGCGGGCTCCGGCTTTGCCCTGCAATGGTGACAAATTGCGATCGATCAAAGAATTGACGCTTTCTTGAAGTTGCAGCCATGTGTTCTGGAAGTCTGCAAACGTCCGTTGTCGAGCTCGATTACTATCAGCTGGCCTCTCTTTGTCGCTCAGCTTCGGGTTGAGTTCTCTCTGGATTTCGGCCAGCATATCGCAAGCATTCACAACGTTCTTGTATAGGCTGTTCTCTTGAGCTTCAGCGATTTCGCCGTCGCCTGTTTTGGCCTCCGGTCGGAATCTGTTCGGAGGCACTAGAACTGTGTGGATGAAGAACATGTCCGGGGAAGGGCCCAAGCCGCTCTTCTTTGGATCAACGCCATACACCAGGCCAAGGATCTCGGGATCTCTCTCGAAGAGTAGTGAGAGCTGCGCATGCACTTGGCTCGGGTCCAAATATTCTTCGCTGGCCTTCTTCGTCGACGTCTTGCTGCCGGAACCTCTTTCTTCAGCAGTGTCGTCCAGCATGTTCCCGCCCGCAATTTCTGGCTCTGATTCCGAAGGCTCCTCCGATCCGACATCATCGCTCTCTTCCTCTGAGCTTCTCTCCAAGTCTGCAACAGCTTCATCTTGATCCCTCTTCCGCTTACGACTCTTCTCCGCCCGTCTCTTCTTCGCCTGCTCAATGAGCGCATTTGATGCCTTGATGCCAGACTGCACATTCTTCACATGCTCTTTCTCAGACAATTGCTTGCGGAAGATCTTGACGAATCGATCTTTTCGGTAAGACGGATTGACGCCCTTGCAATTACCGCAAGTCTTGCCCTTGTTGATGTTCTGCATAAACTCCTTTATTATAGCTGCTCGCGCGGCCTGTGTCGCCTCGGTCTTGGATGTTGATAGAGCGCCCTTCCTCTTGGCCTTCTTGATCGTGTCGTTCGCAAAGCTCTCGAAGCGCAATGCGATCGCTTTTGAATCCGCGTCCACATCACCCTCCTCCTCGTCCTCAGAATCCAGCTGCACTTGCTTTCCACCAGACTTGAACTCCATGTCGTCCAGCTCGTTCAATTCCTTGAGCAAGCCATACTTTACCAGCCTGAGCTTGCATATGAATCTGCTGACAAATATCCTCTTCATCTTGAGTTTTCCGCAGTATAGACAAGCTGCGCGTAGCAATCTGAGTACTTGGTCCATGAAGGTGGGGTGATAACATGGGACTGGCAGTTCGATGTGACCTGGATGTCCCGGACATTGTGGATTCTTGAGACCGCATGTCGCGCAAGGGTTGTCGCCGAATTGACCCAGCTCAGGTGTGTAGAGGCCTCCGGGTATAGGATTCAGTAGAGTATCGAAGGTGGTAGCGCTGGTTATTCGGCGGGCAGAGATGGATCGGATATCGTGACTAGACAGATGGTCGAAGCTGACGCCGGCCAGCTGGGAAGATACGACCTGTGATGGGTTCATGGTAGGCAATTCGGGGCCTGCGAAAGGCCGACACGACTGTCTACAACGACGAGTCGATGTTTCTCCAACAGAGCTATCGAGAGATCTTTTTCCGCGAAATCTTGGCTGCAGCTCGGCCCGGGATCAGCTAAGGTTCGGGTATGACGGGAGCTATATTAGCGCCCGCTCTCACACCGCACTCCAAGAATCTCCCTGTTTGTCTCATTGATTGAATCTTCTGACCAGGACTATGACAGCGGAAAAGAATGCAAATGAGGCTGTCCCCTTGACGCGGGCCAAGATGAGCTGAATTCACGCATTCTCAAAGATATGTGCAATATCTGCCACGGCTCGAGGTCGCTGATGCGCATGTGCTTGCCTAGGCCCGAAGCTGACAGGATTCGCGTCCATTCGACACTGGGAAGCGATGTACAGTGCAGGTTCCAAGGCGTCCAGGACACCAACAAGCTTTCGCCTTGTTCAGATTGCAGGTACTGCTGTCAGAAAGTTCCAGCATTGGAGGTTGGCAGAGAAGGCAGATTTGGTCCCAAACGTTAAAAAGACAGGAAATGTGGCTGAGCCAGCTGGAACTGCCTGAACGCAGCGAATCCGTATATCTGCTCTCAGTCAGGCGTAAGTCCACCTACTTTTCCTTTTGACTCAGTCATTCAAGAATTCTTTTGAATATGCCATGTCCTCTGATCGCTCTACGATTGCTCCTGTTTTCATGTGCTCTTCCAGCTCCCGTGATAGCTCACAGCTTCAGCAACAACACCTTGGTTTCGACCGAAAGTTGCTCTGCATCAGACCTTACCACCAGTATTCAATATCGGTCGCTCTCGTCTCTGTCTACTACTGTTGGCAGAACGCCGACAGGCCTTGGATCGCTCCTTGCAAGGACTTGGCCAAGCGGGTACGGTTGCGCATTCTTGGGATTACAATTCTACGAAACCGCACGCTACTCTCAAAATGGAACGTGTTGGAGAGGCATTGTGGAGAAATGTGGCGGAGGGGCCTGCCTATCCCGCAGGGATGATGTTGTGGAAATGCCGGAATTGAGGACGCTGCATGGCAACGGGCAGCTCGACGCCTTTGTTGAGCATCCTTACCGGCAATTCTCATCCGATGACGACCTGGCTGGCTTGTTCATCCGGCACAGCGCGTTGCGGATCGCAGAAGTGATCCAACAGACCGTGAAAGTCCTTGGCGGTAAGATCCTGCCAATGCTCGAATTTCCGTAACCGGTCCAGCATTCCTGGTGTTTCGGCAACATAGCCGTCGTCGAACATCATGCCAAGACGGATAGCAGCTGCTCGGGCCCACCGCACTCGCCATTAGAAGCGCCTCACGAAAGACCTACAACCCGAGCCAATCCCCACCTCCCGGAGTTCCATCCAAAATCACGCCTCCAATACCCGGCAAGAAGCCGATCGACGAGATGGCGCTGTGGCCGAGATATACAGGAGGGAGGATTGGTAGAAGGACTGGAAAGCGCCTCTTGGATGACTTGGAAGGGGTCAGCATGTCGGGCGAGTGAGTGCCGGAAGAGCAGGATCTCATTGTCTCGAGAGCACGAGTGCCTACCACAAGCCGCTATCATGCCCCGAAGACGACGACGATGGCAGCATCGCGTGGGTGGTGTCATCACCAACGTCCAGCAGCAACGTCCTGCACCTTCCTCATCACCGTTGCCCGATCAACGACCCCGCCACTTTCCCGATCATGATCCTCGAGCTTCTTGGGCAAGAACGAAACGTTCAAGGAGAAGGCACGCTGTTAAATTCATGTTGTCATGATGGATGGCAACATGATGCAATACCAGGCGTACTTTCACCACCTGCACTTTCACCAATACACAACCACATTATTCCTCTCTTCGCTACCTCTCCCATCACATCCCCTTTGGTCATCGCATCGCATCGCATCGCGTCGCAGCGACCGTGGCTCCTTGGCAGTACGAGCTCACCGGATCATGGCAACGCTCGTCTTCGCACTCATTGCCGTCTTGATCGTCGTACCGCTGGTCTCCTTACTCTTCCACGACTCTTACGAGAAGACCCAGGGCCCGGCTTCCTAAAGCACCGCTCCCCATCATCTTGGCCACCATTCATCATCAACGAGCACGACCTTTCGCTCGCAGGACCGACATCGCCACGCCCCCAAGTCCATTCTGCTATCAATACGCAGATCTGATCATCATCAGCATTCTCACAGTCGCATTTCTGCCCGTGGTCCTACTCGTCAAGCTTGGAACATATGATTCCCGTCTGGACCTACTCCACCGCATTCCGTCTTCTCCACTCCGCCATGTCGCATCCGCACGAAGGCGCCGCATTCTTCGCCCAGTCGGGGAGAACATACCTTGCAGTCAGCCCGCTCGGCCAGGCGAATGTCTAGGTCTCAGTCGCGAAAGATGATTACAAAAGCATCTTCGTTCTCAAATCCCCCTCCGAAGCCGACAGCGCTGAACGCTCATGGCCTTTGTTCGTGCATGAGATGATTATGCATGAGCTGTTCAGGGACAGCACGCATATTCGAAAGCAAGTTGACCGCATTCCGCCCAATCAGGGAGCCGAGTCCCCTCCTATGATCGTTCTTGAAATTTTGGAAACGACTGTATGGAAAGCCCGCATGGAACGTCCGTTCTCCAGGCAGGAGATTGTGGCTATCATCAAGGGCACGCTGCTGGCTCTGCAAGACATTCACGCGCAAGGACTGGTGTACGGTGACTTGAAGATGGAGAATATTATGCTGAACGGGTTTGACGCCGACGAGGTCTCGGATGGGGGCGGTTTCGTTGTCAAGCTCGGAGACCTGGGCACTGTCATGCCACCTGCGAGTGGAATCTGCCAGCCGGTGGTGTACCGAGCGCCTGAAGTGTTTTTCAAGCAAGAGATCACTCCCGCCGCCGACCTCTGGGCCCTGGGTCTGATTTACACACATCTGTTGGAGGCCCAGAGCAATTTCGGGAAGACTGGTCTCTATGATGAATTGCTAGCCAGCAGTGATGATGCGTCCAAGTTGGAGGAAAAGGTTCGGTCTGCTCTGGCAAACGATTACGATCTTCAACATCACCCTTATTACAAGGACGCAGCTCTTCCACAACGCGATGACTCCCATCCGAAAGGCAGCCATTGGGCAGCTTTGCGGAGCAGAGGCCTCGAAGAGCTCGACGTCGCTTTCCTCCAGCAGGTCATGAAGGCTGATCCCACGACACGGCCGTCCGCGAGGATGATTTTGAGGAGCCAGTGGATCGAAGGTGGTTTGTTGGCTCGTCAGTTCAAGCCCATGGGATCGGAGGAGTCCGAGGATGTGACATTCTTGTGTCAAGGACCATTGACGCCAAAACCGGCATGATGAAGCATGGACGAAAATATGCAGGACGAATATCGAGGGCTGCGGAGGCTATATATCCAGAAACCTACATACATACAGGCTTCTATCCCTGCGTACGTTTCTTCTTCTTCTTGGCTTGTTGCAGCGGTGAGGTTTCCAAGCTGTCTTCCTGAATTGTATGGTATCATCTCGGGACTGCTTTGACACCGTGCTTGAAAGACGCACTCCCAGATATTCCCTCAAATGCGTATCCGCGAAAGCCTACCTGCCACCACTCCCCATTCCTACTTTTCCCTTCTTTCAGGTACATGACCCGTCATCAGCATTCCGAGCCTCTGATGGTCCTGTGGTTGGTTAGGTTTCTCGGAAGCTCGCAGATACTGAACAAGCCGTATTCGCAATTGAGACTAGAAATGGAAAAGAGTCGCTGATGGTGATTCCAGAGGATTCTCCCTAGAAACATGATCAGCTGCTACCTCCTCCATACGCTCTAGCCACCCGTGCTTGAGAATATGCAGTGATTGGAAAACACCCCTACAGCAATGAAGAGGCTTCAGCGCCATCTGATGAAGTCAATGCAACCATTCCCGAGAGCAAAGCTGATGCTCAAAATTGATGTCTGGCTTGTACTATGCGTGATGGTTGCCAATTAGGCCGAGAGGAACATCGACGACACCAGGAAATTCAGGTAGCTGACGAGGATCCAGGACGAAATATTGCAAACTAAAAATCATCTTTGCGGTATCTTATACAAGACCTTGGATCTCCATGAGAATGGATCCAAAACTGCCCTCGTGATGCTCTTCGTGGCAGATGGGATCTTCGGTGTTTCATGTCCGATTGCCTTGAGAAGGATTCGACCATCGCTTTGGTTGGTTTGGAGTATTCTTCGAGTTTATCAAGGCAAGCTAACGGGGCTGCAACTCCAGTGCCGCTATCTACCTTTCTTTCCGACATCATTCCATGTATCAAGGCTTCGTGACCAGCTACCGGGGCTTTCTCGCAGCTCGCTTCTTTCTCCACACCGACCATCATCAATAGCTATACAGCGGGAACGATGAAACCCAATTGCTCTCCTGTTCTACGCTTGGCGTGTGCATCTATCTTTTCTCTCATGATGACATGGGTCAGCGACCGCTTGCAGAGTCGAATCTAATGCTCGATGTTGTCGTTGACGGTGCCTGGTTATTCAGTCCTGCTCACTTTTGTATGGCCTGTGTTGTAGCCGGGATTGGATTCGCGTCGGCATTCTTATAGCACGCCATGCCGATAACAAGGAGATATCGCGAGACAAGGGCCCAGGGCGTGCTGGAGGAGGTAGTAAGAAGTCGTTGCTCCATGTGATCTGATATAAGATAGACTCAGAGCCTGCTGGATGCCTGACACCCATGGAGCATTCAAGCTTGGGGCAAAGATTACATTGCTTACCTAGGTCCAAGCCGCCAAGGGCCACATCTCCGCGACGTCCAGCGTATTGCTTACTACGCAGTGGAGGTGACTGGGGAAGTGTTTTCACAGAGCCGCGTAACACGGTATGGGGACGGTATGGGTATGGGTCCCGCGAACTCTGCTTCGGCATGCCGAGGCGGGGCCGGGGGCCACGTCTTAGGTTACGTACGCTCAATCTTGCCGCGGTACAAGTGGACATGTACGCCACTTTCACGCATACTACCCAAGACAATTCGAGGTTGTTGAGCAACTGCGATGACGAATTGTTTGGATTGTCGGATTGAAGCGCTGAGGTGTGGAGTCAGTCCTATTACGCGCTGGAGATTCAACATTTGCGGCTGCACCGGCATGAGCAGTCCAAGAGCACATCCATGCCAATATTTACAAAGCTAGAGACTCAATCGGTTGGTCGCGACTTCTCGTGAAAGGAAAATCCAGACACAATGTCCACATCCAACGACTGGTTTGCATCTTTGTTTTCAGTTCTGTCGATGGACTCTGTTACCCAACGAATCTTAGAAAAGGTAGGTTCTAACATTAGGAACAGTTTCGAGAGGGCGTAACGCCGTTACTGGCGCTAACGGCCCTGTAGACGGCCTCTGGGCCCCGTGCAGCAGTCAATTTCGCATAGCACGTGAAAGATGCAAGCGTGAGCACTACTAGGCATCATAGAAAAGGCTTCGACGGGCGGTCAGTCTGGAATCGCAAGGTATAAGGTGAAGTGGAACGCAGCATTGTTATATAGACACAAAGCTCAAGCTATTCCCCACTTTGTGTGCCGAGCTCCTTCACTCCTCTGTCTGTTGACAAGATCCTCGCACACTAAGAACATATTCGAGACTGCCGAACATCTATACAACGGAGGACAGAAGAACATGTCTTACTACGACGTCTACCTAGTCGAAGATCTTGGAGCACCACGTAACCACCACGCCATCTTCGTCGAAACAAATCAAGATCGGAGTGTCTGGCTATTTCAAGTTACGGGAGACATCCAGAACGGCATGAGACATGAGGATAAACATGCTTCCGAACCGTCCACTTCCGCTACTTTTCGAGACAAGACTTTGATCGGAAAAGTTGCCACGGCCAATTTCGATCGGATCAAAGGAATTTGCGAGGGAATTCCGGCTCCCAAGAAGCAATTCAACGGGCCAAAGCGACTTTTTCCAAACGAGCCGCTTCGACGCTGTCAAGAATGGACAAAGGAAGCAATTGATGCATTACTTAGCGAGGGAGTACTCGAGAAGTGAAGGAAGGAGAAGACGGGGCTAACTGGTTATAGTTAGCGTGATGGCTTTTAGTGCGTGTATTATGTCAGCATACAGCCAACTTCAAAGTTTGTCACTTCTCTTCCTCTCCCTGCTTTCTTCTACCTTCACTGACCATGTCTTGGCACATAAATTTGCAGCATGACGGGTGGCAACATGACGATACCGTACTATGCTCTCGACACGCCTGTTTCGCTTCCTACGGAAGAGGAGATAGCGGCGTCCCCGGAAATACGTCCATTGTATACTGGGCGAAGGGTGGTTCAAGTCAACACTCATATTGTGGCCAAGTTTGGAATAAACGTGGACCTAGCTGAGGGTACGAACATGATGTTTGTGCAGCAGAACACTAACATTCCTGTTCCGCGGGTATACGCCTTATACTCCAAGGCGGGCATAAACTACATCATCATGCAGCGAATTCCAGGCCAGTCATTGCAAGAATTATGGCCGCAGTTGGACGCTGTCGACAAGGAAAGCGTTGTTAAGCTCTTACGGGCATACTTCGGTGAATTGCGCGCTCTTGAAGCACCGTGCCATTATGGCAGCTTGGGCGAAAAGCCACTTCTGGACGAATTGTTCTGGACTCGTGAGCCGGACGCTAAGATCAACGGCCCATTCGCGTCTACTAGCTTCTTTATTGATGCCATAACACGAAGATATGAGCAAGAGATCGCGGGCGATACTCGGCTGCGTTACAAACTCGATTTCTACCGACAGTGTCTTCCACGTTTGCTAGAAGGTCAGAGCCCAGTCTTCACGCACGGAGACTTGCAGGGAAAGAACATCATGGCGCAAAGACTGTGCCCAGATGCAGCAGACGCGGACGCGAACGCTTCATCTAAATGGCGAATTACGATCTTGGATTGGCAAACTTCTGGTTGGTATCCAAGCTCCTGGGAGTATTCCTGTACCGTCCGGGCAACAAGGTGGCAGGACGACTGGGCCGTCTGGATCGAAAAAGTCCTGGACCCTTATTATGCTGTATCGGCCTGGCTGCAAGATATCCGCTTAGAACTGTGGTCGTGAGCCACCGCCCTCATAATCATTGCAACGGACGAAATATCTTATGCATTGGAGTACCGTTCTACAACTCGCAAAACCCACTGGGCTTGGCATGTTCTAGACACATCTCGAAAGAGGCTAGACTCGGCGTCACAACTGCCTCTTTGGTACAGGGACGCTGGAATGCAACAGTCTGCAATGCGCTCTTTCTCTGTTGAAGTGCTACGGCTTTGAGCGGGTGAGCCGTGGTCGCACCATTCAGGCTTGCAGTAATCTGTACCACATCTTGCGAAGGCTCCAGCGGATGAGTCTAAAGAGGTACAGTCTCCATCACGACTGATCAATTTTGCTTTCCCCAGGCGAATATCATGTGCTCGCCGACTCGGTCGAAAAAGCAACGCACGTCCAACTCGTCAGAAGAGATGTGCTCGTGTGCGCATGCTGCAGCATGTGGCATGGGAAATAGTGGGCTGACAGAAGGTATGAACGCAACTTTTAATCAACGATCATGGCGGAGAAGTGTGTTTCACTGTAATATCAGAACTACAGAATTTTCATTCACTGACCGAAAGCTCTCGCGTGATAGCTTCCCAAAGTAGTAAGACGCATGACGTCAGCAAATCTGACCTCACGCGTGTGGGCCTCGCGCTTCAATCCACCTCGAGCATCGGAATCAACATCATCATCCATCATGTCTCTCGCCGAGAAGCAGATTGCCACCGCTAAGGAGTTCATCAACGGCTACAGTGAGTGGACAGCTGATGGCCTCCTGCGAGCACGCTCGGAAGATTGCATACACGCTGTACTTCCGGTCTCAATGAGTCGGCCTCCTCGAACAAATGCCGAATACAAACTGTTCTGGGGCAACATGGAGCCGCTGGTGAAAGACTTCAAGGTAATCCCTCTCTTCGTGTCATCTACTGCTCGACATTCTGATCTTTGCATGCAGATGACGATCCATAAAATCGTGAACGACCCAGAACAACACATGGCCGTGGTACATGCCAGCGGCAACGGGGAAACACCTTTTGTCCCCTACAGAAATGAGTACGCCTTGTTCCTGATGTTCAACGAGACTGGAGACCAGGTGGTGAGGATAGAAGAATTTTTGGACTCAAAGTTCAGTGGCGAGTTCTTTGCCAAGATGCAGCAGTACCTGAGCACGCACAAGAGTGGATGATTGAGCCGGTAAAGCTCGTCATGGACTGTCATTATGGTGATGATATATAAAGTCTACGAAATTATATTGACTTGGTCGCAGAATCATTCACAGATAAGTATAGCAGAATGGGCCATTGACCGTTGACAGCAGATCTCGGATTGGCCGAGGTGGGCCTGCGGCGTAGCCGAACTGAACTGTATCATTCAAGGTGCCATTTGCTGAAGCAGGCGAGTCCAGGAAAGTCCTTGTGCCGGAAATCGCCTTGTCAGTAAATTGACGCTCGTAGGGCGAAAGCATCTGCCAAATCCACCTGAGAAAGTCAGCACGGCTTCGCATTTCGTACGTATCACCAAAAAGAACGGGAACTCACCAAACTCGATCAATATTGCCATGATGGAGAAAGAACATTGGATCTCCTGGACTGACGTAGACATCTCGACCGGGGTCTCCTCCCAAGGTATAGTGGCCTCCACCGTGGACACCCAGCTGCCAGCAATCATCAGCACGATCCGAACGTCCAAATGATCTTCGCAAACTTACTTCACCTGTCCCTGGTACGCCCTGCATCTGCATCTGGAAGTCGTATATTATCTTCGGCGTCGAAAGCAACGATAGAACGGACGAATAATTCGCATAGCGTTGATTGACAGCGTCCACCAAATCTCGCTTGAGACAACGAGGATTCCAATCGAGAGCGTTGCCGCTTGGAGCTGTCTCTGTCACTCCGCCCGGTGTAGGAAGGGATTCGGGACCCAGATTGACGGTCATGTTCGCGAATGCCCCTTTGGTCACACAACCTCCGCCAGAGCCTGATGGAAGGTCGATTGGTGCATAGCCAGAGCCAACACTCAAGATAACGTCTGACTTGTTGCCAGTGTTAGCCCCGTTGCCGCTCATGGACGTATCACTTCCATCGAAAATTGGACTAGAGAGAAGACCATCACGAGCAGTCTTTGCCCAATCCCAATAGGGCTGGTCGCCTTGGTACCCGCATTCGTTGCGCAGTGCTTCCTCGTAACTCCAGGTGAAATATCGATGCCAGGACAGAAAGTTCGCTGTGTAGTGGATTGTCAAAGTCTGGTTGATGTGGACGACGACAAAATCATCGTAGCGAGTCTTGGCCCCAGCTGCGACTGCCAATGGAGTCAATGCTGGCTTTGTTTGGAGGCACCTCACGGCGCGAATGTAGTCTCGGCGCTGAGACTTCGACAATGAACCCCTTTCAGACGTTAGCATTTCCCTGAATTCTTTGACCATATTGTTGGAGCCGACGAACCATTCCCGCCGGACGCGAAGCTTGTCAGAGCTGCAGGTCGAGGAGTTATGCAGGCCTGGACTTCCTATTTGCTGGACTGCCTTCTCGGTTGTTCTGTACGCATGGATGGCCAGTTGTGCGACCTGGGCCTCGAGAGCGTCGACGTCGGAACCATTGGTACTGATTGGGGCACAAAGGATGCCTCCTGCGCCGATCAGAGCCACGAGAGGCAAGAATTGGAAGCGCATCTTTGACGAAGTTTGCAACGAGACTTCGAGATCAGTGCGAAGCGAATTGAAATGCTCTGAAGAATCAACAGCAACAACTCCAACGATGAGGACTGACTCTTATACCTGCTGCATTCGGTCCTAATGGTAACCTCCCCTGTCTGTGTGGAATCCAGCGGATGACGCTGCCCAAGCGATACTACGGCTATGGAGACTCGCGCAGTGCTGTGCGAAATGGGACCCTTGCCCGTCGGTGTGATATCCAGCACATCGCGCTGTCCAAGCGATGATATGGCTATGAGACTCTTGCAGTGCTGTGCGAAATGGGAGCCTCGCCCGTCGGTGTGAAATCCAGTGCATCGCGCTCCCCATGTGATAATGCGGCCAAGAGGCTCGCGCAGTGCTGCGTAGGGCTGGCCCCATAATACATAGCTGTAGGACGAGAACTTCCACGCGGACCCATGTGTCGGGCACACCTATCTTTTCCTATGGCGGACCTGCGCCTCTTCCGCATCCAGAGTATCAGGTGACTTTGTGGCACATTCAGATACTTCCACACATGGAGCAGTGTCTGGACATGCCACTCATACTCCCCCGCTGGCTCGTTCCGATACCACATCGCTGCGTTCGGCTTGACTCGGCGAGATTGCATCGTTAATTCTCCGACCCGCATATGCTGCGGAACCTGAGAGCGCCCACTTCGGCCGAACGTGGATGGCCACGTACATCCAAAGTCGTGATCCGCCTTTTATCGCTCAATACACTGTCCCAACCCTCCAGGTTTTGCTTGGCGCAAAAACGTAGAGCATGGCGGCTCCATTGGATCACAGTGACGGAATGTTCTGGCACACCGTTGGGATTGCTAGACCGGAATTAACAAGAATTGATTTCTAAGATGCCGTGGGGTCCATTTCCTTACGACTGTTTGCTCATAAATATACAGTGTCTATCTCCGGGGCAACCAGCTCTATATAAGATAGAAGAGGGAGTGAGGCGGTGGCCTGAGCTTACAAATCCGCAAAATGGTTTTGCCGACTGCCGAAGCGGCACTCGCAGTGAGTCGCGACTCACTCTACCACCACAATAACAACTTACGACGGCGACAATAAGGCTCCACGAGTGTCGCGCACCGCTATTGTCGACGTGAACGGTCAATATAAAGTCAGGCGCAGCTTTTGGCTTCATATTGAACCCGTTAATAGCGGTACGCGGCTTTATATTAATTAAAAGCTATTGTCGCGCTTATACTATTGTAAGTGCGAGTCCACAATATCGAACAATAAGGCAGCTACTAACAATAAGCAGGCTATTTTATAAGAAGGCATTCTTATCTAGCGAACCTAGACCTCTTTTCCTACCTAGATCGTACTCGTAGACTCGTAAATCGACAATTTATAGTATCAATCGACTAGGAGACTCTTACATTCATCTATAGACGACTCTACGACCGATACTAGCCTAATTATCAACCTACTCCTTCGCCTCCGCCTTAGTCTACGCCCGAGAGCGCCCTAGTAGTAACTATATCGGCCCTAAGGTAAGCTATCCGAAGCCTAAAGAATAGGCAAAAGCTAATTAGCGAGTCTAGCGAGTCCTACCGTAAACTAGAGACGTAGGATAAGACTACATTCTAGTATATCTCCGATAAGGATTAGTAGCGCTATTTAAACAATCTTAAATCTAGTAACAAGTAGGTTCGTAAGTCCGCGGCTAATAGCCTACGGCGGTTTACTTACGCTAGCGAGATAATAGAGACGGATCTAGGTATGCTTTTTCTAATTTATATAGACTCGCTACTAAAATCTAATCGACTCGTAGGTATACTATCTTCTAAGCCTAGCGGCTATAAGTAGTACGCTACGAGAGGTCTAGATTATATTATCTATAAAGGTAAGGAATATACTTAATACGCGTTCTATAAGCGCTACGGTCGCCTAGGTTATAATAGTAAGCTCTAGAAGAAGTACGAGAAGTAGAAGGATAAGTAGGATAACTCGCTAAAGCCTAAGCCGGACTCGTAGGCTACTATAGGTAATTCTAGGGCTACTATAGGTAACTCTAGGGCTGAGATAGGCGACTCGTAGAAGCCTACGAGTCTTTAAACTAAGATTACTAGGCTTAAGGAGGGTTTAGGGTTTGCCTATAAGCGTATTAATAATCTAGAGGCTAAGCTCTACTATATAATAGACTTTATTACGTAGCTACCGGGTAGCGAGTAGTTCGTAGCTAAATATAAGGGCAAATATACTTAGTAGATAGTATAGATTAATTCTAGCCTACGAGTTATAGCGAGTATAGCTAATTTTAGCCTACGATTCCGTACGAGTCGGGTAGCTTAGGATATATAGAATCTTAGAGCGATTAAATCGCCTACGAATCTAGCAATTTTAGGCCTACGAGTCGGGCAAATTATAATACTACGAATCTTAGAGATCGTAGAATCCCTAAATCGCCCGCGAGTCTACCTAATTTTAGCCTACGAGTCGGGAGAATGTTAATATTAGAGATCTCTAAGCCTTTAATCGTTATTATATTTATACTATTAACCCTATACGCCCTTCTATCCTTTTAAAGCCTCGCTACTAACTCGCTACCGACTCGCTATAGCTTCTTTAACGCCCTTATAACCCTTTAAAACTCCGGAATCCTTATATACTCCTTCCTTAGCTTCTTATTCCTTATTGCCTCCGCTAGTACACTCGTAGTACTCGCTAGTCCGCTCGGGGGCGTACTCGTAGGCTCCGCTAGTACACTCGTAGCCTTAGTATCCTTAGGTAAGCTAGTAACCTACCTATCGCCCTAAATCTCCGTCGCTACCGGCGACTCGCTAGCGACTCGCTCTACTAAATCCGTAGGAGTAATCTCTATTCCTTCTTTAATAGTACTTAAATCTATAGGCTCCTTCTTTATTACTATACGTGCCTCCTACTTTACTACTAGCTTGCTTTTAGGCACTCGTACGTACGTAGGCTCGTCGTCGTCGTTATTATTAGTAAGGTTAATAATATCGATAGGGTTATAGGCGCTTAATCCCTAGGTACCGGATATAGACGAAGGAGTAGATCGATAGGGTAATTCGCGACTCGCTTAACGTTTGTAACTAACTAGCGGACTAGTAGAGGCCTCTTTCTCGGTAGATTAGGCACTCGTAGAGGGACTCGTAGGCTAGCGGAATTTAGCTAGTTTATTAGGGCTAGTAGAAGGCACTACTTTAGATTCGCTAGTACTCGCTACTATACTCGCTACTACACTCGCTACTGCCTCCTTAGCTATCTTTCTTTTAGCTTTAGTACTAGGCCTCTAACCTAGACGCCTACTACGATAGCGCCTATTAAGGCTCTTTATTAGATCCGGATCTAAAGAGGAGCTGTCGTCGGTAGACTCGCTAGACTCGCCGTAGTCCTTCGGAAGCCTATTCTACCGCTTATCTTTAGCTACAAGGACAGCGACCCTAATATCTACCTCCTTTCGCGTAGGATTTGCCTAGTACCTACGCTTAAATAGTAGTAATTGCTCGTTAAGGTCGTCTTTGTCTCTACTGTTCGAGCTTAGTATAATTAAGAGCTTCTACTCTTTGTCGTACCGGGTATATATAAACGGACGTTTGTAGTACTATAGGCCGGTAACCTTCTTAACCTTAATATAGCTAGCGTATAAAGCCTAGTAGTAAAGCTAGTTACGAGTACGCGGCGAGTCGAGTAGTAGGGCCTTAAAGTCGCTCTAGTAGCCTACGATAGACTAGTAATCGACTAGCTCTAGATTATCTCTAACCGTCCACCTCTACTAGCCTTCCTTCTTAACTACATTAACTACTACTTTGCTTATATATACTATAACGTAAAGCTTAGGGCCCTTTAGTACTTTCTTCGGTCTACTACCCTTATTCTACGACTACGAGTCGGCCTACGAGTCGTCTCGTAGCTCGGTACTACTACTACTACCTACCTCGAGTCGATTCGTAGCGATTAGCGTACTCCTATATAGACTCGCTTTACTAGTACGAGGACCTTATACCTCTCCGGATAACGGATTAATACCTATATTACTAAGCGGGCGGATATGCTACTTCTTATTAGCGGCTAAAACGGCATTAGTACGGCTAAATAAGCTTTTAGCGAGTCTAGTAAAGCTACTATAGCCCTTTATAGACGCGAGCTCCTTCTACCGTAGAGTAGGGGAATCGATCGGATCCGGTACTAGTATTAAGGAAGGGCCTACAGTCGACTCGCGGCGACTCGCTATATTAGTGTCTACTATAGTAAAGAACGGGTTCCTAAGGCCGCATTTACTATAGCGGGGCTTATCGCTATACTCTTTAGTATAATTAAGAGTATAATCTACCTTATTAGATATATAGAAGTCTTCCTAGAAGTTAGTAGAAGAAGCTATAATAGACGTATATAGAAAGATAAGACGTAGTATTAAGGAATGTAACGTTACGAGTCTACTACGAGTATATACGAAGCTTTATAGAGGCTCCCTAGTAGTAGTAAAGACAGTTCTCGTACGATTAGACGGCTCGAGGCTATTTAAGCGAGTCGGCGCGATATACTTAGCGAGTCGTCTACTAGTATCTAGGTACTACTTAGCTACTCCTCGGAGGTACTAATAAGCGTGTATATAAAGCTTCTTAGGCCTATTACCGAATCCGGGTTCGCTACCTTTAAAGGTTAACGGGTAGCTAGCGAGTACGAGCTGTTCGTTTACCTATTATAGAGTTGTCGGAGGCAGGTATAAGCTAAGGTCTATATGTAGCGAGGCGTAGTTAGCGTAGGAGTAAGAGAGGGGTAACTCTATAGGCGGGTAGCTAGAGCTGCGAGTGACTACGAGTATAGCTAAATTAGCTACGAGTACGGTCCAATTTCGAGCTACTTACCTAGTACTAATATAGAAAGCTCTTTAATTACCCGCGGAGCTTACTATAGCCGTCTATCCGGTTTATCTACTACTTAAGAGTAGTACTCGCTAGACTCTTAGGGTTAATTAGATGCCTACGCTAGGTAGTGTCCTCGAGCTCTAGATACTCGTAGAGCAAATCCGGTATACTACTAACATAGCTCTTAAGGTTTTGTACTCGTACCGGGTGCCGATTCTACTCTAAGACAAAGTAACTAACTATATAGCGTATAATTAGAGTGTAGATTACGAGGAAGGCGAGTCGATTAGATAGCTTAGCGGCCTCGAAAAGGTGTAGGTTAATATACTAGTTAAATAGGTCTCTCTAGCGATTTATAGCTAATTTAGCTATCTCGCCCTACTAGTACTTAATAGTCTAATTGCCTTTACTCGTAGTATATAAGAAGGCCTTAACAAAGTCGATATTACGGCCCTCGATAAGCTCTCGAAGCCGTAGATAGGCGTCTACTAGTATAGGTGTCTCGACACCTTAATTAGAGCGGACTCGCTAAGGGACTCGCTAGATATAGTTAATTATAGTATAGTACTACGAAAACACTAAGTACTTTGTCTTTACTATTAGGCTAACGTAGAACTAGATAATCCGGCGTAAGTAGACGTTAATATAGGCGTAAATCTAAATGCCGAATTGCTCGATTTTGTAGAAGGCATTAATTAACTAGACGTAGTTAGGCCTATTAGCTTTTAGTCGTACGTACCGTAGCCTATTCGGATAGCGATTACGTAGTTCGCGAAGCTTATATAGTAGAGCGTTAATTTGCCGTGAAATCCGGTAGATACGGTCCCTAGTAGGCATTAGTATAGTAAGAAGAGGGCTACGAGTCGGCTACGAGTCGATTCCCTACCTACCTATAATATACTAGTAGGTTCTTAACTCTCGTACGAGCTTACGATAGCTAAAGTCTTAGGTTTGCCTATTAATTAGTACTACTCGAAGCACCTTATCGACGTAGGTAGTAGCTACTTCTAATTCCTCGTGTTCTAGTCGACGCTTAAGGCCGTAAGTACGGCGGAGCTCTTAATACTACCTTAAAGAGATATTATAGCTATTAAGCCGTAGTATAGTATAGCTCTTCTTGTCGCTAATAGTATATAGCTAGAATAGCTCGGTAATCCGCTTAATTAGTACTACGTTACTACTATAGTTAATTCGAGGGCGAGTAGTCACTCCCTATCGCGATAAGTGTGTCTATAGAGTTCTAATACCGTAGCGAATGCCCTTAGTATTATGTAGGCTCTGTACGACTCGCTAGTAGGTATATCTAGTATAAATCTAAAGCTTAATCTAGAGCCGATAGGGCTGTAAATCGAGGGCCTAAGGCGGCATGACGACAAAGTAGACAATAAAGGACCTAATAGATGGATTGCGAGTCGATAGCGAGTACATTAGTGCCTAACCACTGCGATTACGGTGTGTGAGAGTGTGGTGGTGCGGTAGCAAACCCGGCAAAACCATTTTGCGGATTTGTAAGCTTAGGCCACCGCCGTGAGGCTGAGGCAACTAGAAGGACGGTCCGGCCCGTTTTGGAGAATGGATTAGCACTGCAGCTTTTGTCCGGTGTTTTAGGTAGAACACACATACTATTATCTTAACCTATACTTCTTATACAGTCTCTAGAGCTAGCGTTAGGTAGGGCATACAATACACAGTCGTCCCTCCTAGCCCCTGCCAACTTTCGAATACCCAGCTGAGGCAGCATGCACGATTTGTTTTGATCTAAGTATCCCTCGCAAATGGCCAGGATCATGGAAAATTCTGCTACACTTTGCTAAAGCTCTTCCCTTACTCACAGCGCGAACGACCGATACCAGGACTTACGGTTTCCCTTCGACATTGGCAGTCATGTCGCCGCGAAACCGCTCAGCGTTCTGCTCGACAATCAAATTCTCGGGATGAGACATTTCCTTGTTGCCCGCCTGCCTTTCCATCGCTTTACTACCACTAGGTCTCCAGAACGCTATATCAGAGCGAGAACTCACGACGCAAAGGCGTTTTCGCCGTGCTATAATGAGCAAAAGTTCAAATTGTGAACAACCTAAAATGGCATCATTCATCTCACGTTGCAGACGGAATCCGTTGTCAGTCTGCAAGTTCAAAGGAAATCTGACCTATTTCTGTAAAGACCGCTCGCAGACTTGCAAAAACCAGCTTAAAGAAGGGCCTTAAGTAGGAATCTAATATATCTTGGAAAAGAGAGTAGGTCTGCCAACACTTTTCAGTGGAGGCTGTTGCTACTAACGCTAAAATGGAGAGCTGATTAGGCGAGCTTTAGCAAATACTACTAAAGTTCTCAAAGAAGCGAAATCGGCAGCAGCAGCTAAAGGCGGTATCAGAAAAACATCATTTCAGGGGTCCTTGAATAACGCCGGGCTCTCCTGGAAAGACCGTTGTCGACCACGAAGCCTTTTTCGACCTGTACAGCATTCCATGGTTCTTGTGAGGGTGTCTAATTGTAATTGGCAAAGGTTTTTCATTCGCTAACGAGCTAGAAATCGTGTCTGGGTAGTCCAGGAAGCAGCTTTGGCATCCCGAAACGAGGATCTCCTCGTCACCGCTATATGCCCATCGCTACTTGCAAGAGTCTCAAGCATCTACCATGGACAGCTCGAGAGGCTCCGTGAACGCCAGCTGGGTCTGAGAATATGCCGACATTATGCGCAGAAACGGTGGAGTTCCTAACCTGGCGCTTAACATAATGCTTCCTCACTTCATGACACGTCTGAGCACCGATCTTCGGGACGTTGTTTTCGGAACACCGTTTCTGGTTTGTAAGGAATCCTTTTGGCAGTATTAGATCGTCAAAGCTGGGCATGGAGGAGGGCATTGCATGTGCGGCGGCGAAATTGTTGGCAGTATATTCCTCATCTGCTGCAGTCTGCGGGAGGTCATCGCCACGTTGTGTTGTATCGCGCGGAATCACTATGTAGTGACCCGATATCGTAGGATGTGACGGCACTGGGTCCCCGTGTGCTGGTTGGGCCTTGTGATTTGTTTGAAAAGTCTGGCTGAAGTCAGTCAAGTCGAATTTCTAGGTCTGAGTCAGAGATGGCTGAATTATCGGGCTACTAGCGCTGTCGAAGGCGGTCCGAAGCATGTGACAGTCGAGCATTCGCAGGCCAATGCTCCAGCGTTGCAGAGGGATCCCCCCCCCTCAGAAAAGCACACGAGCTTGTCGTCGTATCCTGCGTCGGCACCGAAAACAAGTTAAGCACGTGGCGTTCGACCTTGCGTTATCAGCATCTGGTTAGTAGCACTTCGCGGCGTGGAAGTAAGTCATGGGAGCTTGAGAGCTGGATAGAAGATAGTTTCGCGATTTTCAAACACCAAGGGTATCATAACCACCATCATCTCACTCGAACTTGACCTTTCCAAGTCCCCTCTCGACTGCAGCATCTTGCACGCCATGTCGTATCTTTCCAAGCGCCTCTCTCCAAACATGAATGACATCCTCTTCGATCTCATGACCTTCATCAACGACCCAAGCCATCCACTTCACAACCGAGACAGCTTTGCTCAAGTCCCTCTCCTCCAAAACCACCTCTTTCAAATATTTGACCAAAGCCGCGACATCTTCATCGTAAGGTCCTTCATCATCAAAGGCTTGGAACCAGGCACTTATCGCGTTTCTGAGATCAGGCAGCTCGCACAGCTTTCGACTGGTGAACGTAGGCTTTGCAAGACGAGGCTCCAGCACGAAATGTCTGTCAAGTGGACCAGCATCCTCAGCATTCTTCTTTCGACCAACTTTACTTCGTTGATGGAGCGAGAGATCGATGCCACCAGTCCGCTGGAGTCTCGCCTGTCGCTGTTGGGCTAAGACTTCCTGTCTCAAGTCATCCGGCAAAGCTGCCAAAACATCCGGATCAAGCTCTCCAGCCTCCGCTTCGGTGTCTGACGAAGGCCCATCCTCTTCGGGCTTTCGAAGAGGCCGCGCAACGAAATTCGACTGGGTAAGGGTAGAGCTCTCATCATTACCCATGGCCCTATGAGAGACGCCGGAGACCAGGTTTCGACTCCCTCGAGGTCTACCTCTGCCTCTTCGAGCGGCTGCCTGCCGGGGCGGTGGAACAGTTCGGAGCTTACGAGGTGACTGCGGAAGCACGGGCTGATCCCCACGCTTCTCGGTGCGATTTTGGGGTGATTTGTAAAAACCCAATATCTCAGCCCGTACATCATCCGGTAAAGCTTCGAGGATGCTGGGATCGATTTGAGACTGAGGTGGCAGAACGGTGGGTGATTGAGCCCTGGAGGTAGCCCTGAATTCGGGAAGATTGACAGCCTCAGCGGCTCTTAGCCCCGTAGAGCTGTCGACATGCTTCGTTAGCTTGGCTCTGATATCTTCCGGTAACTCTGCCAGTACACTTGGATCGACCTGAGTGGGGAGGACAAATTGTGTTCCAAGTGTATTAAGTAGCTTCTTGGTTGGAGTACCCGGCTCGACAGGCCTGAACGCGGCACTGGGTCTGTTGGCTTGGACTCGAGGCTTCTCCGGCGTTTTGATATCGTCTTGGATGGGATCGTCCTTCGAAGTGGGCGCGACTATCTTTGATGTCGTTCCCCATTGCAGTTTACGCTGGCTTGCCAGGTCAAGCCCGCCTGGACCTTGTTTCATAGGCTCGAGCTTTTGCATCTGCACGCCAATTCCTCTCAATTCGCCCGGTGAGATTGCAAACGACCTCATCATGGCAGTAGATTCTTTCGTGAGTACCGCGTGGTCGTTGGTTGCGACACCGAGCTGGAGACTCTTGTTGAAGACATCGCATTTGCCGTGGCCCAGATGTTTCGGTGGATCCAAAGGCGCATCCGCGGCGCGTTTCATGATTTTCATGGTGAGCTGCTTACCTTTGACTCGCTCTTTGAGCAGTCTCTTATTTAGCTCGCCGCATAGACCGTGCATGAACTCGTCGACTTGTTCCTGGTTTTCGAATCGCACTCCCCAGTTGACTTCAGCAGACACTGATTTGCGGACGACCTGATCTCCCACCTCGCTTTTGTCAATTCCACGAGCGTATTCCCACATCTTCTCGCCTGTCTTGGGCCCAAGAGCATTCATTAGTCTCTCTTTGGTAACCTCGCGAATATCCTTCACGAGCTTAATGCCAATCTCTTCCAATTTCCCACCAATACTCCACGCCACACCTGGTAGCTTTGTGACTTCCAGCTGGCCCATGAATTCAAGAACATCCTCCGGCTTGAGTTGACATTGCCCCGCCGGCTTGGCTTTGCGCAAAGCCACTTTTGCTTGTAGAATATTCCCGCCAATACCGACCGACACGGCGCAGCCTGTCTTCTCCAATACCTCATCTCGCAGTTTCTGAGCTACTTCGTCGGCCTTGTTTTGCTCGCGGTGAACAGCACCTTCACTGCGTTTGACCCCATCCGACCCACTCTCAGCAAAGCAGATGGAACTTATATCAACAAGCGCTTCGTCAATACTGACGCTTTGTACAATTCCATCCGTGGCCATGATGGCATCGTAGAATTTTCGACTGGCGTCCTCGTATCCAGGAAAGTCGTACGGAAGCACTTTAAGCTCCGGGCAAAGCTGCTGTGCACGTTTCATCCACATGCCGTTGCTGATGCCGAACTTACGGGCAATATAATTACAACTTGCAATTTCTGAACCTGATCCACCTCCATGTGCGACCACAGCTGGCTTCTCTTTGTACTGCGGAGACTTCTTCAAGGAGACAGCTGCAAAGAAGCTATCGAAGTCGACGTGCATGATGTAGCGTCTCTGGCCGGGCAGCTTTTTGTGTCTACTTTTCTGTGAAGACGACTTTTCAGCAGCAACGGCCTGAAGCTGGGCTTTCAAGTCTGCCTTCCAGGTCGAAAGATGGTGGAGGCGAGATTCACGGTAGTACTGATCGAGGAAATCCGGGTGCACCACCGTAGACTTTCTGATGTTTGGATCTGATAGAAGCAATGCGTTGTGCTCCTCCGCTGTCATAGTAGCAAGCTTTGAAGGTGATATGTTCTTGAGGACGTCAGATTGCCGAATGACGGCATGAGAGAAGTCTGGCTCCTGGGAGCCTTCTCTTGGGCGAAGCGCAGGTGATTCTTGTGGCTTGGGCTTCTCTCCACGAGCCATCAGTGGTGTGTTTGGCGCAGGCTCCTGGTCGTCCTCGATTTGCTGATGGGGGGAACTCGTCGGAGGTGGTGTTTGAACATGATTCCCGATATGCAGTCCACCCAATTCTGCGGTCTTCGAGTCTTTGTCCTGTGGAAGTGCTTGTTCAGCGTCAAACATCGCTTGCTCCACTGAGCTCGTTATGTCTTGCAAAGGGAAATCATCGTCCTCGATGTCGTCGGAAGGGGTGATAGTCTGAGTAGGCTGATACTGTCTCTTTGAACTGCTACCTGGAGGTTTGAGCTGACTGGTATACCAGCTGGTGTCAGTCTGCTCACGATAGCCTTGCGGTTTGCGGCTAGCCTGGCTCACGACACTGCCGTTTTCGAAGCCAAGCAGCTTCTGACCAACGCCTTCATCCACAACGCGGTAATCGCCCCATGGCAGTAGTTTGCCGAGCTTGATGCTATCAACGATCCATGCGGGCTTCACAATGCGGTAGCGACGGAATTCCTCTTTTTTCTTGGGCGTCAGATTGCTCGCAATTATGTGTGTGACCATAGTCTTGCCGTCCAGATATTGGATGAAACCACCTCCATGCTGCACGATCATTGTATGCAAGTCATTCAAGGACGGCTGTGTGTAGCCATTAATATGCGCCACGATGCCCTTGAAGATCTGTGGCTTTTCAGAGGATTGAGCTCTAAGTTCGGCATCCAGATTCTGCAGCTTGATCTTTTTCCTTCGAAAGTATTCCGAGAAACCACCAAACTTGGAGCCCTCGTATTCTTCGCCTTCTTCATTCTGGAAGTCGTGGTTCTCGATCCGTTTGCGGACAAGGGAGGACTTCTGGTCCAGTCGCGAGCCCATAATGCCGCCGTCGGTTCATGTTATCGGCTTCGGAGTGGTTCATGAGGGCGTCATATCCATCTGCAAGGCATGGAGCAATAATCACACAATCGAGACGCGTATGTAGCGTGTGAAATGCGCTGGTAGAGGATGATAACGCGTGAGTGACGCCACTTCTGCAGCAAAGAAAGACGTGAAGTCCGGCGCTGACTGTGCTAACGTGAGCTAGTCTCGATGGGGATGAGTGCAGGGCCCAAGCTCCCGAAATCTTGGCGGAAAAAGTCGAAGACCGCCCTTCTGCCTTGGACCTTCGCCCGAAACAACTCGACACTGTTTTTCTCTTTTCCGCTCCGCTCACGTCTGTTTCTTTCCCCGAAACGCCATCCCGCTTGAAAACTCTTCAAGCACCTTTCACTAGGCCCACGAAGGTCACATCTTCAACCACTCCCAGTTTGTGCGAGTCGAGCATTGCAATGGCTGGTATGATCCCAATGGCCGTCTACGGCCTTGAGGTCCCTTGCGGCGATATGCCCATCCCCGCCAAGTCCGATATTCCTTCCGCCTTCCGCATTACCATGGCCGCCATCGACCCCTCCGCCGAACCAGAGGGCGACGACGGTGCTGTTCCTCGCGCGACACTCAAGCTCATTCGTCGCTCGCTTGATGATGAAGACGATGAGGACGAGGACGAGGACGACTTCGACGCGGATTACATGGACGCTTTGCTGGCTGAGGGAGAAGAGGAGGACGACGATGAGAGCGACGACGATGAGGATCTGAAGGGTGGCCCAAGCGATCCAGCCAAGTCCAAGAAGGCCCGCAAAGAGGCCGCCCTTAAGCAGATTTTGGCTGAGGAGGGCATGGACCTTGACGAAGATGAGAAGCCGACGGTGAATGGCGTCAAGAAGTCTGCTAAGGCTCTGGGCAAGATGCCAGTCAGTGACGACAGCGACGAGGAGGACGAAGATGATGACGACGACATGGATGTCGAAGAGTTTGTTCTCTGCACTCTTGACCCGAGCAAGGTAAATTGATGATCTTGAGAACCGTCGGCACGCATTATTAACTTCTTCGCAGAACTGGCAGCAGCCTCTTGACATCACCGTTGGTGAGCGCGAGCAGGTCTTCTTCATGGTCTCTGGAACTCACACCATCTATCTCACTGGCAACTACGTCGAGCCTGCCGACCTTCAAGGTCCAGGCTCCGACATGTACGATCCGGACAGCGACGATGAGCTGGACTATGATCTTGAGCCAGACAGCGACGAGCTGGATGAGGACGACGAGGATGATGAGCTGGACGAGCTGGAGGATCCACGCATCACGGAAGTGGACGACGACGACGAGGATGAAGCCCCGACGCTCATTGAAAAGAAGGCGGACAAGAAGGGCAAGAACAAGCGTCCAGCTGAGGACGAGGAGACTGCTGATGCCAACGGGATTGATGAGATGATCGCGAAGGCTGCGCAGAAGGACAAGACGAACGGCGAGCAGAAGCTCAGCAAGAAGCAGCTCAAGAAGCAAAAGAAGAACGACGGCTCTGCGAACGTCACTTCTACCGATGAGGCCAAAAAGGAGTCAGACGCACCGTCTTCTGCTAAGAGCGACAAGAAGGTCTCTTTCGCCAAAGAGCTCGAGCAGGGGCCAACTCCAACCAAGGACGGAAAGAGCGAAAAGGGCAAGGCATCTCTCGGCGTCAAGAAAGTTCAGGGCGTGACCATCGACGACAAGAAGCTTGGAACCGGCCCAGCAGCGAAGAACGGCGATCGTGTCAGCATGCGCTACATCGGCAAGCTGGAGAAGGACAACAAGGTCTTCGACAGCAACAAGAAGGGCAAGCCGTTCTCCTTCAAGCTCGGTGCCGGAGAGGTTATCAAGGGATGGGAGATCGGCATCCAGGGCCTGACCGCCGGCGGTGAACGTCGCATCACGATCCCAGCTCATCTCGCCTACGGCAGCAAGAGTTTACCCGGCATTCCGGCCAACTCGACTCTGGTCTTCGATGTCAAGCTCCTCGAGATCAACAAGAAATAAACCATCGGAGATCCCGCTGCAACAAGCCCGCTGAAAGGACCGCTCGTCGCGACTTTTCACGGCCTGCCCACGGCTCTCTCTCGCTCTGACTTGTACACTGCTTTCCACTCTCTCTGAGCAGACCTTTTGCGCTGGCGAACTCTACTTCCAGACCCAAGTGCTGGAGGAAGGATGAGTTGTCACTCGAAAACCTCACTCTCGACGTTTCTGGCGCAGAATCTCTCTTTTCGCGTTTGTTTATCATAGCGGCTGTTCTTCTGATGATACCCGACTTGCATGTGATTTTGCATTTTGCAGGGATGATGGGTTTCTGATACCTGGCAGCGAATCGGCAATGGCTTTTGCTTTGTGTAGAAAAAGTAAATGTTACATGGGCGCTGTGGGATGTCGGGCGTTCTCTATAGTGCGGTGCAATGGAAGAATGATGCATTGAGTTGATTTCCTCTTCCTTCCTGTTTTGAACTATCTTTTGTGAGTTTTGAACAGACGGTCACATGTTCTCGTGAGCCTAGCGCGAACCAACCCCGCCCTGTGCAAGGATCTTGTCGTTGGTAGGGCGCAGCTTCCAGTCAAGCCAACACTGCTTCAGTTTTGATTTTCAAGTCCTTCAATGCACAACGCTAGCAAGCAAGAATGGGATCGAAGAGTCCAGATGGCCAGTATCAGGGCCCGAATGGTGAGCAACCAGAGCGCAACCCGCTCAACTCTCTGTCTCTGACACAAGCCAGGACACGACTCGCCCGATTTCAAACCTGCACAAATCGCATCAGGCAATTCCAACGGAGCAGACACTGCCGACGTTGATCGTGGAATTCTTGGCGACGGAGACGATGGCGATGATGATGATGGAGGCGCCGGGGTGAAGGGGCTACAAGGTAAATTATTCCTGCTGTATCGACGGCATCAAAGGTATGCGCAACTCGCTGTGCACGTACTCACATAGGTTGCAGCGGGAAGGAAGCGCAAGAAATCCAAGAAGCCGAAAAAGAGGAAGGCCGCGGGCCCCGCAAAGCAGACATCTCCACCTCGTTTACCAGTCTCTACAATCTTCGAGTCGGTGTACCCACTGGGAGAGCTTATTCCGTACGAGAACACTTCCCGTACCACCAATGAGGAAACCCGCTACAACTCTCGGCACTTCAGCGAGACCTTCTTGTCTGAATATCGTCAAGCCGCCGAGATCCACCGCGAAGTACGCCAATACGTGCAGAAAGAAGTCATCAAGCCCGGTGTGAGCATGTCTACGATCGTGGAAGCGATCGAGGACGGCATCTATGCGCTCACTGGCAATCCGTGCACTGGAACTGGAGAGCCTCTCAAATCCGGCCCAGGCTTCCCAACCGGTCTCTGCCTGAACAATGTTGCGGCCCACTGGACTCCGAATACAGGCGGTAAAGATGTCCTACTGCAGAAGAATGATGTTCTCAGCGTTGACTTCGGAGTGCACGTCAACGGCCATATCGTCGATTCAGCGTTTACTTTGACTTTCGATGAGACCTACAACCCTCTTCTCGAAGCCGTGAAGGCAGCAACGAATACGGGCATCGAACATGCTGGTGTCGATGCGAGAATCAATGAAGTCAGTGCTGCTATTCAAGAAGTCATGGAGAGCTACGAAGTCAACGTAAATGGCAAGTCGTTGCCCGTTCAGGCCGTTCAAGGTCTCACAGGCCACAACATCTTGCCCTATCGCATTCACGGCGACAAATATGTGCCCTTCGTGAAGAACAATAGCAAGCAAAAGATGGAAGAAGGCGATGTGTTCGCGATCGAAACCTTTGGAAGTACGGGTAGGGGTGTTATGACGGACGATGTGAGAATGTACCTCCCGCAACATCTCAATACAAGTACTGATCTGCCGTCAGGTCGGTGTCTACGGCTACAGCCGCAACGAAGGCATAGCAAGCCAACATCTACCTTCTGCCTCCGCGAGATCTCTACTCAAGGCCATCGACGCGAATTTCTCAACAATTCCATTCTCTCGTCGTCATCTGGAACGTCTGGGCGTGACCAAGTATCACCTTGGGATGAGGCAGCTGGTCGATGCTGGTATTGTCGAAGAGTATGCGCCTCTTGTGGACAGGAAGGGCGCGATGGTGGCTCAATTTGAGCATGTGAGTTGGGCACGTACTATCTAAAGCTTTCGCATACTGACGCTGGACCTAGACGATCCTGCTTCACAGGGGCGGAAAGGAAGTCATCAGCCGGGGTGAAGACTACTGAAAGAAGAGTTGAGAGTAGCTGGGGTGTTGTCAGGCTCTGAGGTTACCACTGACCGAAGTCACTCATTGATATGCAACCGATCAATAAATGGAAGTTTCGCGACCTCCGACTTGGGAGTCCGCGAACCTCACTCACTCGCTGTCAATGCCAATGTAGACGCAGATCTCGACACCTCTCTCGCGGCTGACACCCCCGATCCAGGCTTGCTTGCTGGAAACAAGATCCAAGCAAACCCCATCTTGCTCGCAGACCACCGCTCTGGAGGCTCTCATTTGTTTGCTGGAAAATTTTCTCTTCATTGCATGCTGATCTTGAAAAAGTAATCGCCCGCAGTAAAGCATGCTTGGAGACTGCTCAAGGGAGTACAAAAGCCGCGCAAATGGGAGTGAAGCAACGATGCTGCCACGAAGCACACGAGTCTTCACATGACGATTGCGAAATGTCTTCCTGGTTTTACTGGAGCAGTCCGTAAGTATCAATGGGTCGCAGGACTTGGCCCCGATGCTGAACATGATGCAGTGCGGGACTGGGAAACGAACAATGCATTTCTGTACGTCAAGAAATGGCTCCTGAACCCGAGATCGATGACGAATGGGTCGATTGTGGACCTCTCGAGAGCAAAACCATCCATGTCGAGCGTGAGGAGGATGAAAATCGCCGGAGACTTCCTCCAAGCGCTGGACAGGCGCGCGACCTAGAAATCCACGGGGAGTCTGGACATGCGACAGGATCTGCGCTTGAGGTCCCCGTTAGCCAACCAAAGCAGTATGAAGAAATCCAAGGCGTAGCGATTCCGCTCTCTCCCGGGCTCGATCGAGTCTCTACCAAGACCTCCCCCGTCTCTCCATCGTCGCCAACAAGCTCGCCCACGACTTCGCAATCCTCCTCCGAGCTGCAATGGGCTCAAGAATCGCAATTCTTGCCATTGACAGATGAACGCGGGAGAAAATGACCACGAACACTCCCGAAACTCCACCACGGCAAATCTAAACCAGCGCTTAGGACTCTCCTACCTTCGAGATGACATGCAGAGCCTCGAATTCCAGCTCGCAGACATTCTAGCGAACACGGCGGAATTGCGCGAAGAACACCTAGCCTCCGAGGCGCGAACGACATCCCAGCTCTCTCCCAAATCACCGCGCAGCAGGATCGATTGCACGATATTCTCACCGAGAAAATCACCACTTCGCAAAACCGCCATTCCGACTGGTGTGATGATCACACATGGGACTGTCTGCGGTCCGATATGGCCCGAGTAGTAGCCTCGCAGGTCGCAACGCAGCAGGAGGAAATCTTGAATTTGGCAGCACACCTTCTGCGCGCGGTGCAGGAGCGGGAGCAAGAATTCGAAGAGCGTCTGGAGAAGAAGAAGAATTTTCGGGGAGGTTGAAGCAATCTCACTCATCACGAGGAAAGTCTGACGGGGTTGGAGCGCCGGATGGGAAATTCGGGTTGGAAGCGCCGGATGGAAAATTCTGGAGGAGGGGAAGAAGAAGAAGAATCTGGCCTTTGACGAGGCTGCTATTCAGGACGTTCGCCGACGACAGATAGATGATGTCCGAGTCCGAGTCCGAGTAGTGCGCCTTCATCATCATCATCATCAGCATCAGAAAAATCATCCCAGCCGCCGCCCCCCCCCAGCAGCATGCAAATGCAAATGCAAATCTGGCCCTCCTCCTCCGAGAATGCAAAATTTGGCGGCTTCTTCTTCGAACGACGCGAACGCTCGGCGCATTATTCCCTAGAGCAACATACACCAGCATCGCATGTTCAGCAGGGTGTATCCGGATTGCCCAGTATTGCGTCTTCGAGCTGTCCAGTCCTAACTCTCACTCTCACTAGGACTAGAAAGGAGTTCTCTTTCGCCTTCCTTCGCGAGATCGGGAGATTATACCTCTAGTCTTTTGTCTTAGTCTTAGGGCTTTAATAGTTAGTTAGTTAAGGTAGGTAGGTAGGTAGGTAGGTAGGTAGGTAGTAATGTTTTGTCATCTCATCTCATCTCGTATTCATCTCGTAAGATCTTACCCTATACCTTTTTTTTTTCGACTTCTTAAAAAGAAATCGCTAATTAGGGACAAACAAAGAGAAGTCGAGATTCGAGGAAGCCTATACGAGAGAGTAAGGCTTTTTAACGATCTTAGACGGTCGTTAATAATATTAAGCCAGAGAAATGATTCGTATCCTTCTCAAGTGCCGTCAAAAATTCCCCCCCAAGTCGTCGTCCGTCGCTGGTGGAGATTCATTGAAAGAGCCAACCTAAGTAAGGTTGAAGATGTCTTTGATATCTTGAAAAGTCTCCACACTCATACATGTCCAAGACACTGCCAGGTGACTTTTTACTGCTTTAGCCTAAAAATTCCCCCCTCCCCTCCCCCCCCCGTTTTCCTCCCCAGTGAAAAATGCCAAAGTACACCATCAAACCACTAACACGCAAAAAGAACACACCCTTTCCATTCCCATCTCTACGACTACGAAATCTTGACCCTCGAATCGACAAAAAGCGAAAGCCACACCTTCTTGCCCATCATCACGAGATCCAGCAACCAGAAAACCACCAACAAAACAATCATCCCGACGGAAACCCACAGAACACCCTCACTCTCCAATTCCTCGCCCAGATAGATCGTCCCCAGAGCCCAGCCGACATTGGGGAAAATGCCCGCCCAGGCGGTATTCGTCCACGTGAGGGCGTGGTTGAAGCGCCACTTGCGGGAGACTTGGTCGCGGTGGAAGAGGTCGGCGAGGTTGATGACGGCGGCGAGGGCGAAGACCCAGAAGGAGAAGAGCCAGAGGAAGATGCCGGCCCACGTGGCGAGGACGAGGAGGGTTTCGGCCGCGGCGGGGTGGGCGGCGAAGTAGGCGTAGCGCGGGGGAGCGGCGCGGGCGATGCCGATGAGGGCGACGATGGTGAAGCCCGAGGTGCCGACCATGACGAAGAGGCCCGGGCGGAGGCGGGGCGCGGGCCAGCCGTTTTCCAGGCAGTTGGCGAGGCAGAGGGTGAGGAACATGGTGCAGACGAGCCAGCCGAGGCCCTGGTAGGCGACGCCGGCGACCATGATGGGGAGGCGCTGCGGGGGGGGTTGGGAGGCGGCGAGGGCGGCGGCGATGGTGCCCGTGAGCATGGCGGAGAGGATGGTGATGATCATGGGCGGGGCGAAGTGGATGGCCTGGAAGGGCGTGTAGTGGAAGATGAAGGCGCTCTGGAGGGTGACGACGAGCAGGGAGCAGGCGGCGTAGAGCCAGAAGAGGATGCGGAGGGTGGGGAGGAGCCAGGGGCCGACGTGCGGGAGGGCGAAGCGCTGCATGTTGATGATCATGGTGGCCGAGGAGAGGAGGAGGGAGCCGAAGAAGTAGCATTCCGGCGGCGTCACGAGGCTGCGGGCGAATGCCGCGACGGGTCTCTCGTGCGATGCGAAGCGGAGGAGGGCGAAGAGGGTGAAGGTGGCGAGGAGGAGGATGTTGAAGATGAAGATGATGGTCCCGATGGTCTGGAGGCCCGGGAATTGCTTCGGACACAGCGAGAGGAGGGCTGCGATGCCGCCGGTGGATTGCGGTGCGGTGAACCAGGACCAGGTGAAGTTTTGACGCAGCCAGGGGAGGAAGGCGAGGGTGTGTTTTTCCGTCTCATCCTTGGATTGTTGTTGTTGTTGTTGTTGTTGTTGTTGTTGTCGTCGTTGGGAGCTGACGGCATGGCCATTGCTGTTCTCGGTCTGAGACGAGTTGCCGTTTTCGAGATCCAGCCCTTCTTTGTCGGAGGAAGACATTGTGGCGGGCAAAGTATTTCTTTGAATTCGGTGTGCATCGACGGATGTCATCGAGTACGATGGCCCTCCATGAGAGCATGCCCAAGAAGCCCTCGGCCGTAACGCGCAGAGCCGACCAAGATCCTCCCACCAATGAAGATCTAAAGAACGAGAGATTTGGGGGTATGAGTATAGAAGGAGTGTTGTTGGAGGCGCCGTCGGTGGATGACGCAGCCAGCCGCTTCCCCGATGTGAAGTGACAAAGTGACCAACAGAATGCCGCTGATCGACACCAAAAAAAAGTCTCAAGGAAGACGATCTTTGCGGGGAAGAGGATGTATGATACTAGAAACGTCGCCAGAGCAGTATTTACATGCCTCCAACATTCACTATACCACACCTGAAAGAAAGAAAGAAAGAAAGGAAGGAAAAAAGGATTCCCAATATTCTTTCTTCCCAGGGTTGCACTTCATCATTGCATCATCAAGTAGAAGTCCACTCTTCCATCCTTTCCCTGTACCTTACAGTAGCTTCGATCAGAAAACGATTCTTTGATTATTAGCCTTTCCGTTCCATTGTGATTCCCATCTGTCGTCGTCGTCGTCGTCGTCGTCGTCGTCGTCGTCGTCGTCGTCGTCGTCGTCGTCTACTGGTAAACATTCTGCGGGCCCTTGAGACCAAAGCAGTTGGCAAAGTACGTCACCGAAGCCGCCCAGTCCGTAAACAGGGCCTTGATCTTGATCTGGTTCGCCAGGACGTCCAGCAGGTCGTAGTACTGCCCGTCGTACGAGACGATGTCGGCAATGCTGCTGAAGTAGTATTCGTCGCGCGCCTTGACGGTCGCCAGGGGCCCGCTGCGCTCGTACGTCCAGGCGATGATGTCGAACCCGTGGGCCAGGATGGCCTGGGAATAGGCGGATGGGACGATGGTGCGGTTGTCGGGGCCCCCGGGGACGACGAGCATGGGGATGGAGGGGCCGATGATGTTGACGCCGGCCTGGCGCACCTCGGTCAGGTTGCGGGTGGCGTTGGCGATGTCCGCGGGCGTGTCGTATTCCTGCAGGAAGATGGCCTGCTTGCCGAATTCGTGGTCGTTCTTCAGCCAGTACAGGATGTCGTCGTAGAGGAAGCTCTGCGGCCAGATGCGCTCGTAGGCGATGCTGCGGTTCTTGAACGTGTCGACGAAGTCCTGGGCGTACTGTTGTTGGGTGTAGCCGTGGAAGGGCATGGGGACGTAGGGCTGGGGGGGAGTCTTGAGCTCCGGGGTGAAGTTGCGCTGGGGGGACAGGGACTCCACCAGGTCGATGTAGCTGTTCAGGGTGAGGACTCTGCCGCACGTGTCGTACAGCTCCGTGCGCCAGTCCGGGGCGACTCCGAGGTAGTCCTGTGGCGTCTTGGCCGAGGCATTGAAAGCGTCCTGCTTGCCGCAGAGCGTCTGATACTCAGCAATCGTGATGTCCGAGGTGCAGCACACCGCGTTGGCCGGAGACGTGGCATTGGCGGGCGTGAAGGGAACGACACACTTCTTCGCCAGCTCCGGCCGGGTCAGGATGTCGGTGGTGGTGTGCAGATCGCACAGGGAGTGTCTGCAGACCAACCCGCGATCTCCGGTGAAGGAAACATCACACTCCAGGATACCGGCACCCATCCTGGCGCCCGCCTGCTCGGACTGCGCCGTCTCTTCCGGGAATTGCAGAGTGCCTCCACCACGGTGACCAATGGTGAAGTCGGTGACGGAGAATTCGATGTTCTCACATGACTCCAGCTTCGTCTTGAGGGGGCCGTCGGTCATGTTCTGAACGAGGTAGTAGGGACGCGGTCCGAGTTGGACATTGTACTTCTGCTGCGGTTGTTGCCCACCATGCCCCCAACCCGGGTTACTAAATCATCATGAGCCTTTCCCCCCAGATCTCTCAGTGTGTCGAGCAATCACTTACCCGCCTGGCCCACCATAGCCCCATTGCGGAAGGGCATGAGCTGCAGCCAGCAAAGCCGCCGAAGCGAGCGTAATAGCAGCCATATTATTATCTCAGAGCAAAGAGTCAGAGCAAAGAGAAAGATCTCCTCTCAATCGACGAGAGAAGAAGAGATATCTGACAAGGCCCACAACCGATATCTATCTTTATGTACGGCCGTGAGAAGGAGGAATAATTTCCTTCTCCCAGCAGCAGCAGCCTCACATCAGCGGCTCAGTAGTCAGCCTCAGCATCAGCAGGAACGGAACCTGGAATCCTACAAGCGGCAGCATCCATGCAATCTCCCTCCCACGTGCCGGCCTTGAAGCCATCCTAGTAGTTCCTTGCCTCGCAACACTCGCACCTCATGACGTAGGTGCACAACTCAATGCGTCTTCCCAACGGGCCCAGCCTCGCACGCCTCTCCGGGAGCTGGAATGTTTGGGTCGATAAATACAAGATGCACTTCGAGATACCTTGTCCCCACGCATGAGGCTTCCCCTCTGAAGTGCGTCTGGGAGACGATTGGAGCAATTCTACCCGACGAGATGATCTCGGAAAGTGATTGTACCTGGTAAGAAGAGTAAGCTTTCAAGGATCTCACCTCCGATCCTGACGTCAGGATGCACGGGTTCCTGGATGAGGAGCTCCCGAACGTCTTGTGTCACAGGCTTTCAGAATCGGGCCGTGTTCTCTCAATATCCGTGATATTAATCCGGGATGTGTATAGTACAGATCTGGTACGGATGGAGGCGAGCATCTCGCCGATTTAGAGTAGAGAACCCCTTCTTCCTACGAGCCTTCACCATTCAGGGTCGATCTCTCCAGTAGAGATTGGAAACTCGCAATGACATGATTCCTACCCCATTGGCCATAACTTCTACGTCGTGCATAAGGTAGATACCTCTTGCCGGAAACCTGTCATCTCTGTCTGTCGAGAGGAGCGTCGTCTCTCTTCAGAGAAGGTCGCTTCTACGTGGGCTTGGACACTTTTTGTTTCGGTGATGACAAACACTCTGGAAGCTGAGGGCTCGTCGTCACCCCGCAACTCCATGGAGCGAGTAGGTGTACAAGCACGCGAGTAGGAGGCATAGTTCTGCAATCTATTTTGCCTTCAGAATCACGGCAGCGGCATGTCTGCGACTGAGGTCCATTGCTCCCGATGGCAATCTTCGTAGCGCGTCTTCTGCGCGACAGTCTTGCGCAGCCTGGCCAGCTCTGCTTTCAGACCTCACTAGAAAATGCGCGTAGGAAACTTGGTGAACATCTTCAGCCGTCGGCGTATACCCAATCTCCACTGCCTGGTGTTGTTGGTGAAGAGCATCGGCCGCTATAAGCCGGTGGCATTTCGATTTCCCAAATGCGCTGACAGACTTCTCATTTCAGAGCTGGCGGGACAAAGTCGTCCGGCGAGAGTCGGGTCGGATGTCCGTCCCAGTCGTAGTTTCGATGTCCAGATCATAGTTTCATCTCATATCCGTATCGAGAAGCTCGTCGTCCGGCGAGGGTCGGGTCCGATATCCACATCATCGTCTCATCCCATATCCGTATCAATCCGCTCGTCGTTGGGCTCGCGCGGCTCCTGCGCCTCATGGAACTGGATGGCATCGTCAATGTAACTCAGCACGGCGCCGACACTGTCTTCATCCTGCGCGTCGAGCCTCAGGAACGAGACGAGGCTGAAGTCGTCGATGAGCTGGCCCACGGCCCTGTTCAACCTCGCGAAAGATGTGCCGCTCATCTTGGCTTCGGTGTCGTCGGGATCGCCATTGTCCACGCCCTCTCGATACTCATAGACCAAGCCACTGTCGGGCGCATCCTGGAGCAGACTGGTGTCGGGATCGATGAAACGCTTCAACTCCCTCCGCGCGACCTGGCCCTTGACCTGGTCCATCTTGCTCAGGATGTTGACGTGGGGGAGTTCCATCATGATCATGGCACTCATGGCGCTGAGGGTGCCGGAGAAGAACTTGGCGCGGTCGACGATGAAGGAGCTCTCGAGGAGGTAGGCGGCGCACATGCTGATGTTCAAGCTGCCCCGTGTCAGATGCTTGATGAGCTGTGGCACGATGGGGACGTGGGTGTAGAGTTCGATCTGGCCGGGCATGTCGATGATGATGAGGTATTCCTCCGTCACGTCTTCCATCTTGTCGGTCAAGAAGTCGAGGTTGTCGAGGAGGAATTCGAAGCAGTAGATCAGGCCGCCGTTGGGGCCGAGGTGGAGCTCTTCCATGACATCCTCGAGGGAGATGAGCTCTTTGATGTCGAAGTCGGGTTCGTAGACGAAGTCCTCGGCGGCGGGGTCGAGGTTGACGTAGAAGCAGCTGCGGCGGTTATTCTTGAGGTGCTGGATGAGGGCGGAGCAGAAGGTGGTCTTGCCGGCGCCGGCGGGGCCCATGACGATTGTTCCATAGCGACTCCCCATGTTGGGTGGAGGCGTGGGCGTGGACGTGGGCGTGGGTGAGGGTGTGTTCAGAAATTTGAGATGGATCTTCTCACCAGCGAGCGGGCGGAGGGGGCCGTCGGGAGTGTCGTCGGCCGAAGATCAGGCGCGGGCCGAGATGTGCCGAAGGGTCTTGCATTCTCTCGCAGCCAGCTCGTCGCTTCCTCGATCGAGTCTTCTCTCGGACACAACCGATAACCTTGGTATGTGAGGCGATGAGAGCGCCTACACGGCCAAGCAGTTCATCGCGGCTCCGGCTGCCGGATGGATGCTGGCGAGATGCTCCGGGCACGGATACCACCACACCAACACCAGGAGCACCGAGGAGAGCTGATGGCAGTAATGGTTATGGTTGGTGTTGTTGTTGTGAGCACGTGTCGGCATGGCCATCTAGATGACACGGGGAGGCGGATGATGGAGTGCGGATGGTGGACTGCGGATGCACAGCGCTATTGGCAGGGCATCTCTGTCTCGCCCGCGGCGCGGAGAAGGGGGCGTTGCCGGGCAGGGCTGTCAGTGAGTGAGGCAGGGCGCGGCAGTTGCCAGCATACACTTACTTCATGTACGGGAAGGCGACATGGCATTGGACTGGCGCATGTCATGCACCATGTAGTGAGGTGTGTTATAGAAGAAGGGGAGAATCCAAGAACAGGCAGAGAATTGGGCGTGTCGAGGGTGCAGCACGTGTGTTTCAATGGGGGAGGGAGGAGCAGGCAAGGCGCCAGAGTTCTGCCAGCGCAAGGCCAGACACGGCGACATGCTGGACTCGACTCCTGCTCCAACACAACGTGGCCATGCACTGTGCATCCTCGGGGTATGCACTGGCAGTGCACACTGTGCGGGCGGAACAGCGTCGGTCGGTATGGAACATCGGTGGGTGTGTGGGTGGGCGGGCGATAATAACACACACAGACAGACACCTGGGCCGGAAGACGACGACACATCCGTCCCTGCGTCACCTTTCCCTTCCCTTCCCTTCATCTTCCCTCCTCTCATCACCCTTCCCTTCGCTTCGCTTCATCCTTCACCCTCCCGAGTCCCTTTCTCTCTCTCTGCTTCCTCCTCCTCCTCTGCTTCCGCATCTGCATCCGCATCCGCATCTCCCTCTCCCTCTCCATCCGCATCTCCCCGCCTTCTACACCTCCCTCCGCCTCTATTCCTGCCTGCCTGCCACCTCACGCCTGCCGTTCCCGTTCCCGTCATCGCATCACCCTTCCCTTCCAGAACTGCAGCACGCTTCCCACTGCGGCACAGGAAAGAGCGGAGTGCTGCCTGCCCGATTGACTCGCCTCCGTGCACCTTCTGCGACATACCCCGGACACCTTCCTTCCATCGGTGTGCTGCTCTCCGTCCGACACCTCCGACAACAAACACCACCACCACCACCACCACCACCACCGCAATCTCCGCCATCACCAACATCTCCCTCGGGACCGGAGTACCCCACACCTTCCTGACACATCGCCCATCCCGTCCCGTTGCCCAGAGCGAGCAGAATGCCGCGGACCAAGAAAATCGCCCGCACGGCACCGAGCTCGGAGCTTGGCGAGGGCAACTGGGCCATCGACTTCAACCAGAACGGCAGAGCGGTGCGCAAGTGCAGGACCCAGGCCAGAGCCTCTCCCTTCCAGGACTCCGCCGTGGCCATCAGCGACCCCGAAGACGATGACTTGGACGACGACGACGACGCCGACGAGGTCGTCAAGGTGGCCTCCTCGCGGAAGAGGAAGCGCTCGCCCTCGCCCGATCTCCCTCTGCCATCCGACGTTCCCCACCTGCGCTCACACTCGGATTCCGACTCCTCAGACACGGAGCATACGGAGACGCCAACACCTGCACTGGCCGGCCATACCACCCTCCACCTCACCGTCAACATTCCCCTCGGCCACCAAGGTCCCATCACCCTGCATCTCGACCCCAACAACTTTCCCACCTCCTACCGGACCCCGTCCTTCGCCAAACCCGATCGCCTCACCCAGGCAACCCTGGCTCGTCTCACCGCCCGCTCCAAGTCCAGAAGCAGCACGCGCGCCGGATTCCTGGACCTACCCGCGGAGCTGCGCAACGACATCTACCGCATGGTCTTTGTGGGCGAGAGGAAGGTCAACTTCTCCAATCCCGATAACTTTAGCCGGACTGCTGCTCTGCTCCGAAGTTGCAGACAGGTCTACGAAGAGGGTGAGTGGTCCGTCCCCGTGTGGACTGCCCACGGAATGGCGAGCTGACGACATGACCAGGCCGCAGCATCCTGTACTCGGAGAACACCTTTGCCATCGAGCGACGCACACAGCGATACGGCTCTCTGTGGGAGAACGAATGGCGCGAGCTCGGCTACCTCGCCGCTCGCAAGTTCATGAAGACCATCGGTCCCACCAATCTCGCGCTCATCCGCCACGTCTCCATGATGCTCGAGGATGCCGTGCCATGTCTGAATCCCACCATGGAGACCAACGAGGAGCGCCGCTTCGTCTACGACAACGATCTCATCTCCGTCCTCCGTCATCTCGGCAACCACGGCCAGCTCCAGACCCTGGACCTGCACTTCCACGGCCGGAGGCGAGTCGCCCGCACCGATGACCGCTTCTTGGACTACATGAAGCGCATCAAGGCCGATGCCGTCCACTTCCTGGCTTGGCCTCCGGGCGCCACCTGGACTCGCGAGAGCAAGGAGGAAGACGCCGTGCGATCGATGCTGCTCTCGGCGTGCACGCGGCGGAGGAAGAAGTTTGACTGAATTCGATCGATCAATCCCGACAGCACTTGGGTCAATCAGGCGTGGAAGGGTGGGAGGGATCATTGGAAGATTGGAAGCTTTGATGGAATGGAAAGGGGGGCATCTACAGCTTCCACTTTATTATGGACATGTTCCGATGGTACGGGGCAATGGGAGCCGAGTGTGGTACACTTGAAGCATGCATGACGAACATTCTGACCTATAATCCCGAGAGTCTTGATCTGAAGCACTGTCGGCGCTAGATGTATGTATAGTGTACAAGATGATGGAAGACGAACTCTGATGCCTTTCTCCTCCTTCCTGCTGGAAACGCCTGGTGCCCTGCTCTACTCTGTCCTGCCCTGCTCTGTTCTGTTCTGCTCTCTGTCCCGATTCTCTGCCGTATCCATTTCCCTCTTCCTTTCCCATTCCATTCCCATTCCCATTCCCAAATTCTCATTCCCCATAATCCTTCATGACCGACCGCTTGGTTCTCTTGAGTCCCAAAAGCCCTCCTCAGCTTGAAGAAGAAAGAAAAAAAAAAAAGAAAACAAACAGGGGGGGGGGGGGGTATTTACATTTTTCCAGAAAAACCCTAGATAGATGGAAAGCAAACCCTGAAATGGAAAAGAAAGAAACGCCCCGTCGCCACCACCACCTCCTGTCGCCTATAAAAAATTGAAGAAAAAGGAAGGAAGCGGGGAAAAAAACAAAAACCAAAAAAAAAAAACCTCAAGGCCCAAGAACATTATTTCTTCTTCTTCTTCCCCTTCATTCTCCTCTGGGTGGGGCTCTTCTTCTTTCAAAATAATTCCTTCCTTCCTTCCCTCTTGCTCTGCCTCTTCTTTCTCTCTCTTTTACTTCTCGTCTGGGAATTCTTCTCCCCCCTTGAAAATTTCCCCCGATTGACTCGGATGCGGATTCGAGTTCGGATGCGGATTCGAGTTCGGATTCGGATTCATTGTCCCGCCGGGGACGGCAAGGTGATTCGTCTTCGTCGTCGTCGTCGTCGTCGTCGACATGCCCGGCCGATGCTGGACATGGAATTCCTTCACCTGCCGCTCCACCGCCTGCATCTGCGCCTGCATCTGTGCCTGCGCCGCGGGTTTCCGGGCCGCCGCGGCCATGGCGTCCTCCTTGGCCTGCCCCGGAGTCGTCGTCGTAGTCGTCTTCTCACCCTCACCGTCATCATCGGCTTGAGAAACCACCGTATTGACGAGAAGATTCGCCTCCTGCTGGAGATTCGGGATCGCGCGCGCGGGCTGATGCAGGTACGACTCGAGCATCTGCTTGAGGGTATCCGCGCGCACGGGCTTGGCGAGGTAATTGTTCATGCCGGCCTCGAGGCACTTCTCGCGGTCGCCGCGGATGGCGCTGGCCGTCATGGCGATGACCAGGATCTCGCGCACGCGCGGGTCCGCGTGCCGGCGGATCTCGCGCGTCGCGTTGTAGCCGTCCAGCACGGGCATCTGCACGTCCATGAGGACGAGGTGGAAGGGCGTGCCGTCGGCGCTGGCGCGCGCGAGCGCGTCGACGGCCTGTTGCCCGTCGCCGTACGCTTCGCAGTGGAAGCCGAGCTTCTTGACGAAGTTGATGGCGATCTTCTGGTTGATCGGGTTGTCCTCGGCGATGCACACTTTCAGTTGATCGCGCGGGACGCCCTGGAGGCTCATGATGGCTCGGGCGCCAGGAGCGTCGTCGACAGCAGGGGGAGTGAAGATGGCCATCGGGTCCGCCTCTCGGCCACCGTGAGCCGTCGTGCCGTCCGAGTCCGTGTCGCTCTTCAGGACTTTCTTAAAAGGCAGGCTGAACGACACCGTGGTGCCCACGCCCGGCTTACTTTCCAGCCAGATCTGACCGTGCATGACGTTTTCGAGAATGGCCTTGCAGATGGAAAGCCCGAGACCCGTGCCGCCATAGCTTCTCGCCGTGCTCGAGTCGGCCTGGGAGAAGGGCAAGAAGAGCTTCTTCTGCTGCTCTTCGGAGACGCCAATGCCTGTGTCGGTGACGGACACCGTGACCTTGATGCTTTCCGCGTCTTCCCAATCGACCTTCGCTCGCACAGTCACCCTTCCCTTCGCGGTGAACTTGTAGGCATTGGACATGAGGTTCATCAGAATCTGATGCAACCGAACGGGATCGCCCATTACGACCAGGTGAGGATCGAGTTCCAGCTCTTGTATCGTCTCCAGATTCCGCTCGATGTTGGTATACGACAGCGCCCTCACCACCTCACTGATCGTCTCCGTCAACGACAGCGGGACGCTAAACACCTGCATCTTGCCGGCCTCTAGCTTCGAGAAATCCAGAATGTCGTTGATGACGCTCAGAAGTGTGTCGGCGCAGACGCGGATGGAATCGGCATGTTCTTCTTGCTCCTTGCTGAGCTGCGTTGCCTTGAGCATCTCCGACATGCCAATGACACCATTCAAAGGCGTCCGCAGCTCATGGGAGACATTCGCGAGGAACATCGATTTCGCCTTGGCCGCTTCATCTTTCAGCCGCACCATCTCCATTGCCTTCGCTTCGGCAGCCTTTGCCTTCTTCTCAGCATCTCGAGCCTGCGCAAGGGCTTGCTTCTGCACCTCGAGCATGGAAGCGTTGCTGGCCGAGACCCTCTCCGCTCGTCTGAAAAGTAACGCATTAGCGATGGAGATTGCAATCTGGTTGACAAGCAATTTCAGCAGCGTCACCGTGCGTTCAGTGAATGTGTTGGGCGGCGCTTGACAGTAGAGACTGCCAAGCAACGCATTGTCGCCATGCAGGATCGGTATTGAGATCATTGAAGCCCCCTCCGGATTTCGTTCCAGCCACGACTCTGGGACATTCGAGAATCGCTCGTCATCGAGTACGTTTCGTAGGAACACCTGCTCCTTGAACCGCAGCACGTAGAGCGTAACTTGCTTTGCGACTTGATCTTTGGTCTCGCTCAGGAGAACGCCCGACTCAGGGGCCTGAATGCCCTCAGGCGTGCCCACTGAAGCAACACACCATTCGTTGTGATCGTCCTCGACCACGAGGCCAACAAGCTCTGCGCCAGTAGAATCGACAATGATTTTCGTCAATTTCGTCAGGAGCTTGTCAACCTGGAGCTCCGAGGATAGCAGCTGTGACGACTCCAGTATACCGGCGAGATCAATCATATCCAATCCGACGGCCGAAGAAAGCGCAGCTGGCATGTCCTTGTGTTGCGAACTCAGTGAGTTGGTCTGCGGATCAAGCCACGCGACCGTCCTATCAGCCGGCGTTTGAGCCACTTGATGGCTGGCAATCCTTTCCAATCTGTCGGCGTACGAAGGCCCGGGGCTGGGATCCATTGTAGTTTGCGTGCCGGCATCAACAGTAGCGAGACTTCTCGTGCCGTACAGCAAGAATGCGTACTTTTCCCCAACCTGAGATGCTTTCCCAAAAGCCCCGACCCGGCGGTAAGCAGAGATGCAGTCTAGAAGGATTCCACGCGCTGGCCGAGCGGCTCCTCTTCGGACAAGCCAGTCGGCGTAAAGCTCCAAACTGAGCGATTCATCGAGATCGTTGGAATGGAGGACGGCGTGATCAATCGCGGCTTCGTACGCTTGAAGGACTCCTCCATATTTCTGTTCGAGGTCTGCAGCCTCGGCGGCGAGCAGTTGAAGCATGACCACGTAATTGGCTGGATTTACGCTCGCAACCACTTCAATGTGAGCACGGCAGGCGGAGACCTTCTGCAAGAGTTCTTGCCTGTCGGGTCGGCTTGGCTGCTCCCTAATGCAGGCCAAGATAGACAACGAGAGATAGAACATAGCCGCATACCTCCAGCGCATGCACAAAAGTCCTTCTGTTGCTGGCAGGAGCGATTCTCCAAAGGCCATAGCCTCTTGATAATATCCGAACCGGTACATCGCCATCAGCTTGCACACCCGGTAAATGCTGAGAGGCCTGTTCGGACTGGATGCTCGTGTCACGATGTGATTTTCGTAGTTCTCGCTCGAATGGCTGCTGTCTGTTAGTACGTCGTGTGCAGATTGCCTGTACGTCTTGCCAGCCAGAGCGCGAATATATTGGCGAACGCCAGTCAAGAATACACCGCCTCGCAGATTTTCTGACCAATCCGGAAACTCTTCTCCAACGGAGACAATGAAAGCTTCCGTGTCCGCGATGTTCTCGGATGACCATAGACGATAAGCTGCCATGATACCAAGGTTTAGCAGATGGAGAATGCGGTCGCCAGCAGACGAAGCAGCTCCAAGGCCACGATGCAGACCATCAAAGTTCTCGGCGAACGCAGCCCTGATGTGCCCAAGGAACACAGAATGCAGTGTCTGGCAGCGTCCCACGACAAATTGCTCCTGCTCAATGGATGTCAGCATTTCTAGAGCAATGTCGCCAAACTCCATCGCCGCCTTGATCATGCTGAGGCGACCGATCATAATCGAAGCCATGCACACATAGCCCAATGCCAGCTGCGGAAAGACATCGCGCTCTTTGTAGAGCCTGAGAATCAGCAGGGTGGCCTGGTAGTAGAGCAGACTGTCAGTCCAATACGCCGAAGACTGAAGCTCTGCCAGCAAAGCACCAAGAGTGGTCAAAACTCTGTCCGCGGGTTGGCTGGCGAGCTTTGTAAGATCCGGAGGGCTGCTGTTCAAGAGCGGGAACAGACGCTGAAACTCTTCGTCGCACTCATCCCATGTCGTCTCCGTCACCTGCAGGCCCAAATCTGCAAGCCCTCTTCTCAAAGTATCAAAGGCTGCTTGACTGTTACCCTTTTGAGCGTACATCCGACTATGGATGATTGCGGCGGGCGCCTTGTCGACGACATCTCGAGCGCGATCAAACACGTCTGTCAGCAGCTCTGATGCTTCGTCATAGGCCCCACGAGACCAATATGCTTCGGCAGCACGTGTGAATAAAGTGAGCGTTTCTGCGTACCTCGCATCGCCTTCGGAGTCGTCCCACGGATTGTCGGGAAGCAAGACCAGGCAGTGCTGGAAGTAGAACAAGCAGGACGTCCCGGCACCAGTCTCCCGCGCCGTTTCAGCGGCCTGATACAGGAGGTCTCGGAAAGCAGGCTTGTTGTCTGCCCGCCGCTTCACGGCTTCTATACCGGCACACACATGCCGCGCTTGCTCGAAAAGAAGCTTATTAGGTTTAGTGATGGGATCATATGGCTCGTGTTTCATCATAGAACAGGCAACCACATAGTGCATCTCCGTTCTGTCGAATTGATCGCAAAGAGCCCCGGCTGCCGCGACATATCGATCGTGTGAAAATTTGAATCTGTCTTCCTCCTGCGAACACACAATTAGCACTGCGCCGATTGCTATACAACGTCTGTCCACAGTGGAAGGGTACTGTCCTCCCCGTAATCCAAGCAAAAGCGAGGGCCACGATGGGTCGGACAGTGTCATATCAGCGGTAGCAGCCGTCGACATGACCTTCGGCTGTGCGAAGACGCTGTACCGTCGTGCTCTTAACTTACATCTGTGGGCATAATGACGAACGATGATAGCGCAGTCTGAAGACCTTGAACGGCGTCCTTGGAGATCGGTGGTATTAGTGGCTGAGGGACCAACTGCGAGCACGCGCAGCTCATTACACGCTTGATTGTGTTGAAGTTGAAGCTGTTTCCAATCAGCGCAGCCCATGCAAGCAGCGCCTGGGCATCTCCGGGCAATTCACGCATCCTCCGTGTTATGAAGTCGTTTGTGGAGAATTTGGCAGAATCGGGGCTCGAGAATTCTTCGAATAGCTTATCGAGGCTATATTCCCACGCAGAGTGTTTCCAACAGTAGTATATGCATTTCGTGCGATATGCAGAGTCGAGCATCTCTCGTACGAAGAAGGGGTTCCCTTGCGTCTTCTCTTGGACAACAGCAACGAGCGGGTTACAGTATTCCTGGGGCCGATGCAAGGTTTCGGAGATAAACTTCGCCGTGTCGTCGTCCGTGAATGCACCAACCTCGACAGTCGTAGCTCGGTCCAGCATTTTGCGCATGGCTGGGGTGAGCTCGTCTGTGTCGCGATAGGTCAGTATAAGGACCAGTGGTATATGTGCTTTGACAATGGCATCGATAAGTTCAAGGCTCTCGGAGTCGGCAAACTGTAGGTCGTCCAAGCAGAAGCAGACAAATTTCTGGATGGCTAAAAGGCGCAGAACGTCCAGGAAAATGTGCAGGAAGCGAGAAGACTTGTTCGATCCGCCAGAGCGCAACCATTCCTGAGTGCTGGCGGCATTGCAGGTCTTCCGCTCAGGCAATGAGCCCACATAGCCATTCTGCAACGTGGATGCACTTGACGGCACGTGCTGACTCTTGCCGTTCGCTGTGGGTGCAAGCAGCCACAAAGGAAGCTCAAGATACGCGTGTAGTACGCCCCAGAAGGGTTTGACGAATGTCCTAATATTCTCGTGGAACGGCGTGTTGATGTCATTCTCTGAGAAGATTTGGCGAAACAGAGAAGACATGATACGAACTACCGCATCAAATGGCGATGTCCGGACTTGATCGAACTTAGCCGACGTGAAGTAGCCGTGTCTGCGGGCCGTCGCCTGGATGTTCTGCACCAGAGCGGACTTTCCATAGCCCGCCTTGCCACAAATACCAATCAGCTCGGTCCGGCCCTTTCGTTTCAACTTCTGTGCGGCTCGAAGCAATGAGCCGGGCTCGCTGCTGTTCAGACTGTTGATTTGAAGGCTTGCAGATGTTTTGTGTAGGCTGTCCGCGTTGTTGTGAATCGATCCTCGACTGTCGAGTGAAGCTTCCGCATCGAGCGCATCCACTGTGGAGGTTGCACAAGAATCGAAGCTTGCATTCCTGGCCAAAGGTTCTTGTGAAGGAGTGCGTCGTGTGGTGTCCGCGGGGTAGATTTCCGGTATGGACATCAGCCGTGAATCATCTCGCCCGCGGTGATCGGTTGAAGATGCGCTGTCGCTCGTTGGGCCGTCGTCGAGGATCATCTGCTCGCGGTCGCCAGACATGGTGGATGAGCTGGAGCTGATATTCCTCAAACCCATCCGGGTAATTGGTGCACTACGAGCTGAGCTACTTGCAGCCTTCTCAATCACGCCAACGATTGTCTTTCGTTGCTCTTCACGGCCCACGAGCTGTGATGGGAGATTCCAGAAGCAGGGCACGTCTGTTGTGGCGATTCTGAACTTCTGTAGAGCGTCTTGGTCCCCTTCGACTAAGATCTTCCTCAGTTGTTGCATATCATATTTGATCCCAGAAGTCGAATTGTAGCGATCATCCATATTCCTTGCGGTCATCTTCTGGACGCATCGGGAGACAGGGTCTGGCACATCGGTCCTGATAGATGAGACCGCAGGTATGCGTCGCGACAAGACATTCTGCATGATGTCCAAAGGCGTTTTGCCCTCAAATGGCGCCTGTCCGGTAAGCATGCTCCAGAGAAGAATCCCTAATGAATAGATGTCGGTCCTGGCATCTGGTTCTGCAGGTAGCCGGCCGGTCTGTTCTGGAGCAATGAACTGCAATCTATGCTCCACGCCCTTTTGAGCCATGATCATGGACCAATTGGCCGAACTCAGACCGTGTTCAAAAGATCTTGCCCCGGAACCAAAATTGATCATGCGTACGACGCCAGTCTCGCGGTTGTAGTGGAAGGCGTCCCCCCTGATCTCGCCATGGACCAATTCCGCTCCGTGATGGAGAATCTCAAGGCATTCAAGCGCACCTATGGCAAAGTTGAGAAAGGTCAAGAGCTGAATTTGCCCGTGGGTTTGCACCTGTGGTGAGTCCGGTGTACCGGCGTAGAAATTGGGGCCAAACTCGACCAGCTCTCTCAGGTAGTCTCGCCCTGGAGCCTCCACCACACTCACGCCCAGTACCTCCTCCCCCGGCTGTCTCGCAGGGAGTCGATAGAAGTCCAGAGGCTTCACGAAGCGCTGCGAGTCTGCCGCTTGGCGAGACAATGTCTGGGCTAGCTTGAACTCGCGCTCCAAACGCAGCACTTGTTTCCCCACGCGCCCTACAACCCAAACGTCCTTCTCTTTCTCCTCGTCGGTGTTGACATCGTAGTCGGATCGGGTGCGTATGCTCGAAGGTCGGGAGGAGCCGGTGCGTGGGCTTGTGGTAGTCTTCCGCCTGCCAAAGAAGTGCCAGTTGTGGTAGCTGGAGTGGAATGGCGGGATCTTGTCGTTGAACTCATAGTCTGGCACGTCTTCGCGCAGACGTTCAAAGAAGCGCTTGAAAGGCGCAGCGTTGGCCTCCGCCTCCATGTCCACGCGCATTGTAGGCATGGAGCGGGCCTGTATCCTTGGTAGTCTTCAGACTGCCCTCAACCTCACTCCTTCATCATGGGTAGCTGAGAACGGTAGGGCGTTCATTCCATTGTAGGAGGGTCCAATGAAGAAGAGTCCGGGGCAGTCGCGAAGGGTGTCTGAGGGGTCTGACGGAGGTGTTTTGATGGAGAGTGTTTGCTTGCCACGGCTACGACTGCGCGAGATGTGAGCTGGGAGATCCACGCGAGATAGAGTTCGCGGCTCCCGCGTCCTGATTCCAAGCGGGGACTTTGTTCCGCTGGAAAACAGGCTGGAGACAGGATGGCCAGGTCTTGAGGAGGGAGCAAGGGGAGGGTGTTTGCAACAAAGAGCGATCCTGCAGCTGTAGAGCTAATTGGTGTAGAAATGATTACTTTCCGGTCGCAGCCGTGGGCCACGCCAATGAAGCAGTGCTGGAACAAGCATCTTGAAGCTCGCAGTCAGGTAGACCATCTGCAGTCGATGCGCCTGACATGTGATTGGTGTATCCGATCGCTCCTTGCCGGCGCCCGCTCCCCGTCGGCATCTGGCGCGAGCCGCTAGGGCAGCTCCACCGTGAGGCAGGGCAGGTCCACCACCCAAGTGAATCTCGAAACTCCCATATGAGTCGTGTGCCTTCATTGTTGCGTCCCCTCCCTGGAATAAAACGATATCCTCCACTTTCACAGGGATCGTAGACCCGACCACCCCAGACGCACATCCATCAATTTCCCGAAGAACTCTGGACAATCCACCGAGAGTGCTGGCACCCAAATGACAACATCACTGCCGATTGAAAGCTAGAGGACGGGACCCGGTGCATGGCGGCGATGGACGCCGACGAGGTGCGTGATTAGATCATGGCGCTGGTCGCGGAACTCAGGGTGCCTCTATCGTGGGATCTCATACTGCGACAGCGCCGTTGCAGCTTCACGGCAGCGTTCTAATAGCTCTCAGGAACGTGACCCTGCCCAGCATCACGACAGTCCCCGTGGAGAAGAGGAGGAAGTCGAGCAGGAGAATGAGCACGAGCACGAGCACGAGCGTCCCCGCGAACTACCTGCCGATCTTCCGCGAACACTCGACGACCGACAGAACTTCCGTAGCTACAATGAGGAAACCGAGTATTACGATGCATGGCAGGGACAGTCACAATTCCTCACAGCTCCGACGATAGCGAAGCCTTCCAATTTCAACCTGGCCCTCCAAGAGCCGGACGACGATGCCTACGGCCGAGACTTTGGCAACGATGAGGTGCGAATAGCCCAGATGATGGCTGCCAAGCGGAAGTCCGGCGACGCGGGAGAGCAGGAGGAAGACGAGATTTTGGAGAACGATAAACTCAATTTCGATCAGAAAGCAGAAAAGTTGCAGGAGATGCTGTACCTCGCTGCAAGAAACGGCGACGTGGCTAGAGTGCAGCGGTTGGTGAGAGGTCCGGCTTCTGATCTGGTCGATATCGACGGCGTTGACGCGGAGGGTTCACCGGCTCTGGTGTATGCAAGCTGCTTCGGGAACAAGGACACGGTAGTCACGTTGCTTAATGCGAGAGCGACCGTGGACAAGCAGGACAAGAATCAGTGGACTGCGTTAATGTGGGCAATCACAAATTCGCAGAAAGAGATTGCCAGGATCCTCTTGGACCACGGAGCCTCCACAGATGTGAAGTCTTCGAGCGGTAGGACGGCTCTGGACTTTGTGCCCAAAGACAGCGAGATGTCGGAATTTTTCCAGCATAGCGGTTACAGCATTGGCAATGTGGGCGTCGCGAGCGATGACTACTACAACTCCGGGTTTTCGCAGGATCGATTTGAGGAGGAACTGGCAGAGAGTGAGATGAGAAGAAGGATGATGATGGAGAGCGCAATCAACCTAGAGGTGGATCTGGGCAACCTAGGCCTAGACGAGCAGCCGGAATCACCGGAGGACTTCGAAGACGGTCAAGAGTTCGTGTGGGACCGATGTCTGAACGACCAAATGTTCGTGTTCATGGAGAACGACATCGAACGATATCTGGACATTGTCATCACCAAGATGACTCCGCAGAGGTCAGCGTCGCAGAAACCTGTTCCCGCCAACATCATCTTCTTGGGAGCGCGGTATGCCCACTACCATGCCAGTAAGGAGCTGCTGGCCGAATGGTTGGAGTCGGCACAAGACAAGATTTACGCTGTCGTTGATCGGCACCAGTGGGATATGACCATACTGGCGTTCTGGATCTCGAACGCGACCTTGTTGTTGTATTACCTCAAGAAAGACACCGGTCTGGGAGAGGAGACGACCGAGTTTCAGGCACACATCGCTGAGCTGATTCATGAAATATTCATATTGATCATCCGAGATGCCGAACGAAGAATGGACAAAGTTCTGGACGCGGCCGTGCTGGACCACGAAACCATTCCAGGATTCGAAGACATCACGTTCCAGAACGAGTGGAAGTTCTTGAAGAGCAAGAAACAGGTAAAGCCGGAACCCGTCGAGAAGCGATTCCGTCCACCTTCGCCCAAGCGCAAGGCGCAGCCATCGCCGCGGAACATCACATCTCTTCTTTCCTCGACCTTGTTCGTACTGGATCTGTACGACGTACATTCCGTCATCACAGCGCAGACCCTATCGCAGCTATACTACTGGTTGAGTGCCGAGATTTTCAATCGAATAATGTCGAACAAGAGATACCTCGCTCGTACCAAGGCTATGCAAATACGCATGAACATCTCCACGCTGGAAGACTGGGCTCGAACGAACAATCGGCAGCCTGAACATTACGACAATGGGTCAATGAATGCGACTGGGGAGACGACCGTGGATTCTGCGCGGCGACATCTCGCGCCAGTCGTACAGTTACTGCAATGGCTGCAATGTTTCTCTTCGCTAGGCGAGGACCGAGAAGCCATGGAGACGACGATCCAGCAACTGCCGTCTCTATCAACGAAACAGCTCCTGCACGCCGTGAAGTACTACCGAGCCGAAGTCGGCGAGAAGAATCTGAGTCGGCCTGCGCTGAGACACATTCAGGAGGTCAAGAGCCGACCGAAGTCTCTCAACACAGAGCCTCCACCTGCTGCCCCTGGCGCACAACAGGCGCCTTCGACGCCAAATGCCAAGAATGGCTCAACGCCAGTGCCACCCGGTACACCGCAGATGGATGATGACAGCAATGAAATTCCGGAGAGCAACCTCATGAATCCGGCAATCCTGCTGCCCTTTCATCTGCCCACATCCACAGACATGCTGGTCAGTTATGGGTCCGGGTTTGGAGGAATGAACAAAGAACGGGAGCGTCGGTATTTCCCTTCTGTGCCTGCCGAGTTCTTGGCCAAGTTGGATCCAACTGGAGGGCAGGAAAGCAGCATCTACGAGAATGCGCACTTTAGTGACACGAATGACAGTTCGTAGGACGGGCTGGATGGCTGTGTCGAGGAGGCTGGACAGTTCTTGTGACCGGAATGTTCCAAGGTTGTTAGCACGGAACGAATTGGATCCCCGAAGATACGAGGCGTCTTCCAGACTGCGGAGCCGGCCGGCGCTGCCTCAGCCCCACCATTGCGCCGCCGGGCATGAGCTTGAGCTTAGGCAATTCTATCGAGTCAACATCAGCAACTTTTCTCTCAGCGAATCGAAGCAGGGCAAATTACTGAACCCTTTGCCCTCTTATTGTCCGGATAGTTCGAATTTGCATGAACGCCTTGTATTCCCAAGATACCCATTGCCAAATCCACACCATAGCGACTCAAGTATTACAAAATGGAAGCACCCATCGTGTCTCCAGATACCGTTGAACAACAGCTTCCAATCCTCCAGAAGCAAGAGGGCGTCCAATTTATACCAGCTGACAAGATCGACGAGACGTTCAAATCGGACAGCATCGGTACTATCCCTTGTCAATTCTCTCCCTCAACCCCAATTGCTAACATGTAGCGCCTGCTTTAGACCTCATCAACAAAGCCCTCGGCTCCCGTATCCTCTCTTTCTCCGACGAATGGTTCGCTGCCGCCGAGAACCTCACGACCCCGACTGCTCCGATCCGCAAACCGGGCGTTTTCACTTACGCAGGAGCTTGGTACGACGGATGGGAAACTCGACGGCATAACCCTGAAGAGTTCGACTGGGTGGTTATACGGTTGGGAGTCGCAAGTGGAAGGGTAAGAGGTGTAGAGATTGATACGGCGTTTTTCAATGGAAATCAGGCGCCTGAGATTGCAGTACAGGCTGCTGTGGGGGATGACGAGGAAGTAAAACAGAAGGATTTCAAGGGATGGGAGACCATTTTGCAGAGGCAGGAATGTGGACCTAGTCAGAGGCATGGATGGTCATTACCTGGTCAAGGGACGGAAAAGAGCTATACGCATGTGCGACTGCAGATGTTTCCCGACGGGGGAATCGCGAGGTTTCGGTTATTTGGACACGCGGTTCCGATCTTGCCGCAGGATGTGAATGAGGTTTTCGATCTCGCTGCTACGGTCAATGGAGGCGTTGCGGTACAGTGCTCCGATCAGCACTTCGGAACTAAAGATAACCTGCTCCTTCCCGGGCGAGGCGTGGATATGGGCGATGGATGGGAAACTAAGCGGTCTCGTGGAGTACACACGGACTGGGTCATTATTAAACTCGGCACTTCCGGTATCATTGACAAAGTGGTTATCGATACGGCGCATTTCAGGGGTAACTTCCCTCAGAAGGTTCAGCTCTTTGCTGCTGGGCCGGCAGAGAGAGTTCCGGGTCCTGATGATGAGGCATGGACGGAGATTCTGCCGCCGCAGAAGACGGGGCCGGATCGGGAACATGCGTTTGGGTGGGATGTTATGGAGAAAGTGGAGGGGATGGTGGTGGAGTTTGTGAAGATGGTTATTATTCCTGATGGCGGAGTGAAGAGGATACGGGTTTGGGGGAGGAGGGCACAGTAGTCAGGAGGTGCAAGAGATACCCTGGCATTGTTGTCTTTTGTTTCGTATTAGGACACGGAATGATAGAATAGGATGATAGATACTTGGCCATCAATATGATCGTCAATATTTGACTGACCTCACTAAGCATTATCACGGGAAATCCGACATACATGTACCTCCAACTTTGTTCCTCGAACGACACCTCACGCCTTTTAGCCGGCAGAAAGGTGCTACTTTCGGGCAAGATATGCGCCTATCTATCGCCGCCACTAACGACGCAACCATGCAACATGGCGTCCACGCGACCTACAGTATATACTCCCACGCACACACGCACAGTGCACGTACCTATCATTCGCGTCTCCCAACAGCCAAGCACACAAGCTTCGCGAGATCTTCGGGGAGTGAGATGCCTCGTTATCTTCAAATTTATCGCCTTCACTTCTTGAGACTCGGGTGTGCTGTGTCGGCGAAGACTGTTGGAGGGTTCCTCTCATGTTAACCTGACCGGCGGTTGCAACATTCGATCATTGGCAGCTTCGCGCTCTTGACTTCCGGTCTCCATTGTCGTGCATGCCTGGGGGACAGGCCGCACGGAACAAGGAGGAAAAAAATGTCTCTCGACGAGGAACGCGCTGTTCCAGCTGAGGATCTGGAAAAGGATGTCGCGGTCCGCTCGGGTTCTGTACCGGAGAAGGTGCTCCAACACTCCCACGATGCGGACGAAGCGATGAAGGCCTTCCGAGGGGACGAGGGGCAAGTCATCCACCTCGACGACGCGACCAACCGACGACTGCTCCGGCGAATCGATTGGAATCTGATGCCGATTATGTGTGTGGTGTATGGACTACAGTTCCTTGACAAGACGACGTTGGGTTATGCGAGTATCATGGGGTTGAAGACGGACATTGGGTTGGTGGGGGATGAATACCAATGTGGGATACATTCTTCCTGGCAGATGGTTGATCTACCGTGCTGATGAAGACGACTACAGGGCTTGGGTCGGTGTTCTACTTTGGCTACTTGGCTTTCGAATACCCCACCAACCGCCTCTTGCAATTGCTTCCTTTGGGGAAATACTCTGCCACCTGCATCATTATCTGGGGCGCTGTTCTGGCTTGCTTCGCTGCAGTGAAGAATTACGGCGGCGCCATTGCCGTGCGCTTCTTCCTCGGAATGACAGAATCCGCCGTGACGCCTGGCTTCGCGCTCATCACCTCGCAATGGTACACGAAGGCCGAGCAGGGCATGCGCGTCGGTCTGTGGTTCAGTTTCAACGGCTTCGCGCAGATCGTAGGAGGACTCATAGCTTACGGCATCGCGGTTGGAACCGACCGACATCCGGTCAACCTGGCTGGATGGCAAATTTTGTTCCTGGCCACGGGGCTTGTTACCTCTGCCGTGGGCATCATTTTCTTCTTCACGGTCCCGGATAACCAGCTGAATGCGAAGTGGCTGAAGAAGGAAGATAGGATTCTGGCTCTGGAGAGGATTCGAATCAATCAGCAGGGGGTCGGGAACAAGCATTGGAAATTCTATCAGTTCAAGGAGGCGCTGACGGATCCTATGGTCTGGGCTATTGTCATGTATGCTCTGATTGCGGATATTCCGAACGGTATGTATTATCTCATCTTGGAAGGGCAAGGCTTGGAGACTAATAGATTCCACAGGAGGCATCACCAACTTCTTCTCCCAACTCATCACCTCCTTCGGCTACACCCCGCGACAATCCCTCCTCTACGGAACACCCGGCGGCGCCGTCGAAGTCGTCACTCTCCTCCTCTGTGGCTACTTTGGCGACAAACTCCACAACAGGATCCTCGTCTCCACATCCGGTCTCGTGCTCGCTATCATAGGAGTCGCTCTGATCGTCGGCTTGCCCCTGGATAACAACAGCGGAAGATTAGGCGGCTACTACCTCACCCAAGCCTCCCCGACACCTTTCGTCTGCTTCCTCTCCCTCATCTCCACCAACGTGGCAGGCTATACCAAAAAGACGACCGTCGCGGCCATGTATCTCATCGCCTACTGCATCGGTAACATCATGTACGTTGTTGCCGCCCCCCCCCTCCCCCCAGCCTCACTCACTACCCTTGCTGACAAGAGCACAATCCCAGCGGTCCCCAAACTTTCCGCCCCAAAGATGCCCCCCGCTACGTCCCGGCGGAAATCACTATCCTCGTCTGCTGGTGCGTCTGCCTCGGCATCATGGTCTTTGTGTACTTGTGGTGTCGGCTGCAGAATTCGAAAAAGGCACAAGTCCGGAATCAGCCGGGTTATGTCAAGTTGGAGAATCAGGAATGGCTGGATTTGACGGACGGGGAGAATCCGGAATTCGTGTATACGCTTTGAATGTGCTATGTGTATGTGCAGTGCAGTGCGATGTAGTGGGAGGGATAGGAATAGGAATCGGAATCGGATGTCTTGCTTTGACGTGAAGATTCTTTTATCTTTTATCTTTTTTTTTTGTGGATCCACATTGCCTGGCAGGCTTTCCTCTTTCCTCTTTCCCTAATCATATCGTCGGCGTTTTGGCCGCTCTCGTCTGTCTTCGTCATCAGCGAGCAGATCTTCAACGTGGTTTTCGTCTTCCTGGTCCTCCTCCTCATCATCCGCATTCATCCTCATCCTCACTTCCACTACCATCCCATACCTCACCCTCATGTAGTCGAATGATCCAGGCTCCTGCAAACACAGCTGTGTTCTCATCCGATCCCGCTACGCAAGACATATTTGGTTCGAATTTTTTGTGGTTGAGCTGGCTGTGGACCAGAAATCCGGATCTAATTGCAATTATCATCATCTCTTGGAGATGAGATCTACCTGCATGCACGCATGCATGCATAAGTAAGTGCTATTACTACAGCAGTAAATGCGCGAGTATATCCCTGCGCTGAGGGCATTATTTTTTGAATCTGCGTGAGACATGGTTTTTTTTTTTAGAAATGGCCGATCCAGGCTGCGCGCAAGATAGATGTGGAACATATCATCTATGTCGACTTGACGATGGTGGTCACGAGGCGAGACATATTCACCTCCTGTGATGCTGGCGGGGAATATATGTATCGAAACGCATGGATGGGAAATGCCATCATCAAAGCCATCATCATTGCATAAAGGTGTACATGAGCAATTCTGAGCAGCGCAACCGCGTTCAAGCCTTGAAGCGTCCTTCAAATCCAGGACGTCCCTTCTTCTTGCCCTTGCCGCCGCTGGGCTTCTTCTTTCCCTTCTGGCCTTTCTCCTCCCGCCTCTTCTGCAGGTTGGCCTCGCGCTTCTTCTGCTTGGCTTCCTTGCCTTTGATGACGGCTTGTTCTCGCTCTTTCCACTCCTTGTCAGATTTATCCTTCTGCTTCTCTTTGCGCTTCAGAGCTTTCTTCAGCAGACTGGTGTCATCTCGTACGCGCTCGCCGTGAACCCGCTTCTTTGCATTCAGCCACATGTCTTTCTCGGCGATGTCCGCACGCTTCTCAGCATCCAGACCAGATAAGCGCTGCTGCTTTTTCTCAGCGGCCTGCAGAGCTGTTCTGGGGTCTTGGGGTCCCTTCTTCCTTTTCGGGTCACGCAATTCGGAGATTGACGGATCTGCCGCCGTGCCATCCTCAAATGCCAACCTGCTGAAGCTGAAGTTGTTTTCTTGTGGGCGGGGCGAGTTGCGGCTGAAGATGTCGGTCGATAGCGGACTTCCGGAACCACGCAACTGCTCCTCTCGCTTCCTCGCCTCCTCCTCTTTCGCCTGTCGCCTGAGCTCTTTTTTGTTGGCCTTCCTCTGCTCTTCCTTTTTCCGCCGCTGGTCTAGTAACTCTTGTCTGCTCTTTGCCGGCTTACCATCCGCGCCATCAGCCTTGCGCTGGGCACGCAGGGCCTCTATCCGATTACGCAAGCGCTCCTGGAGTTGAGCTTGGTCGATGTCGGGCAGTTGAAGTTTTGGCGACGATGTTCCGGAAGCTGGATCGGTAAATGAGGGTAGAGCCTTCTGTGTGATGGGAGCCTTTTGGTCGGAGAGGTCGAGTTTGAGGGCTGGCTTCGCGAGTGATACTGCTGATTGTGTGGAGTCTTTCGACTTTTCAGGACCGGGAGGAGGAGCTATCGAAGAAGAGGAGGACGCTTCGGAATGGTTTGTCGCAGTGTCGAAAGCTGGACTGTTAACCGCAGGACTTGTGGGTGCAGATGACTCGTCGTCAGCACCGTCTGCATCCGCCTCATGATTATCGGACTTTGGCTCTGGATCTGCAAGACCAGACACATCGACCTTCTCCATATCTCCGGACCGCGCTGTCGATTGTGGACCCTCGTCAACCTCCCCGTCAGACGCATCCTGCTCATCTTCTCGCGCTGCTCCGGCACCCGCTTGATTCTCGGCCTGTGCCTCCGCAAGATCTTTGTCCTGTTTGGCGGATTTCTTTGCTTCTACCTTCTCTCTCTTCGTCGCCGCCTTCTGCTTCTTCTCCTCGCGCTTCTGTCGCCTCTTGTCAACCTTCTCTTGTCGCTTTGCCTCCGAATCCTCTGCGCTGAGTTCCTGCTTTTGCTTCTTGCTGGATGGAACTTTCTCCAACTCATCCGCTGGCTCTTCGTCATCCTCAATGCCGAGCTCCCGCTTCCGCTTCTTCTCGCGCTCCTTCATGACATCCAGTGCGGTCTTCTGGTTCGCGGGGTCGAGCTTTGCCTTCTTCGCGGCCTTCTTCTGCTCCTTGGTCTGCTTTTTGCGATTCCATTGCTCGCTTGGATCCAGTCCATCGTCGATCTGGCTGCCGTAGTATTCACGTGCAGGTGTAAGTGCTAACAGCGACTCGAAGGCCTTTTCGTGCTTGAGGTAGCGTTCCTGTCCATTCCGTGTTAGATCGTGCGATCAATGAAGATTGCATACGGCGTGACATACCTCGAGGCCATCAAGCGGGTTTTCGGTAATTTCTTCCATCTTTCCTGGGCGAATTGATGTGTTGATGGATGTCGTGTCTGTTCGAGCGGTGCAGAGTGAAAAGACGAACTTTGCGTACAATCCGATTTGGAGAGTCTTGGCGGCTGTGGGGCAGCGGACCGCTACGGATCTGGCTCCGGCGAGGAAACTCTTTCACAGTCTCCCGTCCAACGTTAGCTGCACCTCTGTTTACTTGGCATGTGAGAGATAACGGGTGAATAGCGCGTGAATATCGTCAGACTTCAATTCCCACAGCGGCATCGGCCGTCTGGAAATCATGTTTCTATTGGTAAGGCAGCCATAGCATTGCCCCCCTTCGAGGCTCAGCCACGCACGCCACTCGTCATCCTAGGCCTTGACTCCATCGTTTGTTGTCTGCGCGTGTGCCACTTATGCAGAAGGCAGTCCTCTCCAACTCGATGTAAGTCACTTTGCACCACCAACTTGTCAAGTCTCGCTCTTTCTGCAGCAGTGAAGGGTGACAGACGACGGCGCTTCAGGAAGCAACTGCCTCCCAATGCGCCTGCCTAGAGGCCGTCATTGAAGCACATCCCCCAACACCATCGGCCTCCACTGGACTGTTCCAAGACACGAAGGGAAGCTTTCTGGATACATAACATGACATACGACACGCATACGATAGTAGAGGCTACTTCGCTCTCACACGTCACGGACATCGCAACAAATCCGCCACTGCATCCAACGGCGTCACCCGATATCCCGCAACTGCCTCTTGTGCTCTATATAGCAAGGGTACCCGGAAGCAGAGACGTCTTTCTCACCCCGATCAAGCCGCGGGAGAAGGTCGTCACCGCCGAGGACGTCCAGAGCTCGCTCTACTATGTCCATGTGAACTCCCCGGAAGATTTGGATGAAGCACCAAGGAGGCCTTCGTCAGTCAATGCGGATTCTTCTCACCTACTATCAGTGCCTGGAGGCGGGATTAGGAGAAAGGCGGCTCCTCCAACGGCTCCGAGTGCTCCACCGACGCCACCCTATCCAGTTGATGATGGACCACCGCACACAACGGCACGGCCGCCCAGTCCCCCACGGAACCAGATTCTGCGGAAGCCACTCGTGCCGCGCAGATCGCCGCACCGACAGCCCAAGCTAGCGTTACCTGTTCTCCCTAGTCGTCCACCGCCTCCGCCACCAGACCAGCGACACACCTCGCTGCACGAGGACAATTTGCGTCTGTTGAGGCGCTCAGACCACAGCGATGAGAACAATCCGTATTATCGGAGCTATGAGCCGACATTGAGTCCCAATGATATGCCCAAAGCTGGCTCACTCACTCTGATCCGACGAGATCCATCTTCCAACGAGCAGTGGAATGTCGCATCGATTCACGATCCACCTATTCAGGAAGTCAGCTCTGCTGCCCTTCGTAATCCGAGCGCAGCGAAGCGAACAAAGCGAGGTGGTGCACCTGTCTATTTAGACATTTCCAACCCAAGCTACGTCCATTTCAACCGCCAAAGTCGGATCCATTCTCGAACCAGCGTCTCGTCTTCGATCTCTTCTGACAGTGATCCACTGCCAGAAGGCATATTCCGGAGAAGGCTATACATGCCGGGATCAATGTACGGAGAGCACAACTACGGTCATCAAGAGTTTGGCTCTGTCGTTTCGTTCGCCGAGGACCCAGATGCTCCCATGCGCAAATCAATGCGGCACTCTGTCGACTGGCGCAGCACTTCATCGCCTCCATTGGCAGATCGAAGAAATAAGGGCTACACTTTCGAGAGTCCATGGGATGGCAGATGCGAGTTCTCTACGGGAGCAACTGGCAGAAGCCTCAAGTGTCGACACTACCTCGCAAACCATCAGGGCCATGGTGTGGCAGAAGTCAGCGAGCTACGATTTAACCTACCCACCAACTCGAACAGATCAGCGACTGCTCTATCCGACAAGCGCTCTTCATACTTCCATCGGCTACATGGCAGATCTCATTCGAGCGAAGATGGGAGTGAGACGCCAACCTTCATCATTGGAGAGGATGGGAGGATTGATCTCGCGCTGGGACAAGAGAGGGCAGGAGGTGGCTTTGGAGGAAAGCAGGCGAAGTTGGGAAAGCTGATTATTGAACCCGAGGGGTTGAAGATGCTGGATTTATTGGTTGCTGCCAATGTTGGATTGTGGTGGAGGGCTTATGAAAGGCTTTGATACATCCATGGACCCATCTGTTGCGCGGCTCGTTGCATCGAGCGGTCTGCATGCTCTACAACACAGTTCCACTCGAAAATGAAGTTCGACCACTTCCAAGATTGTTTCCATACGCGCACGGCGTCCTCTTCTCCGAATGCATCGCCATTATGGTCCCGGTCTCCAGGAGGTCGAAGGACGAGCCCTTCAGCGCCTGGTGATGATTTCCTCCCCAATCATCTCGATCTTGGCTATACGCTCAAGACAACTCCTCTGCGGAAATGCCATAATCACGACGAATTTCCGCGAAATGCGTGTCCAATTGGTCCTTTGCATCTGCAATATCGGTCTTCCTGGCAAGTTCGTAGCATTCCCGGAGCCGCTTTATAGTAGCAGCTCTCGTATCCTTGTTGTCATCCCTGTGCGAGGGAACACACTTCTTCTTCGAAGAGTTCATTCCCTCGAGAGCAATGTATGCCACCCGGAGGTCGAACATTTCTTGTATACCGAAAATCATAGACGAGCTAGGCGGCATACAGAGGTTGTAGTAGATGTCGAATAGAGGTGCGGCTATCGGGAGGAGGGTCTCGTCCATTATCTCCTCGTCTTGGTCCACAAAGCGTCTCACCCCGGGCCCGATGCGTCGATAGGCATCGATGTAATCGAAGGCTTCAAGACGAGAGCCACGAGACTCGAGGAGAGATCTGACCCCTTGGCAAGACATATTGTTCGGATCTTGCTCCATGACGCAGTCCGGGAGGCCGCTGACTTTGACTGCGATTTTGGGAGAGATATTCTGAACTGGGCAAAAGACCTTCTGGAGGGAAGGATCTGATTTCCATGCTCCGTTGAAGTCTACACGAAGGCAGAACTCGCGAATCGTGGCTTGCCGGGTGAGTCGGCAAGATAGGGCGAACAGGAAGCGATGTGCAGGCGCGTAATAAGGCGATATGTCGAAAGGTCTGTCGTGCCCTTGAACGTCGCTCAGGACGAGCTGTAGCTTCACGCTGGTGGAAACGGGAAAGGACTCCGGCAGTGCGTATGCGTAGCTCATCACGCTCGCGCCTCGATCAGACTTGAAGTTCTTGACATCGCCGCTGATGAAGGCGTTGCCCCCGGCGGTGGGATGGTTGAGTTCAAAGACTGCCGAAATGGTAAAGCAGCTCTCAGCCTCGAAAACGCCTTGCGCTTCGGAATGAATCTTCTTGCATGTGCGCAGCAGAGCAACATTGGCTGTCAAGTTGCGCGTCCGGTCGTGCGTCAGGCATTCCTCGTAGATCCGGTTGCGCAATTCTGCCGCCAGGTCGAGGATGCGGAAGACCGCCATGTTGGATGGTGGCGTTGTTGATGATTCAAGTCCAAGTCAAGAATACAGTTGATGGATGCTTCGGCCGTTTGTTGTTGTGGTACAGTCCGAATCTTCCAGAAGCATAGGTACTGGCGCTGTTTCACGGCATGCATGCGACCCGACCGGGCAGGCACGACGCACGTGCATTTTTCATCATTCGCTTTTTGATTTGTAGAGTGGAATCGTGTCGTCCACTGGAGTCTTGTTATACTGCTACCGCTAAAGATCATATGAGGGAGTACGGGTTACTGGCATTCTGGTACTGCCGGAGTGATATACTGGATAATCTGCGGTTCTACCTTTTGAGACCAAATGCCTGCCCGAATTCCCTTCATATTGATCTAGTGGACTGTCAAGGAAATACTGATATCCATACGTACACCCATACTGGAGTCTTGGATCCAGAAGCCAGCTGCTGGGCTCGATATTCTAGACTTGGCACAGCAGTCTCCAATTTGGGACTCGTGTCCTTCTCAGCTTCCCCTCGCAAGCTTGGAACTCTTCGTCCGCAAGAAGGACTCATGGAGTTTGACACCTGCTTTGAAATTTGCTCGCGCCTTGTTCTGGCGGCCTTGAAGAAGACATCTTTTCTCGGGTTGCAATTACACGCACACCTTTCGCTCCCGTCCAGAGACGAACATCAACGATCCATCATCTCATAGTTTGTATTACTCTTGTACCAGATCGTTGAGCCCGCTCCAGCTGCAAGCCCCGCTGTCGAACAACACTCGCATCTTGTTCTCTGGCCTCTTGGCGGCCTTGATCGAGTGATAGCAACCCCGAAGCCACTATACTTGAAAGCTCGCGCATGCATACGCAGCTGATTCATCAGCCGAAGATTTGAATCTATTGCCTAAGGTGGCATTCACTTCGTTTGCGCTAGCGCGAAAACTATCCCCGCAGAGCGCATGTGCATGGTTGATGGTTTTCAATGAAGCCCCATCGAATCTCAATCAAAATCTCCGAGTCGGCTTTGCGACTCGGCCTCGGGTGTTGCCACTTTCCATCGCGATGAAGTATATTCCCGGAAATCCTCTCCTAACAGCAATTTTACCTGGTCTTTAATAATTCAGCCATGTCTTCCGGCCAGCCAGTACCCACAAAGCTGCCCAGCAACTACCAAGTCGTTCCGTATCAGGAAATTCGCGTTTCTCATCATCCATCGTCCTCTCCAGATCCAACTCCAGTGTTGATCTGCATACTCTACCGACTGGACCATAACAATGCCTTTACCGACGTGATGACAGACGAGCTGGAACACTTCTTTGGTCTAGCAAGTATCGACGATCGGGTGAAGGCGATAATTCTCGCTGGTCACGGAAAGATGTTTTGTGCCGGGCAGGATCTGAATCAAGGGTTCAAGCTTCAAGGCAACGGCAAGAATGAGACCGACAGAACGCATCGTGATGGGTATCTTGGCCCTGTCTTTCTTGTATTTGAAGATGCTGACAATCTTCTAGAGGAGGCAGAGTCTCTCTTGCCATTCACCACTGCACCAAGCCAACCATCGCTGCAATCCACGGGCATGCAATCGGTGTAGGAATCACGATGACACTCGCAGCAGTAATGCGAGTCGTTTGGAACAAAGCAAAGATAGGATTTGTCTTCTCGCAACGAGGAGTGGTGATGGAGGGCTGTTCCTCTTTCTTCCTGCCGCGGTTAATCGGCCACGCACGGACACTTCAACTCGCCACACTAGGAGCAACTCTCACCGCAGACGCGCTTGTGCTCGACGGACTGTTTGCTGAGCTATGTGAGAAACAAGAAGGAGTACTTCCACTAGCCTTGAAAATTGCAGACTACCTTGCGAACAATACGAGCACGGTGAGCACATTCATGATGAGAGAGATGTTGTACCGTGGGCCGCAGAGCGCAGAGGAGGCGCATTTGCTCGAGAGTAGAGTCATGGGACATATGAGGGGCAGCCCGTAAGTCATCGTCACCATATTCTGGCCGTGGGTCATACTGAGGATGGTTTGCAGAGATAACGACGAAGCAGTTGATGCTTTCCTAAAGAAGCGAAAGCCAACCTTCACAGGCAACGTGCAGAGAGACTCGCCGCCTGTTTGTCCCTGGTTCTCGCCTGTGAACACCAGGAATGGGGCAATGGCTGATCCGACTACGAATGCTAAGCCGAAGCTCTAGAATACGTCCCAGTTCTAGGTTGCAATTTGCCAAGTCTCGTGATCGTCGGCGCTAGAAACTAAACCCCATGAGGAAGAGAGCGTCGGATAGCAATCCACCAGTCGTTCAGGGCTTTGGAAAATAAGGCGGAGATTTGCTTTCACCATTTGTACTACGACGGCAATTGAAAGCAGCCAAAACCCTATTAACAGTTAACACGCCTATGACAGAAACTCTCTTTCTCTGCATTCCAACACGTCCAATAGCACCGTAAATACTACTACAGCTATCAAACAAAATTGAGTCGATCTATGCCCTGCCTCCAGACAAGCATCTACCCGTCCTCGCTTGATGTGGTGCAATTCATCACCAATTTGGAATGACGACACTTCTACAACGAACTTTTGAATTAGACATACAGTAAATTTGATCCAGAGAGCGTTGCTGTTTTGTAATCTCGTCAGTGACGCCTTGGCGACGGACACCTACACGTACCAGGCAGAGAGCAAAAAGCTCGAGCGACGCTCTCATCACTCATCTACGCGGGTCGAGGCGTCGCCAGTCTGATCCATACGTGGCATTGCCTTCTTTTGCCGTCTTTTGCAATGGCATGCGCCAGGCGCTCTGTAGTTCATGATTCGACAAGCTTATGGGGTTTCGCAGAGGTCAGGAGATGTATGCATTGTTACGCCTCACTGCGTACAGAGTCGCTGCAGGAACAAAGATACCTCTCGCGAATGTCTCTAGCATGGGCTCCAGGCATGCATTGAGAAAGGCTTAGCGATGCTTGCTCTGCAGGCCAGTGGCGTGGTGAGGAATGATCAATCAGCATCCACGTGATTCAGATCCTGGCCAAACATGTCTTGTGTTTCTTGTCCTGTTTGTAGCTATACCCGTCGAGGCAGCTGCGAACTGTGGCTCATCTAGACAGCGGATCAGTCGATCTTTCGAAGGACTTGCACAACTGAAGCTCATCACGTAGCAGTCACGCTGTGATCAAGTTGCAAGTTGCCTGCTAGCGCCCTTTTTCTCCTCTAGGCCTGAGGCCCGGGCCAAGGCTATTTACATCGAGATAATACCGGCTCAAATCGTCGCAGGTGTTCGCTTTGGATACGTGCACTCCAGAATTTGTACAAAAATTGTACCTGGAGTCTTTGGACATGGTAGATCTTCGTTGTCTTGCGTTGTCTGTGACATCATATCCGTCCCTCTGATTCAAAGGTCTTCTGACCCTATTTCGCATCCCATGCTGCTTAATGCAAATCCCTTGGTATTGGTGTTGGTAAAGAGAGACGGAAGCGTTAAGGTGAAGTCAACGTATGAAGTGAAGTCTTTGCCAAGACTCTCGGAGCAGGTCGGCGTCGGCAACTTTCTCACAACGTCGCCTCCTCAGAACATTCCATCTGCCATCTTCATTCAGATCATTATCATCATTAACATCAAATCACTGCTGATCAGAAGGTCAGCAGAGCTTGGTCATCGGAGAAGTTGTCCTGACAATGAACTCTGAAGGGTGCGCTCGCCGATTAAGGGATCGCCGCGCGTGCATACCTCCACCTCCCAAATGAGTTCGAAGCCGAAACATAGCGGTCTCTCACTGCTGTCCGTTATATCAGGGCGCCTCCCCCACCCTGACCATATCATGTTCTTGATCGCTCATATCGTGGAACACCTTCTCCCGATCTTGGATGCAAGTCTCCCGGAGGTTATTGGCCTTCGCCAACCAATTTCCAGTCCTACCACGAGCCCAGCCTGAGGGATGAGATGCGCTTGGTCTCGACCACGGATACCGCAAAGGTTGTCGCCAAATGACCGACTCGATGTGATATTTCTGAGACACCAAACCATATCCGCTCGATACAATGGACCATGCAAAATCCATTCGAGGACGCTTTCGTCGTATTATCCGCGCGACGCAACAGCTCTTTCGACATCGAAATCAGTGGATATGGCCTCTGGATTTCAGTTGAGCATGGAGGCGGCGATCTTGCTATGTCCCCTTTGATGGCCGATGACGATGTCATTCGAATATCGACCAGGCCACTGCCAGGTAGATGTTGCTCGACCCAAGAATCAGTTAGCCTTTCAGCGCCTACGCCCCGATAAATCTGGACCAATGGCTCGCTTCTACGGGCGCGAACTATTTGCCGTCTACTTGTGACTATTGTGAAGGGATGCAGTGGTGTCGACGAGGCGAGCAACAGAACAAGGCGTGTGGCAAATTATGAAAAGGGCATGTACGCGCTCTCAGGGCCCTAATGTGCGCCGTAAACATTCTGAAGATCTCAAAGGACTCAAAAAGATGAGGTCACCTCTATCGACCGATTGTTACGAATCTGGACCGCTCTTTGCCGATAAACCTCCACGTTGCGGATCTCCACGCATTTGCAATACTGCACGATTGGATTACCGAGGCGGAAGACACGCAGGTAGCAGGTCTGTCGACCAAGTACAATCCAAGCTCAGGGATGTCTTTGCGTCCCAACCAGATGCCCTGGCCCAATCTTGTACTCGAATCATCGCTCACGGGCTAGCCAACCTACCTGTCGATTCTATCGAGCATTGTGAGGCGCAGGCCTGATCGGACCAACCTCATCGTGTACAAGAGCAGAATCGTTTCACGGAAGAAGTTTTCGGCAGAAATCTGGACACGAACTCACCCTTTTTGCGGTCTTTCAAGCCGCTGGTTTTGCCAAGCGCGTATTGGATATTCGACTCCACGCTATACGACCCTGCGAGTCTATCGAATCTCTGTTGCCAGGCCCCTCTCCTTCATCCGATGTTCCCCAATCAACTGGCTTTTAGTCCGTTGAAGAGTGCTTGCTTGAATGGTACAATTTTTATTGCCGCACAAGAAGCGTTCGGAAATACGAGCTGTCACGCCATTATTGAGCAAATTAGCTAATAGCTTCTCGGCAAGCAACAAGGTACCTTACCTCCAGTTCCTATGGGGCTTGCCACAAACGGGAAAGGAGTTTCGAGCATAACGGCGCCGTCTAAAGCTTATTTCACAATATCAAGACTCAAACATGAGGAAGCTTTGACCCCTTGTGCGGCTATGGACATCCTCATCATGTGGTCACCTTTGCGCATGCGACGACGACGCCAGCTCTGGCGGACGCGTCGCCGACATTGGTGCGCAACGCTGCAGACTACAACGCGGAGCCCCTAGCCGCAATACTCATCGCTTGCCTCTTTTCGTTGTGAAGATAGCACGAAGTCCGAATAACTGCATGCGAACTTTGATTCGGGGATTGGCTCGACTCTTGGACTGTCGAGCGCCTGCTGCTGGACATCGATCCAACGAAACTTGACAGTACCGAAAAGCTTGGTGACAACTCTGTTTGAGTTGCGCGAGACGTCTCGCTGGCTGCTTCTGATGTGATATGGCGAAATTCTTCACCCGACGGGATTGCGGCATATTACGTCGATCTCGACTACTACAAGCGGGACAAACAGACGTCGATCTCATCCGAGAAAGGGGACATGACTTACCGCCAGTCTTGCGGCGCGCGATGGTCATGAGTTTGCTCATTGCAACGTTGAAGGGATAAATAGCCCATTGCCCTTCCTGTACATCTGGTTAGTTCTCTGCAGCGATTTCCTTAGCACTTGCACGACCACCAGGACGCACAATTGACGATGAAGTACTCCGCACTTCTCCTGGGCTCGATAGCCCTCTCAGCCGATGCCTTTCCCGCAGTTATGGAACTGTCCGATCGCATGATGCAGGCTCGTGCCCTACAAGGACGTTCTGCTGAGGAGCTTCACCAGCGATCCATCGAAGACAAGCGCCAAATTGACACCACTGCGGCTCAGGCTGTCAGTAAGGCTCGTGGAAATTGCGGCATCCTGCCTTGTTTGACCTTCAACGCTGAGGACCAGCTTGTATCAACGACTGGAGAGCACGCCTACCAAAGCCCCGCTGCGGACGAGATTCGCGGTCCTTGCCCGTGAGTCTACTCCCTGGTCCATTTGAATGTACAGTGTTAACGTATCCCAGGGGTCTCAATGCCGCTGCCAACCACGGCTACCTGAGCCGTTCGGGCGTCCTTACCCTGGAGAATACCGTTGAGGGTTTAGGTGCCCTGTACAATATGAGCCCTGAACTTGCAGCCGCCCTGGCTGCCTATGGTATCATCTTCGACGGTGATCCAGTCGCTGGCACTTGGTCAATCGGTGGGCCTCAGCAGACAAACCAGCTTACGAAGGGTCTTCTCGGTCAAGGTCAGGGCATCTCCTGGTCGCACAACATTTACGAGGGAGACAGCTCTATTGGACGCCGAGATGCTTACATTAACAATGGTGATGCTCACTCTCTCGATGTGACGCGTTTCGCAGCTGCGTATGCTGCAACCGACTCTCGCTACCCAGGCAGATACACCCTCGATTCTTTCGCGCAGAACTTCGATGAGAAGGCTAAAGAGTCAGTTGCCACCAACCCTTATTACTTCACGGGCCCATTCTCTACCACCGTGGTATCGCCGGCAGCCTACAATTTCGTCATCAACTTTATGAGTAACCACAGCGCCGAGGAGCCCAACGGCTACCTCGACGGCGATATGTTCAAGACTTTCTTCGCTGTCACAGGCGACACCCCCGAGGAATTCGAATGGCTCCCAGGCCAAGAGCGCGTCCCTGACAACTGGTACCGCCGCACGTCGACCAACCAATACACTGCTCAGAACGTCTTCACCGACTTGGGCCCTAATTTCCTGGCATACCCTGATTCTTTCCGTCTTGGAGGTAATACCAACGGCGTCAACACTTACTCTGGCATCTCATTGACCGACTTCACTGGTGGCGCTTACAACCTGACCAACGTCTTCCGTACCGACGGTGACGGCAGATACGGCGCCTGCTTCTTCGCTGGTCTCACTCAGTCTGCCATTCCTGACTTCGCCAACCTGCCACTCGAGCAGATCACTCCTATCACGAACTTGATCAATGATGGGATCAAACCTATCATCCCTCAGGGATTTGATTGTCCGACTTACGACAAGTTCGATCAGACTCTGTAAGCCCTTGCCAATCTTTCCCCATCATGCCAAACCAATTGCTGATAACTAGATTAGGTTCAATCAGTACCCAGGTCACACTTACTCTCCCACCGGGCCAGCAACGAACTACTAGATGTAGAGTCAAATTATCCTCATGTACAAAACAGGGTACTTTACGACCAGTATCGAGTAGGGTAGGGGCTCTTAGGGAGCAAAAATCAAGAGGCGTTTCGCGCGGATGAGTTAAGATGATGCCATCTTCGATGAGAATGATGTTCTGTGTTGCGAGCTTGAACTTTATACTTCTGTTTTGCGTAGTTGCTCTGTTTCTGGCTAGGTTGGTACATTCGTTCAATACACGGCCTGTACATGCGTCCGGTTCCACCGTTGCTCTTTCTTGGCCACAGGCCCAATCTTCGCAGCATTCATCCGTTATTCGATAACTTCGTTAATATAGCTCTCTCTCTCTCTCTCTCTCTCTCTCTCTCTCTCTCTCTCTCTCTCTCTCTCTCTCTCTCTCTCTCTCTCTCTCTCTCTCTCTCTCTCTCTCTCTCTCTCTCTCTCTCTCTCTCTCTCTCTCTCTCTCTCTCTCTCTCTCTCTCTCTCTCTATCGACCTCTCTCTCTCTTTCTCTCTCTCTCTCTCTCTCTCTCTCTCTCTCTCTCTCTCTCTCTGTCTCTCTCTCTCTCTCTCTCTCTCTCTCTCTTTCCACGCTCCGTACATTCTGACGGGGCGAAAGACGGTGCTTGTCATTGGGTGGAAAAAGGTCGTCTTAGGGGACTTTTGCCGGGTGTTCCGCTCATGGAGGGAGGGGGTTGTAGAAGAGGGTGTGGAAGAACTTTTCGAGGCAGCCAGCGAAAATCTACTGCGAAGGTTGGTTAGGGGATCGGCAGGGTTGGTTGGGGGTCGGGCTGGTTGTTTGTTTGCGAGTGCGGTTTGAGGAGTGGTGGGGATTCCGCGGGTCTTTTTTGTTTTGGTTTGGGTGGGTTCGGGATGGTGTGATTTGGTGTGTTGCTCTTTTGGGGCGAGGTTCGAGGGCGTGATGGATCGATCTCTGGAGAGTGGCTTGACCGGGGGAGTCAAGTTTAGTTTGGCTCTGGTCTTGTTGTCGAGCTCTGTCCATTCTGGTGTTCGTTTGAGACTTGGAGGGTGGCTTGATAGTTCGCGCATAGTGGTACGAGTGAGTCCTCCCGCGGCCATCTGGATCACTTTGTCGATACTTTGCCCAAAGCGGTCCAAGTTGCGTTCGGCAGACCTGGTGAGAAGATCTAGAGTTAGTGGATATGAAAGAGGAACGCTGTCATCTCGCTCACCTCATCGATTCAACCTTTGGCCGGTTTTAAGGCTTGTCAACAAGGCATTGAAATGGCCCTTCGCCTGGAGCGCCATATTGTGCAAGCACGTCATCCCTACCTGCCAACGCATCCTGCAATCGAACACATGGCTTGACGCTTGCTGAACTCTTCTTCGATCTCACCTTCCCTCTCTGCTGCGAGGTCTCCATACTTATTGATCCATGGGTGTCAGGTGTCGATATTTCGCACGCATTCGGCTATAACGGAGAGGTCTCCAAACTGGGACGCGACGTACGAGGTGACCATGTCTCTTGCTTGTGGTCTTCAATACAGCATTCTCTGGAGTTCGTCGACAACGCTCGTGAGTCGTGAAAGGAATAGCTGTCGATCATCTCTCCACCAAGATAGCCACTAACCCGGCCTGCCGGTCTTGGTGTTTGCATCTGACAGAATGTCGTCCGAAGGCATTCTGGAGTAGTAAGCTCTCCATGGCTCGGAAGCAAACACTGCTGCTTTGGGTTGACCGCAAGGTTCTTTTGCGGCCGTGTCAAGCTGGTGTCAAAACCTGACCAAGTTAGTAAGATGCTCTGCCGCACTTTGGTGGCGAGTTATTCTTTTCAACGTACCTCAAGATTGCGAACAGATAGTCCTCAGAAATCTAGTCGTCCGGGTTCAGACTCAGCTCATATTTCTCTTGTATCTTCCCTAGGTCTTCTGCTTGTCTATGAAGTTCCGCGAATTGCTCCAGTTCGATACTGTCGCCAGTTACCTGATCGTCTAGTCTCTTTAGTGCAAATGACTCTGTCACCTGGGCCGTGTCTGTAGACTGATGACTCTACCCAATAGAATCTCATCTCTCTTAGCTCGTAAGACCGGATGGACCCGACCGCATGTGTCCTTGGCCAATCCTGAACGATTATCTGTGCTACTCCATACCAGACTATCAGAGTAAGATCGATTTTCACGGCTTGATCAGATCTGATCCTGGGAGCAATGGACAGGCTTGATCTGATTTTTGCATAGAAGCGAATTAGACTCCCAGTTCTGCAGCACCACGCTTCGTAGACAACAGGCTTTCGATGCGTGCAAAGCACATGTGCCTCGGAGGCCCATACGGTACTTCTGCTGCTAGTACTACCAAGGACGCTATGCCTGTAGTCTCTTGATCGGAGACTGACGACGGCTCTGGCAGCAGTGGAGAGGCCAAGAGTGATTCTCCAGGGACATCATGAAGGATCTGCTTCGCGCCATCAACCAGTAGTAGCGTCGTTCTCTCTCAAGACTCAAGAATGAGCAAGTCCTCTCCTGGCTGCAAGCCTTCGGCGTCTGGAAATATTGCAAGGCATCGGGATGATCATCCCAACTAATGAGTCCTCCGTATGCATTTTCCCCGCTGGCGTGGCACAGTGTGCCGATATGCATGGCTTATGCTACTCGAGTGAATTGCAAGTTATTGACACTGGATGGTTCTGCATGGACCACAGAGAATTGATTGATATCCATCAATATTTGAGTGTATCGTCATCAAATTCAGGGGCCCGCCAAGCCCGCACGTCTAACCCTTCCCCAAGCAACCTCCTCGACTGACAACTGACAAGATTGAAAACACCAAATGCTGCACACAGAGGTCACACCATGTCAAAGCTGATCGCGCTGTATCAGCTCCAGCGACTGCCTCTTGCGGCTGAGCTCCCCTCACCGTAGGACATCGCGTGGAGCTCTTGTTTGTTCCCTGGCCTCCGCGGTGACCCTTCCTGACCCATGACGAGGAAACAATACCGATACGTCGATGGAGCCCTTTGCTCTCGAGAATGGCTCAACATGGAAACCGGCGATGGCTTCAGTACCAGGCGGCTGTCCTGTCTGCAACCATCCTAGAGTGCGGTTTGGCAACCCAGCCATCAGCTTAAATCCAGAAAGCTTCCTCGCTCCCTGGGGGATCTCCATCGCATCTCGGTGGACTGGCGTGGGTTTGATGGGTTGGTGCTGAACTCCGATCCATCCCGACTCTCTTGTGACGACCCTCTCAGGTGTTGCCGGTAGAGCTGCTTTAGCCGGTACTTTCTGGGCTTTTCATCTTCCATATCGTAACCAAACGGATCCACGCCGCCTGGGGCTCCTACGGTTGAATCCAAATTAGGAATAACACCGAAGCCCTGATTTCGAGATCTGATATTCGCCAGCGGTCCCGGGCCTTCGGCACGGGATGACTTGGCCTTCGCACGGAGTCGGTCGCTTCGCCATCGCTCAACAATCGCGCGGCATTCCAAGGCACGGGAGATGCTGTGGATTCTTGGATGGTGCTCTGCACAGATAGCGAATGTGAGGGCGATTGCCAGCTCTTCCGTCAAGTCATCCCCTTTCAAAGCAGTGTTGTCTGCAGCTCGCAAGACACTCCCGAGGGCGGTTGTCATGTATGCCTCGGGCACCAGTCGGCGGCATGCAGATCTGTGATTTGCAGCTCCCATTAGCAGATGCCGGCTTGGGGCCGATAGCGATCTGGCAGTTACCCGTCAACTGTTTTGCCCAAGCAAAGATACCAGGGCTCGCCGCCGGACAAGAGCCCATTGAGCTTGAAGCGCAAGCGTGCGAGAAGGTCTATGAAAGAAGACAGCTTGAGTTTGGAAAGCTGAAATTGGTTGATTGCTCGATACACGACGTTACTTCTCGATGCCGTGGTGGACGAAAGATTACGAGCCTCTGATGCTGCTAGAAGTCAACTCTACTGTGCGAGGTCAAGCATACCTCCTCCTACACCTACCATCTGCAGTCGCTATCTTCGTTGAGGACTGCCGAACCAGGTCCGTTCTCCCATCGGACGCGTCACTAATCGACATAGCTCGATGCTCTCCCATGCTGGAACCGGAATGAACTTCTCTTACGGTTTGAGGCGTGTGCGGTCAAGGTAGAGCTCGAGGGCCTTGCAGTGAAGACGTCGCCGACGCTGTATTTACAGTCAGTCGACTGGTGTTGCGGATGCAATTTCGCAAACCAACGTCGTCAACGGACTGTGGATCCAGGGAACTGGACAGCTGCCCCGAAGGATCAACAAGCACGCTTTGATGGTTGATTTGCACCAGCACTTTCTCCTTCATGCATGGCGATAAGACGCCTTTGCCGTTTGCAGCTGCGCAAGAAACGTGGGCGAACGCTGCTACGACATGGCGAGATTTGAGCATCGGCTACGAATTTCTCTGCGCCAAACTCCGCGTTGCCACAAGCTCATGATGAGAACAATCAATCTCCCTCTGGAGCTGGAAAAGAAGAGATAGATCCCTGCAAATTTTGGTAGGCAATTTGCGGGACGGCTTCATATATACTCCTCCCCGTTCGGATCTCGTTTCCCGGTTCCGAAGACATATCGTAAGGGTAATATCAATGACTCCCGTGCTCCCCGATCGTTCGTAGTGGCCATAGAATTACTACCGTACTTTCCTACCGATCGCACGTCGTCTTGAGCTGGTGTCCAGTCGCGAGTAAGGCAAGGCCACCATTATTGACTGATTCGGACAATGGCTGTCGATGTCTCGTGATGCGCCACGAAGGTTCGTCACGTTTCGTCCGTGACATGAGCTCTACTACAAACGCAAAACCAAACGTCCGTACCGGTCCTACCCGCGATCACGAACCGAATTCTACTCTCAATCGTACCACGGCTCCTAAAACGAGGGACACCCATTCCGCTCTTTCCATCATGCGATGGCTGCTTACGACTAGGTAGCAACGTGTGGAAATGACAGCCGACAGTATTACCACACACCAGGCAATTCGACCCAAGAATCTTGCCCCGAAATCAACTGCTCTACTCTACCGTACTCTCAGACACAACACAACCAAACAAAGGGATCCGAAGCTGAGCGACCGCAAAGGCTTTTCGTCAGGAGTATCCTTCATGCCATGCTTCGTGTATATCAAGAGTTCCAATTCCGCCAGCTCGAACAGAACACAGCGGCCGCCGAGCGCGTAATACATGCATCAGGACGTCAAAGTCTCTTATGGGGAAGTAGAAACCATCATTACTATTGACCGACCGTCAAAGACCGACCACTCGGATTCTATCATCCGGGTGCGATACTTCTGTAGGGTAAGTGCCGATACCGAAAAGCTTTCGAACTCTACAACTGTCCCACCTCAGAACCCTAGGTTGGTTGTCCTCTCCGACTCGTAGGCTTCGGCGAACCCTCATCGAAAGCCTGCTCATCATTGTCCAACCTATAACTCCGAAAACCAGGATTGTCCCCTGCCAGTGAATGACTTTGGTTACTTTGCTTTGCTTTGCACAGGGGTTCGCAAATTAGGATAGATTGACGCTAGTTGCTTGGCATACCACTCTGTATACAATCTCTACCAAATAGAGTCTTTTACACGCTGTCCACCATTCAAAGTGAGTTGTCTGCACCTCCATGGCATGCTCTGTATCCTATGCCTGATTTGCTCCATTGAAATCTTATTCCAAACACGTATACAGGCTGCTTTGAGAGCTTAATAGTCCATTTGATATAGGGCCTCTCTATATACCTTTTTTAGGCCTTCTTGAAGCAGCAGCCACACACCTTCAATTGGGTTGAGGTCAGGGCTTTGTGCTGGGTGCCAGTGAAGCTGGATTAGCTGTTCTTGCCTTGTCTTTTCAGGTAGATTGTCCTTTGATCTGTGACTATGTGATAGATCACCATCTTCTATCAAAATGGCAGGGTAGCCTTGATTCTTCATCCATTTGGGGATAGCTCAGCTTCTGCTCTGAGTTCTGTACGTTGGTGGAGCCATTTGCTAGCTGTTGGGTAGGCAGGGCACCATTCTTCGTGGTCATATAGCTGGCAGAAGTATTTGAGTGTGTATTGGTCTCTACATGCATCCCAATGGTCAAAAAAACGGGTTCTGTGTGGTGTCTTGAATTGCCCTGGTCTCTTTGACCTTTCTGAATGATTTCTGAGCACAGGAGGCATAGTGGTAGTGATACAGAGCCTTCAAAAGTGGTGTTGGTAGGGAGGTTTGGTATGCCAAGCAACTAGCGTCAATCTATCCTAATTTGCGAACCCCTGTGCTTTGCTTGATCTGTGATCTGTGATCGGATGGATAGATCCATGTCCCACCTGTGCACCATCGATCGCGCCCCTCCAGTCGTGCGATGTCGCTAAGCGTGGAGACTAGCGGCTGCGCCGACGTAAATCTCCAGCTTGACCTGGAATGGGCTCTGGAAATCGATCCGGCGGGGGGAAATAAATCGATGCATATGTATGACAACGATTTTGCTTTGGCGGCCTGTTCGATTCATTGATCCGATTCGTCTTCTATATACGACATCTCTAACTTCGGACAGCAATAAGACTGCCAGGGGAGAAATTCTTGCATATACCTTTTTTCTCTAACTCCACCATCTACCATCATCTTCTCCCCCCAAATGATCAGTCATACACTAACATCTCGGCTCCAAAAGCAACACCCCCTCAGGCCTCTTCCCCACGAACCCTCCTCCTGCTCCTCCTTCCCCTTCCCTCCTCACATGCACCCTCCTCCCCCTGAGCCACGTCTCCCGCGCAAACCCCTTCAACACTTTCCCCTCATATGGGGAACACTTATTCCGAAACAGCATGCTCGTCCTCTCGACGACAAATTCCCCCTCGTCGTCAAAGACGCATACATCCCCGTCCATGCCGACTTTCAACGTCCCTTTTCGTTTTTCCAGCCCGACTTGCAGGGCGGTGTTGCCGCAACACCATTTGGTGAGGTTCAAGAGGGTGTTGGTGCGGTCGTGGCCGCGACGCAGGGCTTCCGTCCAGAGGATGCTGAGACCCAGACCGACGGAGGAGATTCCGCCCCAGGCGGTGAAGAAATCTCCTCCTTTCTCTTCTTCTCCGTTCGCGGATGCACCGCAACTCCCGGGGACGTGCGAGGGCAGGAGTTTCAAATTCGGCGTACAGGGTGAATGATCCGACACGACGGTCTTGATGACGCTCTCGGAGACCTCTTCCTCTCCCTCTTCTCCTCCTCCAAGTCTGAGCAGTTCCTCCCACAGACCGTCCTGGTTCGAAGCGGATCGGATCGGAGGACAGCATTTGTGTCTTGTATCTCCGTCTTGAATTTTCTCTGCTGCGAGACTGAGGTAGTGGAAGCAGGTTTCTGCGGTGATTTTGACTCCCTTGTCGCGGGCGGAGCGGAGCATGGGGATTGCCTCGATTGCGGAGAGATGGACGATGTGTAAGGGCAGATTGGGAGCGAGGTGGGCCAGGGAGAGGACTTGGAGGATGGCGTAGACTTCGAAGGAGGCAGGGCGGGAGTCGAGGAAAGTTTGGTATCTGTCGATTGGACCGGTGGGCTGGAGGGGTGGAAGGGACCATTGGACGTCGTCGCCTACTGATGCCGAGACGGGAGGGATCATCTCTGCGTGGAACATGACTGTGGTGGGTTCGTCTGCTAGTTCTCTGAAGACGGATGCGATGTCTGCTGCCGAGACGGCCGGGAATTCTTCGACCCCGCTGTCAATGAGGAAGCCTTTGAAGCCTCGGACTCCAGCCCGGACTAGCGGTTTCAGTTCGTGGACGTTGCCTGGCACGATGCCTCCGTAGAAGCCAACGTCGACCCAGCATTTATTCTGTGCAGCCTCGACCTTCTCTTTCAGCCCTTGCATTGTTGTGGTGGGTGGAATGGCATTCAGAGGCATGTCCACGACTGTGGTGACTCCTCCAAACGCCGCAGCTTGTGTGCCAGTGTAGAAACCCTCCCATTCCGTCCTTCCCGGCTCATTGAGGTGCACATGAGCGTCGACGAGCCCCGGTATCAGCACGTGCGGGCTGTAGTCCGTGTACGGTGTGCCTGGAGGAAACGAAGACTGAGGTAGTACGGAATGGAAGATGGATGTGATCTTGCCGGTCGTGATTGAGATGACGATGGTGGCAGCGGTGAATCTGTCTTCGATGACGGCTCTTGAAGAGGCCAGGACCGTGATGTGTGAGGCCTCGACGCCGGCGAGGATAGGCGACCCGTCGACGGTGTGGGGAGTATGGGTACCGGTCGCGAATGGAGCCATGTTAGCGGTGTCGCCAACCAATGTCAGATGAAGGGCAGTCTGTTGCTCGTTCGCTGCAACGCGGACGTAGACAATGAAACACCAAATGAAACTGTAGCGTGACGTAGGAAGGGAAGCGTAAACAGTAGAGGTAGAGGTATACAGCAATCCCAAGCAGAGAGAGTGGTAGAGCGGGCTGTGAGAGGACCTACGGATGAGGGGGTGAGCTTCGCGATAAGGAGATGCTCATGTTTACTCGATCACAAGCTGATGGAGGTCTTGATTGCCGCAAGCGCAACAATGGCCATGGCAATGCGGGTGTCTGGCGTCTCCAGACGGCGCGCGTACGGGACAAAGGGCGCGTCTTCGGGAATGGAGCATACTCGTAGATGTACATGTGTGTACGGGCGGAGGCGGTGGGAGGAGGATTACTCGATGGAATCGTTATCAGTGGCCGCGGCGTGTCTTCTTCTGAGGGCGATGTCGAGGCGAGATAAGCGGCCCGGATCAGATGTTAGTGCCGGGTGCTCCCGTCCGTGCTCCCGTCCGGGTTCCCTTTCCTAGCCTCTCTTAACCGTGGTAGTGTATGTATACCATGTTCAACTTCTGGTCATCTTCTTCCTCATCTTCGGACGCGCTGAGGCACTCATCCAGTCCATACCGACTCCTCATTTCCTCCATCGAACATTTGCAGTGGTGATGGAGTCCCTCCAAGCTCTCCCGATGAGACGCTCCTCATGGAATTCCTTGCACCCGGAGCTAGCTGGCCAGAAAACTCAATGACCTTCCTATTACTCGATCATTACTCGATAGCATGCTCGGGCCGTACTCGATCGGAATCTGCCTCGTCATCTTGTAGCAGAGCCGGATGGGCCGCCGGCGAGGCCATCCGCGTCCATCGGCCGGTCTTCTCCTTTCATCTTGTTCCTCATTACTCATTACGAGCACCGTGCCCATCGTTCCGCGCTCGGCCTTGAGGCGACGTCGACACGATCAATGCCCGGCGAGCCGAGACTCCTGGCTCTGCCGAGCACCATGGTCTGCCGAACCTCGTTGCGGTGCATCGGCATAGTACGAATGGACAGTACACGAGTCATTTACGACAAAGTCGCGTGCGACGAGAGAAAGGACACTATTGAGCTTGGGGATGGAAAAGGACCTTTATCCTCTTCTCGCCCCTGCCTTCTCTGTCTCCTCGCGGCAATCGCGCCTACAGTGAGGAACTCCTCCAGAATGACGCCATCATTGCAGCGCTGTATGCTCTCCAGAAAGCGAAAGCGAATTCCATGTACTGGATACATCGCGTCATGTCACAGGATCGCCGAAAGCTGCCCATTTTGAGATTTGCTGTATCCGTCATAAGGCGATGTTCCGAGCTGTGCGTGCGCGTCCATATTGAGAAACGGCAGCGCCGTCGGAATGCTGCCCAACCAACTGTCTCACTGCACCCGACGAAGTCGACAGTGCTCCTTGCTTTGTGAGACAGCGGGATAATGCATTAGTCTGGAGGCGCGCCTGCCTGAAGAGCTCTACTCGGCTCAATATCGACGAGACCCAATCATGGACGGCCAGTCCTCAAGGCACCCTACTCTTATTGGGCAGAAGACACGAACTCTATCAAATCCAATCGGATGTAACAGTCTTGAATGGCCCGTCACATCATGGTTGCGTCGTGTTCGTATGGGCGAAATCCCTCAAATGCCACATACGCCGTGTCGATGAGGAACACTCAACCACGCCCCTCCGAGGAGATTGGGCTCGGCTTATTGCCTTGAATATGTTCTCAAACGAAACATCTAGCCTCGCTGCATTTGATGGTCTTTCCAAGAAAGCTTGCTTTGTGCATCGAGAGCGAGATTATCAGGAATGGGTGCTTGATGTTCATTGCTAAGTTACCACGAGGCATGACTCTACAATTCAGAACTCGTGTTTCCGAACCTCGTGGGGTGCAGCAGCCTGGTCGATGGGAATAGGTAAGGAGTTTTGCATGTGTTCACCTCTAGTTTCAAACACCACCTCAATGCCTAATTTGGGATGTGACCGGCCAGATATGGCATCTTGATTGGCTTGGCATGCCCCTGCCGGGCTCGCCGGTCCATAATGTTTGACATCCCCCACCCTTCTCTGCACTTCAGCTCATGCCTTTCGACATACACGCAGACGCCCTTCCCTATGCTCTCACCAACAATAACGTCCCGCGTGTCGTCCTCGGCAGGGACGACGCATTCAGCTTCAGGCATTGGAAAAACCCGGAGTGGATGCGGATGGCATGTTCACGAGGCACCAAATCTACAAGCAGCCAACTCTTCGGACCAGACGGCTTGACATATCTGGATACACTCAATGCCATGCCTTGCTGTGGAGGATTGGCAGTCTTGGGCTTGATGGGCACTGCAAAACTGGGTGCTAATACAGCACTGAGCTGCTGCTGATGCGTCACATTCCTACACCAGCCTACCCTCTCCCGGAACTCGGCAGTGGTGGGTGAACTCAAGTCACGCACATGTTGGTCTAGGACGATTCGACAACCGATTGCTTTCTGCACATCTCCTTGCGCTGTCCCTTTCACACACTAAGGCACACCCCGAACATCCCTAGCGAATTTCACCCGTCTTGTGCAACAAATACCATGTCCCACTGTCGTTCCACAGATGCGCTTAGAGACAGACCGACGCTCACTACCACCCTCCCTTCTCAACGCTCTCCACTACTAATCGAGATGTCATTCAGTTTTCTAGAACTCAACTACCATGTGGACACCGTCTTACGGACTTGATTTTCTATCCAGCCAAGATGCGAGCATTCTCCTTATTTCAATCCTCGCTGGCTCTTCGTTTGATCACAACGCTTACAACAGCTTCCCCACTGCGACAACATCGCATCGAACATCTACGCCGAGAATATGGTTCGACCCCACAGCGACGCCAAGCTTCTGGTGATTATCTCGCAGTTACGGGAGTCCAGAATGCTGGAGTCCAGCCGCGACTTGAGATAAGGGACATGATGAAAGATACGGAAATGTTCAACCTCTACCTGCTTGGCCTACGACATTTCATGGACAGCCCGGAGTCCGACAAGCTATCGTACAAAAACATTGCATGTACGTTCCACAGGCGATACCGTACGACTTACAGGACACTGACTGTGTTGCAGCCGTGCACGGGCGTCCCTACGGACCTTTCGACGGAGTTTACGCCAAGACTAACACGAGCGAGCCTGGCTATTGTGCACACGTTTCGAACGTATTCGCGACATGGCACCGCGGGTACGTGCTGTTGATGGAGCAAGTCCTATTTGAACATGTCATCGCGGTCGTGAATATGTTTCCGTCAGGCCAGACACGACAGAGACTCGCAGAGATAGCTCTGAGGATTCGACAGCCTGTGTGGGACTGGGCGGCACCGACTTCTGATGGCTCGAGTGTCTGGCCTGCCATTTTCTCTCAACAGAACGTCACTGTTGATGGTCCTAACGGGACGACGACCATCAACAATCCCCTCTATTCGTACACCTTCCAGACTGCGCCGGGAGTACCATTCGCCTACAATCCAGTAAGTGACCGACCTCCCTAGGCTTCATGTCCCAACATCTGACCCACAATCGACAGTTCGCATCATGGACACAAACCATGCGCTACCCGACAGCGTGGACCCAGAACGCAACAAGCCAAGACAATCTCCTGGGACCGGTCCTGGACAACAGCAGGAACAATCGCATGAACAGAGTATACAACCTCCTCGCATACTACGGCAACTTCTCCCAATTCAGCAACGAAGCCTGGATCGAAGACGACGCGCAGAATGCCGACAGTCTCGAATCCATCCACGACGATATTCACGACGCTGTCGGTCAGAATGGCCATATGACTTTTCTGGACTATGCTGCTTTCGACATATCTTTCTGGTTCCATCACTGCATGCTCGATCGCCTCTTCGCGATGTGGCAATTCCTTCACCCGGATAGCTATGTCGAGCCCATGGCTGCTATGGCTCCGACGTACGTCACTGCAATTGGCGATGTGATGGATGTGGATTCCGGTATGTACGAGGCTTTGTTGCTCTGTGGTGACATGCAACCGTCACTGATGATGTTGTGATCTTGCAACAGCTCTTGCCCCTTTCCACTCGGATTCTCAAGGAAATTTCCACACTTCGGAGACTCTTCGGGATCCTACGGCGTATGGATACACGTATCCCGAGCTGGTCAACGCGACGCCCGACTCTCTTCGAGCCGCGATCAATCGAATGTACGGCGCCAATGCCGCGGCTGGTGGGCTCCTCCAACGCTCCATCCACGCCGCATCTGCCGACGGCGACGCCTCCCACTACATCGGTCCCCCCGGCGCCAAGGCGGATGGCTCTTACCGCCATTACACCGCCAACATCGTCTCGCAGAAACATACTGCCCTCACGGGTTCCTATGCCGTCTACATCTTCCTCGGCGGCGGCGAGGCGGCGGGGGCGGCGACGGGGAATCCGAATGCCACCGACGCGTGTTGGCCCACGGATCCGAATCTGGTAGGCACACATTCCATCTTTGCGGCTGTTTCCAGTCAGGAGGCGGCGACGCTGGTGCCTGGTGCGGCGGCGACGGATGGTCCTCCTCCTCCTCCCCCCTCTTCTTCTTCGAGGCATTGGAAAGTCTCCGGTACGGTTCCCCTGACGGACGCGCTGTTGAAGAAGGCACAATCGGGCGAGTTGGAGAGTATGCATGATGGGGACGTGCAGGCTTACCTGCGTGCGCATCTGCATTGGCGTGTTTCCATGGTAGGTATAGCAAACCCCGAAAGAAGAAAATCTTTCCAAGAAACTCACCCGTCTGATCTTCTTGGGTGGCTCATTGGTCATATCTAGATGGACGGCACCCCCCTCGACCCTACAGGCGACGTCAACGTCACCATCACCGTCGTCTCGCAGGACTTCCAACCCGCCGCGTCGGAAGCGCAATTCCCTCGTCCGGTGAGCGGCAGTTTCCACGCTTGGAAGCATATCACGCAGGGGAAAGCGGGAGGTTGCGAGTGATATAGATAGATGTTAGAGAATTCCCTAGCAACGGGGGGGGGATCGTTTTGTTTGGCATTTTTGTGGGACGACAGGACAGGACACGACACGACACGATAGGTAGATAGTTGCTGAGTATTTTACCAAAGAAAAATTGAATGTAGTAGCAGCAAAAAGACAATTTCTCACTTTTTTTTTCTCTCTCTCTCTCTCTCTCTCTCTCTCTCTCTCTCTCTCTCTCTCTCTCTCTCTCTCTCTCTCTCTCTCTCTCTCTCTCTCTCTCTCTCTCTCTCTCTCTCTCTCTCTCTCTCTCTCTCTCTCTCTCTCTCTCTCTCTCTAGAAAGTCAAAAGAAGGAGAAGAAGAGGAGAGAGAGAGAAGAGAGAAGAGAAGAGAGAAGGAGAATTATTTGTGTAAAGAGTAATAGGTAGACAGGTTACAAGATTAGTAGGTAGGTAGGTAGGTAGGTAGGTAGGTATCTACCTTGATACATCCATTCGTTCGACTCACTTCCTTCCCTTACCACTTTAACCTCTTTAACCTACTTACCTCTTTACCTCTCTAATTAAAGCAAAAGTTCCCCTCTTCCCTCTTCCCTCTCCCCTCTCCCCCTCTCCCTTCTTCCTCTCCCTCTCCCTCTCCCCCCCCCCCTCTCCCCCCCTCTCCCTCCCTCCCTCTCCCTCTCCTTTCACTTTCAGCAAAGAAGCAAGACGGAAGCAAGAACATCCCCAAACAAAACAAGAAGATGGAAAACCAAAAAGAAAAAAAAAAACTTCAATTCATTTCACATCATAACATCATCATTTCCCAATTCCCATTTCCCAATTCCCAATTCCCAAAAAATTCCCGCGGGTCCCATGCGGTGCGTGCGTGCAGCTTTGATGAATAATGGACCGATCTCCCACTCTACTCCATTCTGCTTTGCGTTTGCATGCATGCATGCATGCAGCCTTTCAAAGTCTCCCGCCGCACCCTTCCTTCTCAGTATCACAGTACAGTACTACTGGTACAGACAGACAAAAATTTCTCTCTCACACAAACAACAACAATGACCACGACAACACAGCCCCCCAGGCCGCCCATCTTCCAAAAAAAAAAAGATGAAAAACGCCAATCAAACATGCAATGATGTGACCTTTCCTTCCCCCTCCCCGTTCCGCCATTTCCCAATTCGCTATCACAAGATGAATGCAGAAAAAAACAACAAAATACAAAGGCCAACAACCGAACCGTCCAGATTCTCTCCGTCGGCTTCATTAGGTGGGAGATGATGATGATGATGATGATGATGATGATGATGATGATGATGATGATGATGATGGTGATGAAGATTTGCACAGCGGTAGTGATGAGATGATGGGGAAGCAGGGCGTCCATTGGGGTTGGGACGGCGAGAAGACTCGTCATGAAGGCGCCATCTCAAAGCCCTGCTCGGCCGCCTGCTCTTTCAGACTCTTGAGTTCGCCCAGCTGACTCGTGAGTTCGTTCAAGATATCAGACATCGGACATGCCTGCTGGAGCATGCCGCTCCGGAACGGTCGGACCATGTTCCGGATCGCGAGGGTGGAGATGCACGTCTACCGAATAAGTCAGCATCTGATAATACCCTCTCCCTCCTCATATCCTCATCTTTCCGAGGGCCGAGTACTCACCTCAATTCTACTAATCTGATGCTCCACGAAATTAACCAGAAATCGATCCGTGATCTCCCCACCTCCATGCTTGATCTTCTCCAGCAGGGCCGTCTCGGGCGTCTTCAGACTGCGGATCCCCGTATTCTCCAGCGTACTGCACAGCATCTCGAGTCTGAGACTAACATTCCAGAGATCCCACACATTGTCCGTGTCGATGGTGAGCTGACTATTCCGGACCTTCTTCGCTTCGGTGTCGTTCTTGTCCTGCTGCGCGGCGCGCGACTCGGCTTCGGCCTTCTGTTGCTGGACGATCAAGCGCGACGCCAACGAGTGTGGGTACATGAGATAGATGTACTCGGGGTTCTCAAGACCTTTGAGTGTTCTCTGGCCGAGGTCCTTCACTTCGAACCCTTGGCTGCTGAGGGATCGCAGCTCACGTCGGATCGTCTGGCTGGTCATGTCATCACTGAGTGTATCCTCTGATCCCGTAGATCCAGACCGATCGGACTCGATGTGGCTCTCGAGCATTCGTTGTACTTCTTGGATGAAATCGGACGACACGCAGATCTGTCCACCATCCGCAACACTCTCGATTCTCGCGGCGCGGTTGACCATAGGGCCGAAGTAGTCCATGCGCTTGGTGACGGGATCGATCTCGCACACGGGCCTTCCCCAGTGGATACCCATCCGGACGCTCAGTCCACGAAAGATGACGTTGCCATCACCGTCTTGCATCTCCTCACCATGGACGCTGTTGAGGATTTCCTGTGGCCATTGGACCTCGAGAAGCTGGCTCTGGATGGTGAAGCACCACAGCAACGCGCTGGTAACGGTGGGGAAGGCGACCATAAAGGCATCACCCTCCGTCTTCACTTCATACCCACCAATGATCCTCAGATGCCGTCGCATGACTTCGTTGTGCATCTTGATAGCGGACTGCATGGCGATGGGATATGTTTCCCAGAGGATGGTACTGTTCTTGATATCGGTAAAGACGAGCGTGACTTCCCCAATCGGCGCGTCGACTTCTTGGTCGAGTCGCGCCAGCTTCGAGTCGCCCACTGCATCTCGTCCACGCTTGGCCTTTCGCACGGTGGTGAAGTAGTCGTCGGGTGAGCCTGAAGGACCCATGCTCATGCTGTGCGTCCGGAAGCGGGCCCTCTCGCGTTTCCGCAAATCGCTCACGCTGACCATCATCACCATGATTTTGCCGGTGGCACCAAAGGCAATGGCAAGATCTCTCAGCTTCTGAGCCGCGCGCATCAGGTCACCTCGCTCTTGCCGAGCGACATCCACCGCGAAATCCGGCGTCAGGTAGTCCCAGAGCTCTCGCGAGGCCAACAGGATCATCTCGTCCGACTCTTTGATATCGATCCTGCTGACATGCGGTGCAGCAATGATGCACGGGGTTAATTGGACGAAGCCGAATGCACGGGACACGTCAAGTTGGTCGTTGAGCTTGCCTTGCCTAGAGACGTAGCCGCCCGCGTCACGTATCCGTTGTCTCTCCGAGGCTTCGGCAGGATCGTGCTTGCGTGTGATGACTCGATGGTTGCCCTCGGACTGGATGAGCAAGCATTGCGCATCGCCAACATTGGAAATGTACAGTTCCATACCGCGTAGGTACATCACGGTCGCGGTACTGCCGGATTTGAGGTCGTCGTCGCCGAGCTCCGGTCCGGTGATACTACCACGATGTACCAGAGCGCTGCTCGAATGTTCTCGGGCGTCGATGGCCTGAGTTGCGGCAGTGGCAAGATCCTTATTCAGACCCAGATATGTTCGACGGAGCGCATCCAGCGGAGTTTCGTCTGTCCGGATCTTGTCAAGCTCCTCGATGAAATAATGCTTGAATTTCTCATGCAGGTACTTGGCAACTTTGCTGCCGCCCGAAGAAAGAGATTGGCCGTCGAACAAGCCGACGAGCGCCTCGTCTTCGTGGCCGCGGAATCGTGGAACGACCATGTCCAGCGTAGATAGGTGCTCGTTGCGCCCAAGCGTGTCGGCCATGCCGTATGGCATCGTATTGCCAATCACGGATCCAGCAAGGCGCACACGCCGGTCAGGTGCCTGGTCGGGTACCGAAGGGATTGTGATTGTCACGTCCATGAGGCCGAGTATCCGCAGGTTGATCAGTGACGAGAAGTCTGTCAGGTCGCGCTGGTCGCGGTTGCCAACCGACTGCGCGCTCGGCTTGATCTCTAGGCGCTTGTTTCCGGACAGATTCAAGTATCGGAGTTGACGATTCCAGTTCCAATTCCAGTCATACGGCCAGTTGGAGACGTTGTACTTGAGCAAGTTGCTTCCGACGTCCAGAATGGCCAGCCGCTGGACTTTGCCAAGCTCAGCAGGAAGGACTTGGAACTTATTGTTATTGAGATGCAACACCTTAAGCTGCGACCCCTCTTCCAGATCCTCCGAGGGTATCGACGTGAGGTCATTTCCTGAGAGGTACAGTTCGGTCAGGTGTGTCCATTTTTTGATCGTCCTCGGTGGCACTTCGTACAGCTGGTTGTATGACAGGTTCAGGATCCTCAGCTCTGGCATCAGAACAAGCTCGTTGAAAACATCATCCTCGAGCCGATTGTCGGCCAGGAAGAGATGCCGCAACGACGTCGAGAAGGTGGCGGCCAATTTGCTGGACAAGGTCGAGTCCTTTCTCGAGCCAGGCGTGATTGTGCCGACACTGCCCGCCGTACTCGTCCGAGGGAGTGCGCTCTTTGCTGAATTATAGGAAACGACAGACGCCTTTCGGGACGAGGTGCCGGGCGAGCTCGATACACTGAGCATCCCAGATGCTTGACTGGGCCGACGAAGTTGGAAGTCTTCCAGCTTGCCCAGTTCCTCGAAGTCTGGACTTGATGTATTCGGCATCTGGCTAGGTGTCATGGCATAGTTGGCTTCTCGCATAGGGGGAGGCGGAGAGGATGGTTTTGGAAACTCCGCAAGAACATTCGAGGAGACGTTCAGAGTCTCGAGTCGTTTCGCGAACCAAAGCTCAGCGGGTAGCACACTGAGATTGTTCTCTCGCACATCCAGGTATCGCAGATCGGCCAAATGACCGATCTCAGGAGGCAGCCTGCTGAGCTCGTTCTTGGCAATGCTGAGATACTCAAGCTTGGACAGCAGTCCGAAGTGCGAGGAGAGGGAGACAAAGTGATTCTTGCTGATCGTGAGCTTGGTGAGGCCAGGCATCTTCATGAACAGGGCATCGGGTAAGCGTGAGAGCTTGGCAGAAGCCAAGTTCAGCACGGACAGTGAAGGTACTGGCGCGTTCAAGTCGAAGTTGGTGACGGGGTTGTGGTTCAGGAATAAGACCTTCAGGCAGTGGAATGACCCTTCAAACTGCGAGATGGAGTTGTGCCCAAGCATGAGTGCCTCGAGCTTCGGTAGTTGAGATACCACACTGATGTCGCTGATGGCGTTGAACCGTGCGTCGATCTCTCGCAAGCTTGTAAGTGCGCCAAATGATGGATCAAACGGACCTGCGAGCTTGTTGTTTGTTGCCCACAACCGCTCCAGGTTCGTGAGATTTGCCATGTCGCCCAGACTCGATATCTGATTGAAGCTGATGTCGAGATCGACCAGCGTCTTGAGCTGTCTGAGTGCCGAGGGAAACTCAGCCAGGGAGTTGGAGGACAGATTGAGACTACGCAGGGCCCGATACTCGCCAAAGTACGACGGGATGGTGGTCAGCTTGTTGTTGGACAGCTTCAAGCTCAGCAGTCCATGTAACCGATTCAGCTCGGCATGCGTCAGTTGCTCCAGCCTGTTGTTGGAGATGTCTAGGGTCGAAAGCTTCGTCGCGAGGGACAAGCTGGGAGGAAGTTTCCACGCCTCATTGCTCGTGTACTTGATCTCTCGCAGCGCCGTACAACTCTGCACGAAGTCCTTGGGAATGTCCAATGTCAGGTTCCTCGAGAGATTCAGTGTGATGATTTCCGTGGCCTTCTGGTAGAGCGTGATCGGGATCGTGATGAGATTCCGCCCGGACATGTCGATATGATTGAAGCGCTGCATCTTGTTGAATCCAGGATCGCGCTCCAGACTAGAGTAGCCACTCATCTTGGAAGGTAAGAACGTGAATCGACACAGATAGCCGTGGTCCTCTCTGCCCAGATCTTCCATGTGATCACTCTCTTGGTACCCGACCATCTCCAGCAATCGCTTCTGCATCACCAACGGCCTTTCACCCGGGGAAAGCTGCCGGCTGGTGTCCTGTTTGCGCATGACAATCTGGTATTTGTCGAGTTCATCCTGCAGAAAGGTTTTCTTGGCCATCATCGAGATCAGCTCCGCGGCCGTGGTATTCAGACTGGCCGAGACGACGGCAAACGTACTGTCCGCGCGGAAGATGCGCATAAAGTACATGGGTCCCGGATCGTCGTCTTTGGGTACATTGCCCTCGTCGTCCAGTTCTGTAAGCCGTCGCATGTTCTCGTCAGCGATCTTGCTGACCGCCCAACTCTCCGGCGCATCCCATGTCCCTTTGTCCTCGGGCCGCTCCGGCGGAGGTTGCTCTGGAGGCCAGCCCGTGTAGATCTCATTGCTTGGCGGTGTTATGGGGGGTGCTCGATAGTCTACGATACCCTCCATGTGCGACATGTCCGTGTCCAGGTGCCATAGTGCATTGCCGGCCTGGTCGTGCGGCGCATTGGGATCCTTGACGGATTTCGAATCGGCTCCTTTGGCGTCGGTCTTTTTGCTCTTGAAGGGCAGCCTATGCTCCTTTCTCTGTCCTCCCGCCCCTGACCCCGAGTCCGCACTGCCTTTTCCTGCCTTCGCCACCGTTTTGCTGTCGGTACGAGGTTTGCTCGTCGCAGGCTGCAGGCCAGGCAGAGACGTGACAGACTGGGACTGTAGTGTTTCTGCATTCGCGCGATCGGTAGTCTTGTGTCGTCCCGTGACCCGGTCAAATAACGATCGCTTGTGCCCACCACCACCACCACCACCACCGCTCGGTGATCGCTGTGTCAACGCTCCACTCTGCGAGCTGTGTGCACTCGGGGCGGGACTCGTGGATCGAACCGACTTGAGGTTCAGGGCCGAGCTCATGGCCGAGGGGCCAGCGCCATCCCGGCGCATAATGTTGAAAGACTGTTCCCTGCTCGTCGAGGGCCGCAGCGGAAAACCATGGCCGGCGGTGTACTTCTCGTCGGTGCTACGATTATGCCGGTGTCCTGGCAGGTGCAGGCGTGAGGCTGTGGAGTTTTTGGCTGTTCGGCCCTCTCTGCCCTGATCGGGAGGGAACGATTCTGACGATGGACCCGCATTCTGTCGTACCGATTAGCAGTCGCGACGCATGGCAAAAGAGGATGAGGTAAGGTAGCTCCGTGATTCTCTGTAGAGGGGGGGGGGAAGGCACTCAAGTTCGACCTACTTCTGGATCCTGGAAAACCCACGGTGTGACCTCGTGGCTAGGCTGGGGACTGCGCGGTCTTGATGTAGATGGACTGGGAGGACCGCTGCGCATGATATGATCGTTCATGGAATTGTTACGGTTTCTGCCCGTCCCGCCGCCGGGGGCGAATGGAGGCAGCTGCCCACTCTGCATGGAACTGGTTTCCGAATTCTGTCTGGTGCTGCTGCTCCGCCCATCACTGCTGACCACGCCGGACGGGTCTTCGCCAAAGAACCCCTGTAGCTTCTTCTGTACCTTCCCGGTGATGCTCATCTTGGAGCCGGTCGACGAGACGGTGGTGGCGCTCGCGATGGAGGGTCTTCGGTCCTCGCCGTCGCCTGGAAATGCCATGGCGCTCGCAGGAGCGTATCCCGGCGAGACCTGGCCCAGATTCTCACTGGAGTCATTGTTGAAGTAGCTGCCGCCGAAGATGGACTGGGGCATCTGGGTGGGGCGGGGGTCATTGCTCTTGAAGTAGGAGGAAGACATGCTGGGGCGCGCGGTGGGGGGTTCGCGATTTATCCGGGGAACATTCTGGTCGTTGTTGGAGGGGGATTCCTCCCATGGTGCTACGTTCGCTCGGACATTCGAGGGCGTGGGTTTGGGTATTATGGTGGCAGGTGAGACTTCTGAGTCTTTGCGCTCCAGTCTAAGAAAGAGGTCTGTAGTTAGCTCCCATGTCTCTGCTCACGTTGTAACCATGTCCCGTCCTCATGTCATCGGGCAACAGCAATGCGCACGCCACCTCCTGCTCACCCCAATGCATGTCGCAGGTGAGGCATGTCTCGCTCTTCATCTCCCACATGTGGCGTTCTCGCCCCCGCCCCATGGCCATGCCCTGTCTTGCCGCTTTCTCTGCAATCGCCGCCTCTTCCCGCGTCTCGACGCTCCCCGCCCATCTTGTATTGCGCGCGCACTGGTGGTCCTCCTCTTGGGCCTAGAAGCACTGTTCGTGCGTGTGGAAACGGAAGTCTCTCTCCCAAGGGAATACGTACTGCTGTCTCTTGGTGGCCAGCTTCAAGGGCGAGCCTCTGACGCCGGTCAGGCTGGCGAAAGGGCCACGGATGGTGTGATCGCTGCGGGTGGAGTCTGCGCCGGTGGAGCCGTGTCGTTGGTCGCTGCCGTCGGTGTTGGGGGAATTGCGAAGTGCCATCGCTCACTTCACGGTGTTGGTGGTCCGTGACTTGGCCAGCCCGCACATGCGTTCAACCCATCTCCCGCCTCCCGCACAACCGCGGCGTGGATGATAAGGATGCTGGATGGTACACGGGCCGACTGCAGTCGGAGGAGGGCGCGGCAGTGGGCGTGAGAGCGAGGGCGAGGGCGGGTGAGGTAAGGTGAGGTGAGGTGAGGTGAGGTGAGGTATATGGCAGCACGCAGCTAAGGCACAGTAGTAAGGTATGCACTGCACTGCACTGTGTGCTGCGCTGCACGGTCTCCTCCGCACTGGGCTGGGCTGGGCACGGGCGGCGGGCGGCGGGCGAACGATGTCAGTGCGGCAATGTCGGTGCGCCGATGTCTCAGTGCCGCAGCTTCGCAGCTCAACGCACTGCTAATAACGTTATTGTACGTATGGGTGGGAAAGAGTTTGCGACAGCTGTGGATAGGTCAGGTGACAGGGTGAGGTATCTAAGGTGGAGGGAAAGCCAGCGGCAAAGCGAGCAATACCAGAGACGAGATGGAAGCAGGAGGATGCAGCGCGGCGCGCAGTGGTGGATGATGGTGACAACAGGGCTAAGCGAGACGCCTGCTACCTACCATCCATCCATCCCACCGTCCGTTCGGCACCTCACATCACCTGTCCTGTCCTGTCCTGTCCTGTCCTGTCCTGTACGTACCTCGCTCACACAAACGTCCTCACAGCATTAACATCCCAGCCGCCGAGCAACACCTGCACTGCATTCCATTCCTCTCCCCCGACAGCAACAAGATGATGGGGAGAGCGTCCGTGTCATCATGTCAGAATAATTAGCGCCAGCAGCGAGCGCCCTTGCAGATTCCCGATTCCCGACACTGCATGCACAGTACAGTACAGCACAGGAAGGACATGGTGCAATAAATAATTGCAGACGCCTCTCTTCTGCCGGTGAAGAAGAATCATGACAATAATGGCACACGGAGCACACGCACGGGGCACAGACAAAGGGATTGGGTTCCGGGTTCCAAACAAAATGGAAGAGAATCCGCTCTGCAAACGGCCTGGCCAATCGATCTTCGCCTTCTCATTGCTGATTCATCCAATCCATCCATCCACCGCATCCAATCCGGACGATGCAGATGGGATGAGATGTCGTGATTGTCGGGTATTTCTAGCACCAACTGGACTAGGGTAAGGTATCGTGATGCGGCGGAGAATAGCGAGACGACCCGAAGACTTGAGAGCGGAAGCTCTCGACCGCGTGCAGGAACAGCGGTCGGGGGCGTGGTGCGTGTCGAGAAAGCACTGCAGAGCTGGAGGTTCCCGAATCCCCGTCGGGTGCAAGCTGAGTATAGTAGGTACTCCCGAAGTCCCGTCGCCTCCACACGTTTCCCCACTGACCCGGGAGACAGACCATTCCTCTTTCGGTCTGGTCTAGAAACCCAAGTGTGCAAGTAAATGTGAAAGGGACATTCCCTAGCGGCGGGGCTAACCGAGCCAATGACCGCGGCAAGCATCGACAATTCGACTTTCTCTAAACAGTGACAGCATTCGATATTCGAGGGGGAACGGACGGAAGCATCTCCTGCGATTCATTGATCTTGGAACACAAACACATGCATACATTTCCTCCCTTTTCTTCTCCCGCAACTATTAGAATCTCTTGTGGCGTTGAATGGAGCAGCAGCAGCATCCTAGTCCGTAAGTCATTATTCTCTTGGTTCTGTTTTTCTCTCTTCTCTTCTCTTCTCTTCTCTTCTCTTCTCTTCTCTTCTCTTCTCTACGTACTCCGCCGCGTGGCGCGCACATGCACGCTCTCCATGGCATGGAATCATCAAAAGGGGTATCACTAATGACATGAACAACATCAACATCAACATCAACAACCCCCCAAAACACCTCGCATCTCATCTCATCTCATATCTCATCATTGCGTCATGGTCGGTTTGTTATCCATATTCACCGGCGGAGGCGGTCCCTGGACGTCCGGGTAGGGTAGTTTCCTCCCCAGTTCGCCCATGTTCATGAAAGTTCGCGGTGCTCCTCCTCCCGCTGCTGCTGCTGCTGCTGCTGCTGCTGGCGGCGGGGTCTGCGGCGAGTCCGGATACGGCAGCCCATTTGCCGCGGCGTTGACGGGCGTCTTGGGGGGCACGGGGGGTGGTGGTGGTGGTGGTGATGATGGGAATGCGGATTCCTGGCTGTGCCGGGGCGAGCCGGGGCCGACCTGATAGGCGTCGCTGGAGAAGCGGAGGGATTGGTGTTCCGAAGGGGGACGTACGGAGTTCGCTGACGGGGAGTGGTGGTGTTGTTGTTGTTGTCGGAATTTCTGGTCCGCTCGATGGATGTAGTAGGAATCCGGGCCCATGGGATACGATTCCCCGGCACTGGAGCGATGATTGTCGAAGTGTTGTCCCGGGCGGAAAGTGTCGTCACCCGGTAGTTCGACGGCGAATTGAGTCGGAGCTGGCGATGTCGGGAGTGGTCTCTCCCACGGATTGTGCTGCTGCTGCTGCTGCTGCTGCTGCTGCCACTGGCCATTTCCGAATCCAAGTCCGTCGTGTCCAGCTGCTCTCCTGGCTTCCGCTCGCTCATGGCGGGTTCGGGTTATGTGGATCTTGGCCAGCTTCGCCGCTGCCCCCAGACTGAGCGCTTGCACGTCGTTCTTGGAGAGATAGGATCTCGTGTTGGTGCTGATCTCCGACAATCGATGCCATTCGTTCATGCCGAACTCGCCCACGCCGATCTCGACATTCAGTCGGAAGTAGTTCTCGGGGCTCACTCCTCTCGCCGCAAGATGCTCTCGGACCATGTATCGGTGAGATTCCTCACATCCTTCCAGTTTCATGATCAACCTCCTCCTTGCCTCGGCGAAATCGCCCATGCTTCCCCCGAGGAAGTCCTCCCACCATTCGTGTTGTCTTGCTCCGGTGCCAGGGGGTCGTTTGCCGGTCCCGATGCTCACGAAGATCCCGACTTCTCGGCCGGGCCACTCGTTCTGCACCGCCTCATCTAGAATCTGCGGCGAAGGGTTGTATTTCCCGGCACCTTCATCCAGATACAAGGACTGCCCGATTTGGATGGGCTTGAAAGCCATCTGGGTGGCCGAAGTCGCCCGGCCGGCTTGCCAGATGGTGCAGTTGACGTCGGGTGCGGGTTCTTTCCGGGAGTCGTAGGATCTCAGAAGCGTGATTACGGATGTGCCCTTCAAGACCGCCGTGACGGCGGTCTTGGTCCGATTCTCCCTCGTGTCATATAGCAGAGCATTCGGGTTGCCGAGGTGCAGAGAGCCCATACCGCGGCTGCCGCTCATGGGGCCCACGCTCATCTGGCTATACCTGCTGCTACCGCTATACCTGCTGCTCTGGCTCATCGATCTCTGAGGTGCGCCCGTGCTGGCGCTCGTAGGCGTGGCTGGAGTCATGGGTGTGGCATTTGCGAGTGCGTCATTCCCCTCGTCATCGAAGACGGTGTGCTCTCTCGCGACCTCTCGAATCACTTCTTCCAACTTGCTCGCCTTGAACATGGTGCCCTTGTACGGCATGCCCAGAAAGGTCTTGTCCGTCTCAAAGACCCTCCTCGTCATGCGCACGTACACCTCTTTGCAGGTATCCAGGTCCAGCCTCAACCTGCCCAGCATGATGGCGATCAGTCCGCCCGTCCCCGTCCCCGCTATGAGATCGAAATGGTCGCAGGGCTTGGGGATTTCGTGCCGCTTGGGCGCTCGGCCCTCCGTTTCTACGAACGTCCGGTGCATGAGCTCTTGCAGGATGATGAGCATGGAATAGCCTCGGATGCCGCCGCCATCGAGCGAGAGGATGCGCAGCGGCGGGCCCTTGGTGGTGTCCTTCCGCCTCATCGGTCGTGATTCTTCCATGTCTGCGGTGGTTTGGCGGCTCGCGGGCCGCGACTCGGATGGACTCTCAGCCGCGAGGATCGGCGTGGTGCTCGTAGATAGCTCGTCGTCGGTCTGCTCAAGGCTCGAGGAATGCGCGCAGGAGGAGGTGGATGATGGTGATGGTGAGTGTTTCGGTCGGAGTCACGCGCGGTGGTACTGAGCTCCGAAAAGCCTCGAGTTGCCTCACGATTCGCAGACCTGGAGGCAGACCTGGAGGGGCTGACTGTGTGTGTGTGTGTGTGTGTGTGTGTGTGTGTGTGTGTGTGTGTGTGTGTGTGTGTTTAGGTTGTGCTTTCGCAAAGGCCGAGCGATGCAGTCACGGTGGCACGCGAGGCCGCAGGGTGATGGCTGAGTGAATGGTGCTATCCCTAAATGTCGCTTTCTCCCAGCATGCGACGGTGCGAGTGGCGGATCACGAACCTGTTCCTGGATCCTCATCGGATTCGCCGCTTCCATACGATGTCATGTCGGGGCAGAGTGCTTCCTCTTCCGAATTCTCCATCGGTGGCTCGTCACGACGTTGGATTCGGGTGCAAACTCGGCGCGAGCAGCTCTACGTCAGCGCGCAGGGTTTGGCGCAGCGTTCGACCTTGCGGAGGCTGTGCACTCTTCGCCTTCCTCCTGCTCGCGTTGGTTGCTAACTTAAGGTAGACGACTGCAACTCGATCAATGCGACTGCAACGCGGTCAATGCGAAACTGCGCCTCCCGCCAATGACGCCGTCGTACGATATGCTGGACAGGATGGACTCGGTGGAGCGATGCAGCGATGCAGCGATGCAGCGATGCAGCGGCACTCGAGATATTCATTACGAGAGGCGTCTGTTGAGAATCTTGAATGAGAAGACGAAGATGACGACTGGACAGTGTCAAGCGAATGAATGCTGCAGTGAATGCGGTTGGATCAGGCGAGTGCCAATACCGTCCCGACCATCCACCGAGCAGCTTTCCAATCCATCCTCTCCTCGACTCCCACCACACCCTCGCATGGAAGAGATTCGCATGGAAGAGACCATCCCGGCCTGGGATGCAGAGCACAGGGGCATATCTTGCTCTGGACGCGACCGTCTGCCACGAGCATCGGCTGCTGTCGCCTTGGAGAGAGCTCTACACTCCCTCGGAGGTACGCTCCTGTCAAATGCCGTGCACATGTCTCCGGGACAGTGAGTAAGACGGCGTCTCTTTCTGCCGACTGCCTGGTGATGTGCCGGATTGTCTGCCTCTCCGGGAAGCCTACCGACTAGGTTGTTGGTCTGCATCTATCAATCGGCCCACCCCCTTACCAGCTCCCACCCCTTTTCGGCCCCCAATCTGATACCCAGGGCAAGTTCACAGACCAGTTAGACGTCCAGTATTTCGACTTGGGGCGGCTGATAAATGTTGCTCTGTCCCGTCTTCAACACCGAGCGCCGACAGACAGACCTGGTCGTGTGTGAGAGAGGTGCTAAGATCTTCACAATTCATCGTCTTGTTGGAATGCTCGCTTTGCAGACTTGGTTTAAAGTAGGAGTATGTGAAACATTGGCAGCAGTCGTTGATCGATGAGTATTGTGGGCAGTTAGTACATTTCACTCTTTGCTTCGCAGGCAGCCAAGGAAGTACATTGGTGTCAACCCCGCAGCTCCGATTACGATACCCGCGACCCCGCATAGGCCACGTGAGTGAATGAAACCCGGCAGAAAGAATATCCTCCGTGTACATGTATCTATCTGCTCATGCGACTCACAACTCTCCCTCCACGCCATCGATGAACCACCCAACCACCCATTTAGCCGTCCAGAAAACACACCACAAGCATAATGGCACGTGAATCTGAATCCAAGTTGAAGATTGACAAGATCTACGTCTACCCCATCAAAGCCCTGCGAGCAGTAGAACTGCCCTCCGCCCAAGTCACCAAGCATGGATTCCCGCACGACCGACGCTTCATGCTCCTCCACGTCGTCCGAGACGCCCAGGACGATGCCAAAATCACCTATAAGAATATTCACGTGGCGCATTATCCGGAAAGCGTGCGCTTCTTCCCGAGCCTGGATCTCCAGGGCGACCTGGTCACCATCACTCACCGACCCGCCGCCAATGGAGGGGCAGAGAAATCCATCGACGTCCCTTTATATCCCTATATCGACGATCTGAAAGTCGTAGATGTGGAGATGCACCAATCCCCCGTGCAGGCCTATCAGATGCCGCAGCAATACAACGACTGGCTGACGGAATGCTACGGCTTTGAAGTCGTCCTGGCGTATCTGGGACCGAACTATCGCCCCATCCGCTTCAACGGCCTCAAGAACAAGGATTCCTCCAACAACCGCAATGGCAATGCCTCCTCCTCTGCTGCCTCCTCCTGGCTCTCAACAGCAACCTCCCTCCTCCTCCCCTCCGCCCTCCACCCCACCCCAACCAACCCGCCGCCCTCCCCCGAAATCACCTTCGCCGACTGCGCCCCCTACCTCCTCGTCAGCCAGACCTCCGCCGACGACCTCCAGCCCCGCCTCCCAGCGACGTCCCCACCCTTTGACATCCTCAAATTCCGCCCCAACATCGTCATCTCCGGCGCCGGCGAGCCTTGGGAGGAGGATTTCTGGTCGCAGATCACTATTCTTCCCCAGTCTTCTGATTCTTCTTCTTCTTTCATTTCTACGAAAATCGACTGCGTTCATAATTGTGGACGTTGTAAGAGCGTAAGCTGGAAAACCCCCCTTTACCCCCTTCATCCCTCCTACCCCCTGCCATCCCTAATTCCTAGCTTACTTTTCTTCCTTTTCCTTGCCCGTCTAACAGATCAACATCGACTACACCACCGGCGCCCCCGGCACGGGTCCCGAGGGCGCCATCCTCAAAGCCATGCAGAAAGACCGCCGAGTCGATCCGGGGATGAAGTATAGTCCCATCTTTGGGAGGTATTCTTTTCTTCATCATGACGATGATGCTGATGGTGATGATGAGGATGGTGGTGGAGGGAGTGAGGGGAATGTGATCCACGTCGGGGATCGAGTGGTCGTGAGTAAGCGGTTGGAGGAGAGGAGTCGGTTTGGTGAGTTCCTTTCACTTTTTCCCCCCTTCACTCCGTTATATATGAGACAGAGACAGAGAAGGTTTTTATTTTTTGGTTCTTGGGCTAACGTCTGGTGGTGGTTCTGTGTGGGTGGAATAGATTGGGAAGGTCTCCATACTCTACCGAAGGAATGAGAAAGCATCATGATCTATCATTCTCATTACCATGATTATCTTTCTGTTCTCCCGCCTGAGCTCATGAGATATGAAAAGAGGGGCTTTCGTCATCATCAGACTTCCACATCCTCTACTTGAAATCTTCACATTTCTTTTTCGACCCCCCATCATTCAAAAAGCCCCCCATACACTCCCATCTCCAGGGCCGTACGGTCTCTCTACGTGGTCAGGATCACTACATCCTCCCATACACGGCGGCTGCGGCGACGGTACCGTGTTAGTGGAAGAAGCAGGTCGTGTCTCCCCCTTCCGATCCCACGCCTCCCTCATCCCCTCCAGCAAGACCACAGCACTGCCCATCTCCCTCACCATCGGCGCCATCCGATCCCGACGCTCCCTCACCACGCCCATCAGAAGTTCAATCGCATCCAGGGAGACCTGTAACTTTCGCAACGAGGTCGGCAGGATTTCCCAATCTACTGCTGCTGCTGCTGCTTCGCCGTCGGCGGCGTGGGCGGCAAAGACGGGTATTGCGGATCGTGCACTGCCAGTTCTCCGACCGAGCATCGCGGGAGGAGTGGAGGTCTTCAATCCTTCCAGAGCCTTGCTGAAGCGCTTGGCGGCATCGTTGAAGGTGCCGGAGGGATTCATTGGGGTGGCTGTGTCGCGCGGCTTGGCCGTGGGCGCGGGCACGCGTTGTTGCTGCAGAGGAATGCCATTCCAGTCGAGGTAGATGGTCCAGAGCTGGTCCACAAGGGGCGGTGGAAGCCAGACCGTAAGAGCTCTCGTGTGCTCATGGAAGGCCTTTTCAATCTTTGGAAACTCCTTGCAAGCGAGCTGAAGAACCGTGTGCATGTTCGCAGCAGCCTGTTCAAATGGGAGTCGTTGGCCCGAGAGTGGAGTCCGTGCAGTGATTGGAGATGATGTGCGAAACGCAGGCTCTTCGAACTGGCTGCCTCCGGGTAGCGCGAAGTCGTCAATGTCGAAGACGTTACCAGGAGTGGGACGTGGAAAATATCCCGTATTCCACTCGCCGCGCGGCGACAGAGGCGGTGGAGTCCATGCCTCGCGAAGCGGGCTTCGCACGGATGGCATCCGTTGGCGCGTTAGACCAGGTATGTCGCGCATTTTCCCGTCGCTCCTGTTTCGGTAAACGTAGTTTGGGTGTGATGATGATGAGAACATGGCATCGGTCGCATTGCAATATGTCGTCGTGGAAAACCCCTTCAATGACAGCGTAGTCAAAGAGTGGTCTGACAGTGTAGCCGCTCAACAGCAAGGCGACTGCTTGCTGACCATCTGCAAGTTGACCTGCGCCATTTGGGCCACTTAGCTGACATGGCCAGTTTGTGGAACACAATCAACTCGTCCCGAGTGTCACACGGTGGACGATGCAGCGAGCCGGTGGTCGAAACGTTTGCCCCGCCAGAGTCGCTCGAAGACATGGTATGGAGGGTGGCACCTGGCTCGGATATTGCTAGTTGTTGATCTCATCTAGGCCGCGTGAGCATTTGTCGGCAAGCACCGTCGCAAGTCGACGTACCCAAAGCAACCACCGGGCCGCCAGTATCAGTTCGGTCGGGGCGTATCTCGTTGAGCGACGGGATGGGACATTTGCCACGGCAGTAAGTGTTGTAGCGCTCGGTGGGCACGGCTCGTCCGCCGCCTACGGCAGTACGTATCAGTGTTTGGTATGTGTATGCACGTCTCATCTCCACTCACGTTCTAGCCAAGCCGATTGACTAGTGGCTTCTGTGAAGCTGGTCAATACACCTCGCCCATGTGCTCGCCACTCATGCCTACAACACTAACCCTCGGTGAACTGTCCGATTTGTTGTCGAAGGTCAACCCATTCGCGTCTCGCTGTCTGTTGGGTTGGATGCTGGGGTGCTTCACCGGGCCCCATTTCGTGACTGGTACACTTTAGCCCATTTCCGTTGGTGGAGTTGGGCGGGCCTTCCCCTCTTACAGTGTTCATGGACCCAGTATGTGTCGGACCTGATTCTACCTTGCGCATGTATTGTTGTGAATTGGGTAGTTGAGGCCCGGCGTGCCAGATACCTTCTTGGCGCGGGTTTCTCGATAGCAGAGTGAAAGCAGATTGGCGAATGGTGGGGTTTCGGCAACGTGAGATGGCCATCCACAGAGGATCGGTAACCCACAGTGAGAAGGAGAGATACGGCGTGCCTGAGTTCGGACCTGAGAGAGTTGGGAGAGGCGGACACGAGAAGGATGCCAGCACCTCGCGGGCGAGATCAACAATCGCTCTGAATTCGGCCTCGTAGGCATCGTAGGCGACGGGGCCTGCAGACTGGTCGACCGAGGCCAGCATCGTGCCGACGAGGTGGTTCGCTTTCAGAACCATGGCACGCTTCAAGTCCATGTTAGACATGAGCTCACGCTGAGCTGAGAGAAAGGTGGTGAAGGCAGTCTCCCATTGCGTGAACCACGGTGCATATCTCAGATATTTCTCCCTCATTGTTACTGCGACGTGGTCTGGAGAAGCGGTCGGATGGAAGCCCTGCATGAAGCGCATCACGCTGTTCAGGGCAGTATGAAGCGTGTTGTGCGCATGCTCCAGGCTGTAAATGTACTCGATCGGCGGTAGAGGAGGTGTCTGTCCGGAGGTGTCGATCTCCGGCCGTCTCCCCTTGTCGAGAAGTGCAGTGGCCTGTACCTCCAGGCGCTCGACCAGCGGTCGCATCTGTTCGATGTCGTCCTCTTCGGGTGGGGACATGCTCGTGATGTTCGGCCGCCCAGTAGCCTGCAACAGTCGTCGGCCTTGCAACGCATGGTTTACCGCGCTGTCGCAACGGCCTTGCATCGCCTCAAAGCAGGTGAAGAGCACGCAGGTCGTGAGTGCCAGCCGCGAGCTCGGGATACGTCGTCTGTTCGGGTCGTGATCCGCGTCGTCGTTGGTGAGGCAAGAGATGGCCTTGTTGCACTGATTCAATGCAAACTCCATCGCTTTCCCCTTTTGCTTGTCGTCTGCGAAAGCACGCTGCATGATGCACTCATGCAACGCTCCTATCGCCGTGATTGCATGTCGAATGGCCGGCTCGTGATAAGAGGTCTGAATGACCATGCGCTGCCAGAAGGCAGAGTCGAAGAAGCCGGCCATCTGCGGGGCGCTGAAGTTGACGAAGAAGTTGAGACAATGCCTTTCTCGCCAACTCCTTCTCCATTTCAGGTCCGGTCGATATGCCGAAAGCGCAGTCGACTCGGGCGAGGGATAAAAGACGGCACCATCTTCATCGTCGCCACGCTTCATACCTGCATTCACAGCCCAGTCGTCGGACATGACCCTCTGACATCCCGGATTGCTTGGGTCACATTTCAACCCTTTTTGGCTGCAAAAAGTTAGGTTGACTCTGTAGACGCTTCGCAAGATGACCTACAGGCAAGGGATACATCCCGAAACCATCTTCATCCTCGGAGCCTCACCGACGTCCTCAGACGCCCCTAGAGATAGGGATCCATCGCTATTCGTGGAGAAGTCTGGTGTCACAAACTCCATGCCTCGTGTGGAATAGACGTTGAAATCTTCCAGCAGATTCAAATCGGCCTCCCAATTTGCCAGACTGTACCCCTGCACCGGTGCCGCCGTCTCTTCCCATGTTCGCTTCCGCGTGCCATTTCCGTTGATACCATTCGTAGTGTGCGATCCGTTGCTGCTCCCGTTCATTCCATTGCTCACGCTGCGACCGTTGCTCGCCATAGGCGGGGGAGTTCGAAGCTCGAGGTCGAGGCCATACCAGCTCTCTTCTGAACCCTGGTCAGGCAGGCTGGTTTGGACGGGGAAGGTCATGGTGGTCATTCAGGGCTGCGAGGTCCGCATGTACTCGTGAAGACGTGAATCTACGGAGATTCACTCTCGTGTGGTGTCGCGCTGGGCGCCGTTGGGGTGCGTGTGTCATAGGTTGGGTCGCATGGGTTGCTCTCGGTCATTCGGTGCGTGTTGTTTCAGGAAACGGCGGCGAGGTGAGGTCAGTGGCAGTAGATGCACGGATGGACACCAACACGACGAGGTGGTATATCAGTGTAGCTGCAAAGGAGGGTGTCTGGAGAGTGGAAGAGTGTGGGGGGTGAGGTGGTGTTGCAGCAGGTTATCTACCTAGTGAGGTTTAAGGCGGGAGTGAAGAAGGGCGCGGACTGGGGTGCTGGTGCGGGAGCGGGAGCGGGAGCTGGAGCTGGCTGCGCGGGCCCAAAGGCTATCGAGCAGAGCAGAGAGCTAATCATCGCGAGCGCCGTTTCGTTACCCGGAATACTGTAACGTTGTCACTGATGTTCCGTCACAGGCCAAAGGGGTACTGTAATAACGTAGTATAGGAGCGTGGGAGTGTAGAAACCTCAGCCGCAGACGGACAGGGGACGAATGAAGACGCTTCTCTTCCATGCAGGCCCAGGTCGGCGCGCCCAGAGCCACGCGCGAAGGATTGCGGACCTGACGACGACTCGGATCCTCGATGTCGCTGCCAGACCACACAGCCCCCTCGATCTCACCATCACGGCGCCCGTAGGATCCCTCTCCGACTTCCACTGGTATGGTTATGATCGTCGCGGCTTCTGCCGAACCTTTGCTCTGCACACAATATCTGCATGTCCATGTCGACGGGGATTGGAAATCAGCTGTCACCGGCTGCGGCTACAGCGCGCGGAAACGGAGGTCGGCACGCAACGTCGCATGCATCCCTCAGCCTTACGCCAGCGCACTCCGTCCGTTTCATGCCGCGCAGTATCCTCACATGTGAAAGTCATCGACATGGAGAGTTGTGTGATGAGGCTGTCAGACGGGCAAGCGGTTAGCGCAAGCGGAAAGCTCCCCGTCCCGTCCCTTCCCGCTCCGATCTCCCGTCCCGTCCCTCTCCATCCACTCTATTCGCGCTCTCGTTCCGCGGGGGGATCATCCCATAAGGTACCTGTGATACCTACCTACCTACCTTACCTTGTTTCCACACAATACACGACACACGACACACGACACACGACACACGACACACGTCACGACAGGAGACACTCCCATCTCATCGCATCGTCTTGATCGTCCTGATCACGAGCACACCCTCTGCCCCGGCGCGCTGTTGGCGATGCTGCCATGCTTCTTCGCCGCCCTGTGCACACGCTGAAAGCTTCCCGCTGTGCGCATGCATTACCGCCGCGAGCCTCACCCACACCACGCCCTGTCACCTCACCGCACCTTGTCCCAATCGTCCCTGGTCATCGCCGCCGACTCTATAGCGCCCAGGCGGTCAAACACTCTCCCCATCAGCATGTCGCCGTCTTGGGAGGCGGTGTCACCGGCCTTGCCAGCGCCTACTACCTTCTCAAACGTCAACCCACTGCCAAGGTGACGCTGTATGAGGCCAAGGACCGCATCGGAGGATGGCTCGAATCGCACCGCGTTCCCGTCGATGGTGGCTCGGTCCTGTTTGAAGCCGGGCCTCGCACTCTGCGTCCACAGAACAATGGCATCCTCGCCGTGAGCCTGGTGTGTCAACCCGACCACCTCTCGTGCCGCACGTGTACCTGACGCTGATGGAACACGTAGATGCAAGAGCTCGACCTCGCCAAGGATGCCATCTTCACTCAGCGATCCTCTCCCGCCGCCCGGAACCGATTCGTCTACTATCCCGATCACCTGGTCCGCATGCCGCACCCCTCTCAGGGCATATTCAATATCGCATGGGCTCTGGCCAGTGAGCCCGTCTTCGAGAGCGCGGTGTGGAGCGCGTTGACCGAACCCTGGAAGAATCCAAGGGATCCGGGTGTACAAGACGAGAGTATTGGCGAATTCTTTTCTCGGCGCCTCGACAAGCGCATAGTCGACAGACTGATCAGCGCGGTCATTCATGGCATCTACGCGGGCGACGTTTGGCAACTCTCTGCAAGGAGCCTGTTCTCCCGACCTTGGCGGGACGAGACTCTGTTTGGCTCCCTAATGCTCGGTGCGATGAGGGGCCGGGCCGAAGGTCTAGATGTAACGCAGCGGGAAGCCAATTTCGTGCAAGAGATGAAAGACTATTCCTGGGATCCGCTTCTCAAGGCGACAATGAGGGATAACTCCGTCTTCACCTTCAAGGAGGGCTTGAAGATGATGTCGGAGAGACTATATGCCAAACTGTTCGAGACTGGCAGAGTGGAGTTCAAGACGAGCTCACAGGTGACTGAAGTGAAGCAGGCACAAGGGAACACGGGCATACAGGTGAGGACGAGGGACTCGAAAGAGCCGAGCACGCACTCGCATGTCATCTCCGCTCTGTCGCCGTGGCACCTCAATGCGATCACTCACAGCTCATCGGGGAATAATCTCATACCGTCGATACCCTCGGTGACGGTCATGACGGTGAACCTGTACTTCCGAACACCGAATCTCCACGAGCCTGGATTTGGATACCTCATCCCCCAGGCGACGCCCTTTGAGAGCAACCCAGAGCGCGCGCTAGGGGTTGTGTTTGACAACGGCTACTCGCCTGGCCCGAGTGACGTGAATCCGGCCAATTGGAATGCCATGAGCATGGACCAATTGAAGCAGGCTCGCGAGAGCGGTCAGTTGGTCAACGTGAATGACTTTGGCTGGTACAATATGCCAGACAAGCCCAACACTCAGGATCAGCTTGAGACCAGAGGAACGAAGGTCACTGTCATGCTCGGTGGACACTGGTGGAACGACTGGCCTGCATTCCCTGACGAGCAAGAAGGCTTGTCTATGGCGCGCTCAGTGCTGGAGCGCCATCTGGGAATCAAAGAGGAGCCTGAAGCGTGGAAGGTTAATCTGCAAAAGGACTGCATCCCGCAGTATACAGTCGGCCACGAACAGCGGCTCAAGCAGGCTCACAATAACATCTGGCGAGAGTACAAGGGTCGGTTACGAGTAGCTGGCAATTGGATGTCGGGCGTGGGCGTGAATGACTGCCTGAGGAGCGCATACGAGGTCGCGAAGAATCTGTCCAAGGATGGGACAGGACTGGAACAGATCGGCGAGGCTCCTACGGTGAAGGTCAAGCTTCAGCCAGGCGGCAAGGCAGAGGGGGTAAAGAAGTAGATCTGTACATATATCAACTTGCAAAGGCACAGTCACTTGGAAATCTGTGAATGAGACCGTGCCCATTATTGTGCTTCGTGCCTGCATTTCCCCCTAGTCGCTGGGCTCCATTCCAGAAACGGCCCGGCGATTGCGTTCACGTGCCAAGTGCCCCACCGCCTACGTCGTGGTGGTGTTACCTCGAACCAACCTCGAATCAACTTGAATGGAACCACCGCGGCCTGGCGCTTTTGTGTTTTTCCTTCACCTCTCGACATTCCATTCTCCATCCTCACATTGAACAGCGGATACACACATTGACAAGCCCCGGAAGGCTGCAGCTCTGACTGCAAGTGCGACATGAATTGATTGGGCTGCACTTAGGCAAACAAAACACGACTGCATCCGCCACTGCGTCTTCTAGCTTCACCAATTACATGACCTAGCTGGATCGTACATGATTTAGCTGGATTTTGACCTTTACGATATCTGGCGATTGGACAGCTCGAGTGAAGCCACTCCACGCTTCCGACTCTCGCGATATACTCCCACGACCGCGACTTAACCTTGGGATCCCCTGCACGACGGAAACCTGTCCTCGCATGCTGCCGGCCACCCCGATCTTCGCCGCATGCTGGTAAAATCCAAGATCTCGCGTCAGGGCCCAATCTTCAAACACGCCAGCGAGAGGATTTGGTTTACTGCGCCAGACGTCACACATTGGACTGCTGGACCACTCCTGCATCATCGGCTCGCTGGGTTTGAGTTGGGACACGGACCTGGATCGGCGCTGATTGGGACGTAGACCTTGCTCGGAGGACACTGAAGCGACTGCCTTGGTCATAGATTCCACCCGACACCAACTGCCTTGATCTCGAGGCAGCCATGGCTTCTCGCGACCATGTCTTCACCTCCATTGGATCTGGCAATCGACCGACTCGGTCCACGCGCTCCTGGACAGATGCCAACGGTGTCCACTACACTGTAGATTCAACATCTTGGTCTGGACCGGGAATCTCATTTGGAGCCATGACGGGCTCGGCGAATGGAGGACTTCGAAGCTTCACCACGCCGTTGTCTTCTTCGAGACCGAGATCGGGCTTGTTTGGCAATGCGTTTGGGCTGCTGGACGATCTACTCTCGACGCAGCAGCAGAGACAGCACGACGAATTCGTGACTAGTATGGGCCAAGGTCAGGCGGCACCGCGAAGCCGGGCACGGGTCGAAGTCGAGAGCGATACGGATGATGAGGACTTGACATATGAGAACGAGGTGTATGAGCGCAACCCCCGCTCGAGGCCAAAGAGCATGTTTGGAAGGCTGAAGGATAAACTGCTCGATGGAAAGCAGCGTCCACGGCGTTCGAGGGAGTCGAGCCACGAGCGTAGCTATAGCCACAGTCGGGAGCGGTCACCTGTACACGCTCCTCAACCACAACCAGAGCGGCGACGAAGCTCATATCGGACCGACACGCGGGAGCCAACTTGGTCGCAGGCACCGCGCGAGCGGACACGGCCAGAGTTCATCGAAGTTGACTACGAAGAGGACGATGAGGAAGAGGTGATACCTCCAGTCCCCCGGCGATCCACAGCTCAGCCTGATCTGAGCATCCTTGAAGCGCTGGAGAGCGTAGTGGAGAGTGAACGACGAGCAGTAAGAGCCTGCAAGAAGCGACTCGAACAGGCGATACGGCAGCCAGGGACAAGCTCGAGCTATCTACAGCGCATGGTGGATGAGCTGAAAGGGCACGAGATCTCCTTGACACAGGCACAGAACAACTTGGACGAGGCAAAGGCCGGACAGACGAGAAGCAGTAGACCGAGACCGCAGTCCTTCCACCCACGAATGAGCCAACAGCAACAGCCACAGCCACGACGAACGCAGTCGCGAAGCTTCGAAGACGAATTCCTGAGTCCTTTTGATGGGTTTCCATCTTTCTTCTCTGCGCCTGGTTCTCAGCATCCTGACCCTATCTTCCGCGCCTTCGAAGAGCTCGACTCGTTTGGTCCCTTTGGCAGAGGGGGTTTCGCTATGCACGAGCAAATGTTCGGCAACATGCGTCCTGAAAGCGGGAATTTCAGATACTTCAGCTCCCCAAATGGCGTTCCCCCGAGTGCACAGCAACGGAAAGGAGCACGCTACAGCACTCACAATGCCGCACCGCCACCGAATGTCCAGTTCTCGACTTTCGCCCCTCCTCCGCCTCCACCTCCTCAACCTCCGGCAAACCTCCTCAAACCGGAAGAGGCCAAATGCCTTTTCAAAATCTACAACGAGCACTGGAACAACCTCTCCCCTTCGGACCCCAACATCCCCTACCCGGCTCGCAACCTCCAAGCGCGCAACCTCACCACCCGCGATTCCATCTGGGCACCCACATGCAACGCTCCTGTCGCCACCTGGTCCGACGAAGACATCATGAAAAGCAACGCACAGGCCTTTTATCTCGGCGTCGTCGGTCTGACGCCGGAGTATAGCGAATCGTCGGCGAGTGGGAGGATCCTGATGGGGTTTGATCGGGGCAAAGCGAATCCGGCGCAGGTGAAGGTTCTTGTTGACCTTTTGAAGAAGGAACGGATGAGGTGGCATAGTGATCGGTTGGGGAAGAGGAATGGGAACGCGGGCGGGGAGGGGGTGAATGAGGGGTTACAGAGGGATGTGAGGGCTCGGGCTGTCTTTCATGCGGTTTGTGAGTTGATTGAGTGGGCGAGTCAGTAGTGAGGAATAGGTAGGATGTTGGGGGTGGGAAGCGGAGGGTATATTGAGAGGGGGAGGGGTTTCTCTTTTCATATGCTGGTCATTATGAAGTGGACTACTTACTATCGTCAATCACCTCATACCGTAAACACGCACATCGTGATGCTCACTCACTCTGCGCATGCCTCGTCTCTCGTTCATGGAATCGTATCCCCATAATCTCCGCCCTTTGAACATCTACAACCACCCTCCCCTCCTCCGCTCACAACTTCTCCAACCCCTCCTCCTTCCCCTCCAACACATCCCTCAACAACTTCAACCCCTCCACCGCAAACTGCACCATATTCCCCACCCTCTGCCCCTGCCCCTGCCCCTCCACCCCACTCCTCACCTCCCTCACAAAACACCCCCGCTCACAATCCACCGCCAGCGCCACATACCCCGGCGTACGATTCGGCGTCGCACCCCCCGTCGGCCCCGCCGTCCCGCTCTCCGCCAGCGTATACGTGCTCTCGAGATCGCTGCGCACGTGCCGCGCCAGCCCGGCTACAATCCCCGGCGTCGGACCTCTATAATTCTGGATCGTGTCGACCGTCCAGCCTGCGTAGACGATGCGCGAGGGGAGCGTGTACAGCGTCAGGCCGCCTTTGTAGAATTTCGACGCCCCGGGGACTGTGAGGAGGGAGGCGGAGAGGAGGCCTCCGGCGGCGGTTTCAGCTATTGAGAGGGTTTCGTTGCGGGTTTGGAGGAGGGAGGTTACTTGGTGGAGGATTTGGTGGATCTCTTGGGGGGGGAAGGCCGGGGAGGGGGATGTCGTCGTTGTCGTTGTGGACATTCTGGTTCGGTTTCGATTTCGATGTGAGGGTGGTTTCTTGAGAAGGATGATGGGTTTTGGTCTCTCCCCTCTTGCTGCTGTGAATGCTGAGAGCTGGACGCTTTGTTGCTGGTACGAGGGGTTTGTCTGACGCTGGGTGGGTGTTCTGGAAATCAATCTTGGGTATGATGTGCGTGTGAGAGCGGTAGCAGGTGTGCGGATCATTAGAGAGGATATTGTTTGAATGTTTGTGGTGTTGTTGATGTGATGATGATGATGTTGATGAGGGGAGCTCCATCGAGCTTCAGTGCTCGGCCCGATTCTTCCGATTTCCACCCCACCTCACTCTGTGAAGGAAGGAGAAGGGGAATATACTCTGTTTGGAGAGTACTCCGTCGATGAGTTCCGAAAGAGTGAGTCCAAGCTTACGACGGGGTTTTTTTTTTGGATGCTACGGGTTCCAAAACGGGGAACACACCACCTACTGGAAAATCTATTGATTTTTTTGAAGCGATTGGAGCATGGGTTTGACATTCGAAGTAGTCATGGTCGATGTTGCGAATTGTGGTTTTCTTTGTCCTTGCGGACGATTTAGGGATAGCTGGAGGTATTTCACCTGCGGAGTTGGAAGCGGAGGTGCATGTGATGGAATCACTGGAGCGGATCCGTCGAAGAGGAGCGGTATGAATCCTGGTGTTCAGAGTGTTCCTTAGATTGTTCTTCTGTCGCAGCCCACGCCAGAAGCTGCTGCTGAGTGTGCCCATATTGTCTGTCGAGCCCTGTCGATGCAGCAGCCACAAGAGGCGGTACCTGTCAATCTGGCTTTGAATCGCGGAGCGGATGCTCGTATGCCGGTTAGTCTTGCTGCTTCCACGACACTTGGTGCTGAGGGTCAGCAGTCTATTACAATTGTCCATGCGAGTGGGACGGTGGAGGTGGAGAGTGCGTTTGGGTATGGTGACATTCAGAGTGCTCTGCTCCAACGTACGGCTCGGATTCTGATGAAGTGGGAGGTCTTTTAGTCAACCCCCGTCGTGTAGAGGTATAATGGAGTACATTTTACGACTTCGTCTATGTATTAGGGATCTTCAAAAGCTCAGCAAGCCACTGCACATCCATCGATCACTGTACGAATCGAAGCAGATGCATTCGGGGTATCATTTCGTAAAAGAGAAATTGTCATCAGAGAGGTTTCATGGCCTTCGTTGTTCTTCTTCACTCATTCTTTCGTCAAAGGGCAATGGCTGTCTGGGGTATCATATCATCAGTCGTTCTTCGATGTCGTCGCCAGCAGATTACGTGCAGAATTCGGTCATTTTCTTGTTGCGCTTCTTCAATCTCGCGACCGGTCCGTCTCTCAATGCTTTGAATTCATTTTGGAGGAGGTCTTTGCTGGAGAAGAGGCTTGCTCTCAGGCTGTATTTGTTGCCGTAGTTGATGCCCAAGTAGGTGTACGCATCGCACTTGTAGTAGATTGGTTTGCTTGTGGTGGAGCAAAGACCCAAATTCTCGAGCTCCTTCAGTACTCTGACGACGTCTTCGGTGTCGGAGAAATCGTAGGTGTAGACGCATATGAGGGTCTCCTCAGAAGGCTCGGTGCTGACTTTGGCTGTGATGCCCAAATTACCCTCGGCGGTTCCAGTGGCCACGAGTCGCCAGTATTGTGCGAGATCTTTCCTTTTCGGAAACAGCATCCACTTCCCGACAGTGACTCCACTTTTAACGGCAAGAGCGAGGATGTCGCCTTCGAGCTGGTCGCGATAGGGTGCCATCTTGCGGGTGATGGTGGATGGGTCCATGCCCGGATTCTGTTCTTCGATTTTCGCTTTCTGGACGGCGTACTTCGCGAAAAGATCGTTGCAATCTCGGAAAGAACCATTCTTCACTGCGCCCAGAGACTTGGCACGGCTTCGGGGTACCTTGGGACACTGCACCCAGAGCCAGTCACTCTGCGCGCAGGCAGGAGCTTCTTCGATGGGCATGCGCCGGAGAAATTCATCGATGCTTTCTTTGTGTTGCTGCCACGCGTCAGGGTCATCTTCAAACCTGCTGACATCGAAAAGATCTTCGGCGTCGTTGCCATCCAGAATCCGAGCTTTCTCACTGACGCGTGGGTGAAGGTCCTGTGCGTGGGCTTGCTCCAGGCTTCTAAGCTGCGGCCGAGATTTTTGCAAGTCAGACAACTTCTCGTCTGAAGATGGCTGCCTCTTCGAACGACCACTGCTCGGAGGAGTGGGAGCAAGCCTGATTTTCTTGATTGCCGGAAGCTTGACAGGAGATTCGTATCTTCGCATCGGACGGCGACGCAGTTCTTTCTCGCATCTCAATTGCTCTGCTTGATCTCCTGCAACACATTAGCCTAGCTAACATCGGCAACCGTACTGCATGTACCGTAGAAGGAGGATTCATCGCTAATCCAGCCCTCGCCGTCCACGTATTCCACTTCCGCCATTTCCGCCATGAGTACAGTACATCGCCAACTAGGCGGCAGCCTGATGAGTGTTGCTTCAATCCCCCGGCATGATACTTGAGTCGTGTCTCACACGTGAAAGCGGGATGAGGTGAAGTTACGAGAGACATCGCGAGGTGGACTGAGGTGCACGGACTCCCAGAGTGGAAATTGGGTTCGACGCTAGACATGGGTTCGGCTTTGTTCCCGCGTCGCGTCGTCGACGCGTAGATTGCTTTCCCCAGAAACATCACTACACCTTTCACGACATCCCCTCGGAACACAGTATACCAATTCTGATTCTTCGCACAATTCATCACAATGCCTCACGCAGTATCTCCCGGGCGCGAAACAGCAGACAGCCCCGTCGACACAGGACTCCCCGTGCCGCCTCAAGAAGAGTCTCAAGATGTCGAGATGGGCGAGACATCAGATGAAGCCTCCAAGCCGACGACGAAAGGCTTAGAAGACATGTTTGACGATGATGACGACGACGACGACGACGAATTCTCTTCCAGTGCAGCGACTCGGCCCAACGACAGCTCACAGCCAGAACCACAACCACAAGCCTCGCTCGGAGCGAAATACTCCGACCCGGAAACACTACGCCAATTCTACTCTCGATTATGTCCCTTTCGACATCTCTTCCAATGGCTCAATCACTCGGCTACACCACAAGCTGACTTTCAAAACCGCGAGTTCTCCTTCTGGCTGCCGGGTAACAAGGTCATACGATATCTCTCCTTCCCCACAGCAGACATGCTCAAGAAGCAATGCGTTCAGATGACGCCTGAACGTTTCGAAATCGGACCTCAGTATACCGTCAACCCGAAAGATCGAAAGACCCTGAAAAAGGCATCCGCATTTAGGCCCATCATGAAAGAGCTGGTGTTTGATATCGATATGACAGATTATGATCCGATACGGACGTGTTGTTCTGGAGCGAAGATTTGCAACAAGTGTTGGCAGTTCATTGTTATGGCGATCAAAGTTGTGGACAGTGCTCTGAGGGAAGACTTTGGCTTCCAGCATATCATGTGGGTGTATTCGGGGCGAAGAGGTGCTCACGCATGGGTCAGTGACAAGCGAGCAAGGGAGATGGACGACAGCAAGCGGAAGGCTGTTGCTAATTACTTGACACTTCTCACCGGTAACGAAAAGGGCAAGCGAACAACTCTAAGACGACCACTGCATCCACACATCGAGAGGAGCTTGAAGATCTTAACGCCTTACTTCCAGAACGATGTGCTCGCGGAGCAAGATCCGTGGCAGTCCAGCACGCAGGCAGAGAAGCTGTTGGATCTGATCCCCGACCAGAAGCTCACGAGTGCACTCAAGAAGAAATGGGACTCGTCTGCAGACCGAGCTTCGAATCAAAAATGGGCAGACATTGATAGTGTCGCAGAAGTCGGCAACCTCTCCACCCTGGACCCGAAGCAGCTGGTGAATGTCAAGCAAGATATCAGACTGGAGTACACCTATCCTCGTCTGGATGCTGAGGTCTCGAAGAAGCTGAACCATTTGCTGAAGTCGCCGTTCGTCGTGCATCCCGGAACTGGCAGAGTCTGTGTTCCAATCGATATGCGTAGCGTCGAGGACTTTGATCCGTTTGCAGTGCCGACCGTCACGGAGCTGTTGGACGAGATCGATCAGTGGGACAGGAAGCAAGGCGCATCGATGAGCGACGAGGAGAAGGCAAAGGTTGCAGACTGGCAAAAGACTAGTCTTCGACCGTATGTGGAATATTTCAAGGGTCACGTTGCAACCATCATCAAGGATGAGAGCAGAGGCAAGCGGGAGCGTGAAGACGACGGGATGGAGTTCTAGATGCCGTTGACGCGATTTGGTAGAATAGAATTGCAAGTGCGCTGTGTACCTCCCGTTCCAGAGATCTTGTAGTCAGCACAGCTTCGCGAGCTTCTGCCCGGCCCCATTTTCCGATGCAATCCAGCAACTCCCCTTTGGCTGTAAATGAATATCAGGTATGAGCCCACGAAGATCGCGTCATCAAGTCGGCGCTGATACGTTTATTTTTGTGGCTATGAACTTGACCGCTCAAGATCTTGAAGAAGGCGAAAAAGCGAGTTACCACGGCAAAACAGCATGACCGGAACCAGCCCATGTGATGAGGAAGCCGGCGATTTTGACACAAAGAGATCAGTAGAGCCTTGGTAACGATGCATCCTGCCTGGACGGATATCCTCGAGGTGTAGAAGGTCGCCACATTGATCCCGCTGTCCTCATCGAGCATGTCGTTGAAGATTGCATGTTGCCAGTGATTTGGAACTCCTCGAAGGTCGTTCTGCGTCAGTCTAGAAGGACGAGACCATTTCCTTGCGGTATCGCGAGTAGTAAGCCGAGGTCGCATGCAGCCGAACAAGCTTTGGTTGATCCACACAGCCACAATTGACACCTTCTTTTACTTCACTCCCGTTCAACACGACGGAACCCTTGGTGACGTGAAATGACAGCGGAAGTTTCCGCGAGGCGAACGCTGTCAAACAAGGAAGTAGCAGCAGGATTCTAGACGACGCTAAGCCGGCCAAAATCAGGGGCATGTGATGTCAGAAATTGGAAGCCAGCGTGGTTTCTGGGCGAAGAAGATCGATATGCCGTGCATGGCTAATCGAGCATCTGGACAATCGTTCACGTGCCGTTGATTTTATGAAACGGATGCCCGGCAGTTCTTATTAGCCGTCAAGGTTCGTCATCGGAGAACTACCGGCTCAGCTTCGGACCTTAGCCCGTTAGGCAGGATGCCGTTGCATCAAATCGCCACCAATGTGGTTGTCGTGGTTGTTTCTGCTGCACAACCGCTAGTGCCCGAGAGCTCGAGGATATGGTCATTGGATGGTCGTCGTACTCGGGAGGGAAGGGGTTTGACGCTTCTTCCCGCGGGAAAAACTACTTACCGGGCGCATTGTTGCTATTTACCGGGCGCAGCTGTAATATACTGTATTATCTAGTTAGCGTCATTCTCTATTCGTACGGCTAGCTGGCAGTATAGTTGCGGGATCTCGTTCCGCCTATATACCCTCGTGCCTACTACTACTATTACAGCTCGTATACTAGGTATAAAGAAGAGCTACGCTATCGCGAGTATTGCTCGAAGCGACCGCGACAGCGACAGCGATAGTAGTGTTATAGAAGCCGGAGATGCCCTAGCCGACCGACGTGTTTATACTATGAATTGGTACGTACGGGTCTTAAACCGTACTTAGCAGTATATTACAGCTGCGCCCGGCGAATAGCAAAAGTGCGCCGGGTGAGTAGTTTTTCCCCTTCCCGCTAGTTCTTTGCTGTCGATCGATCCACCCGGGAGACTGGAATTTCTGGGCAAAGGTTGGCCTGATGGATCTTCAGTCCCCGACCGCGGCGGCGCGCATTCGAGAAGGAATCTGTGGCGCCTGTCCGTTGCGATACTGTGATGAAGCTTGCGAGGATGCCGCGCTGCCTTACTCTTCGTTGTCATGTGGGTTAAGGGACGGAACTTTCGTGTGGAACATTTGAGGTTGTAAACATGAAAGACGCTATAATCACTAGCGTTATCGTAGATTACCCAATCAACTTCAAGCCGCTGGCCCCGTTGCAATGACACCCATGCAAATTCAATCCCGACGTCTGCTGCTAACGAGATGGAAACCTCTTCACCATCTCTGGCCACCCGAGGAGCAAGTTCAAGACTGGCAGGCACCAAAGGAGCGGACTCATGCTGGAGCACAGACGCTCGTGATCTCGTATGATCTGTCCTCGCTCAAGTAAGGTTCCGTTGGCACCAACTTTCCCTCCGGGCACCGATCCACCAGATCTTCTGTTCCCGACGAGTTGCATTTGCGTATGGCATGTACGGTGTCGGATATCCGACTGGCATTGCCTTTCGGATTTGAGGAGGAAATCCCGATATCAAGATACTAGCGGTTTCTCCAATGTCTCTCAGGAACAAATGGGAAATGGAGAGGGAAGGACAGCCTTTGAGTGACTCATTCGTGGCTCGATAGACCGTCAGGTCCCCGGGTATCAAGCTCGAGATATCCATCGACGGCGGTCTCCTCTCCACTGATTAGGGGACAATGCAGAGCGGTACTTCGGAATCTTCCCAGGGCCTATGGGATGGGGGATTGAACTCGTGCTTTCGGACCAACTTTGTTTGCAAAGACGCGAGATGGTTTGCTCGACCCGCAATAGGTTCAAGCTTCGGGCGCTTCGCTGATGGCGAGCTCTCGACCACTAACTTGACACGTTGACCCTATTCAACCGGACAATATATCGGCCGAGGAGCGATCAGCTGTGTTCGGGTCTTCTTGTGTTCACGTCGCTACACGGACGTCTTTCATGCAGCTCTGAACATGCTTCAACTTGATACCAGGCGACGTCCGAGCAAGCCCCTTCAGAAATATGAGTTTAGCCATCGCTCGCGGACAGGATCCCAATACCATCCAGAAGAAGTACTGCTTTGGGTCGCTGCCAGGTGTCAGAACCGACTGACGTTAGACAAACTCTCCAGCTTCTCTATACCTGCTTGCGATTCTCTGACTGAGCTGCTGACCTCTGCCGCTGTTGCTTCTGCCGCTGGCGCCTCTGATGTTGGAGTCGAGACACTCGAACCAGTCTGCTGGTCATCCTCACTGGGACTAGCATCCGGCGTTGTAGCCGCCGCCGCAAGATTCTCGATACGATGATGAATACGGTAGTCTCTGTAACGGAAAGCGTGCCACAGTACCCACCGTATGATCCGGTCGTCCTCCTCATCCGGATTCTAGCCGAATTCACACACTGCTTATAAGCGTGTCTTGGACTCGCTCTGTGCCTAGAGAGCAAAACAGGAAGGGATCGTAGCTCTTGTCGTCTTGGTCGTGATCAGCGCCGACAAGTTACCAGAGCGGCGACCAGAGACGCCATTGGAAAACCCTGTCAATGTGCTCGAGCACGCCCACTCTTGCCGTCCTGTTAGCAACAATGAGATTAAAGAAGGCATTTATAGCTTTTCAATGCGTGCACATCTTTCATGACGGCAGCTATTCTCAGTGACCGATCTTTCGAAAGCTCATCCATGGAAAGATGAGTCGTGGACTTGGCGAAGTGGAAACCGATGCATTCTTGCTCTGAGGCCTTGACACGGACGAAATCGTCTCCACACTATGGTCCAGGAGGGCTTTGGCTTCTACGGTCCGTTGTTAATCTACAGGCTTCTGAGCGAGTCGGAGAATTGACCAGAGTATCGTCTCGGCTGTGAGGGCCCTTCGAGGGCTAAGGCAGCTTTCAGCAAACGCGTTGTCCGCTAGGCCACTTTAGAGCGTTTGGAGGAATGTGATGGCCAGCTCAGGCCTGGGAGCTGTTGGATGGGCCAAGGCTAATCTTGCCATGCAGTTTTTCAGTTCGAAACTGCGGATTCGATCAGTCTGCATGAAGCTGAGTGCTGTCATTGAGCGCCAATTCCAAGTAAGTCCAACGATCAGCCTTTCGTTTGGCAAATTAGTCCTCCTGGGTCGCACGTTCCGCAAGCAAGAAAGTGAGCATCCAGCGCTCATTGCATATCATCATCAGACCAGAAAGTGGTCGCCTTGGAAGACTCAGCAAATGCACGACCTTTCCAAGCGCGGGCCACATTACGAGGCAAATGGGCCAGTGCTACAGATGTTGGACCGGCACGTAGCCGCTCCAGGAGCTCACTGGTCGGCAAAGCACCGACCGCAAGGGTCTTGAATGTTCTTTCGGGTCGAATGTGTCATAGTTTCTATTCTGAATGTACCATCCGGGGGCACGAAGACCAGGCTGCTCCCTTCCGAACGTCACACGCATGGCCTGGCGCGAGCCCAGTCTGTCTTGTTGAAATGCCACGTAGTGCTCAATGCAGCTTTCAGCCAGGTCGATGTCGTCGCTTGGATCCTGGAAGAAGCGCACAGGGTCCGCAAGTAGTTGTAAGGGGCAGCGTGTCTAGACAAGTTTCGAGCGAGGTTCGCCAGACCCAGCTGCATGCCCGTGGCGCTCTTGCCTCCCTGGCACTCAGTTTGACAAGACCATGCTTATGGAACTCCTCTCTGGTCTTGGGGGGCATATTTCGTGGGAACGAGAGGAAGTTGGTGTTCTGGGCCTGAAGACCAGTGCGTTGCGCTGGGCTGTGAGGAGAGTACACGGCTCTGAAACCGCGTGGCCGGCAGGGTCCTGCATGTTCTCAACCCGACACATGGTAGAAAGAGGATGATTCTAGTCGTCGTAGCCGTGAGGGAAGCATTTCCTAAGCTTGATGAAATGAGGAACTGGAGTGAGCGTAAGAGCTGCTAAAATTGTCATAATAAGATACCTGCCAATATTGGACCAAAGCACAAGTCTTATGAGACTTCGTATTACGAAACCCTTCGAAACTCTTCACGTCGCGAAGATAAGTATAATAAGTCGCCTCTCCGCCCTTGCTTCTTGAGATACACACAATTACAACAATTACAGCAATCATGCAGATCTCTATCCTATCTCTGATCACTCTCGTTTCTACAGCGGGAGCGAATTCCTATAAGGCTTTCCCATGTGCCCTAACCGACCTAAATAATTGCAAGAGTGCGGGCAATTACGGTTGCGTTCAAAACGGCGCGGTAAAAGCACTCGTACACCCGACCTGCGTTAGGACGACTATGGCATGCGACGCTACCTGTAACCATCTCGGTTTCGCTTACCAGATAGCTGGGTAAGTACTATTGTAACAGCATAGTCAGCATAGACTTGATATTAACAGTTTATTCACAGTGGCCACGATGCTACTTGCATTTGTACTGGTTTATACGATGCTGCGAAGCCCAAAACGTCTTAGGCTACTGCCAACGCCCGGCGACGTCGAATGAAGACGATGCTAGCAAGCCCGGCACCATCGAACGATTGATTCATTAGAGGATGCTGTGAGGAGGTTCAGGAGCGATGGGGTTCCAGCTTGATAGTCTTTAGGCTTTAGGCTAGATAATCTGAAGGTGATGGCGAGTGGATGTTACAAGTGCCGTCTTTCTACTCACGAGATTCAATGTTTCATTACCTAAGCAACTGGCGTGCACGTAGGGTCCGCCAAGAGCCGGCCCGGCGCGCTACCCGTATCGACACGTGATCCACAAGCGGATTGAAACTCGACTTTCGAATTTGCACACTCCATCTCGCCAACATCAGGGACAACACCTGTATTGCATTGCAAGACTAGCCAACACCGCCGCAATGCCTTCCAGACTCACCAAGACCCGCAAGCAGTACGTTCCTCTCCATCATCAGCACTCGCGAACGGCCGCCCAGCAATGCGCCGCCCACGACAGCAGAATATTTCGAACATGGAAACTTCTACTAATACTTCTACCATCACAGCCGCGGTCACGTTTCGGCCGGTCATGGTCGTGTCGGCAAGCACAGGAAGCATCCCGGTGGTCGTGGTATGGCCGGTGGTCAGCACCACCACCGCACCAATCTCGACAAGTACCATCCAGGTTACTTTGGAAAGGTTGGAATGAGATACTTCCACAAGCTCCAGAACCAGTTCTGGAAGCCCGTCATCAACCTCGACAAGGTGCGTATTCTAACAATATGCTTGAGCAATCAGTGGTGGATGAGCTGACATGGGATCATTGGTAACAGCTCTGGTCGCTCGTCCCACAAGAGCAGCGCGAGAAGTACCTCGCTGGCGGCAAGACCGACACTGCCCCAGTCCTCGATCTCCTCCCTCTCGGCTACAGCAAGGTCCTTGGTAAGGGTCGCATCCCCGAGATCCCACTCATCGTCCGCGCCCGCTACTTCTCCAAGGACGCCGAGCGCAAGATCAAGGAGGCTGGTGGCGTCGTCCAGCTCGTTGCCTAAACGCCTGCAACATGCGCACCTTGATGAAGACGAGACAGCTTACATGATCGGCGTTCTACGGATGGAATGTGCTATCTCGGGAGAGATTTGCCAAAAGAGCAGGGCGTCTCAGGAAGCCAGCTTGAATTGCCAGGCGCGGCATGGATATGATACCATACTTCAGCGTGGTGGCTGAGAGATGGCTTTGCTCGTCCTCGATAGACAAATGCAAGCATCTCTGAACAAACCTTCTGACGTCCCTCATGGGATGAGCTGTTTCCGCGTTCTGCGTGTTTGACCTGTGTCTCCGCCTATCCTGCGGTCGCATTGCAATAACATTGCGCAATGCTGTAAGTCCACGACCGCACTCCCCGGTGAAAAGGTAAGCGAACGTGAAGTCTGTCGGCCATGTCTCTTTGGGAATCATGTTTGATCCCTTGTCTTGTTCTATCCTTACCGAATACTTCTTCTACATTCTGTATAATATATCCATTCATCCCAGTCTTTCATGTATCCCACGCGCCCTCGCATCTCATCATCTTGGAAGAACTTCGCGACCGGCGAATTCTTGGCGCCGCGGCACAAGGGCTGGGATTGCTGCGCCATGCCCAATGATCACGCGTCCAGCTGATCTTCCCCCGATACCATCTCACACTGCGGCTGAAAATACGTCGAGCCATGAATCCGCCGGTGGCTGAGACGAGATGTACCTGGTCTCTTGCAACGTTATGGCCGGACCGAGTCCTACTTATATGGGAGGACTGGAGCCATCGCTACGTTGAAGAAGGAACGCTCCAATTCGGAATCTTGCGCCAAACATCAACCAGACAACCCAGGTGACAAGATGAATGGCCCCATCAGATCCTTTAACCTCATCAATCGACATACTTTCTCCACGAAGGATCTCGAGCTCCAACAGAACCAGCGCACTATCCTCTGGATCCACGTCAACACCGGCTTCCTCTCCAAGCCACAACTCAACCTCCACCAGAATGGCCCCTCAGGCCCCATCGTCGCTTCTGCAAAACTTCGAAATTTCTCCTCCGGCATCCAAGTCTCTCTAGGAGGCGGACCCTGGGCCGACGTCCCCGCAGAAGGCTTCATAACGAAACAATATCCTTTCTATTTCGGGGACAGGAAATTCGTCTGGAGACGAACACGGGACGGAGCGCTGGGAGCGAGTACTTTCGGGGCCGGGGATTTCAAATTATTGGATGCGAGTAATGAGGGGGTTGTGCTTGCGGTCTGGATCAGTGATAATAAGTGGTTCAATATGCACGAGATTGGGAGGGTGGACTGGTTTGTGGATTTGGGAAGGGATTTGGAAGTTTTCGCTCTTATCGTTATCCTTGGGATTGGGGAGAAGTTGAGGAGGGATTCGAGTGGTGCTGCTGGTGGGGCGTCGGGCGGTGGTGGTGGAGGTGGGTGAAGCAGTGATTACCTTTCAATTGGTGTTTGAGGGGTGAGAAGAAAGTAGCAAGGAGAGGCAGAGGCGTGCTTTCCATGAGCGTTGGAGTTACCGAGTTGACTTCTCAGATTCGATGCTGGATGTGGTGTTCTATCTTACGTACATGATCAATACCCATATCACCGATCAGTCGCAGCGTAGCCGGCTGAAGATCTCATTCTTCTTCCACATCGTACTCAGCAGACGGAAACTACGTTATTATTTCTGCCGTTCTCGCATTGCACACGCAGAACATCGACAAGATCGCCCCATATCCGTATCCGCCATCAGTCAGTCATTATGACTGCCCCGAACGAGCGTAAGCGGAATTAAAGATACATCCAAAGATCATATTGCGTACCTCATTGTGATCGGCTCGTTAATTCTGCCACCAGATATCCGCACAGGTCGAGAATCGAGAAAACACGTCCAAGTCTTCGGGAAAGGAAATTGCCACGAATGCAAAGCCGTGATGGACGACCATTTCCCAGCCTGTTCACGACATCAACGTGAGTTGAAAAAAACAAAAAATTTCTCATTCCAATATCTTTCCGATCTTGTGCAATCAGAGCCTCGTCGAAGACACTTATACTTTTTGCTTGATTTCCGGTTTTTCCTTTTTTATGCGGAAGAGGACCGAGCTATCATCATAGCGGCTGATACGTACGATCCCAGCAGCCAATGCTCATCATCACCATCAGAAGAAGAAGAAAGACAGCGTGTCGGGATATGCAGTATCACCGTCATCATCATCATCCGCGCCAGGTCAGCCAAGCACATGTACTCCCTCCCGCGCACCGGCGTCCATGCCACCAAACCGACCGGAATCTCCTCCTCCTTCGTCCTCCTCATCCAGCTACTCCCAACCCAGCCTCCCCCGAAGCCCCGGCTGGCTGTGCAGGGAATTTTCAGACCTGGAAACGGAATCTCGCCGTCCTCCGGGTTGCTTCAACTGCCACGCCACTTCCGGAACGCACTATCAAAGGTGTTGTTCTCGTTTCAATCCATATCCTCGCGCTGAGGAAGAAGAACGACAATCGGCTTCACGGGTGGGTTTTCTAGAAGTCAGGGGCATAACGGGATAGGACTCCCCTCTCCCGAAAGATTCCCAGATCCAGGCGTCCCTGTCGCCGTATGAGAGTAGGACCCCTGCTTCTCCTCCTTCTCCTCCTCCTGCTCCTCCGCCGAGATCTGTCCCTTCGCCTTCGTCGTTGGCTGTTTCTCCGAGGTCCGCCACTTCTTCTCCTGTTCCCACCACATCTCCCCCGACAACGACGACGACGGGTCTCTTGAATCGCACGCTGGAATGGGCCAGGAAGTCTCTCTCGTCGCCCATGTCTCCCGTCCCTGTCTCTGTCGTCCAGCAGGGTCTTGCGCGCTTTCCCTCTCCGCCGAGAGCTTTTGTGGGCCCGCGGGCGGAGCGGACGCCCGGTCGGGTTCCGGATTCGTCGGAGAGGGCGATTGTGCCGTGTGGGCTTTGTGGGAGCTTGATGGTGCCGCATGCGCCGGATTGTTTGAGGAGAGGGAGTTCTTTCTGATGGTGCTGGTGCTGGTGGGGTGGGAAAAGGGCAGACATTTGGGGGGAGAGTTAGGTATTTGAGATGGGATGGATAAGTCGAGCAGGTTCGCAGGGGGAAGGCAAAGGTTGGAAATGACATGATGGGACTTTCTCTTCGTTGCTATTGCTTACATAGAACTTTTCATTCATCCTTGGGTATCCACATGTCCCCCATCCACTTTATTCGAACGCCTGAACGCCTCGCTAGTCTGATTTCCTTTCCTTTTCCCCGATGACTCTGATTCTGACCTTGTACTGCCAGACGCTTTTCATACCGGAGCGCCATACATCTGTCTTATCTGCATGAGCTGTGCTCTTGCCGTCGGTTCCATGGCCAAGATCTGCTCTCTTGGCAAGGCCATGACCTGCTGGATGAGAGCAGCTTGCTCTGGCCCGACTTGCGGTGGCTGCGGCGCTTGCTGGGCTGGAGGCTGGTATGCCGGTGCTTGTGGCGGTGTTGGCGCAGCGTAATGCGTGGGTGGATAGCCCTGAGGCGGCTGCGGAGGGTAACCCTGCGGTGGTTGAGGTGGATAACCCTGAGGAGGTTGGGGTGGAGCGTATTGCTGCGGTGGAGGAGCTTGCTGGGCTGGTGGTGGTTGTACTGGAGCAGGGCCGCCGGCAGTTTGGATGAGTTGGGCAACGACGTTGGTGTCTACGAGGTTGAGGAGGAGCATGGCTTGGAAGACTGCGTAGCCCAATTGGGGTGCCGATTGTAGGAGCGCGGATGCCTGGGCGGGGTTCGATTGGCAGAGGTTCTTGAGTTGGCTGATGAAGTCGAGGAGTTGGGGCGTGTCGACTTTGGAGATGGTCTGGCTGATGGCATCGAAGGCCGTGACGCCTGGAGGCAGATTGATGCCTTGTGGGAGCGGTGGGAGCGCGCTAGGATCCGGACGAGCGCCATTGGGCGGCATATTGGAATGCGCCGGTGGGGGAGCGCGATTGGAGTCGTTGTTGTTGTTGTTCTGGTTGTTCTGATTCTGGTTCTGATTCTGGTTTCCACCTCCGGCGCGGTTGTCGTTGCTATAGTCCACCCGCAGCGTCCGCCCATTCAGATCAAACTCGTTCAGATTCCGCACAGCGGAGGCGGCAGCGTCGACGTCGGTGTACTCGAGGAAGCCGAAGCCCTTGGGTTGGCCGGTTTCCTTGTCGTAGACGAGGCGGAAGTTGACGACCTGCCCGCAGCGGCCGAAGATGTCCATGATCTGCTCCTCGCTGACGCCATAGGGGATGTTGCCGATGAAGACGACGCGGCCGCCCTTTTCGCGTTGCGCCATGTTGTGTGGTGCGAGGAAAATGAGGAGGTGTTGGCGGGGATGTCTCTGTCGCGTGCTTTGTTGGAGAGAAGTTGGCGGAAGCTTGCAGCTGCTTGCGGTAAAGAGCGGGACGGAACTCGGCTCCGGCGCTGCTCGAACAGCTCGACCTCGCACATTCATTCGACCTTTCATGTGACAAGCACCAAACACGCTAAACAAGCCCTTCTCCTCTTCTCATTGGACGACGATCTCTGCACATCGACACGCACGACATGCCGGTACGGTAGCGAAGGAGGATGTTCAACTTCACGCCGCTGCTGGGCGCGCAGTCGGACTCGCCCGCGTCGCAGTCGCTCGTCGAGCTGGATGGAGGCGTCAAACTGCTGGTGGACGTCGGCTGGGACGAGACATTCGACGTCGACAAGCTGCACGCGCTGGAGAAACACGTCTCCACTCTGTCCGTCATCCTGCTCACCCACCCGACGCTCGACCACATCGGCGCATACGCTCACTGCTGCAAACACATTGCGCTGTTCAGCAGGATCCCCGTCTACGCGACCAACCCCGTCATCAACCTGGGCCGAACCCTCCTCGCCGACCTCTACGCCTCCTCCCCCCTCGCCTCTTCCATAATCCCCGCCGCGGCCATCGGGTCTTCTGCAGATGGCGCTCCCAATCTCTTGCTGCAACCTCCCACCGCCGACGAGATCACCACCTACTTCAACCGTATCCACCCACTCAAATACAGCCAGCCTCACCAACCTATCCCTTCGCCATGGTCGCCGTCCATCGGGAACCTCTCAATCACAGCATACTGTGCGGGACATACTCCAGGTGGAACAATATGGCACATCCAGCACAGCATGGAGAGCATTGTCTATGCGGCAGACTGGAATTTGAGCCGAGAGAATCTATTATCGGGTGCTGCTTGGCTGGGCAACGGGAGTGAGATCATCGAGCCTTTGCGACGACCGACTGCTTTGGTATGCAGCTCAAAGGGCATTGAAAAGACGGATGTCTTGCCCCGAAAGAAGAGGGACGAGGCGCTGATTAGCCTGATACGGGAAACGATTGTTCACGGAGGCAAGGTTCTGGTACCAACGGATTCATCGGCGCGCGTGCTGGAGCTTGCATTCATTCTCAATTCTACATGGCAAGAAAACATCAATGGGCCACATGCGGAAGTGTATAAGCAAGCGAGAATCTACATGGCGAGCGGGTCGAGCACCAGCACTGTCCGGCAGCTACAGAGCATGTTGGAGTGGATGGACGAGAACATCATCCGAGATGCCGAGGCGGCCATGAACCAGGACCAGGGAGGCGATCGCAAGATACCGAATCTCCTGGACTGGAAGCACGTCAAGCAGATCGAGCGTCAAAGCCAATTTGACAGAGCGATACGGAGGTCACGGCCTGGCATCTTCTTGGCCAGTGATGCCTCGTTGGAATGGGGCTTCTCGAAGCAGGCGTTGGAGAAGCTCGCTGGTGACTCGCGCAACTTGGTCATTCTGACGGAGGATGCGTCGTCAGCTAAAGGTGCGCATTCTACCATAGCCAAGCAGCTGGCAGACTGCTACAATGGTCAGGCCAGCCTTCTGTCTCAGTCAACCAGCGCAAAGGTTGTCAACACCAGTGGACAGAGCCTTCTTCTTCGCAATGCTGCCCCTTCCCCTCTGAGTACGGACGAGACAACACTCTACGAACAATACATCGCGCGGCAAAGACAATTACATAGCAATCTGCAGGGCGACGACAGTACCAACGACGGCACGGCGAACGAAATTGCAGACGAGCAGGCAGAGGAATCTTCCGATGATGAAGATGAAGACGAGGAGCAGCAAGGCAGAGCACTCAACGCTTCGGCGCAAATGCAGCAGACCAACAAGCGAAAGGCGGCCCTGTCGGATGCAGAACTAGGCATCAATGTTTTACTGAAGAGTAAAAATGTGCACGACTTCGATGTTCGCAACAAGCGTGGTAGGGAAAAGATGTTTCCCTACCTGCCACACCGAACCAAGTCGGATGCGTTTGGAGAGATAATCCGGCCTGAGGACTACCTCCGCGCCGAAGAGCGTGAGGACGTTGATGGCGTGGACATGCGAGATGGGATCAAACAGGAAGCAGCGGCTGTCGGTCAGAAGAGGAAATGGGATGAGCTTGCTGCCACGACCAATGCCAAGAGTAAAGGCCAAAAGAAGGAAAAGGCGGATCAGAACAAGAAGCCAAAGGTTGAACGCGAGCCTGACGACATTGATGCGCTCATAGCACGAGCCACTGGAGAAGGCGATCCCACTTCGGGCGGTGCAAACGGGGCGGTCTCCGAGGAAAGCGGGAGTGACAGCGACTACGAGCCGGAGGATGTGGCATCGGAAGGACCGCAGAAGGTCGTCTTCACGGAGCAGACCATTGAGCTGCAGTTGAGGATCGCGCATATTGATTTCACCGGCCTCCATGAGCGGAGAGATCTGTCCATGATTATACCCCTAGTCCGACCGCGGAATCTCATTCTGATATCTGGAACAACATCGGAAACGCAGGCGTTGGCGGAAGAAGCAAGGCAATTGCTCTCTGGCGAAGGTGGAGAGTCGGAATCTTGTGTCTTCTCACCGCTGGTGGGCGAGATGGTGGACGCCAGTGTCGATACCAATGCTTGGACGCTCATGCTGAGTCGGGAGCTTGTGAAGAAGCTCACCTGGCAGAACGTCAAGGGGCTTGGTGTGGTCGCTCTTACTGGTCGCCTCGACGTACTGCCTATCGAACAGCCGGATGCAGAAGAGGAAACCGCGAAGAAGAAAGTTAAACTCACTGAAGGCGGAAAGACCGCATCAGAAGACGAACGGAAGCATGTTCCAGCCATCCCTGTTCTCGACCTCATCAATACGGCCAGCACCGCCTCACAGCGGGCTACTCAACCAGTGCACGTGGGAGATTTGCGCCTAGCCGAATTCCGCAAGATGATGCTGGGTTTGGGGCATACGGCTGATTTCCGGGGTGAAGGTACTCTTCTCATCGACGGGACTGTTGTTGTGAGGAAATCTGCGACTGGGAGAATTGAAGTTGAAGCTTCCGGCCTTGGCTTATTGCAGCCTCAGTTCCGGACTCGCGACATGGAGGGCAGCTTTTTCGCGGTAAGGAAGGCTATCTATGGGGGTCTGGGGGTTGTCAGTGGTGTATGATTATGGAGGTGAAGATACCCGAATACGGAAGAAGTGTATTGATGAAATGTTTGTTTGGGGACTTTTACCCCCTTTGTTGGGGCTGATGCCCAGGCTGATGTCGTCTCACATGGACCTTGGGGACTTGTGACTAGCTGTTCTTCCTCCGATGGTCATAAGAGCGATTTCGCAGTGTGTTCACGATTGACAACACAGATTTCCGAATTCAGCCGCATCGCGTGGCCATGGCTGGCGGCACTGGCTTCGCGCTGCTCTACACGTTGGAGCCGCATGATCGCTATTCAATGTTTGCTTCCACGTCCACATGGCGTTGCTGTGCTGGCATAAGTATCATCCTCTCTGGCTGTTGTGATTTGGGTGAGTGACCAGTTGAGCAGCTTGACCTTGAAAAGGGCATTTGAAGACGTGCAATACCAAAAACCACAATCAATCAACCAACAAACAGATCCGACAGACAAGACAACCAACTTCAACAGATCGTTTCCCGAGCCCGATATCCTCAGCAAGTCAGAGTTCGACTACCGCCTCACCTCCTTCCCAATCGATGAATTTCTCCCCCTACACTTGGCGTGCAGACGACGGATATCTACCTCCACCTGGAAGTATGCCTGGACCACCGACGGGCTATACTCCCATCTATTGTCCCTGGTACTTTCCGGGTCAACAGGTATGTCTCCATCTACATACCCTTCACCTCAGCATGCATGCTTCGGATATTATGGCTGACCTGTTTGCTCTGCTTAGGGTCCGGCGTACTCCTACTTTCCCCCTCCGCCGCCCTACCCAGGTGCTCCCGTCGCCGCCTACCCTCCTCCTCCTCCCCCCAAACCAGCATCCGCGAAGAAATCCGACCCCCCAGCTCCACCAAAACCCAAAATCGAAAAATGCATCCTCGAACTCAAGAGTGTTGCCCCGGGCGAGAGCAACACCGGCGGCGGTTCCAAAAGCGCCAAAAGCAGCGACCACAACAAACCCAACAGCAACGCCTGCGGCCCACCCCCTTCTCTCCGTCCGGGCATGAATTACATGTTCTCCAAAGAACACACCATGCTGCATATCTTCAATAAAGCGAGTAAGGGCATCTTCGAGGGGAAGTATAAGGGCCTGCAATTGCCGTTTAAGATTTTCAAGGTTTCTACTTCGTTCACGGTCAGGGATGTTATTGAGAAGGTTGTGGGGAAGAGCGGTGGTGGGGAGGGGGAGTGTAAGGGGTGGGCTGCGACGGAGGTTGTGGAGGTTGGGTGTGGGGAGTGGTTTAAGGTGAGTTCGGTTCCGTCGTTCTTCATATTTGTCTTTTTTCTTTTCTTTTCTTTTTTCAAAAGAGTTGAAGAAGAGTATTTTTTGGCTAATGGTGATGGAAATCCTTTTTTCCACAGGGCACTACCATTGAATATGATTCCGACAAGGCCAAGGGTACTCTGGGCAGTATGGGATGGGGACCTAAGCGGGGCAAGGCTTTACCGCCGGTTTGGTTGGTTGTTCACAAGGCTTGATGGGCGATGTGGAAAGCGATTGGACATGAACGACTGCTGGGGTAGATGGGGTTTGGGACTATATGGGCAACGGTGGTGTCTGTCTCATGTTCTATTTTGGCTGATGGTCTCTTTTTGCTTCTTGGGGGTCCGATTATCTTCTGAATTTGCAATTGTTTCGGCTTCTTTGTACTGTAGCGGAGGCTGGTCTCAGAACGGCGAGAATATGTGTCATTGAGAGCGGCGAGTCTTGAAGCGATTTTTTTTCTTTCTTTCGATTTCTTGACTGCTGAGTGGGACGACTGGCATTGCAGAACGGTCATATGTATGTGGAATTATAAGCAAGCTTTTTGAAATCCCCTTTCGAAAGTCGCCACGGCTTTGCGTCCGTCAAGACGGACCAGGCCGTCTACTGGGAGTCTGGAGATTTTCGGCTACAGGACGATGGAGGCTGGGCTTTGCTCGATCTGATTTGTCCAGCAAGAGACACCATGTCTTCAGGATGCATTGTAATCGAAAGAATGCAGCGCCGTCCGTACGTGTTAATGGCGACGACGCAAGGCCAGTCACATCATTATGTATGAAGATACTCAAGACAACGGCATCGAACACCAAGAGGTGCTTCGAGGCCTTGAACTAGCTGCTTTAGCTTCCCTTCTCTTGTTCTCCCTGCCTCCAAGACGATGGGTTATCGCCTTTTACCGCTCTTAAGAGGGCTTATGAAAGTGATCCTACTGCAACCCGATGGTCGTGGTCTTGCAGACTCTATAAGAATCGTGATAAAGGACGCTGTGGGGGACTAGGAAGTTGATCGAGGATTGGGGTAGAGCGGAGTCGGAAAAAGATTCCAGGAGAGAATGGAAGGGAGAGTAGTTCGTTGAAAAATGATAAGAAAGGCTGGTCAGCACAAGAAGGATTTTTGACGAAAAGGTTTCTCCGGCGAAGCGCCTGATTGGAGGTAGGAGGACACCACGAGTGATGAAATGGCCCTTGATTGGCGATATGGTCTGAATTCACAGTTTCCTCCTGCACCGGATGAAGGAGGAGAAGGTCTGGGCAATACATTTTGGGTGCTTGCTGGACATGATTGGCCTTGTTGTTTAAGGCTATCGCTGGGAGTCTGGCGGGTGGACGACATTGTCAGGGGTATCTGCTCGAATATTGATCAGCCATGAAAGCACCGGGATGTGAGATTTGATGCAAAAGATTGAGGACCGTTCTTTGTAGCCGAAAGATGCGATATTCACGGCCTAGCAAGGTCTTCTGTAGGCAGATAGCGAGCCTTGGGAAGTACATCGTATCAATTCCGTCAGTTCGCTCGACGCGGACTCGTCTGGAAAACTAAGCTCCGTGTCTACGGGCGTACAAAGTCATCCAATTCCGTACGAGTAGATGGGCAGACATCACTCATTCCTGTCGTCAGCGCATCCCACAGGAGACACGAGCAAGATTGAGCTGTCGGAAGGCTTTGCGGAGAGTGTTGGGAGTTGGATAGTAGCGTTCCCAGGATATAGGTGGGATGGGTTGCGAAGGATAACGCTAAATTCGATAACATGTGAAAGACGACCCGCTAGAACTATTACCCGATATCGCCGAAATCCCCGACGTGTCTGTGCAGATCACGCGTTTCAGCTTTCCGCGACTACATTCCTCCACTTTCCCATCTCCTTCCGAAGTACACACCGCGATAGCTCTGTCCAATACAGCTTGTCCGCCTCTTCGGCCCAATAGCGATACGCAGTACAGCTGATTATTGCCAACACGTGCTAGGGCGAGCATGTTGCGCGCCCTTGCTCCCTCCCGGATTTTACGCTTCCACCATACACGGCTTCAACGGGCCAAAACCTTCCAAGCATCTACGGGACACCTGTGTCTCACAGCTCAAGCTCGAACGCTCTCCACGAGTGGAGCAACTGGAGATGCTGATGGCAGAGCAACCATTCGCAGGTTCCCCAGCCACCAGAGGAAGCCCCAGCAGCGGCAACCCGAGCAGCGGCAATATGAACAGGATCTTTACAATTACTATATGGAGAAACCTAGGCTCCGCAACCCGAACGCTATCGCTTATGTCCCATGTCGTTGGGTGGAGGGGATAGTCGTTGGAGAGCTTGTGAGAGAGCTACCTGCAAAGATCGTGCGCCATCCGGCTGCTGTACTTGAGAATCAGGACAGTAGCATACATCATGTACGCCTGGCTCTAGAGCTCTTTATTGCCCGGTCAGGCCAAGAGCAGCAACGTTTTGTGGCTGCAGAACTTGGTTTGCGGACGCTCCATTGGCTGCTTAGCCCGAGCTCCTTGGAGAAGTATGACTTGCTCGCCGAAACACACTTGCTACGAAACCTGATTTACTGCATCGAGGCGGAGAAAGGGAGCGATTATGTTCACACGTGGCTCCAGACCGCCTATACTCCAGCATATGCCCGGGATTGGGGCATCAACGGTCAGAGACACTGGAAGACTTGGGTCTTACGGCAGCTAGTAGAGGCGGTCCAGCATTGGCGTGGGATACAGCCTGCAATCATTGAATTCTTGCGTGCGCGCGACTTCAACGAGGGTACTCCAACGGACTCTGTCGCCTATACACCGCTCAAACATGCCGGACTGTATATCTTTTGGCTCCTGGTCGGTAGCAATGCACCGAATCTGCCTGCCGACCTGTACGACCGCTTTCTCCAGAGCACTAATTCATGGCTGACGCCAGGCTTTGAAGCACAGAGGACTGTAACCGCTCTGAGAATGTCGCATCCCACTTCCCCAGATCCGCTTCCGTTTTATCAAATGCTGCGGCACTTGTCGAGCCGGCCAGACTTGCCATTCGAGATGCGGCCAGCTACAAGCGAGCCATCTCGAGCTGAGCAAAGGTGGTTCCTATCAATCGTGACTGCCATGAGACTGCTAGACGCGCAAGGCGAGAAGTCGAAATCGCGATGGATTTTCGAATACGGAAGATCAAAGCTGCCCGACCGTTTTCAAGGGTCACCGGTCCGTAGTTCGTTCAGCGCGGTGCGAACCAGGAGGACTGGACCGGCTGTTCAAGGATCCGCATAAAATGGAACGCCAGCAATGATATGTTGTAAAAGGCACTTTCGCGGGCAGTCTGAATTGACAATGCTGACCCCCGGCAGCCTCACGCTCGGTAAAAGGCCCACTAGTAGCCGTCTACAATAACGAAACCTCGCACCCACAGTGTTCATGAGAAGGCCTCGCTCTATCATTTCGACTTTGTGCTGGCGGATGTCGAGCTGTCTTTGAGCAATCTGAAGGACATTCTAGCTCCCGATGGAATCCATTGTTCATTTGGATGGACTTGAGACCGGCATTCGAGAGTTCAGCACCATTCGCGATTTCAACGAAAGCACGCGACATACGTTGCCGCCCGTTCCTACGCCTTTGTTTGCCGCTGGAGTATACCTGTGCAAGTATCTTTGACACGGAGTTTATTACATGGCTTCACTAGCGTTGCATAAGTCCCTCATCACAGCGTTGCCTTGCTGGGTCAAGCAAGATGCTCGGCAACGAATAGAAGGTTGACTTCTGTGTGACGCGAATATCCACTCAGGACCTGCTCATCAGCACGGAGGCTTGAACCGCTGCACTTGCTTGGAAGACCTGGACCGCCATCGTTTCCAGACTATGGAAAGGTCGCAAAAGCGATCCCCGTCGACTCAGAACAAGTGTGCGTCCCAAGCTGTTGACTAGCTGCGCTTCTTTCTAGATCACTTTGCAGAAGCTGGGACGTGCCTCTGCTTGGAAAGGCCATGATATCGATGGGGTATTGCGTGGTTCAATATTGTTCGATGCAGTGTCAAGCGAGGCACTTTTGCCGCAGAGGCAAAGACTCTTGCGAGATGACAGCATCTTACCAATATCGAGCTTTCTAGGTCACTCAACCGACTTCGGAGATGTGTCGGCATCAATAACACCCGATGTAGGTACAGTCCGGCAAGGTACCTTTTCTTAGGCTTCAATGTGGTCAGGCGAAGTTCGCGAGGACGAGCTTTTACGTCCTGCCTGAGCTTGGAGCGAATTGCGCTCGATTGGAGCAACGGATGGGCTTTGATCAAAGCATTATTAGAGAAGTGAGCAAGTCATGATAAAGCTAGTACTATATAACTAGGAAGAGTATATATATAACTAGGAATACAGCTTACAGCAGTTCGGCCAGACATCGGCGCACATGTCTACGTACCCCGGCTAGTATTGTCGGTGACAACAAGGGTTACGACCTCACTTCATGTATCTCTGCCTTCCATCATCTACAATTATAACTGTCTACACCAATAGCTCCCATAATCCTGAGATGCATCTTGTTGAAATGGCAAGGATACATTCCTATTCGCTACACACCCGCCCTTCCGCCCCGGCGAACCGGATGCGCGAGCTGTGAGCCGAAGGGCCTGGCCCCTGAGACGGGAGTAGCACAGCATTCCCGTCCGATCCTGTTGGCACCCTGAATCGCGAACCAAAAAGCTTGCGCTATCGAGTCAAGAACCCATTCCTTCCATCTAATTTAATAATTCTCTTCAAGACACGTAACATTTTCTTTCTGCGCATCTATTCCTTTCCATCATTACTATGATCTGATTTGCCATCTCATTTCCTTCCCTTCGCCATGTCGACCCTCTTGCCAATGTGGCCACAATCCAAACGACGGAGTAGAACATTACGACGGAATGGTTTCATCTTCGTGCTCTGCTGTCTCGTCTTCTCCCTCTGGAAAACGGATCTCCTGTACGATCTGAAAAGCAGCGGCTTCAAAATCACCAACCACGCTGGCTCTCGCAAATCTAATTCCAAGGCCGTCCTGCCCTGTCGAACCCTTCCCGGCGCGGACGAAACTCTGGTCATCCTCAAGACGGGCGCGACCGAGTTACAGGATCGCCTCCCGGTGCATCTCAAGACCACCTTCCGCTGTTACCCCCACTACATCATCGTCTCGGACCACGCCGAAGCCTTCCAGGGGGAGACCATCCGCGATGTCCTGGGGACTTCCGTCTCGACGGAGAAATTGGACGCGCATGCCGATTTCGGCCTCTATCGGCGTCTGCGGGATTCCGGACGAAAAGCGCTGGAGATTTCGGAATTGAGTGGTTCGGAGAGCCAGGAGACGAATTGGAGTGGGAATCGGGGCAATCGGGGCTGGAAGGTGGATAAGTGGAAATTCCTTCCCATGGTGAATTCGACCTATTATGAGTTTCCGCAGTTCAGGTGGTATGTCTTTCTCGAGGCGGATACGTATGTCATGTGGGCCACGCTGTTGCAGTACCTGCAGGCTTTGGATTCGAGAAAGGAGTATTATCTAGGGAATCAGATGGTTATCGGGGAGGATGTGTTTGCGCATGGGGGCTCGGGGTTTGTCGTTTCGAATCCCGCGATGAAGGTTATGGTGGATTATTATCGGCAGTATAAGGGCGAGCTGGAGGCTTATACGGACTGGCACTGGGCTGGGGACTGTGTCTTGGGCATGGCGTTTAAGAAGGCCAAGATTCCCTTGACCTATGCGTGGCCCATCATTCAGGAGGGATATCCGGGCGTTGTGCCTTACGGGAAGAGGAACGACGCGAGTATCCCGGACCCGAGGAAGCGGTTATGGTGTTATCCCACTGCGAGTTTCCACCACGTTTCGCCGGAGATGGTGGAGGATCTGTGGGAGTTTGAGATGCAGTGGCTGGAGAAGAAAGGCAAGGACGAGAAGCCTTGGCTCCGGCATAAAGAATTCTTCGAGCAGTATCTCCTCCCGAGGATGAGGGAGACTTCGACCGACTGGGACAGTGAGAATGATCTGGACCAGGGACTCGGACTTTCCCTGGATGAGTGTGAGGCAAAGTGCAAAGCTACTGCGGAGTGCATGCAGTGGTCGCTGGAAAAGAACGGTGGCCTTTGCAAGATCCGCAATGATCCTGGACTGGGAAAGTACAAGGCCAATGTGACTTCGGGCTGGATGTATGACCGGATTGTGAAATTTACCCAAGATCAGGCTCCTTGTGGGGATGAAGGCTGGATCTTGAAGTAGGAGTTACCAACATTTGGGGTCTTATTACTGGAAGTCGTGAGCCCAGATGCAGAGGGCTGCTTTCCCTTGAACGATCTTTCCGGATTGAAAATGGCCGGGTCTTCACCACGCGCAAGAAAGCATTCGCCATTGCCTCCTACTGGCGTATTCCGTCGACAGCAGCATGGATATCAGCAAGCAAACCACAAATAACCATGAGCAAAGCGACGGCAAAAATGACAGCGCAATCAACACAGATACCACTACCCATTCGGGGTCAGACGAGGAAAGCGACAGCGATTCGAATCCCGGCGATCTAATCATCACTACGCTAATCCCTAACGCCCTACGAATGGTCCACCTCAGCGCCGTCAACCGGACGACTCTCAATCTCTTCTCCTCCCATCCTCACCCATACGTCGACCGCACTTCCGCGACCCATCTATACGGCGGCCCTGTCATACGTCTCCGGCAAACCGGCGAAGACGTGATGCTCTGCCCCAATTGCAGCGAATGTCGGCGCCGTGGGTATCAGCGAGATGGAAGACCTGGCAATATGGTCAGGCGCCCGTTTCCGACGATTTCAGACTTATCCGCCAGTCCCTACGAGCAATTCGCCTACGTCCATTCTTTCTGTCTGCAGGGGGAAGGGATCGAGTATGATTTCGAGCCGCCGCCGCTGTTCTGGCCGAGGCTGGAACGTGCGGATGATACCGAGGTGGTGGGTGTGCGTTTCAGTGATGGGGTTTCGAGAATGTGTATCAGGTGCATCCCGGATGCGTGTGAACTGTGCAAGCCATTGTACGAGGAGCATGAAGAAGATCAGGAGGGGACTTGAGACGATCAAGGAGAGCAAAGGGGCAGGTTGTCGTCATCGTTGCATGGAAGTTGTTAACAGGTGATGGGCAAGAATGGTTCTCGAGAGCATATTGTTTTCACTCGACATTGAGATGGCTTCGGACGTAAGCTTCCGATCGCCGCAGTGCGCTTTTGTCTCCGCGCTCAGAGTTTCGCTCATCGGTATATTGGGAATAGTTCTGTCTTTGCCCTTGAAAGGGTCAGGTGCAATCCCAACTGAGATGGCACTTTGGACTTTCCGGCCATGGGTGCAAGCTCACACGTCAAAATACTAACTTTCCGTCAGTCTGCTCAATATGTTTCAGAATTGTGCATGACTGGACAGCACATTGGAGGCGACGAATTCAAGCCATAGCAGCTGTCAAGTTGGACCCATCGACCTTCTTCAATGATGATTCATCGGATTTGGTACAGATCAACTGCCACTTGGACAGAGTGATCAGCCCAGAACGTCCTTTGTGAAGGCTGATAGTGGTGACTTGGCGCTTTCTGCTTCGAATTCTGCTCTCCGCAGCAGCAAGATCATGTTCATCACCTACAGGTGGTTTTCACAGGGGCGGTGCGTGTTCCTACAGCATCGGAGCCTCGATGGTTGGTCTTTTTCCAAAAGGCAGCGTTGCCGGTGTACTTCCCTTGAAAGATTTCCAGGCCGACGAGAGGAAGCGGCCGCTTTCTTGTGCCTAGATTCGCGGTAGTCCTGACCGAAACATAGTACTGCCTTCCCGTTTTGTCAACCTGGGAAGCCCATCAACGCTGGACTTGCTCTCAGTCCAATGATATAGTAACAGAGCCATTCTCGAGTCTCTCTCATGCGTTTCGATTTCAGCTTATTGAAAAGCCCACATAGTCACGTCGTCGCAAGTCCATATATACGCTCGCGACGCCCTTCTCCTCGTCCACCTCGGAGGAGGCAATATGCACGATGTGGAATGCTATATTAGGGAAGTCTTGTGCGCGTGATTTTCCACATCTGAAGCTGTCGCGGCAAGAAGGTCAGATGTTGTGCGGCCATGGCGTAGGTATCCAGTTGCGATTTGAAGTCGGGCGAGACGTTTCGGTGGAATTTTTGGGCTTCTTCCGTTGCGTTGAAGGCGAAGTCGAAGTCGCGGTGGCTGATGGCGTGGGAGCAGGCGGTGGATTCGGCGTCGTGTGAGGCATACGTGTGGTCGGCGTCCATCTTTATTTAACACTCCGTCGAGGGAAAGGCTGCCGCGCATCGTATGCCGAGCATTGTCAGCAGGTGGTACGCTATATCTTACGTGTTGGTCAGTAGTCAGTAGGGCATGAGGTTGAGGTAGGTAGGGCGATGTAAGCCGGATGGTGATATTGATCAAGGTCCATCAATATCTGGTGAAGTCCCCTTGAAGTGTGGCCTGTATGTATTGATGGCTCTGGACCAATGCCAGACGTTCTACTATCAATAACCCCACCCTAACCCAAAACATTACAATGCTACATCAACCATCGGCAAGTCCTACTCGTATGTCGCTTTTTCGTTACCAATCCGACTACTGGTACAGTCAGCAGCTTCGACCCAGCCGCGGTCAACGAGAAGGACGTCGCCGTCTTTCTTGCTACCCAAAACGGTCCGTACGACAGCTATCACCTTTACGTCGCCTCCAGTCAGGCACCGATACTGCCTCGAATGCGGCTGCTTGAATTTGGAATTGTTCTCTATGCCTCAAGAGCGAATCTCCCGGATGATACCATTGTCCCTCTCGCGTGGCAAGAGTCATTGTTCGCCGAAAGGTCAATGCAATAGTACCCGAAGCAGTGAATTTTTGTCTAGGGAGATCGAGTGGGATATAACAGATTGATGGTCTCGTCCTGCCTCAAAGTTTTCCCACTCCACGAAACTCGTCGGTATGTCAAGCTCTGCCTCTTACGTTTCCGATGCGGCCGGCTCTGTATTTCTCTTGCAACATTCGTCTTGAAAATCTTGCTTCTTTGGAAAGAAGTGTGGAGCCAATGCGTACTTTAATTGAAGCTTAAGCTGACAGCTCCTTGCCGAGGCACTGAGCATCTGGTCCAGGTGCCACTCATAGAGTCTCGCATTCCTGGCCTGAACCTCCTCGCCCATATTTCACTACGCAGAATGCTCTCAATCGCCGTCCTGACCGGCCTTCTGGCCGCTGCTCCAAGGCTTGCACTGGCAGTATCTTGCACCTCGCACGCTGTCTCGGTAACAGCCAGCGCCAACAATGGCATCGTTCTCGCTCCTAATCTTGACCTGACTTCGGTTTCGGGCGTCGAATCTTTGCTCTCTTCGGGAGCAGGTCTTCTAGGTCAGTTTGCTGGTCTGCTTCCTGTTAGCGGAGCATATCAGATCGCAATGAAGTACTGTCCACCGGCGAACAATCCCGAGGCGCCGGCGGGACGTTCCCAGGAGGTCCAACTCCTTCTGCATGGCGTTCCATACAACTCTGTGAGCTGATCGATTCGTTTTGGCTCGAATCGAAGGCTGATCAGCTCACAGAGCTACTGGTTCGGTCTTCCAGGGAATCCAGATGGGACGGCAAAGTACGACTGGGTGACGTTTGCAACTCAACAAGGCTATCCGGTTCTTGCAATCGACAACCTCGGAGCGGGTGACTCTCAGAAGGCGGATCCAATTACTGAAGTGCAGCAACCTCTCCAGACAGCACTCTTGCACGAAATCACCCAGATGCTTCGCGCGGGCCAGCTTTCTTTTGCCCCGAAGGCGGAGAAGGTCATCTTCGTCGGGCATTCTCTGGCCTCGGTGACGGGAAATGGAATCGCGACGCACTATCCGTCCGACTTCGACGCCATGGTTCTTACTGGATACTCATACGATCTTATACCCGCAGGCCTTGGCATCCTACTCACTCTCTTGGAACCAGCACAGCTCCAGAACGCCGCGAAATTTGGAAGTTTCCCGCCGGGATATTTGGCTTTTGGATCTCGTCAAGGCAAGCGGGCTGCATACTATGCGCAAGATGGATCCTTCAGCACCGGATTAGAAGGATATGATTTCGCGCATGAGGATACCATCACCATCGGACAGATCTATTCCGCCTTCTCTGGCCTGGAGAAAGCCGACGATTATAGGGGAGACGTCTTCGTCTTGACGGGACAAAATGATGCTTTCTTCTGCGGACCCACCGGAAGTCGAGAGCTTGGACCGCAAGATTGTGGAATGGGCGATGAGAGTATCCCCGCGAAGAGTAGAGCTTTCTTTCCCAATGCGAACTTTGAGTAAGTTAGCCGGGGCACCGATCAGGTATTTCGCAAATGTGTACTAACCATGCTGATAGGTATCACCTCGCTCTTAACACGAGCCATGCCACAACATTGCACTATAGCGCTCCCGACAGTCTGGAGGCTGCACACCAGTTCCTTGCTAGAAGCGGGTACTAGCGTAGCAGATTGCTTCTGTTATGATATATAATAGCCAATCGACCCCCCAAAACCTATTGCTTCCAGAGATTTTAGGCTTCGGTTACCCAGGCTTCGCATCAACGTGAACGATGTGATTAAATCCAAGGATCGTACGAATTCGCTTGAGGGTATATTTGATTCTCTTATAGCTTCCGATGGCACAGCAGATGACCCATTGTTCGCGTTTCTCTCTCCGAGTGGCCGGACGGTACCATCGTATGAGACTTCCACCGGGTTGGAAGTCGTCACATATAACGTAGCGGGTAGATAGACATCGTGCAGAAAGCCGAAAGTAATGTTACGCGACTGGTCCGCGATCTCACGAAAGTTGCAAGGCGATCAGCGAGTTGCTATGTAATAACCTATTGGCCCACGCGACAGGCATGGAACTTACGCATTTGCGGTCAGAAGGGCAGAATGTTAAAGAATCGGGAACTGGACCGGCGGGATCCGGGCAACGGCTTCCATGTCGACGGGATAGCTAGTGTGCGTCGAAGTAGAGTTCTTAAGCTGCTCCGAAGGTGCTCGAGTTGGAGGATAGATCTGTAGCATGCCCAGTCGACATGGGTAGGTAGAGCGCGGTGAAAGGTTGAGTCGCGCCTGGATATCGTACGAAGCCTGTCAAAAGAGCGGCCAAAAGCATGCAATCCATAATGACTTGCATGATCTGCTGGTCTCCAGGTTTCTAGTAAAGTGAAGGGACGAGGTAAGAGAAGGCAGAGACGCTCCGGCAACGGGTTCATGTGTCGTGTGGTCTTGACGCTGGACAGCTAAGCCATTCGGGGGCGGCGGTCCATGCAAACATATTACATGAAGTAGAGAGCCCGCCAGTGTAGCAGAATGTCTCGCTTATCCCTCGGCATGTCGAAGATGGTATATGAGAGGGTCGCCAGTCTGCCAGACCAAAGCCGTACCGCTGCAGCGTGCATACCTGCTTGGCAGCGAAGCTCTTTAGCCTAGCATCCTTCGAAGTGAGCAAAGAACACACACACGGTATTCCCGGAGCGGACCTGCGTCGGAAGAAGACGTAGCATCATGATGGTTGGGCACATAAAGAAATAACATAGCCATTGTTGATCCGTCCGCTGGCATCGGCCGCTTTACAGACCAGATCTGTCTCTTCCGCTTCGGTACTGTCGAATTTATGAGCAGGAAAGTTGAAATACTGCATTCGTGCTATCGGTGTGAGATGCATGTATATTGATGGAGTTAAGAAGCACTGTCAAAAGTCAACCCAGATTACGAGATGAGTCGTGCTTAAGATGACTAAGCGCTAACTTGACTCGCGCAAAGCCGACCGAGCTGCTGCCGCCTTCTGCCAAATCTCGACTTCACAATCTAGGTACCGACAGCAGCGACAAGATGACCGGAAAGCGACCTCACGAGACGAACGGCGAAGGCGGCGATCAGAAACGAGTTCGCGCCGAAGATGGGTCTCCGCGTGCCGCGCCGCCGAGTGATATGGCCGCAAGAATGGCCGCTATCAAAGCAAGACTTGCTGCGAACAAACCCAAGGAGGCAGCGAATCCGACTTCACGACCACCGCAATCCGCCGCATCTCCTTCACCAGCGCCTGCAAAAGCATCGCCAACAGTATCCGACGTACCCTCGAGTCCCGCGCAAAGTGGCGATGTCGCAGAGGCGAGAGCGGCGGCGCAAAAGAGAATCGCGGAGATCAGAGCCCGCATGGCCGCAAAAGGCGGAAGCTCACAAGCGCCAACGAATGGAGCAAATGCAGGCACGGGATCGACCGCGTCTCCTCCGCCGCGGCCGGATCCTATAGCAGACGCCAGGGCGAGAGCGGCCGAGATTGCAAAGCAACATCAGAAGCGGGCACAGGGTGCTGCGCCGCCGTCGGCTCCAGCTCCGCCGCCGCGAGTAGATGGCAAAGGTGCAAGAGGAGGACTGGGTATTGGATTGCACCCGTCGCTGTTGGGCGACTCAGGAGGAGAGAAGGCCAAAGCGGGACATCTGGGACCAAAATTCACCACGACCAAAGGCAATCAACAGCCGGAGAAGCCCAAGGTCAATCCGTACCTCGCTGCGGTTGATGAGCTACCAACCGACGAAGATCCTACGTTTGCACCTGCCGTCCGACGAAATGTGGAGAGGAAGAGCAAACAGCTGGTGTTCAGCCAAAAGGGAAAGTACATGGCGCAGGCGAACGCGTTGCGGCAGCAGGCGAAGTTGGAAGAGATGAAACGGAGGATTGCTGCGGAGAATAGGAAGACCGAGATCGAGGAAGCATCGGATAAAGCATTCCTGGTTCCGCCGCCGCCTGACGTGGAATGGTGGGATGAGGGTCTGCTTCCAGGGGGGCAGGACAGTTACGATGACTGGGAGAAGGAGAATCGCAACAGGATTGAGACGGAGGACAGCATCATCACTGCTCTTATTCAACGGCCTGTGCTCTTGCAAGCACCTCAGGACAAATTCATTTCCGGACCCAAGCCGCTCATGCTTACCCAGAAGGAACAGAAGAAGATACGACGGCAGCGCCGTATGGCAGATATGAAAGAAGAGCAAGCCAAGATTCGACTGGGTCTTGTGGAGCCTCCACCACCAAAGGTCAAGAAGTCCAACATGATGCGTGTGTTAGGAGAACAGGCCGTCAAGGATCCGACCGCAGTTGAAGCACGAGTCAATCGAGAAATTGCCCAGCGTGCACATGATCACGAACAGGCCAACCTGGATCGGATGTTGACGCCCGAGCAGCGTGCCGAAAAGCTCAAGCGACAACAAGCGGGCGACGAAGCCAAGGGTGTCAAGATGGTGGTGTTCCGCGTTGATGACCTCAGTTGTGGCAAACATCGTTACCAAGTGGACGTGAACGCCAAACAGAATGCTATTACCGGCATTGTCATTCTGAATCCCAACATGAATCTCATCATCGTCGAGGGCGGGTCGCACAGCATCAAGGCATACAAAAAGCTTATGCTCAACCGAGTCAAATGGACCGAGAACTTTGCACCCGTCGGCGAAGTCAATCCTACCACCTTCACTGGCACCACTGATGGCAGCAATGCGAATGTCACGGCTGGAACGAGAGGCTCGGGCAGCAAAGCGGCGGAGTGGTGCAATCCGTTGGACGAAGATGGGGAGTTGAAGGATCTAAGTGGGAATCGGTGTGTACTTGTTTGGGAAGGCGAGGAGTCGGAGAGAACATTCAAACGGTGGGGTAGTCGGGCTTGTGAGACGGACGGGGAGGCGAAGGACGTCCTATCCCGGACGAAGATGGAGAATATGTGGACGCTGGCGAGAAGTAAGTGAACGTAGAATGAAGCTGAAGGTACTGCAGAAACTGTATGAGTTCCGTACATTTCGGGGCGCAAAATACAAAGCCGATGCGGCTGATCGCAGGATCCCACGTACTACTTCAAGGGTCTCGCTTCCTGTGTGGACAAATGACTGTATGCGTCTCGATCGCCCGCTCCACGTGTATGGAAACGCTTCTTGTGAGTTGCTCTTTGTCCGCTAGCGCGTGGAGATACGCATGTGCAGCTTCGTGCGCGAGCCGCTGGGCTTGCGGGCTGTGTCATCGACCATCTCGCAGGTGCATACTTTTAACTTCGAGCGAAAGGCTGCAGGGAAGCGGGAGCTAGTCGACGACTCACCATTGAGCGTAAGGACCGCAAAGTCTTGTTTGCTAAGGCATCACCTCTTGAGTCGATTTGCATGAAGGGCCGACGCTGCATTTAATGATAGCACGACCCTGCTCTTTGGGCGCACGACCGACACTTAGATTCATGTACTGCATTGCTGCAAGCTGCTCCAGCTGGCAAAGGGTTTGAGATCTGTTTCAAGCACTCCGTTGAAGCTTAACATCTTGGATTGGGGCTGATATTCCATTTGACCATCGAAGAAAGTTATTAGCTTGGAAGTGGAAGCAAGCAGTAATTTCAAGGCACTGGTCTGCCTTTTGATTACCAGAGTCGACAGTACGACACCCTCACCTACTGCATGTTAGTGGGAATGCAACCCGAGAGGCCGCTGCGGCTCAGCAACTCTGAGAGTGGACGGCACCCCATATGCGCTAGCATTCTACAAGCCTTGTGCATCAGCCAAAGCAGCTCTACAGCTCTACAGCCCGACAGCGTAGACTATCCCTCCCTGAAAGGAGTCACGATCTTGCATTGCAAAGCTAGGCAATGCAAGCGAAGCGAGCGAAATAAGCGTAGCCGTATTGCAGACGACCATACGTGATACTTCTGCACCAGGGCGACTGACCGGATGAGCCGTCGATACTTACGCCCCAGCGCAGCAATTGGCGCGTACGAGGCTTGCGTCGCGAGGCAGCTTTCACGCCTCGCTCGAGCTTAATGCCGCCCGTTTGACGACTCGCATAGCCACAGCCTCGAGTGAATGGATTGTAAGTATGTCCTCGAGTACCACTGCTGCTCTTCATTGCACCGACTAGCCAAGCAGTTTTCCGCAACACATCTCCTGATAGAGATACCGACCTCCGTCGGGCCCAACGAATCGTACTCTTGACCTCGACACAGCAGATCAAGGATGCGTACCGTCCTTTTTGCGGCGGCGACTCTGCTGCTAAGCTACCACTGCGACGTGGTTGTGGCCTCGCCTCAGAACCCTGCCGCTTCTATCCTCGGACAAGTCCTTTCAACCATGAAGGTCTCTGTCAAACCCACGCCGACGAATCAAGGCAATGCGAATCTCTTGGCGGCGATTGAAGCTATAGGATCTGCAGCCCTCGCTTTCCCTACGCCCCAACAACAGACTAGCCCTACCGACTGCCAGAGCGATCCCATAGGGTGTGGCGAGGCTGCAAATAATAGTCCCAATCGGGCTCCCAATTGCAAAGATCCCAAGGACTGCGTTGCATACTGCCAAAGGATCATGGGAAACACCCCAGGCGTGGCGTCAAGCTGCTCTCCGAACATGGACTCCACTGGCCATGCGTCTGGCAGTGTCTGTACCTGCTGGAATGGTTCGAGCGTAGTCGACATCGCCAGCAGTGCTATCATTGGTATCGGCGAATCCGCTTGCTTTGCTTGGGTGGAAAGCATTCCTCTTGGTGCTAAGGCTCTGCAAGCGATTGCGAAGATCTCAAACGTGCAAGCTCTTGCGTGGGCCGGAACAGTTCTCAAGGTTGGGGATCATTTGCTCGCCCATGGAGCGAAGTTGGGAAAGTGCGATAATCCTTTCTGTCCGAATCATAATTTTGTGGTTGTCGATCCGGCTAAGGCGGAGCAGATGCTTGGGGTTTTGAATGTGTTGATTAGGGGCATTGCTTGGCTATGGTGCAATCGAGGAAACGAGAATGGCTTGACATTGGTCTTGGTAACAACGCTATGCAGTGCTGCAAAAGAGACCGTTCCATGCATTATCTTCTTCTTCAATTGCCCTCTGTTATCGCTCGTGTACTGGAGACCGAAGGTTGTACTTGCTGTCCACAGGATGCGACCTTGAATTCCAATATAACTTTCGCGTTGCACAACGCACCGGGCCCGGAAGCCAACTTTTTTGGGGAGATCGGATTCAGAGCTGGTAGCGTTTGCGGGTTAGTTTAAGCTAATAAGAAAATGCGTGTAATAGTCTCTATAGTAGTGCTCTACAAGCGTTGAGATTACGGTGGTAGCATACTCCTTGACCTTGTCGTCCGAGATCCCCTCGCCTATTCTAGAGCGCCTTGGACGATGTTCTGCTATCGGCAAAGCGTAGATATCGTGCTACAGGGGCGGATAATCGATTAGGAGACCTGCGAAAGGACAACCGCGGCAAGAGACCTGACCATCGTGTGCGCTGTATCGGTTAGGCTCAGCTAGCTATGCTTCCTATCTGCCTCCGCAATGTTGACCCGCCCTACGTGATGTCATGTAAGCATCAAGCGGAGGTACTTGCCATCTTGCGTAGTTGCAAAGAGTGCAGGTTGTATGCTTGCATTTGCGCCTTTAACAAGTACCCATCACATCGGCAGGCTACTACACCAACTCTGCTCTTATCGCTTTCGTCTAGGCAGCCAACTGCAAGTCGCCGTGACACTTCACTGGAAAAGCTCACAGGCGAACACATGATAGTCAGCATTCGATTCGCCACGGAGCATCAGACATGGCTTCACGAGTCCATTCGGGCCGAATCAAACCGTGCCTGAGACCGCAGCCTGTGCGCTTTGTTCCCAGGCATTCTCAAGCCAGCAGACGGGGATGTGTTATGCCCAACGCACGGTTTGTGACCTGGTCAGCAAGCCACCAGAATAATCTGCTGGCGAACTAAACTCGCACGTTGCATCGGACTCCTTTCGGATGGACTAACAAGGCGATTTCCATTCCGTCTTATGCATCTCGAATCTTGAATGATGGCTTACAGATTGCCTCGATTGTGGGAGTCGTTCGCACAGGTGTCGTCTGTCCGTATGCAAACCAAATCATGTTTGCAAGTTTGGCTCCTGAGCTTCTCTGGATGTCTGACACTGATGTCGTTCTCCTATATAACGTGTATGGTACATCTTGTCACCGCTTCTCTCGCCAGGCTGGGGATCTGGCTTATAATTCGGGCGATGCTGTTGCGCTTGCGAAGATGTGAAGTGTTTTGAAGACCCAGCACGTACAATCGCTGGCTTTGTGCTGGGGAAATCTAGCAATCGATGATTAAGATCGTAGCGTGCATTGAACAGAAAAGAGGAACGATGAAAAATGCACGGGGGACAACTTGTCCGTGTGGTGGCATTGTGCATCAACTCCACGCTTGCGGAGTCAACCCCAAGGACCTCCTCAAAATGTTCTCCCATCCAATTCCTCCACACAGACAACCGGACCTGCATACACATACCTTCCTTGAACCGCGTACGTTATCAGTGCTATGACGAAAACACCAGTGAACATGACAATGGCGTAGTTCATGCTGCTGGCATCAACAGGAGTTGTCACTGGAAAGCAGACCCATACCATTGCCCAGCAGCTGTAGACGAAAGCAAAAAGGTTGATCGGGAGACCTGCATGTCCCAAAGACCATCGGCAGCGTGGCAGCTTCTCTCCGCGAATGCGCTTCAGGGCAATGGAGCCGATGGAGATCGCATATGTGGCCATCAAAGCGAGGAGTTGGAGGGAGATGATGGCGTTACTAGATGATGTGTCAGCGAGCATGACACGGAAGCGGTGGACAGACAACTTACAATGCGATTGTGCTCCCCAAATTGATCAAAGACAGTAGGATCGTAAATCCGTACGTTACCAAGATCGCATTGAGAGGAATATGCAGTTTCGGATGAACAGTCCCAATCCAATTGTATCCGGGCAGCCCATTATCTCTGGCAAAAGCGAATGTCTGTCGAGAAGTACTGGCGAAGAAAGAGGTAGCACCGGCAATTCCAAGAACGAGAATGATAGCCGTGAGTCCGATGGCTCCGCCTGTGGAGCCTGTGCCAGTCTGGAAGACGTAGATGTACGGGAAGCCACTCTCCGAACTGATCGCTGCATCAACGTTGGTGAGGCAGTAGCAGTAGGTGATGAGCATGACGAAGCCCATGCCACCATTTAGCAGGTAGGACCAAATGATGCAGCGAGGAACAATGGCCGAGGCGTCGCGAGTCTCTTCAGCCATATGCGCGGCGCCATCTGAGCCGATGAGTCCGTAGATGGAAGTGACTGTTAAAGATCAGCATCAATCGCAAGCACTAACCAATGACAACCTACCTTGACCAACAAACATGCTCAAGGTAATGCCAGACCACCCGCCATTGTTCTCAAACGTTGTAAAGACTTCCTTCGTGGTGTTCTTCGGACTAAGCACCCACAGGACAATAACGATGGTCGCAAAGCCCATGACGTGAAAGATGAGAAGGATGCCTTCAATCAACGGCAACTGCTTAGCTCCCCAAGTATTGATGAGAAGGCCCAGACTGACCATGCCGATGACAATAAGGTATCCTTGGTATGGCTGCGCCGAATAGTCCGGATGAGTGATGGCGATAAGACCCTGGATTTGCGTTCCGAGAAGGAACATGCCCGAACAAGTTCCGCATTGCCAGGAAAGGGTGCTCATCCAGCCCGCGATGTACGAGATGAACTTTTGATGCGATCTTGGGGCGAATTCCGAGGCCCAATGGTACTGTCCGCCAGCGGTAGGACTATCACACAATTAGCTTTTTCCTTGACTTCGACGATCGTTCCAATTGACATACGCCATACTGCTCATCTCAGCCAGAGACAGCACAATCGTTCCAAAGCAGATGAAACTTCCCACAAACATCCAGATCATACCTCCCGTACCACCGTTGGTGAGTCCCGCAGCGGTGGCACTCAGGGTGACCTCCCAAGTTCCCATTGCAACGGCCACGAAACCCAGAATACTGGTGAAGCGAAAATTGCGTCGAAGCTCCTGCTTCTTCCCCAGTCTTCGCATGTCCACCTGGTCGGCCTGCGTACAGTCCGGCCCTGCGAAAGTGCCATCGTCGGGTGACGATGGCTCAACGTCGACATGACTGCCGTACTTCAGCTCGTACGCCATGGTGTCTTCGAGAACGAGCTCGCTCAGTGTTCGTGGAAGAGAGAGAAAGGAGAGCTTCCTCCTGAAAGATAATGTCCCAATTGGGCTAATAGAACGAGGACGTCCGAGCCGATGCCATTTGGGGGGTGTGGATCCCTGCATCACGCTCCTCCACGCGATGTCGGTACATGCATCGAGAAGCAAATGAAACGCGTGAGGGTAGGAGGGGTGCGTAACCCAAGCATCGATAAGCTCTGTGCGACTCCAATGCCGGAGGCCGAAGGAACGGCTAATGTGCGGATGTACAGATTGTCTCACCTAAGTACATGGCCAGTGAACATCGCCCCGAATTAAGCCTTGTTCGCCGGTCGAGAAGCCGAACGGAAGGGATCCTTCTTCGAATCAGAACAATCTTCGACCGAGGTGTCTCATATTCTCGTGCGATATACGACCACGGGTTTCCCGGTGTCACTGACAGCCGGCAGTTGAGCGAGTCCGAAGTGAGCGTAGAGTCGCTTGGAAGCTGCGCTACTTGCTGCACCCGTACGGCGTATATCTTGCGAGTGACCAGGTCCGCGTGCCCTCAAGCCTGTTTCTCGAGTCTTTCACGAGCGGCGATCTGGTATCGTCCAGATGGCAGCCACTCCGACTGCAACAGGAGCAGAATGGAGTACTGCGATATCCAACAGAGATCATGGCCCCTTGGTCACGATAACAGTATGTCTGATGTTGGTGGCGACATTCCTGTTCATGGGATTCCGGATGACCATCCGATGGCCATGGTCGAAGCTGGTGGGCTACGATGACATGGCAACGATTATAGGAAGCGTAAGGTGCCAGATCCGCCTCTCGATGCGTTTGCTGATGTTCAACAGTTGTTTGCGTGCGCGCAAAGTACTGCCGTACTCATATCGGTCCACAGGGGGCTCGGCAAGCATCGAGCTGACCTGGGCGAGGCCGAGGCGCAGGCAGCTATCAAGGTAACCAAGCCTTTAGCTCCTTGCTGTGGCAGTGGAATCACTGACAGACTATATTCAGGCCGCCTGGATCAGCGACATTATCTCCGTCTTGGCACTGACTGGTTCCAAGCTGGCAGTCTCATTGCTGATACTGCGCCTGTCCACATTCAAGAAGCATGTTCTTGCCGCGAGAGTGGTATCGATCCTCATTGGCATATGGGGTGTCCCTGCGGTCGTCATGACGTCTCTTCAGCGGGCAAGCTCACAAGAGCGGAACCGGGATGGCTGGATTGGCGTGGGAGTGTACAGTGTGCTGCTCGAAATCGCCCTCATTGTCCTCCCGGTCTATCTCGTGTGGAACCTGCAGATGCGACTGTCAGCGAAAGTTACTGTCGTCGTTGGATTCCTTTTCCGCATTCCGTAGGTGAAGAGGTTCCCAACACAATCTGGCGACTAACGGTTGTCGTAGTGCAACCGCATTGGCAGTGGCGCGTGTTTACGCCGTCGTCAAGATGTTTTCGGTCGAAAGCCACGATTCCAGCAAGTCGATGACCGATTTCACATGGCTTTACGTCAACCCCACAATCTTTACCACGATCGAGATGCACTACTCTCTTCTGGCGGCGACGATTCCTTGCATGCATCTCTTCCTGCGACAGTTCTCGACGGGATACATGGGCACGACGAATGCGCAGCTCCAGGGAACGATGCTCGGGTCCAAAGGGAATCTGAGCGACTCGTACGCCTTAAGCAGTACCCGGAGCAGACAAGGTGGGTTCAAGAGGAGCAGAAGAGGCGGGACCGAGAGGCAATACAGCGATATCGAGGCCGTGTCGAGAGCGCTATACCAGGTTAGTCCGGCAGTGACAACCGTCAGCGCGAGCCGAGAGAATCGTCCCGATAGTGTCGCGAGTGATGGCAGCGAGAAGATTATGGTTCGGCAGACAGTCGACGTCAAGTGGCAGGATAGTAATGAGGACGATGCGCACTGAGCTTGCACTTCCCGAGACCATCCGAGCCAGCTCCCGAGAGAATCCGGCAGATATCAGGCCACCTGGACAGCCGCACATATACTGCTCATTACATGGAGCAACAGATCGGCGCCGACGTCATTGCTGCAGTGAAGGGCCACAAACATGAGTTAAGACATCATGCGGGGCACCAATCGTATGGGTAGTGATGCGGATCCTGATGCCTATTAGGAACTCTTGACAGAAGATTTGGAGGTCGAGACTATGCCTAAGATGGTCGAAACGAGATTTGCGCTTTGTAACGCCTCAGAAAACGCCCCAGAAGCCGTGCGAGATGCACACGGAACGATCGAGAACGGTCGCCAAGAGAAGATTAGTCTGCCACGCCTAAGAGTGTGCAAAGAAGGAACATCACGCCCTAAAACAAGGGATTCGGACTTGGTAGCAAAGCCAACGCCGGCAAGCTTATTTTGACAACAGGGATTCCGTCCTTGTCGAGGCACAACTTAACGGGAAGACGTCAACCGCCATTACGCCGGCAGGAGAACACTGAGAAATACTCCCAAACACAGCTTCTTGCATTCGTACACGTACATGTGGGACTGGAGGCGACGGGTCAGTAGTAGCTACTGGCATCGTAGACCATTTCATTTACATCGAGGCGGAAGACTAGAGGCCCTAGCACGTCCTACAATCGCTGGAGTGAGCTTGACGATTTAGGGACCACGGCCCTAGCCATTAGCTGTTTGTGCCGACTGAGAAACAACCTGCATACAATTCGACTGTTAGCAACATCGGCGAAAGACTCAGAAAAGTAATGAGACCGAGAGATCAAACTAGAATCCAGGTGGTAATGTGCTTACGGCCATGAAGGCGAATTAATATACAGGACTATCTGGCCCAAACACTCCAAGTTTCCTAGGTCTCGGTAACAATGGCTGGCATCTCTGTCTCGAACGATCCAGCGTGCTGGGATTTGGAGTTGTTGGCGCTTGCTCCTACTTGGAATTTTGCCAGAATACCATAGTGATCGCTGACCCAGGCAGGCGTCGTGGTCAGGACTGCATCTTTGACCCAGGAAGGAGGGTCGATTAGGAACGCATCTTTGGCGGGACTGCATTCAAGTTGACGGAGATCTTCCATTCGCTCTAACGAGCAGAACACCGTACTGACTTTTTTAATCCCCCTGCCACTCCGGCGAAAGGAAATTGTTTCCTATTCGTACCTATAGGCATCCACTATTGTCTTCAAGTCGACACCCAGGCGTCTTATGCCTCTTGTCAGTTGCTCACCAAAACTTAGCGGGATGTATTTCGGGGCACCTGTATACAGGATCTTGTCCATGCGTTTGCCGTCCCTTTTGCCATTCGCTCGTTGGTAGCCCCACGTATTTCCCCTCGCTTGGCCATTAGTTACATCTCTCTGGAATGGCTTTAGACGTGGGACTTCTCCCTCGGGTCCATTCTCCCAAGCGTCCTGGAGTCGTACATCGTCTGCCTTTGGATACTCATGTTCGAACTTATCGATAGCATTCATATCGCCTGCGACCAGACCGGCAACAACGTTTTGGCTCATCTGCATATTATGCTTGAGCAATGTCGAGGTCAACGCCAGTTGACCCGGTCGGTACACTCGGCCGAAGTATTCGGACTCCAGGTGTGTCGTGCAAACGCGTACGACGTCTTGCTTCTTTGCGGGTTGCGCGCCATCTTTCAACAGAATGTCCGCGGTCAAAGCGTCTCTTCCCATCGCCGTCGTAAAAGGAGCGCGAAAGGCGTTTGAGACAGGCAGATCATGTGAAATCATCATTGAGCTGAAGTATTCCATTGCGCGCCAGTGAAGCCGTTCCATAACAAAGAATTCTCCCACAACGTCGGCGCGAATGGATTCAGGAGGAGCCACGTTCGAAAGTTTGAAATGTCGTCGTACCCAGGGGCTTCCAAGTATCGTGCCCAATGATCCTTGACAGACTCCTTGGAATATGATCACGGTCCTCCTTAGAAAATCTTCGCAAACTTTCTCTAGATGGCTCAAGATCTTTGTAGCCCGAGCACTGGCACCTGGACTGAAAGCGTCGATATTCCAAGTAATCACTGTCAAAACACTGTCACGCTCTATCCCACACAGTTTCTCTATCTGCGATGGTACCCATTCTGGCCTGCTGTCATCGTAGTAATAAGAAGAAATGGGATATAGTCATGACGGCTCTGTCTGTTCCTCGATTGAGCCGCTCATTATGGAGTAGAGCCCTTTCCTGGTGAACTGCACGATGCCGCATCCAGGAAAGGAGATCCTGCGATGGCAGAACATGCGCAGACCGCACACACTTAACACATTGTCGTGGTGTTCAAGCGTCTTCAAGTATCCGCGCGTAATGTAAACACATAAAGACCCAATAAGGATACCTTGAGTCAAGCCAAATGCGCTTTAGAGACGACTTCCACTACCCCACATATATTTATCAAGCGAATATAGATAGCGCAAAAATGGGGTGTGGAAGTCACGAAGCAGCGCGCCTAAGAAGGGGGTAGGGCTCAGGGGAGCGCGCAGCTGCAGCAACACAGCGCGCCGAGCTGTGCTGCTCCTTCCAGGTAACATATTGGTGTAGTCAATCGCAGAATGGAAGCGCTTACTGCAATCACCACTCCTCCCGTAAGCTTATGCTTTCTGGTAGTTACAGGCCAATCGATCACAGCGTATCGCCTTAGAGATCACAGAGTTGAGGCCGGCGTTTGAGGATCAAGCTCGTCGCTATGCCGCGATTCCTGCTTCTGCAAAATTTGAGAGTATGCGAGCTTGCGGCACAGCTCACCTATATCTGTATCCTATGCCAGCCTCGTCTTTAACCGCGCCGTAATGCGGCCATTCTTTAGCAGACGACAACAAGGATATTTAGGTAGCGTCAGTGGAGGACATGTTGCATTAAAGAGAAAGCCATATGCAGCGCGCAAGGACGATTAGTATTCTTCTTTCAACTTCTATACCGGCACAATACTCTTCGTTTTCAAAGGACCTACCTTACAATCATTATGTCTGCGCGATATGTTTCTAGCTCCCTGCTAAAGAACGTCAAAAGCAAGTCTGGCAAGCAAATTGCTTTAGAGATCGTGGACAGAACTACATCATGGACTCGGCCGTCTGGGATGCCTAGTGAAAGCGTGAAGGAAGAATTCGTAAAGATAGCTGAAAGCGATGCGGAGAAGTTCAAGCCTGAGGTCGTCACGATCGCAATGAAGTACTGACTGTTCTGAGAATCTTTGCCGGAGTTTCCGCTAATCATAAGTACAGAGAATCTGAGCATCAAAGTGACAAGGACAAGCGAATGCATTACACAGCATTCGGCTTGGACAAGGATGGCAACGTTGTCGACATGCGACACCTTACACGAGAAAAGTAGACAGACGGGATCGTGAGCTTCAAGACAAGAGACAGGACTTACATAGATAGACACGCATGTACTATTTCGTTGCTCTGTGCAAGCCCGTTCGAGATGTAGAACAGACCACAATCGCAAAGTTCATTCACAACCTCATGCTCCTCAAACTGCATCGACCTTCCAAGCTCGCTTTGACCTGTGTCTACGTCTCTAGGTAGGTTACGCACCTGCTACGTAAGTCTGTACCGCGAGCTTCCTTCATCGCGAAACGGTTCCCGGAAAGTATGTTGTTCACCTGGACTGTACTACTAAACTTCCCTGGTCTAATATGGAGGGGTGGCCACGGCGCTGTATCTCATTGGACAATTAAGCGAGATGGACTGTGCATTTCCACTCCGAATCATGGCCAGCGCTTGCAGTCCTCAACTACCAAAGGCTGTAAAGGTCAGAAAGCTGCCATCTAACTACCACCCATTCCGCGCGCATTGGTCGTGAGTCCAAATGCGTTGGCTTCACGCTGGGCCGTGCAAGCTTGTTATCAAGTGCTCGAGTACGAAAGCCATTCGAACCCAATTCGGTGCATTTGCCAGACATCGGCCGATAAATCGAGGGGGAATTTCGACCATGGCAGGAAGCCTTGTCGGAAAATCGGGACGGAACTACATGATCCAGGAGACTATTCAAGACAAGGGACGGCCGCTGACATGCGTCCAGCGCGCGAGGTCAGAACATTGCGAACGCTGCTGTGACAATATATTGACTTACCTCTTTAGTGATGGCACGAACGACTTCATCTTGAAAGAGATTTCGCAGGACTGGAAACTACGTCTGGAGATGTACGAACTTGTTGGCAGCAGTCCCTTCGTACGAGACCTGATTGACACTGTTCCGGAGCGGAGAATTTTCATTTTCGACTACCTTCAAACGAACCTCTTACAATTTGCTCAGAAGGACGTTCCCCAATCCATCATGAGGTATATTTTGAAATGCACGCTCTGCGGCATCGCTGCGATGCATGAGAAAGGCATTATTCACAACGGTAACAGGACTCGCGTGCTGATCGAGCTCTCAAGCTAACCTTGCGGCAGACATAAAGGCCAATAATATCATGGTTCAGATGGCATCGCCTGAGTTTGAGTGGAAAATTGAGAAAGTCCAGATCGTGGATCTCGAAGACTCGGCTTATCTTCGCTATCCAGAATCAGCTATCGTGGGTGCACAGGTTGGTAACATGATGTGGCGGAGTCCGGAGGCTCATGCGATGGGGCCTATCCGAAAGCCGTCAGACATGTTCTCCTTTGGTCTTGTTGTAAGCTTTGATACCTTTATGGCGCATTGCGATCAGATGGGATTCCGGTCTAACGATGTCATAGTGTATCTACGCAATGACCCGCATATTACCATTCGCACTGGACGAGTCTGAGCTGCCGGAAGGAATCGAGCCCTTGGCCGTTGTCCTCGAGCGTCAAATATCCTACTTCGCGGAGCAGGACGACTTGAATGCATTTCTGCGATACTTGGGCGATTCCCCCGAGTGGGTCGAAATCTTCCAAGCAGTGGCGAGTGCGTTCGCTGAAGGTCAGCCTAGAAGACCGTTCCGACTCTGGGAAGGAATAGACGTCGATCAAGCAGACTCGTTCAGAAGCCTCATTCTCGGGCTCACGAACTTTGATCCGGCGAAGAGATTGACGGCGCAACAAGCTCTAGAGCACGAATGGTTTAAAGACGTCCCGATCTTATAGAGCTACGTTACGGAACCGTGCAAGTGATCGCCCCTAGCCGCCTCTAATCCTACTAGGAGCGGCTAGGGCAGTTAGGGCGGCCACTAGTGCATTATCCTGTCTAGCCTAGGTTAGAGGCAGTCGGGAGCGATTATTAGGGAATAGATCTAGCCTTCTATAGTACTTTAAGGTATACAGTTACTTAGTATATACTCCTTAGGTCTTAGTAGTTATACTAAAGTATATTTAGTATCTCTAGATTCTCTACTTACCTCTTAATAGGTAGGTACTAATATTTAGTAGATAATATATATATATAAAGATAGCTAGTTTCGTAGGTTTTAAATAAGAATATTACGTAAAGGTAGAATATCTACGTCGTAAAGCCTATATACGCTAAATATAGACCCTAGAATAAGCTTATTACTAAGCTATTTACTACTTAGATTTCTAATAGATACTTAGATAATTAATATTAGAGTGGATTAGTACTAGCCCGATTAGGATAAAAATTATATCCCTAAGTAGCTAGTGCTCTATTCTACTAGGTCCGTGCGTACTTATTACCCTATTAGGCTTAGTACGGTTAATATAGCTCTAGATACTTAATTTAAGGATTTAAATATATAGAGGGGGTAAGAGGGTTATATAAGGAAAGTTAGTTATACT